TTTAACCGATAATACTAAGTCCTCTCTATTTATATTAATAACGGAAATTATTAAGTAATAAGTATTTATAACGTTATTACTAATATTTTAGTTTATATAAATTTATTAAAAAATTAAAAAGGGTATTAAACTAATATTATTTTTTACTTAATATTTTATATCCGTTATACTTTTTACTATAGCCTTAATATAAAAGTAAAGAAATTAACCTACATTAAATAGGGCGGGGTATAGGAATATAGTTTTTAGGTTTTAAAGTACTACCGTACTTACTTTTAAGGAGGTATTTTATATAGTAAAGAGGAGGATTTAATAGTAATAAAGGTTTAAAAAAAAAATCGTTACTATATAAATTATAAAACCGTAAGCGTTACGGGAAAAAAAATAATAAAATTATAAATAATTTATATAAAAAAGTTTTTAGGTTATAAATTTAATTAGAAGGTACGTAATAAAAAATAAAGGAGGAGGGGCTTAAAGGATTTAATAAACGCGAAAGGATTTAACCTATTAAATATTTTTTCGTTTCCTTTTAAGTTTTTATTAATTCCCCGGTTTACTTCCCTCCCTAGTTCTTTATTAACTTTAATTATTACTATTAAAGGAAATAAATATATTATAGATTTTCCTTTTAATTATAAAAGATTTAAACTAAATAACGTATTAAATAATTTTTAACGATTAAGTAAAGTAGTAACCCCCTTTAGGTTCCGTACTCCTATAATAATAAACTCGCCGCTCCTCTTTAAGCCTATAATTATCCGTCCCCCTACTTATAATTACTTAAAATCATTAATAATATACTTTTCGTTTAATTATATACTTAATTTTATAAAATAAAAGTAGGCTCCTAAAGTTCTTTAAAGACGAAGGGAGGAGGTTATTAGGTTATTAATTATAATAGTTTAATAGGAACGGAGGTATATTTTAAGATCCGAAAAGTAAAGATACTTTTCTTTTTAATTAAGGGAGAATGGATAAAAGGATAGTAGGATTATATTGTTTTCCTTTCTTTTTATTAAACGATATTTTTTTTTTTTTTAGTTTATAAAGGATTTTTTTTTATATATATATTTACTTATTAGTTTATAGTAATTAAATGTAAAGGGAGGTTTAGTTTAGGGTGCGGCTATAGGCCTAAAAGTATAAGTAAGGAAGCGGGGCTCTTAAAGGACTTAGGGGTTTAGAGGTTATATATATAAGCGGTTTGCTTCGGATATTCTATTTTAAATAGAATATCGACTTTCATTCTTTTTTTCGTATTTTATACCTTACACGCGTATAAGTAATTCTGGCCCTCTAATTAGGCTAATCCGGTGCTTATTATGTGGCTTGCGAGCCTATAGTATTTTTTCTTTGTCCTACGTAAAGTGCGGCCTGTGAGCGAGTTACTATTACGTAAGTGTATTTATTCTGAGACCTATTAAGGGTATATTTATAGTGTTGTGGTTGTTTTATATGTTTTCTCACTATTTCACTACAAGCCACTAAGTTACAGAAAGAGGAATTCGAAGTGGTAGATGACGATACTATAGATACTACTACTCTAGTAAATTATTTCATTAACTAGGCTACTACGGCTATTACCTACAGCACTACTTTTATCGGCACAGAGCTTAAGAATTTTAAATAGGCCTTAAAGCACCCACTAAAGGACTAGTGGCTACAGGCCTCCTTCAGTAAGCTACAGCAGCTACTTAATTCCAAAACCTTGTACTTTATTAACCGCTTACAGGCTCCAAAAAGGCCTATTACTAGCCGATGGGTCTATAAGGCCAAAAAGGACTCACAGGACCAAATTATTAAATTTAAAGCCCGGCTAGTAATTAGAGGCTTCTAATAGGTACCCGGAACCGATTTTACGGAGACCTTTACAGCCACTACGGCACTACTTACCTAGCGGGTTTTACTAGCTATTGCAGCCGAAGAAGACTTAGAAATTAAGCAAATCGATTTCGTTAGGGCCTTTCTTAACGCTGGTGTGGACTCCGATATATATATGGAAGTCCCTGAAGGCCTATACGAATATAGCCTTAGTAGCTAAACCGCTATAGACCTTTTAAAATAATATTACTGGGACCCTTCGAAGGACCAAGTTATAATACTAAAAAGGTCCCTATACGGCCTAAAACAGGCCCCCCACCTATAGCAACAAAAGGTTATAGCACTAGCCAAAACCCTAGACTATAGTCCACTAGTCTCAGACTCGGCTACCTACTATAACCCTCATAAAGGCATCTTTATAGTGAGCCACGTCGACGACTGCCTACTAATTGGACCCTCTATTATAGATATTCAGGCCCTGAAGCTACAGTTAGCTCAGGCCTACGATATAAAGGACTTAGGCCGTGCTAAATTCTTTCTCGGGGTCCAAATTAAAAGAAATAGGCGTAAAAGGCTACTTTAGCTCTACCAAAAGGCCTATATCCAAGAGGCTGTCAAGCACTTCGAAGTTAGCACTTACGAACCCGCCTTACCGCTCTCTCCAGGCCTTACAGGCCCCGAAACTCCCTCTAATCCACTAAACAAGGCCGACACTAAGCTATACCAGAGCTTACTAGGCACCACTACCTACCCGATAACCCAAACCCGGGCCGATATTACCCACTCCGTTCAGTAGCTTTCACGGCACCTACAAGCACCTAAGGCAGCCCACTTAAAAGCAGCTAAAAAGCTGCTAAGCTACCTATATAGTACGATAGACCTAGCTATACAGTTAGGAGGTACGGGTAGTATTGAGCCTATAGGCTATACCGATAGCGATTTCGCTGGCTGTAAAACCACTGCTCAGTCTACTTACGGCTACTTATTTTTAGTGGGAGGTGGCCCTGTAAGCTGGAAATCTAAACGAGCGCCTACGGTTGCTTACAGTACCCTCGAAGCCGAATATACGGCCTTAATCGAAGGTAACCGGGAAGCCCTGTGGCTTAGAGGGCTATACAGTGAAATTCAGCGCTCTCTACAGAGCCCTACCCCCCTAAGGTGCGATAACCAAGGCGCTATAGAGACAGCCCACAACCCGAAGCACCATAACCGTACCAAGCACACGCTCCTTAAATTCCAGGGCGTTAGGGAGAGCGTTATAGAAGGAAATATCACTATATCCTTTGTACCTACAGAGGATATAGCAGCCGACGGCCTAACAAAGGCCCTACTAGCACCTAAGTTCCAGCGCTTTTTAGAGCTAATGAACTACCGGAAGCCCAGTACTTATAAGGGCCCTACGGCCTAGTAAGTGGGCACCTAGCACTCCCACAGAAGGGGTGTTAATGTGTAGGTACTACTAAGTGCCCTATTTACTGCCCTACAGATTAATATTACAGTGGGCAGTACTGCTATAAGCAGTAATAGAACTTCCCGGCTTTGATCCCTTTAGAATATTCTTTACAAGGGACCCTTAAAGGCTTACAGAGCTACTATAGCCTAAGGCTTAGTCAATAGATACTAAAACCTTCTAAAGTAGCTACAGGCTTACGTAGTAAGTTGCCACAATAGTGTGATTTACAGGGCACCTCTGCTGCCGAAGGTTCTATGGATTTCCGTAAGTCTACACTAGACCCACCTAAGCCCACTAAATACCCCAAAGTGGTATAGGGGCTTTCAGGGCCTACAGGACCCACAGTAGGCCTACGAAGGCCCTATATATAAACCTCTCCTCTCTCCTATAGAATAGTTCTCTTTCTTTCCTTAAGGGCAAAAGCTTAAGGCTAAGGCCAAAGGCCAAGGCCAAGGGTAATAAAGGCAATTCTTATTCCTTATACCTCACTTGTCACAGTTAACCCAACGGCAGGTCGCGCCACATGTGGGGCGCAGGTCGCCCCTAGCTAATCATTCAGGAAGTTAGGGAACAAGCCGATCAGGGCTAGGCAAAAGTGCTATGGCGCCAAGGCTCACGAGCAGTCTGCAGGATGCAAGATGCTAGGGATGATCAGAAGCATAGCACGACGAGCACAATGCAGATGCAATGTGCTAGGAGTGATCAGAGGTATAGCACGACGAGCACAATGCAGGATGCAATGTGCTAGGAGTGATCGGGGCCATAGCAGGGCGAGCACCTCACGGCCCCAAGGTCTATATATACGGAGGAACTGGCTGGTGTAGATAGACAGTTCCGCAGTATGCAATTCAAGCTTGTATTCACGGTAGCTAATGTTTACATTGAGACATCTTGTTGTGCACTGTTTAGCTGCACCGAACCAATTGTCAGAAGTTACCTTCAACCCGTATCCCTTTCAGAGGTTCTGTACAGGGGTTCGTCACATCACTGTATTACAGTGCTTTACCTTCCTTCGGCACTGCCGTCGTATCCTCCCGCTTCCGCTTGCGCACTGCTGTATTTTACAGCAACCCTGTATAGGTTCTATATTATAGGCCTATCAGGGCTTACCAGCTAACAGTTTTGAACGGGGTTGAGGCAGGCGACCTGGAAGCACGTGCCACGCTTGCGGCTGGACGCCTGGTCGAGTTGCCCGGACCAATCAATCGTTTTGACCTGGAGTCTCTATGTACCTTTCATGTTAAATTTCCCTAAGCTGAGCCATCGAGGTGAGGTGGAAAAGGAAGGCTGGAAATGTACCAAAAAATGTTTGATCAAATTGATCGTTCACCCGTCTTCCCAGTCATTCCTTCAACGTCTTAGCAACCAGAATTTGGATATCAGGTAAAGTGTCGTATTTCTTGCCTGTTGACTAACCAATGATCAAGGCCCTCGGGTACTTTGGAGGAACTCGATTCGCTGTTTGCTAAAAAGATGAAGCGTGCCGCATATGCAGCTATCCACGAGTCAGAAGGAGCATGACGGGCCTCAGTGCTGCTACCTAAAGGGTATGCTTTATACACGACATACCCCGCACTCTCTTCATTCTTTTCCCTGCCAGTGCTAACCCGTGAGCCCATCTCCGTTGCCCAAGAGTCTCGAGATATCCTTGAGTGTGAACATGCCTCGACAAACAACCCAGCTCCCCTTGCGCCCAGCTGGCCCGCAGGCAGCGAAGAAGCCCTGTGTATTCTTTACCCAAGGACGCTGTCGGAATGGGAGCACCTGCTCATTTTTCCATGATCCAGTGCTTGCCAAGCTAGCTTGGGCCGGATCAACTTCCACTGCCGACCGAGATGACAAAGCTCCAACATCCAAGATCACTTGCCACTTCTACCTGAAAGGAGCCTGTTTGAAGGGAGACACTTGCTCCTTTGCTCACCCTGAATCTCACAGACCACCACCTGTGGTGGATACCAAAGAGTCTTTAACTGATGACACAGTTGGTCCAGAGAAGGTAACAATGATGTACTTTATATGCCGGGAAAATCAGCTAATAATCGGAAGGATGAACCTGAAGACAGACCCGATGACTGGATGCGCCAGCTTGGTGGAGCTGTCATACAGTTCGGACACGGCGCCGCCGTCTTGAAGGCATCTCTCCAGTCAGACTTCTCCGCGGTCCGCATCAGTCAGCTGCCGGAAACGAGTACCCTGGGTCAAATCTTCCAAGCTCTCCGCCAGCTCGGATTCGCCGTCTCCCCTGATGAAATACGCTTCGTACCGAGCCCTGATCCAACCCATCGTATCGCTGATGTCCGCGTGGAGGATCCCGCCTTTGCGAGACGGCTCATGAGCGCTGTAGAAGACTGCAGAAGATCCCTTGGAAACGACATCAAAGTGATCCAAATCAACGCGCCTATGCCGGGGGGATCTGGGATGCACAGAGTCGAGTGTAAAAAGGTGCTCTGCTCCTGGTACCGCCCCTTCAAGACGGTCTGGCTGAATTTCACATCGCACGGTTTGGCCGAGACAATCTGCCAAAAGTACACGAGTGGGAGGTACAAGGTTCTCAACATGACTGTAACGAGCCACGCACCCAAGAAAAGCAAAGCATGGACGACAGTTATGCTCACCGAAGTCCCTGCTGAAGCCACCGAAGACGATGTTACGAAGTCCATCCCGGCAAACATGTCGCCTAGAAACGTGGAGACTGGAACCCCGAGCTTTAGATACAATGCTGATGTGGCGAATGCTTTTGTCAAGTCGAAGTTGATCGAGGTTGGACCACTTGAATGGTGGGAGGACGCCGTGTTTGGTGGAAAGCGTGCGAAGGTGAAGGCTCGCTTCCAGGACGACGGCGATGCTGCCAAAGCGGCCTCGATGCTGAACGGATGGGAGCTTCCATTCCAAAAGAAGGGCAAGCTCACCGTCCAGGCTATCTATTCAGCACGATTCAAGGTCCAAGAACGCATATATCAAGCCATCAAACCCATCATCAAGGAGCAGAGCCCCATGTGGCAAGCAAAAAAGGTGTATCTGGCTGCCTATGAGCCTGCCAAGTTCTCTTCTTCACGCGCCTTGAAGTTTGAAGGTGAAGATAACAAGGCAGTTGCGGAAGCAAAGCGTACCTTGGAGCAGATATTGGAAGGACGTCTTGCCACCGACAAAGGCAAACCGATCTGGTCCCCTGCTTTCACCGTCAACGGCGAGGTCTTTCAGAAAATAAAGGAGCTTGAGCAGCTTCTCGGCATCGTAGTCATTCGCAACAAGAAACTATCGCGGGTGTATCTCTTCGGGTCGGAAGACAAATGCAAAGAAGCCGAACCAGAACTTGCAGAAATCGCCCAGCAGGACTCGTCAACCGCCAACATTATCAAGCTGGACGCAAGCCAGTTTGCCTGGGCCTTACGAGGTGGCTTCAAGTCCATCGCCGAGATTCTCGGCCGCAAGGCCACCTTGAATGTTGTCTCAGAGCCCAAGCAGATCGTAGTGACGGGATCAGCAGAAGACATCATGCTCGCCATGGACATGGTCAAAGCCCAGGATGAATTCACCGAGAGTAGCACCGCCAAACCCTCCATGACTGAAGACTGCTCGATCTGCTGGATGGAACCCGAAAATCCGCTCACCACCCCCTGCAACCACACCTACTGCACCGACTGCTTCGAATCCCTCTGCACCTCTGCAACCTCTTGCAACAAAACCAACTTCATCCTTCAATGCGAAGGAAGCTCTTCCAAATGCCAGCAACCCCTTTCCCTCAACTTTCTCCAAGACCATCTATCATCCCAGCTATTCGAAGACATGCTCCAAGCGTCCTTCAAGTCTTACGTCTCGCACCGGCCCGACGCCCTCCGCCACTGCCCAACCCCAGACTGCGGACAAATCTACCGCGCCGGCACTGGCACCTTTACCTGTCCCAACTGCCTCACCCCAGTATGTACCACCTGTTTTGTGTCACACCAGGGCATGACTTGTGCCGATCACAAGTTTGTTTCGTCTGGCGGGGACATAGCCCTGAAGGAAGCCAAGCAGCGCTTGGGGATCAAGGATTGTCCCAAGTGCAAGACTGCCATGGAAAAGACGGACGGGTGCGACCACATGACTTGTGGCGGCTGCGGTACTCATATTTGCTGGAACTGTTTGAAGACGTTTGGGACGGGGGCTGACTGCTACGCGCATATGAATCGGGCGCATGGTGGCATCGGGATTGATGTCAGGTTTTGAGTTGTATCCACGTTCAAGATACGACATATGGATGCTGGCCGTATCAACATGCTTCTCATTATTACCAGCCATTCTCCTTTGTATCAGTCGACCTCTTAATTGCCACTGGTTGTTGTTGCTTTGAGGCATCGGTCTTGAATTAACCCCAATAGGGAGTACAAAGCTCGATCATTTGATAGTTAATATATTCAGAAGGTACAGAACGCCAAACTCTCTATGGTCCCAAAAGAATATCCGGTTTGTAGACTGTCGCAAGAGCTCTTAACGCTTTTTCCTCACCGCCCTCTTATCCCTCGGCAGCAATTTGGGCTCATATTCCCTCAAGAGTTCAAGGCGAGCCATCGCTGCGGCACTCCTCTTTCTCAGGTTCTCGTATAGGATGCCTTCAACAGATGGCTGCAGCACTCTGAAATCACTCAGAGACTGCACCCGGCCGTGTCTTGTCTCAAAGTTGGCTAGGAACGGATTCCGCAGTGGGGCCATATCTTGATACCTCCTGCACTTTTCTCTCAGACTTTCGAGCTTGACATTTGTCTCCAGCTTCTTTCTCCACACGACAGTTTTGGTGTGGGCAACATCTCCCTCGTCGGGGCAGTACCGTCCGAGTACCTCCAACAGCATGAGACCAAAGGCGTAGACGTCAGTGGCCCTTGTCATGATGCCATCCCGTGTTGCCTCGGGCCCGAGGCAAACGAGGGTGCCTCCGACATCTCTGATGTTCGTCACAGATGTAGCAAGACCAAAGTCGGAGATGACAAAGGTAGGCGGAGATCCAATTGCCGTAGATTTCTTGTAGAGAATGTTGTCTGGCTTGAGGTCGCGGTGCATGATTCCCTTGTCGTGCACGAAAGCCAAACCAAACAGAACTTGATCGATGAAGCGCCCCAGCCATGAGGGTTGCTGGGACGGAACTTGCCTCCACACTGGTGTGTTGGAAGAAGCTTCGTCAAGGTGCCATCATAAAGGGGGAGAAAGATCCGGACTGCCATGCCCTCGATCCATCCCTGGTGATGCTCTAATTGGACATTGTTGGGCTGCAGACACTCCATATTAGCGTACCTGGTGGGTTGCATTGCCGAGAGGAGTCACAAGCGTGCAAGCCTACGTGGCGGAGTCTGGCAAGCTGTTCAACTTCCACTTGAAGTTCTTCTTCTTCGTAGTCTTCTTGCATTCCTTCACAGCATACAGGATGCCCGAAGCAAGATCCACGGCCATGGAGACTTTACCAAAACCATCCTCGCCAAGAACCTTGTACGTGTGAATCTGGCGCAGTGGCTTCTTGTCCAGGTCGACGGGGACAACCGGCGCATTGGGGCTCGATCTTGATCATCGTAGGATTTAGAGTTCGCTGGGTCTCGAAATGGGTCCCTCCGCCCTTCCTATGTGCCTCTGAAACCGTAGCAAGGGACCTTCTGGCTGCATCAATGTTCTTCAGGACATTGTCACCCCATACAAACTTGAAGGATATCAGCGATGTAAGCCATATGATGATCGGTAGGCTCCCGCCCATTGGTATAACATTCGACGACGAGGATCGCCTTGTAAACGGTATTTGTCGATTGTGTTTCCGCGTGAATCCGTACACCTGATGCTGGTGTGACAACCTGTAGTTGCATCTTGTAGCATCAGCTCTCCCGATGGGTAAAGCTGAAAAGAGCATTGCTGGTCGGGCAGCTCATGAAGGTAGAGCACAATGTCACTCAGCTGCTTTAGTCTGCCGATGGACAAGATACGTCCAGCAAAGTTGGACTTGTTTCCAGCCTTGACCTGCAGGCTGACGATGCCCTTGTATTGACCTTGGTAGGATGGGTTTTCTTCGACAATCTTTCGGGACTCGGCGTCTTGTGGTACGAGATAGAACAGGGCCTCGTTGGCATGTCTAACCGAGGTTTGGCCTTGTCGTGAAGCTAAAGTTTGCATGGGAGGCCCCAAGGGTAGAGATGGTATGAAGTAGTGTAGTGATTGTTTTGATATGAGTGGAATCGACCTGCGGTTCCTAGCGATCTGTCGGGGAGAATTGTATCATGACCTGCTCACTGTCGCGGATCACCGGCCTTTCATCGATGCAGATACACAGGTAGGTAGCTTGCCGACAGCTATCAGCTCTGATATGCTTTCGAATCCACATCTGGCCAACATGTGGCAAGCCGGTGAATACAGTGCCTCAGAAGAAATGGCGTGTAGCCTTGTCCGAGATGAGTAGCCTTGTCCGAGATGAGTAGCCCGGGCTCCAGGTAGTTCATCAAGCCAATCAAACTTCATATTTCTCGATATGAGTTCATGAAATTTGGTACCAGATCGTCACGTTCAAGGTCTGCGGTGTGAACAATCCTGGCCAAGCCATCATAGCAACCTGCAGCTGCTGGTCGGAGTGTTTCCAGAGCCAACTTCATATGTTCCAAGTCCTATTTTGCATTCAAGGATGGTCGGCCAAATTGTGAGGGTTGGACCACATGTGGGCGCGTAATTGCATTGCGCACAGTGTACACTCTTCTTCCTACACCATCTCCATGCATGTTGACAGCCTAGCGGGGTTTGCAGCATCAACCCAACAAGTTCTTTTCCTTTCATTCTACTTTGAATAACTCTTTGAATTGACTCTTGACCTCATTCACTGACGCTACCCGTAATGGATCTTGCCAAACCTTTAACTATGCCTCTCAACACGGCACCAGTCATCCGGCTGACTGAAGAGGTGCTGCGACAGCACATGATTGAGGAGATGCGGCGAAACGGTATTCCGTCCGAAGATTTTTCTGAAAGACCATGCTCAATCAGAGATTCAGTTTTTGCCAGGGAAGAGGCTAGACGTAGGCCAATGGCGAGGTGATTGCATCATGGCCTGGGACAACCTCGTCTCGAAGAAGGGCTCGTGAGATACCTGACAGCGAGTCTGTATTGAAGCGACAAGAAGAACGACAGAAGAGGTTCAACGAAATTTTCCAAGAACTACCAGATGTTCTTGACAAGGCGCCAACACTAGCAACGACAGTGTACACCGGTAACTGGAAACGTGAACGGGAATACGAAGATCTGCAGCAGGAACTTAAAGAGGTCACGAAACGGAATCTCGACATTCACCCCTACAAGAACAAGCCACTTTCAAATTCACAGGACTTCCTCAGCGAGGCTGGCACTGCCCTATCGCAGCTGGCATGGGACGACACCGAGCACCCATCCAAGTCCGAGCCCAATCACGCTGAATTCCTGTCTCATCTACCCCCTCACACAGCAGTCAACGGCTTCGGGGAGCTCGGGGTATACATGTCCCAGGCAAAGTATGTCATATCACTCGGTGGCTCCCCTCTGCCAGATCTGAAATATGGCATCATTATCGTGCCGGCCGGTGATGAATCGCTCCTGTTCACGGGCTATGGAGGCCACGCAGATATGCCCTCCGAATTCAGGGCGGAAATACACGCCAAAAGCAAAGTGGTGCGGAAGCAGGTGTTTGACGAAAAAATGAAGATGTGCGGGAGCTATGTCCCTCGTGTGGGCCGGGGCATTGGGGATTTTAGGCTGCCCCCTATGGATGAGCCGGAGAAGTTGTTTTACGCCGAAAGAGTTCGACAAAGGAGGGCTAGACATCGAGAACTTCATGGCACGAGACGCTCAACTGACATTGGATCGCAGCCATCGGGTGACGCTTGTGCTGAGCACTTTCTGGATGAGTATTCTGCGCCATCACCTCGCTCCTATAGATCACGCATGTACACTCATGCGGACAAAACCCCATCACCTCCGAGCGCAGAAATTGCTGATGGCTTGCGACGGTTGTTTACGCTGCAACTACAACAAGAGGAATCAGGAGATACACAGGGGCAGGAGCTGTACCATCCCGATAAGCTGTCAGAACTTGCGCAGTTTCTTTGGCAACTGGCCGACGGCAACGTACGGGAAAATCCTGGACTAGACGACGAAATATGGACCAAGTTGAGGGAACTGCTGCCCTCCAATTCTTCGGAAGCAGAGGAGGACATGCCTGCAGATGACGAAAAAATCAAGTCATTTGATGGCCACAGACTTGACAGCTGATTGCCTAAGCACAGATATCATATAATTTCCCTGATCATCATCATCATCATCACCTATGTCGTGCAATGTCCTACTGTTGGTAACCTCCTTGGCAGAGTGGGTACGATTGACCTCACGAAATCAGGGGGCAGATAGTCTTTCTAGGCGATGATCATTTTCAAAAAGAAGCATGAAATTGGTAGGTTAAACATCAGACACTATCCAAGTGATAAAACAACAACGAATAAAAGCAAGCGCCAAAAGCTTAAGGTACAAGGAAGCATTCACAACGAAGCCCAACACCTTTACCCACAAGCACCTCTCACGCATCACTCAACACCACCTCCCCCTTCTCCCCAACCCCCCAACTAGTCTCATACATGCACCTCCCCGCCTCGCAATCCGCATGAAACACCATCCCCCCCTCACCCCCCAGAACCGCACTCGCCCCCCCCGGAGCCACAAACCCATAATCCTGCGTCGCCCGCCCAATCAACTCCCCCATCCTCACCCACGGCCCCTTGATATTCTCCGCCACCGCATACCTAACATCATAATCCACCGTATTGTAACAATGCGAGCTATAAAACAAAACGTACCTCCCCCGCTTCGTCTTGACCAAATTCGGCGCCTCGATCAACGGCCCATCAATCTCGGGTATCCTATCCAACACCGTCGTCGCCGGACCAACAGGCGTGAACCCATCGCTAATGTCCACCTCTTGGAGTACAAACGGCGTGGGAAACCCAGGCTTGTCCCCGTTGCCGCACGGCCCCCCCTTTCCTTTGGCGCTGCCGTCGACCTTGTAGATTACATACCGCCTGTTGGTTTCGGCGTCGAAAAACCCAGACGAGTCAATCGCTCCGCCGTCGTGGTCCGGGCAGGCAAAGGGGTGAGGGTGGGGGGTGTAAGGACCCAAGATGGAGGTTTTGGAGACCGCCACGCCGATGCAGTGGTATGGCGAGCCCGAGAGGCGGCCCGAGTAGTACATCACGTAGGTTTTGGTTTGGGGGATGAAGTGGACGTCCGGTGCCCAGATTAGCGGGAGCGTGTCGTTCACCCAGTGGCCCGGGGTGGGCAAGAGGTCAATCTTGTTGAGGAGTGTCCATCTGGCGTCGGCGGAGGTGAAGGACGGAAAGGAAGGGGACCAGGCCACTTGGACATTGTTCGTGTTCCCGGAGGTGGCAAAGGCGTACCACTTGGAGGTTGCTGGGTCAAACGTGACGGAAGGGTCAGGGAAGTCGAGATTCCCCAATGTAGTGCGGGGTGAGGAGAGCACCCCCAAAGGCAAGAATGCTAGAAATAGTAGCGAATACATCGTGTTGACTGCAGTGTAAAGTCTTGTGGTGGTGGGCTAATGAATGCATGGTTCTTTGGGGCAAGACAGCCACGCCCAAGTTATATATTAATGACGACTTGACGATGTCATGAGAATGTCGGGTCGACGGCCGAAACAGGACAATGATGACCATGGCGTATTACCACCCCTACTATCTTGCACTACCCGCCAGGCCAAACTCATTACAACTCACACAGGACAAGTGATCAGCAGGATTGTGTCTGGGGCAAAACTCACTCGTGCTGAATCAGGGTCTAGCGGTAATGTCCCACCGAACCCGACCAGTCGGTAACGCGGGGAAGTCTTGTGATCTGAGGTTGTGTTGCCGGAGGTAGTAGTAGCATCGACAACGAGGAGGCGGTTTGTGGTGGGTGATAGTTCTTGGGCGCGCGAGGCTGTGGTCATAGGTAGTCCGTTATGGAACACCAAGACAGGGCTTCGAAAGTCGTACGGATTGTCTTGGTCCACAAGCTTCGAGAATGATACCGCACCATGATATTGATTCAGTCATAAATTGCTGTGAACCTATATCCGATCACATCCCAGATGTTGCGTAAATGCCTCACCACCACCACCATCAGAATCCCCGATTCACCCCTTCCCAGTCTGGGTTATCCCTCTTCGCCCTCACCAGATCACCCGGCCAGCTTCCTCCCGGAGCCTTCTGAGGATTCTGGATGCCCTGTTCACAGACTGCATCTCCCAGTTCCTTCTCAATTTCGAGCCTTGGTAACTGCCAGCGTATCACATCAGCCCAGGTGTCGATTAATTCCGGCGGCGGTGGCGGGTAGCTTCCAAAATCTGCCCTGACGCCCAATCGAAGGGCTCGGACCGTCCCTCCCAGCCGCTCTGCGATCCCGGGAGAGGTATGCAACGACATGGCGAGCCACGCGTCTCGGACCTCCTTCTCGGGGATGCCGTGTGCTCGGAGTAGGTTTTCAGCAACATCGGCCGAGACAATCTCGAATCTCTCCGGCACGTCGTTGTAGGTCGAGGCAGTGCCAATGTCGTGGAGGATACAGGCTACAAACAAGACATGGGGTGCTGCTCGCGGTGTGCAACAAGGTGTGGGATTGTCATATTCGCTGGCCATGGTCGATCGGATCGAAGGGGCATAATGTGCGTCTGGTGGAAGGAGATCCTCAAAAAGACGCATAAAGGCCGTAGCGTAGAAATACACTCTGAGACTGTGATACAGGATGGAAGCTGGCAGGATGGATTTGGCGACCGCGAGAGCTTCGGTGCAGACTGGATGTGCAGGAATGAGGGCTCGAACAGCCGCTGTGATGGTGCCGGTCCCAACTTCTGGTCCTATCCCTGGAGAGCTGGATGTGGAAGCGGTTGATTGATGTCTTGGAGGGTTGCACATGCTGTTTGATCTTGGGTCAGTGTCTTGGATTGATGTCGGTACCGAAAGTGTCTCGGTGGTTGAAGATGGGAGGAACGTTGATAGTCAAAATGTGACAGTAAGGGGATGCTAGCTCCTGCTGTTTGTTTAGAATCGTTTCCTGGGAGAAGGCGCTATCGCTGGAATGGACAGGCCATTGTCAGTGGTGAAACTTTGTTGGTCCTTTTTCCATGATCAAAGCACTGGAATTGGCAGCTTTGACTCATCGAGATCTGGGTAGACCCTAACCCTCGCAAGCTCGAGTTCTCTAAACAAAAGCAGCTATTCTATGCGCCAACTATTTTCCACAGATTCCCATTACCTTTCTCTGGCGCCGAAATCTCTCTAGATCAGCTTGATCTCCTTCAAAGACAACTTCTCAAACATGCTCTGCAGCTCGCTGTCCACCACGCCATCAAGAGCATACAGCCTTTCCGTTGTATCAATTGAACCAAGATCAATCTGAGCTCTATCCTCGTCACTTTCCCCAACTTTCAAACTTTCGAGCTTCTCGGTAAGGACTCGTTCCTCAGAATCTTCCTTTTCCGCAGATGATTCGCATTCTGAAGAGTCCTCTTCTTTATCGTCCTTCAGCTTCTCGGAGCTTTCGTGGGTTGCCCGAAGGCACTTCAACAGGTGATCCCATTTCTGCTCGGCTTCGTCTTTGTCGCTGTGCGTCGCCATGTATTTGACCCTCTGGCAGTGAGACCCATACACGGTCAAGAGACCGATACGCTTGTATGTAGCCTTCGGTCCGTCACCGACAGGCTCAACCAGGAGGCCACGAATGCACAGCGATTCGTACTCGGTAGGTTTCCTCATAATCAATGGCACAAAATACCCCGCCACTACATCCGGTCCATTCTCCATGTCCTGGTCCCACTCGATGTCGAACGAAAAGTCAAAGGCGTCGGAATGGAAATTGCTGACACAAAAGGCTTCCGTGCCATCCTCCTCCTTGATTGACAGCTTATGGGTTTTTCCACCTCCCATAGCAAGCATGTACCAGGGTTTCTTCTCGTAATCCGGGCGAACCTCGACAGGACGCATGAAGCAGCGCATTGTGATGGAGGCATCCTTGAGAGAGGCGGTGGGCTTTGCCGGAAAGACCGGTGTGGTTGTCGCGTCCACAATGTCGACTAGGGAGTATGTGCCTCCGCTATAATCGAGAGCGGACGGAGAGACGGGCCCAGAGATTGATAGCCAGGACCAAGTCGGCGCGAGGTAGCTTCCCGTCGACCCCACAGGACTTGAATCCCCAGAGGACTGCCACAGTAGTGACTGCGGAAGTGTGGAGCGCCATATCCCAGCCAGGTACGTGTCATCTGGCAGAGCGACTTCAAATTCCTGCGCAAGGCCCGACAAGGCCACGAGTCTGTCCTGGACGTGACTGAAGATCTTGCCAGAATATTCCTTGTATATCGTGTTCCAGGCTTTATGCAACTCGGGTGAGGTGTCTGGCGCCACGTTCAGCTTGGTCCTGGTCTGGAACTTGGGGTTCCCGTTAAACACCGACTTGAACGGTGTTCCTCCTGGGAAAGTTTCGCTCGCGAAATAGGGGGCTTCCGCGCAACACTCCCACATGAGCTCGTGAGAGGTGAAGTGTAACACTCTGCGAGACAGCTGGCGCTCCTGAAAGACCCACCCTCTTTTCGCCAGGGAGGACTTGGTAATACTGTCAAAAACAGCATGTGTGTCCGGAGTCAACCAGCATTTCCAGCTTTCTTGCCCATTGAAGGAAATGTTCATGGGCAAAACAGCCAGTGGATCTCTGTTCCTAAAGCAGCCAAAACGACCGTCAGGGGAATCGTCTGCCGAGATGTTGAGCAGTGCATTCTTGTAGACGTCGTACATCATGATGGACTCTCGTTGCCAGTCTTCTTTGCTGTCCTGGAGAATGCACAGCGAATCGATCCAGAGCCATCGGACTTTTCAGAAGCAAAGTGTTAGCATACATTCCATTCTTTGTTCCGCAGGTCTGCCTCACCTTTGAACCAGCTTGCCGCCTTGATAGCATCTGCAAATGTCTTGGGCAGTAGCGATATCGAAACACCTTCCCGAAGTCTCTCTGCAATATTTCCTGTTGTCAAGACAGGTAACTGACTGGCCCCCCATTTCCCCCAGCAATGACTGAGTGTGATGTACTCTCGTTCTTGCTCGAAATCTCGTGGGGTGTCCAAAGGCGTCACCAACTTCACCATTGACGTCTCAATTGCTGACTTCACATCCAGAAGTCTGGTTGGCAACCAATCTCTAGAAGCCGTGTTGTTGCATTGGTTGTGCTTGCCATCTTCGTTTGTCTGGCATCGTTTCAGCCACTCTAGCGCATTATCACGGGTTTGCTCCGATTCCGTAGTCGGGTGTCGTTCCATGCCCTTCCCCTCGGTCATGCCAAACAGTGCCTTGTCGAACTCGGAGAAAGGCCAGATTTGAAGCTTCAAGATGTTCCAGTAGTTTTTTGCAGCTCTTGGGTGTCCCCGGTGGGTCAGTGCAAAGTGCAGTCGTTTAGGGGCTGGGCCAGACTGCCAACACATCTCGATATTGGATTCGTCAATCGACTCCATCGCCAGCCGTTTGACCCGCAGGTTAGCCATGAGGAAGACGCAGAGATGGCAGCGGCCATCTTCCCCGTCTTGAAGGGTCTTTGCGCCATTGTGCAGCAAACATGCCGCGGGAAGGCCCTCCATCGCTTCTTCGCCTTTGGTTTTATGAAGATCCGCGTGATAGCCAAAATAGTTCAGGGCGTTGTAGCAGGTGTCACAGAGTTGGGTCATGCTGCGGATGGTTGCGCTCGGTTTAGATCCAGAGTTTGCATCTTGAGATGTTTCTGCTGGTTCCTCCAGGGAGGATGCTTTGGTCTCATTGTAGCGTGTGAATGGGGGTGGGCCGGGTGATTTGACTACAAAGATGTCGACATCGTCGTCGTCGACCCGATCCGGGTTGACAAGCACAAACGATGTAATCTTATCGTTGCCCTTCAGAATCTCGTCCGATTCAAGGAGATTCATTGTGTAGGGATTGTTGATGAGATATTGTTGAAAGAGAAAACATGAACTCAGAGATTGCTGCCTGAGATGGACCCTGAAGCCCCACCTGGGATTGTCAGCATTTAGCTTGAGGGAACCTGGTCTTGGCGTTCGGACTCATACCCATGTTTATTGTAAAAATGCGAATCTGCCGGGAAACCATCCAGTCAAATGAGTTTGAGTATGAGACACCTATTCCCGCCTGTGTCCCCTCTACGCCATCCACCTCCTGAACCACCCCACGGCCTGGTCTTCGCTCCCCTGCCCCCTCTCCTTCTGCTTCGGATCCCCAATATCACCCCTGACGGCAAATCCGTGCTTGGCACCTTCATACTGTGGTGCAGGGGTAAGTTTTGCCTTCTTGTCAAGTACTCGCGCTAGTCAAGGTCCACCCTGACGATTGTATTCTACAAAATAATCACCATATCTATAGCTAGTATTTTGTATGCATACCATTCGCTGCAATTACTGCCTCACACCGACTGGGCATCGAATCCAACAGCGTTTGAAGGTAAGATTCCGGAAGCTCTTGCCAGGCCTCCTCCACGTACCTCTTCAACTTCGCGTACGACGGCTTCTCCTCAAGGCCGTATTTATCCTCAATATAATCCTTCATCCAATTCCAATAGGATTCAATAGGGTTTAAATCTGGGGAAAAAGGAGGCCAATCAACTACTCTAATCTTCCTATTCTCAAGATCCTTCTTCGTACCGGCCGCTCGATGGCCAGGTGCGCCGTCCTGCATAAAAGAAAGCTGTAAATGGTGTTGCTCGAAGGTATCGTTAATAAATTCGTGGACGTTAGGAAGGATATTCTTTCGGTAAGAATACTCATTGATCGATCCCCATTCCTTTTCCCAGAAGATACTAGGGCCTTTAGTTGAGCCGTAAAAGCAGCCCCAGAACATCCACCCTCCTTTTCTCTGGTGCTTTTCAACGATACAAGTAGGGTCCCATTCCTCGTCGATTCGGCGTGTAACATACTGCTTACGGTGAGGACCACTAACTACCCAGGTTTCGTTACTCTAAAGGATTGTACGCCATTGTTCGAGAGTCCAGTCTTTATGTTCTATAGCCCAGGCCAGTCGCTTTTGCTGGTTGGCTTCTGAAATAGGAGGCTTCTTCCGAGCAACTCGACGGCGAAATCCGTGGCGGTAAAGGGCGTTGCGAATCGTAATCCAGTTAAGAAGGGAGTTGAAAAGGGTAATAGAAAGCTCCAGGAAGCTCATCCGACGGTGTGCCTTTGATTCACACACATACCGAATAAGCTCGAGCTCTTGATCGGCCGTAATAACGCGTGGTCGGCCAGATCGTGGGGCGACCTCGGCCGCCGGGGCTCGTATCGCATGGCGGATTTGGTATTTCGTATAACCAGTGGTTTCTTGAATTCGGGGTTGGCTAAGGTGGCCGTCGAAATAAAGGGTACGAATTCGTTGACGCTCTTCAGTAGTAAGGTGGCGATTGGGAGCCATTGTGGTGCTGGCTGGCTGGCTAAGTGGTGTTGAAAGGTGGAAAATACTGGTCTGGAGGAAATTGCGGTAGAATTTTGGCCGAAGTTGGCCTAGCCAAAAAAACAAGGCCCTGGGCGGTACTTGACAAGGGGGCAAAACTTTTGTACGTAACCACAGTACACCACCACCTCGTGTCTTTCTCTATCCCGCAACATTTTCACCACCGTCTCCATCTTAGCATGCCTTAGGTACTGGTCGTCATCTCCGTTTGCGATGCTGAGCGGTGTGTCATCCTTTACCTTGTCAATATCAGCCGGAACGGAGATCAGGGACGGGTGGGCAGTGAATGCGCAGTTGACCAGAGGTGGGGACATGTGGGTAAGGCGGATTGTGTACAGCCCTCCCCAGCAGAAGCCAGCCACGCCAATTTTGCCTGACGGGCCAAGCTCTTGTCGAAGGTAATGGAAAAAGGTATTGACTCGGGGAGCAGCGACGGCGTATCGGTTATAGAGGAGGAACCTGACGAGCTCCGGGACAACACGGACGTAGGTCCAGATTTTGGTGAAGATGTTGGCTGTGGGGAGGGCGTCTGCCAGGATGAGGAACTTCTCGGTGAGTGAGGTTCCTTTGTGAAAGTCGGGAACAACGACTGTGCAAGGCACATGCCGTGCGTATGCATCGGCAAGAACGCGGGTGTTTCGCAGCTTCCAGCCGAAGGCGTCGGTGATTATTACGACTGTGCCGAGGGAACGGGCACCTTCAGGTGGAAGAGAGACATAGGAAGGCACGTTGTGGACAGTCTGCTCCGTGCCGACCGGAGTGATGTCTCCACGGAGAGTGCCGGTAAAGCAGTCTCTACAGAATGGGGCTTGCATCTCGTCATATGATAATTTGGATGAGACACGGTGGAAATAAAAGATTTGGCATGATTGAGGTGGTCGAGGTCATAGATATGTCGAGGTCAAAGGCGGGGTAGCTAGACATGACCCACCTGATTGCGACTCAGCTCTCACTCATGCTGCCGCTCTTGGTTGAATGCTCGCCGTGTTCACCGAAAACCAACAAAGGCTATCGCGGAGATGACCATGTTCAAAGGCGGTCCGGGGGCATGGGACCCGGTGCATCCGGGTATCTCCAAGATTTACCAGTACCGCCCGTTAACACCGAAATGTCAAGAACACGATTACACCATCAGGCTCCTTCATCTCCTTCCGGCCCGAGACAGCGATGCTTCTCTCCGTTGCTGGCTGATTGAAAAGGGCTACAGGGACTACTGGGGGATACCCGTCTACCACGACTATCATGCCGTGTCGTACACCTGGGGCGACCCTGTTTTTCCAAAGGCTCTCGAGGTCCTTCCTAACAGCTTCTCATCTCCCACCGAGTCACTTGGTGTCATCCGCATTACGCAAAATCTTCACTCGGCCTTGAAGCACCTAAGACGGCGCGATGTTCCCGTGGTTCTCTGGGTGGATGCTGTATGCATCAACCAGAGCGATGTCACGGAGCGCAACAGCCAAGTGTCCAACATGCCCAACATATACAAGAAGGCTTCGTCGACAATAGTTTGGCTCGGGGACGAATCCGCTGTTGATGATGCTCGGTTATGCATGAGCTTTTTCGAGAACCTGGGGAGACTTTCGTCAACTTCTCAAGACCAGCAGCATTCTACCTCCTGGCGAAAACGATTCGAGATCAACCAGCTCGTGGGAGACTTCCTGGATGAAAACAAGGCTGAAATTGCATTTTTCCTCGAGAGGCCTTGGTTTCGCCGTCGTTGGATTGTACAAGAAGTCGTTCTGGCCAAAAGTGTGGCCATACACTGCGGACGGTGGAAGATCGACTGGGACACCTTTCACCTCGCCATGTTTGAGCTCTTTGGGAGCGACCAAGGGATATTCACACAAGATCATCGCACAACCATGCGGACAATGACAGGCGTCCGCAATGGCGGCCGTACCATAACAGCAGTGCGCAACATTGGCGTGGCAGCAAAGAAACAGCTGCCGCTGGACACTCTTGTCGAGTTTGCATCGTTTCTCTGTGCCGACCCTCGGGACAGACTTTACGCCCTATATGGTGTCATCAAGCGTTGGTCCCCACGCCAGGTCACGATGCAATTGAGTCAAATCAGCAACATTGATTATTCCTTGCCGACCGAGACCGTCTTCACGAACTTCGCAGCTGAATTAATGCAGATAAATACGCATGATCTTCAACTTGTGGCGTCCAGATACTGGATTGTCACCCATGTTTTGCAGCTTGCGACAGCGTTCGGTCAACGGGATATGCCAGGTGATCATTTCGGTATCAAGATCCCGTCATGGGTGGTGGACTGGACGGGCGATCTGTGTTTTGAGCCACTGCAACACTCACGAACAAACGGCGTTGCATTTGAAGCGCTCAGGGGCAATGATGTGGTTCAGTTCCTCCCGAACAAAGAACATCCATCTCACCTTGTGATGGTCGGCATACCGTTTGACATGGTCACAGCAACCATATCATTTGATATCGCCCCAATGTTACTGACCAATTCGGTCCACAAAGCCAGAGTATCTTTGAATAAGTTCCTCTCCGAAGTGGCTCGTCACGTCCATGACGATTCTTACAAGCCGACTTCGGAACATCTTGTTACGGCCTTGGCAATTTCACTCGTTGCAAATTGGGACCATACTCCCAGCAACTCGTACTTTGCACAAGACCCATGCTTCATCCAAGACTTTCTGGCACAACTACGGAATCAACAGTATCATTTGCCTGAAATGTTACATAAATGGCCAGCGTACGTCGAGCTGATGGCTATTACAATGCGAGGACGGTCTCTTTTTCTGACTGCCAAAGGATACATGGGCGTTGCAGCAACAGCAGTCAAGACCAGCGACGTGGTCTCTTTACTGGACGGCCAAAGTGTGCCCTTCATTATAAGACCGGAGCGAGCCGCAAAATACTCGGTTTACCATGGCGAACGGGGCGCCGTGGAAGCGCCGGATTGTTTCGACTATCAGGCCATGAGGTATAGCTATGACATGGCGATGCTCGCGAGCGACCCAGGCGCATACAACAGCTTTTCTTTAATCAGTGATGCTTACGTGCATGGCCTAATGAAAGGGGAAAGTAATGAGATAATGAAGAAAGATGGCGATGATCTTGCGCTGAAAATAATATCAATTTCTTGATAGAGACCATATTGCATCATCATCTATCAGTAACCTCACGACAACCACCCCTCCTGTCGAGAATCTAGAATTTGTCAGTCAGGTCTCTAGTTCCAAGTCATCTGGGCCCACAGTGAACCAACCTTCTTTTGATTTTCCCAATCGACATCTTGCTTTATCATATCCGGTAGATAAACCATTCCTCTTGGTGGCCCCGCGAAGCCATATTTCTCCTTTAACTTGTGCAGCGTGATTGGCGTTTCCAGTTCATACACCGTCAAAATTCCATATGCGTATTGCCCCCATTTCCATGCTGGGATATCCAGAACCAGTCTTTTATTCTCTGATTTGTCCTCTCTCACAGTCACGCTGTCACCTGTGGCTCGCAAAAGTTGGTCCTGAGCATGGTCACCATCCTCCACTTTCCTCCTTTTTCGGTGGTCCTCCTCCTGTCGAATTTGCTCGTCCACCTCCGCCTGCTCCTCGACATGAGTTACCTCTGGTGTTTCGTCTCCATTTTCCAGGTTTTCCCTCTCCAGCAGCTCTCTCCTTGTCACTGGTGGAGCGATCTCCCCGACGTGAGTAATTGCTGAAATTGGAGTAACTCGATAGAACCAAGCCCTCTTGACAGTGTCCGCCATTCTGTATTTGCGAAACTCGTAGCGTTTTGTTTCTTCCAAGATCTGGGTCATGTAGGGCTCGCGCATGGGGAGGATGACGTCTTGCTTGGGTGCTTCTGTTGTTGCATTTTGCTTTGAGGGTCTTTTTCGCTTTAGTGGCATGTTGGTGTTTGTTTTACCTTCTGGAAGTTGCCGTTGACCATGAAAGAAAACTCAACAAGAATATCAAATCTATCTTTCCATGAGTCGTGCTGAAACAAAACAGCTGGAACTTTCTTTGAGATAGTGGTTTAAGTTTATGGGGTCGGGTTAGGGTTGGGTGTTACTGGAGCAACAAGGGGCCTCAGGGGTAATCATTTGGTTATAGGGACTGCAACATGCCAACATTTCATCAAATCTGAAGAAAACCCGACATTGGCGTGCCTGCGAAAAGGGAACTGGTTGTGACAATGGCCTCTTCAGAATCGAAATGGTAATGTAGTGTGCCGACTCAGCTGCCTACTCCCTGCTCAGTTGACTGCTGTGGGCCTTGGGCCTTGTCAGGCAGGAATGATTGGGCCTTCTTGCGCAGGCAGTCACGGCAGTCACATCCATTGAGCCTCCCGAAATTCCATTGAGCCTCCCCCGCGTCGGTTGTCGGATGTGTCCGTGTCACTCACCTGGCAAAAATACCAAATGGCAGACCCTTTATCCATTGGGGCGAGTGTTTTGGCTTTCATTGGCCTGGCAGATCGCATCATCCGCCTCAGCAAGTTTTGCATCGACGGGCTCAAAGATGCGCCCAGCGACATTCGCATGATCCATGGCGAGGTATCATCCCTCAGGGCAATCATCGACGTTCTGGCCGAATCAAAAGCTCCATCATTTTTGGAAAACAACGCCGCTCTCCTCAGCTGCCATCGTTGTCTCTCCGACCTGGAAACTCTGCTTCCCACCGATGCGGGTGTTGGCCTTCCCCGCCGCCGCCTTACCATTGCAGAGCTCGCTTGGCCCTTGAAGCAATCAAAGGCTAGGAAGACTCTGGTTGAGCTCTCGCAGCACAAGGCTACCCTCCTCCTGATTATATCAGGTGATGTGCTGTAAGTTAGGTCAGCTTACCCCCCAAACATCCAGTTTCTGATGCGCAAACGCCATCTTCCAGGCATGAGTTGCGCGCCATCAAGACAACGCTGCACGAGATTCAAAATAATGTCACTGGTTGGTCCTCCTCGTTATTCCAGACTTCCTCGGGTCCCTTCTGATCAGTCCCTTCTCCAGAATCCGAGCGTCGTAGCATTCAGACTTGGCTGGAGCAGACGAATCCGTCACGGCTTCACAATGCTGCCATCAGTAAACACGAACCAGAGACATGCGCATGGTTGACACGCTCTGATGGATGGAAATTGTGGACGTCCTCGACATCTCGCTATCGAATGCTCTGGATTTACGGAATACCTGGTGCTGGCAAGACGGTATTGGCCTCCTTTGCCATCGAAAAGATCAGGCTGCTTTGCGAAGGCGCCACCAACTACGTTTACGCTTATTACTATTGTCATTACTCCAACGCCCAAGACGAGGCTATACCACTGCTGAGATGGGTAGTCGCCCAGGTTTCTCGACAACTCGGCTGGGCTCCTGTCGAGCTCAAACGCCTCCATGACAGAGGTTGTGAGCCAACCGTCCCAGAGCTACAACACATTCTTGAACTTGCCCTGGCACGACTGGAACGGTTATTCATTATTGTCGATGCACTTGATGAAAGCATGCCGAGGGACGAGATAATACGTCTACTTGCGACAATATCTCTCGACGCCCGATTCTACAAGGTCCGCATCCTTGCAACGAGTCGCCACTACGGTGACATCGAGCGCTTCTTTTCTGCCATATCATCATCCATCTCCATGAAAAACCCGTATGTCGATTCCGATATTCAACGTCACATTCGTGCAAGGTTTCAGTCTAGCATGCGCCTTCGGCGATGGCAGAACTCTTTCCAAGCAATCGAGGAGGCATTGGTGTCGGGAGCAAACGGCATGTATGTTATCTCCCATTGGTCTACTCTGGTTGAGCTTTCTGACTCGCTATTAACAGGTTTCGCTGGGTGGACTGTCAACTGCACAGCATTGAGCGTCTTGGGGACAAGACAAAACTCGCATCCGTCTTGCAAGATCTTCCTCGTGACCTGACCGAGTCGTACATCAGAATATTCGAGGCCATCCCCGAGGTCGACCAGCCGTTTGTAAAACGGATCCTTCTGTGGGTATATGGGGACTCCAGAACACATTGGGATGGTCGAGGTATCAATGGAAAGCTGTTACTAGAGGCAGTTTCCTTCGACCTGTACGGCATCAAGGACAATGCCTTCGATTGGGAATACCTGCAAGATATTTGTGGCTGCCTCATAGCAGTGAGGAACGAACTTTCGAACCCAGGGGTTACTGATGGTGACAGTTTCGATGACGGAGCCAGTTGCTGGGTCACCCTTGCACATTACACTGTCTGGGAGTTCCTCAGTTCCTACCACATCCTGTCGACGCCTGTTTCAGCATTTGCAACATCTACCGAAGTTGCTGAGCGGCAGTATGCGGTCAGCATCCTTCGCAACGCCCTGGCAGCGCGTCCCGAAGACCCAGGAACACATTGGCGGCGCGACCGCGAGGCGTATTGTCTAGTTGTGGGATGCATGTTCTTAGGCTCACCATGGCTCCAAACCTCCGAGGACCTAGACCTGTTCTATCAGTTCATGGACCCTCAGAACCCTCATTACCGCCGATTTGGCCCGATACAGGCACGTGCGCTGCGCGGCGAGGAAGATTTCTCTTCTCACTGCTTTTTTATTCTGGCAATTCCTAGCCAGTTTCGAGTTCCTGAACAAGCCTTCGAAAGGGAGAATAACGCAGAAGTGGTTCTGAATGCCCACCTACTTAAGAATTGGCTTTCTGTGGGCGCTGGGCGCTCCCTAGAGCTGCCAGCTATTGGTCGCTTGTCGCAAGATGAAGTTTGGGAACTAGGAAAACACCAGGTTGCCGGTCACTTCATTAGACTGAATAAGTCAGGAGAGGTACAAGAAATCGGTTTCGATGGGAGGGTCTGGGATATTACGTCTCCGCCAACTCGAAGATTACGTGCCGCGTCGCTCGATCCCAGAGCCGGATCGCCAGCCCTGGTTCCGTCAAATGAGAGCAACAAAAAGAGGAAGCTAGACAGTGGGTCAATGACTCGAGGATAACCACCCATTATCCCAGCTCAAAATCGTCCAACATCCCGCACTTTATGAGTTGTTACACAAACCCCATACAAGTGACAAGAGACCCCGCATGGTGACCATGCGTCTGACACGGCTGATATTTGTATGGCCGAATTGGAGAATTGAGGCGGATCTCATGGCATATCTATGCAAGGGGATGGGACCAACCATTCGAATCACCAAGTTGTCTGACTGACTGAGCCGCCGGTAAATCAGCTTCCCCGCAGCACCCAGGAGTTTTTGATAAAGTCTTACGCTTCACCATCCTGAAAGTCACTGGTTCATTCAAAATCCAGCTTCTTGTCAGTGGAGTATTTGACACTGAAGCAATGTCGATAACACACCCCCAAACCTACCCTCACCCAGACTACGAGGCTGCCCATCAGCAGACCTACGAGCGTGCTCCTCGACACCCGATAACACCCATTCCACTGCCTCCTGGCGTTGGCCAAACCGACTTTGATTCTGCCATTTCCGAGTTCATCTCCATCGCAGGCGAGGAATCGGTTTTTGTCAAGGAAGGACTGTCTGATTACATTGATCCGTATGATGTCCATGAGCATGACCCTTCCCAGCGCAAGCTGCCCAGTGCGGCTGTTTGGTATGTCCTTTTCTACCTCATTTAACGCAGTATCACATTAACCCTTTCACCCTCCTCCGTCTCCATCTCTTCCATCGCTAATCTTGAACCCTAAACCAGCCCCGACTCAACAGACCAACTCTCCTCCGTCCTCCGAGTAGCCAACAAGTACAAGATCCCACTCTGGCACTTCTCCCGCGGCAAGAACCTCGGTTACGGCGGCCCCGCTCCCCGAGTGAACGGTTCGGTGGCTCTTGACCTCCACAAGCTAGACAAGATCATTGAGGTCAACGACGAGTACCACTACGCTGTTGTCGAGCCTGGAGTCACCTTCATCCAGCTGTACGAATACTGCGTCGAGCACAAGAAGAAGGTCTGGCCTAGCACGCCGAGTCTAGGGTGGGGGAGTGTCATCGGGAATGTGAGTCACCTTTCTCCCCTGAGTCCATGTGTGTTGCTGACGCCGGGATAGACGGTAGATAGAGGAATGGGCTTCGGGATGAATTACACTCACCATCAATGCGTAGCTGGGATCGAGGTCATGTTACCGGACGGTGATGTCGTGCGGACGGGACAGTGGGGGATTTCCTCTTCTCCGTCTGCGTTTTTGTCCAAGTTTACGTTTGGTCCTTCGCTGGAGGGGTTGTTTTTCCAGTCAAACTTGGGCGTCGTGACCAAGATGAGTCTGTGGCTCACCCCCCAGCCGCAGGCGTACATGTGCTGCAGTTTTAGCATGCCGCTGTTTACCGACCTGGAGGTGATGGTGGATGTGTTTGGGGAGATGAAGAGGAACGGGACGGTGCAGTCGTGCGTGTGGTTTACCAGTCTTATCGAGACGCTTTGCATCATGGGGCGGAGGGAAGATTACTGGACGGGGGAAGGGCCGGTGCCGGATTGGAGGCTGGAGGAGCTGAGGCAGGAGACGGGGTTTGGGCATTGGTATGCGCGGTGGGGGTTGTACGGGCCGAAGAGGATTGTGGAGGCGCAGTTTGAGGAGATCAAGAGTGTGCTTGCCAGAAGGGCGCCGACGGGGACGATAGCGGGGAATTTGTATGCCCATCCGGAAGAGGACGGGAGGTTGGATGCGACGACGGTGCCGGATCAGGACGGGCAGATGTTTGTGGGGATTCCGAGTCTGTGGAGTTTACCGTTGATCAACTGGCCGATTTCGAAGGGGAAAAAGGATGGCAAGGCGGCGCATGGGGATTATGCACCGGTTATTCCGTCGAATGGGAAGTTGCTGATGGAGTGGATGGAGGTTAGCAAGCCGATTTGTGAGGCGAATGGGGTCGAGCTGATGGCGGATTTCTTTATGCACGAGAGGCATGTTGTGTTGATGAATATGTTTACTTGGGACCAGACAGACAAGACGCAGAAAGAAAAGATGGAGAGGTTGTATTATGGGCTGTATGAAGAGGCAAAAAAGAGAGGGTATGGGATGTACAGGGGGCATGTGAACCACATGGGTGAGTTTGTCTGTCTTTGCTGGGGGGGACAAAGGCGGCTGACAATAACAGATCTCATTGCCAATTTGAACGACTTCAACAATCACGCCTACAACCGCTTTGTGGAGAAGATCAAGGTGAGTCTCTGAGATGGTTCTGAAGCTGTGAATGGATGCCAACATATTACAGGATGCAATCGATCCCAATGGAATTCTGGGGCCTGGGAAGCAGGGTATCTGGCCTAACAGATTCCGCCATCTAAGGGAGACGCAGGAAAAGAGGTTTGACTAAAAAGGCACTGCTGATTTGCGATGAAAAAGAAACGAAAAATCCATGACAGATCTACCTTGCTCAAGCCATCACAATTCTAGTCATGTTAGATGTCCCAGTACTTGTCGTGCAGTCCCGAGTAGAGTGGGTGTTGAATGTAAGACCACCATGGACACTTCCCGGATCCCAATAGACACCAATCCCATGGGCACTATTGTAGATAGTTCCGTTGGTGAAGGTATTCCTAGACCCCACAACTCCCTGCCCCCTGGCGTACTCGGTTGATTGGACGTTCACATGCACACGGTTCCCGCAGCATGTCGTGAGGGCGGATCCGGTCGCGTGTCCGTTTCCTGAAAAGTCCGAGATGGGTATGGTCCTGCTTTTTCCGATGACACAGCAGCCAAGTAGAGTGATTGCTCCGGAGAACACTGCCCCAAACACGGCGCCAGCCACCAATGCTGGACGGGGTGGGCAGATGGGGTGCCCTAGATTCTCGGCCATTCTCACAAAAGTGTAGGCGCCGAGGACGTCGAAAGCGATCGAGGTGAATGTGATTGGTACTCGAAACGCTGAGCAACTTGTTAGTATTGTTCAACCACCTAGCCAACGTGAAGCAACAGGCTGAAGCACCTCCGTAGTAGTAGACGAAACAAAATGACAGAGGTATGGATGCTACAACAGCTGCGATGATGAATTGGTTTGGGGCTTGATCTTGAGCAACAAGTTAGCCTTCCCTCTTGTCTCTGCTGTACGGCGTGGGAAAGGCTCACTAGTCCCAAATATGCGATTGGCTACTGCTACCACTGCGAGAGCGTTGGATCCGATTGAAGTTCCCAACAATGTCATTAGCACAATCAAGGGCGTGTTTTGTGGCACCAGCATAATCAGTCCAGCGACTGCCATAGCGGCCGCTTTGATGGCTCCCCCGATGGCGGCATGTCGAAGCATGTCCGACGTCAATGGGACGCCCATGGCATTTGCGCCCGCCGCAGCCGCAGCAACCGCTGCAGCTGTTGTGAGGCCGACATCAAAGATGCGAGTGGCGACGAAGATGGCCACTTGCTCTTCTAGGCCGCGTGGCTTTTGCTGGCGGAGGGAGTACCGTTGGATCTGGCTGTATACGCACTGGCTAACGGCTTTGTATGGAGTTAGTAGGTAGGAAGCACAAAATAGACTCAGAGAAAATCACATACCCAAGCTCATTTTTGCTGGTCAAGGCAAACGAATCGCGACAGTGTGGTCGCTGAGGGTTTCCTTTCCAACGAAGAGTTGGTTCGGAAAGTTTAATCAACCGCGAACAGGCGCGATGTTCAACCAATATGCCTGAGGCCTCATCCCTACGATATTCAGCCTCATATGGGTTACGAATTCCTCCGTCTTACTCCAAGCACTAATAAAGTAATGGTCAACAGGACCCCTAGCGGTGCACTGCCTCGGTCCCCTGAAATTAACATCCCCCCACCCTCGCCACAAAATAGTTAAGACACTAAAGTAGGTTAAGATGCCTTGAAGGATAGTCGAGAGGCCTTTAAAGATAGTTTATAGGCCTTTAAAAGATAGTTCATAGGCCTTCAAAGATAGTTAACAAGCCTTGAAACATTATTCAAAGGCCTATTTACTTTACTCTTGAGGTTTAGTTCATGGTATGATATGGGTTAGGTAACTTACTTGAGTGTCTCAGTTATTTTGTGGGTAGCGTGCCCCCCCTCCCCTCTCACCGAACCTCGACAGGGGTAGCATCGTTCGGGAACTCCAGCCAAGACTCAGCCACTCTTCTGCCTGCCGTGCGTCCATAGACCTCAGGCTGTGAAAACAGCCAAAACGCCCACTCAACTGCCGTATCTCTGTTATGGCAGTGTGATGTGGCACAATGGAGCAAAGCAATCCCGCAGAAGAGCAATGTCTTATCGACCCAAATCCCGATGTGGTCGGAGTAGGGGTAAGTTCATCTTTCCTTTCCATACTTGCACATTATGTGACTAACCCCCAACAGATCCGCGCGTCGTTATACGTGCTCGCGCTCTCATACCACATCTTCAGCTACGTCTTCAACTCAGCCGAGCTCTCTGGCGCTATTGAATCATCCCTCGGCGTCACCGGCCTTGCCCTTTTCCTGACCGCTGTCATCACGACCGCCACCCAGTCACTCGGGCTCTTCCACGCCCTGTGCGTATTCCACCTGCTTGGCATCGTGGGCCTTTCCGCCCATCCTCGTGGGCGATACCCAGGGGGAGTGGTGCGGAGGGTTGTCTTCATGGCGTTCTACGTGGTGGTCATGACGGGATCCTTGGCATATCTGATCTATGTTTTTGCGACCGCGCCGACATTTGGTGATCAGGCCGAGTGCAACAACACCACGGTGTATGTGCTCTTTGGGGTGAATATCCCCGCAACAAGTCCTGGTCTGCGCTGGACGCTGGTGGCTGCGCTTTCTCTTTTGCTGCTGGGTTTCGGCTGCTGGCTGCTTTTCGTTGGCTGCATAGCTGTTGATGCGATGTTTGGTCGCAAGGTACCCCACGATGTGTTTGGAGCGCAGGATGTGAATCTAGGGAACAACAAGAGCAAACCGCCGCTGTATCAACTTATCAGCTATTTGGCCGGTACCATATACCTGATTGTGATGCTCGAGTTGACTATCCAGCGGAACGCGCTGGCTCCAGGTCTTGAGGAGTGGAGTTTTGGTCAGATTCTCGCCATGACCATGCTGATAGGGCCGCTGATCGAGCTTGCTTCACTTCTGTTGGGGAAGATTGATGGTGTTCATGATCACGACTTGGTTCTGGCGTCTGGAAGGTGAAGAGAGAGCGAACACCTGGAGTGTCAGGGCGAAGGAGGTCTGTTTATTATTTCATAGTGAGCTAAGGCTGTCTTTTACATCCTGTATTCTTTGCTTGGGACAAAGATTTTCATTGTGTAAAATCCCGTTGTTTCACACCAGATGTTACCCAAGTCGTATCCTTCTGGAATCGTGATTTTCTTGGCCACCTTCGCAACAAATGATGGGCCAGAGTATTTATCGTGTCCTTTTACCGGCCCATCAACGCTTTCGAGTTGGGCATATTCTTCGTCGCCAACAAGCCCTTTGATGAAGGCTTCATTGTAGCCTATCTGCTCCATAGCCACAACCCAGAGATTTTCCTTGGTTGATATATTGGCAAGCGAGATGCGTGTGTCCGTCCAGCTATGGTTGGCCCGTTCTTGCTGATTGAGGTAAATGTATTCGCACTGGATGTGGAAGTTTGGATAGGCCTTTTCGAGTTCGCAGGTGATAACATACCGAGTCCCGCGGCAGGTTTTTTCCAGGACAGGCTTGGAAAAGGCCATGTACTGTGGGGGCAAAGCGGTGGCGATAGACGTGGCACCCCTAGCCACCGGGGCAGTCGACGGACCTGCTTGCCCTTGACCGCCCGTAGATGTGTTGCTCCCTTCTTGAATGGATGGTTGACTGGGTTGCCTCTTCCATGTTTCTAGCGCCTTCCTTGCAACAGCTGGCGTTCTCGCCATTTCGTAAAGCACCGGGTAACGTGCTGTCTTGATGGCATAGGCCGTTGCTGTTGCCAAATCACTGCGTCAGCAAGTTGCAAGTCAAGAACAAGGTAAAGTGAGAGCTGCAAGACATACCTCTATCAGAGCTAAATGTTCGTGAGTAACCACCTCTATGTTCCGAACGACTTTGTTTGTTCCGATCTCTGTCTGCACGGTTTTTTGAGTAGTACAGCAATTGCTGTTGGCCATCTCCTAGTAGATTGGCGTCGTTGTACAAGACAATTCCACTTGTATGACTTCCGATCGGAATAACATTGAAGGAAAAATTTCCCTGGATCCCGACCTGTCCTCCCGTTGAGACATGAGCTGGCACAAGAGCCTGTGGTGCTGGGAGTTGTGGAAGCTCAACATCGGAATCATTATTGAAAGAATCGAAACCGAACCCGGGAGAGGCTAGCATATGAGATGGGACGATGCTAGGGGGTGGATCTAAGAAATAAGCCATGGTGATCGAGTTGGGCAGATACTGAGGTCAAGTTGTTGTTGCGGAGTCGAGAAAGTAAAAGCCGGTGTCATTGACGGGGTATGGTAGATGTACTGCCACCCCCCTGTCAATCTGGGGGCGGGGCATCAGCACTGCCACCAAAGGCTGGAGTGACATGTGGCTTCAAGACATTGTGCATAGGTTTATACCATCAACTTTTCATCCAAGTTTTGGTCATATATCAAGTAATGACACATAATCTCCCTTCAAATAGCTTTGTCTTTGGCTCCAGAAGAATACTTCATGCCGTCCTTGACACTTCCAAACAGCATTGCCCACACATCCTGCACCCAGTTTGTTCCAGCTTTCCACGGCCCAATACCAGCAACAAGTGGCATCCTTTTCATCGCAGCCCGTGCATACGTCGAAGTAAGCGTCATCATAGGCCCAGCTGGCATGGAGGCTCTCTTAGACTCGGGGATGTGAGGGGCGGCAGATGAAGCCCCGGTTTTGTCTTGGTGCTTGATAACCTTGATCAGGTTCCTTGTCCGCACGTCCACGCCAGGCGTCCAACTGGCAGCGGTGTACCCAGTCAAAAGCCCAGCATTCGGAACGCCCTCAATCATGCACCCATTCCACACATAGCGCTCCCCCATGGTTTCGTTGACAGGCTTCCCATCCACTGTAACAGCCGTGCTTGACAAAACCTCCATGTGCAATCCGGTAGCAGTCACAATAATATCAGCCTCAATCTTCTCGCCGCCAGTCTTGACGATGATGCCGTCACTAGTAACGGTGTCTATGACATCCGTCACAATGCTGACGCCAGGCTTGTGCAGCGCCTTGAAGAAATCGGCACCCGGACAGAAGCAGAGGCGCTGCTCGAAGGGGTTGTACCGGGGATTGAAGTGCTTCTCGATCGCAAACCCTTTTGGCAGCTGTGACTTCATGGCGTCGATGACGAACCTGCGTCCGGCATTGGGAAAGTTGAGAACAAACTGGACAAAGACCGTCTCGAAGAACATTCTCTGAAACCAGTTGATGGTCACAGCCCAGCTGCGCGGCATCCATTTAGACAAGGTCTTGACCGTCTTGTCTTTTCTCGGAAGGGCGAGCACATAGGATGGGCTGCGTTGTAGCATGGTAACCTGCTTGGCCTTTTCTGCGAGGGAAGGCAGAAGGGTGATGGCTGTGGCGCCGGAGCCGATGACGATGATCTTCTTATCCGCATAGTCGAGGTTCTCGTCCCAGAACTGAGGATGAATCACCTGTCCCTGGAATTTGTCGATCCCGGGGATGGTAGGCGGCAAAACCTTGTCGTAGCTGTAATAGCCACTGCAGGCAAGCAGCCACCACGCCTTGATCTGCTTCTCTTCTGTGACACCATCTTCACATGTGATTTCCAGTTGAAGCGTCCACTTTTGCTCTTCAGAACTCCAGTTTGCAGCCTTTACGCGGTGGTGATACCGAATCTTCTTGTCGATGCCTTCGGAAGCAGCGCACTCGGCAATGTACGACTTGATGGCTTTGGCGCCAGCCATGCTCTCCTCAAAGGGCCACGGTCGCCATGGGAAGCCATATAATGCCATGGTGCTGTCGCTCCGGATGCCTGGATACTTCCAAAAGTCCCACGTTCCACCCAGAGAATCCCTGGCTTCGAGAATCGCATAACTGTGATTGGGCAGCTGGGTTTGGAGGCGATATGCAGCGTTGATGCCCGTGAGCCCAGCACCAACGATGACAATGTCGAGCTCCTCGACGGCGGTGGTGTTGGCCATGGTGTATCTGCTGGTTTTCCGGTGAACCCTTTCGAGGATGTCAGGGAACTTTTTCTCCTCAAGTAAATTGGGAATTTCGGAGCCGTTCCTGGAGTTCGGATTCGGGGAGCTTCCGATCCTTCCAGGTTCCGATCATCCCCAATGGACGGGTTATCGCCGAAGAGGTGGAGCGGTGTGGCACGATCTTAGCCAACCACCGCACTCGCTAAAGCCACGCTAACCAAAACAGGGACCCCCTTGTTCAGCCCTGCTCCCGTCAGGGGGCGAGACATTCTGGTAACGGATATCTCTTGGCGCTATACTACCACCAGAAAATATGGCCTACGAGAGGGAGGTCGACCTCGGGCGACGTCTTGTGTGCGGCTTTATTGCCATAGATTGGCGGGTACTACACAGGACGGTTTAGATGTGGATTGACATTCACATGCTGTCGGCAGCATGCTGCATCAGTTACACACCGCTTTCTCCCAGACCGTCGCAGTGCTCTTGCTTGTCCGGGTCAATATTATTCTGAATCCCAGGGTATCTTAGCTGAGCTGTTTGGACGAAGGAGACACCTGCCCCACCTCGAGGACAAGATGAGCACTACCTGGCAACCGTTTTGTTTTCTCTCCAAGAGCCCACAGCATGATCCAACTCTGTTGATGCACCTCGGCATTCGAGACGTTGTTCCGATCGGCTTGTGATCCATGTTCGACATCGGATCGAGACGGCGCTCTAGACTTGGAAATTTCTGTTGTAGTACATGCGGTATCAGCGGGGACAATTCAGAACAAAGTAACCTGACAGGTTGCACAAAGCGGTGGTGGTGGTGGTGGTGTTGCCAACTCTCTCCTAGATGTACGTACCGTTCCCCGCTTGGAGAGAAACAGATAGACTCGTACTTGTCCACACGTTGGGTACCACATGGCTTCAGTCCATGTGCAACAGTAGTCCAGGGGTAGATAGTCGAGAAGTTGGGTCTTGGTACATTGTCTGATTGTTAGACTGGAGCCGGATGCACTTTCAATTAGGGGCCTGGGTCCAGCACGCCAGACCTATACCGCGTGAATCTGGAGGCCTTTTTCCCTAGGCAAGGAAATTGCAGGGCAAGCACGAATCTGCCCTTCCCACACTGGCAAAAGAATTCTTTTGGGTGCCCACAACATCAACCATTTCCTTCCAGCAGCATCAACAAAAACTCCAACATCCCATCTACATATTTTTCATCTGTTGTCTCAAGTGCGCGCATACATCTGGTCCATTGTCTCTCCTCGTCATGCTCACTGAGCAGCATCACTTGAGAACCTTCCAGGCCACTCTGTAAGTATGTTCAACTCCTGTTTCCTTTCCATCTGGACGTCGCTAACACTACGAAGAATACCACAGCTCCTCTGTATAACGTCCCCAGAGCTCCGCAACCCTTTCTCGACGTATCATCCGAAACACTAGCACGGATCTCTTCGCTCGAGGAACCGCCAACTTCACGCCCGAGGACATCCCTGGCAGACCAAGCCACACATATCACCTGACCCTTTGCCTATCCCGTCATAAGTATCTGACAAAAGCACCAACACTCTCGTTCTACTGGGCTTCGCTCGGATCGTTCAGCTGATACAATAGCAAGTAGCACGCATTCCTCGCACCTAACTTCCTGTGGTGTCGTCTTCCATAAGACGCCATTCCTCGAATCCTTACTCTTGGGGGTCGGTTCACTCTCCCAACAGAAATGGCCTCCAGCAATTCTTTCTCCGCCGCTGCTTTCGCCCCGTCGCGCGATGTGACTCCTTGCCGACCTCTCCCCCTCATTGGGGAAGAGGATATCGAGATGGGTCCGATGGTACGTACAATTTCGGTTTCTTAAGACGCCTTCGCGGGGACAACATAAAGTCTATCTACCCACTACACCCCTTCTTCGGATGGATTACTTCCAGCTAAGGAATAATTTATTCTCCCTCGCTTACAAAAAGCTTCCTTTGCTTTTGTTTATTCCTTTACTCTTTGTTTTCTATACAGTCTTTGCGGCTTCTAGGTGTATTTAATCTTGGTAGATTATCTGAGCTTTCTGCTCCTTCATCAAGTGGAATGAAACCTGCTCTTTGAAAGTTGGGCTTTCTCATCCGAGCTTTGAGGAGAACCAAGCGGTTTCATTGTCAGTTGCCGGCAACCCTTTTGTGCTTCTTTTGGGTTTATCTTGGGCGGGAGCAAAAGATGCCACGTGCAATGGAAACGCGTGCTTGTTTAATGGAGACTTGTACTGACTAGACAAGCAACAGAATCGTCGCCAGCGTCTTCGCGAGCAGGTCACCGCTGGCCTCCGCTCCGTTGCAGAGAAGTGCGGTTTTCGAGAAGCCGTCCCAATTTGGGCAGGAAGTCTGCTTTTACTCTGTCGCTTCCTGCGCCTTGGCTGTTGCGGTGAGCTATGTGGTACGGGCTTTGATTCAGTAAGTGCCGTTTCACGTCCTCCCAGCCAGTTCTCACCCATTACAATCTCGGTTTTCAGTTAAACTTGCTAACTAGCTACGTGGATATTATGATGATTGCAGAGCCTTTAAGCCCGACCCCGGCGATGTTTGAGTGAGTGGTCGGGCCAGGCCAGCGCCCCACGCAACTGGATTGCGTCCCTCCTTTCGGAGGATAAGATGAATTCGGAGAAGCAGGCGTGGAACACCGGTCCCTCGAAGAAGTCCAAGAAGAAGAAGACCGAGGAGGGGGCCAGCGCTCCGAGCAACTGGATTGCCTCACTCCCATCGGAGGAAGAGCGGATGAAGATAAGGAGGCACTACGCCAAACAACTGGAAAGCGTGGCTCTTCTTCGAGGAGGAACAGACGAAGATGATCCACGAGGAGGAGGCATTGCTTGGGCACTCTTTGTGATTATATTTGGTAGAGCAGTCCATCACTGATATTGGTGTCTGCACATTCTAGCAAGCGATCTTTGTCAAAACGTTGTTGGACTTTTGAGGTCCAACTTGCACCCTGACGGATAGCGATCTCCCAGTTTGGGTATTTACCCACACTATTTACCCTTCCTACTTCCTGTCCCGCATGATCCCCTTCCCAGGTTTCAAATTCTCATTACCAAAGTAGAACACCTGAATTGGCACCGTCGTCCCAAACGCCCCGGGGCCACGTACCCGCAAGACCACCTTTCCATCCTCCCCAACCGGCCCTTCCTCACCAAACTTGGTAATCTCGCCATTGAAGTCCAACACAAGCTGCACCCAACCACCCCTGGCCGACTCCTCTGGTCCTCCCTTGACAGTGACCTCGATATCAACGCCCGAACCCTCAAGCCAGTCTGCTGTCACGATTGTCGGGCCCGAAGGCGGTTCCTGGTACCCGTTCGCCGTCAGTGCCCACTCCGGCTTTGCCCCCCGGCAGGGAACACAGCCCGGCGGTCCCCAGTACGAGCTATCCGATGGCATCGCTCCCGTGACGAGGTTGCGGTAGGCCCACCACATCCTTTGAACGCCTGGCCAAGAGACGGTTGGTGGTGGGCCACCGTTGAAGCCAGTTTCTCGCTCCAGCAGTGCGGGGTGTCGCAGGGAGACGTCAGGTAGGAGGTCGTTGGACTGGCGCCTGCTCATCCATCGTCTGGGAGTGGTTGCGTTGGACACATGGGGGACAACGTTGGCCCATCCGGCGGTCCAGTTTCGGCTGGACCAGTAGAACTCATCAATGGTAATGGACCAGAGCTTGCGTTTGCCATTTTCCAAGACGAGTTGGTCGTGGTACATCCCCCCCATCCAGCCGTTGCTCCCTTGTGTTCTGCTTGTTCCTGTCTGCAGGTTGCGGGTTCGGAGGGTGGCAGAGCGGCCATCGCGAGATACGAGAATCACGGGCTGGAGTCGCCAGTGAAAGGGTACAGAGGAGCGGAGGGAGGACATGGAGGGGTTGTAGGTGGTGCTGTTTTGGCGGTAGTAGCGGGATGCACAGGAGAGGGAGATCGCGTCGGGGGTGTAGTACCATCCTATTCCGGGGGATAACTTGTGGCCTCGATCAGAGTGCAACTTGGCAAAGTCTGAGCAGCGAATGTCGTCGATGTAGAAGCCATAGGAGCCGGAGGTGTTTTCGGATTCGTCATAGGCGGAAGAGCGCAAGAGCAGACGGTGGATGTTGGCAAGTCTGTCTCGCGTTTCCTCTTCTGGTTCTTCCCACGCCGGATATCGCTTGTAGAATGGCCGCCATTGTACAGGCCGTCGGTTCTCAGTTGATTGGTAATAGGGGGGTAGGACAGGAGGTGGATCTAACGAAGAAGCTGGCAAGATACCCCCATCTCCCCAGCCGGCGGCATAATCGGCAAAGAGCAGGCGGTGGTATCTCAGGTCTTGGATCTTCCAAGTGCCGGTATCCAGGTCTTTGACGAGGCTATGGTGGAAAACGCAAAACTGCCATTGACCGGTCTGAGCATTATCATCACCAATCAGGCCAATCTCTAGCCCTCGAGCGACGGCAGTCTTGTGATCTGGACTGACGTTGACAACAGTGCCAAAGATTGGGTGTTCGTTGAGAATGCCGTGAGACAGCCCTTCTGGACCCATGCGGTTTAGGACAGACTGGATGCCTGCAGGTCCAGCCGGTGACGTGTTATTTTGGACGGTGATGGTGCCGTTCGAGGTAAAAAGACTGATAACATCCGGCCACATTCGCCTGTCGACATAATACCCCATGCCATGAACAAGATTTCGCACCTCGTCTTCTTCGTTGAGATGGGCAACCCGGTATTCCAGCTCGTCTACGGAAAGGCTAGCGGCGGGTGTTGATCGACGATTCAATGTGCCAGTGCCCTCCTTCGAACGGCTTGCAGTTCTTCCGGCGTGGAGAAGTGTAACGCCAGCCTGGTCGAGGGTGTAGTGGTATGAAATAACAGGGAGCGATCCGTTTAGCCCCAGATTCTTCCAGCCTTTCTCGTAGGTACCTGCGTAGAGAGGGTAGTACCGCAGTAAGGAAATCTTCCATTTGCCCCCGCTGGACACATATTCGTTCTCGAAAATCCCACCCTCGATCCTAGTCGCGCCTTTGCCGTTGCCGAGTTTCCTCAGTGCTGTCCACCGGCCTTTTGCAGTGTTGCCGTCGTCCGCAAGCGTTATGACCGGCATGTCGCTCATGAAAACATGGAGAGACCCTGGATTGATCCCGTCCATATCCCCAGCTTCTTGCTGCAGCCAGTTCTCGATGGCCGGGCGCCCCGTGATAGAACTGGCGTCACTTGTAGAAAGAACGTCTCCAGCCCCTTTGCCCCATCGAAGAATCCCATTCTCTGCAAACAGACTCGCCATTCCTTTCCAGCGGCCATGCTGCGCCAATTGGGCATATGTCCGTTGGATGTTCTTGATCTCGCGCACAGATTCGACTCGCAGAAGATCTTGGGTGAGATTCTCGACACTGAGCACGCCAGGGTCGACAGCTAAAGCGATGCCAGCCCAGAGGACCAACGAAATGACGGCGAACTTCATCTTGTGTAACTCAATCTCGGCGGCGCATGAACAGCTTCTGGTTGGAGAAATGGGGGCGCCATGGGTACGGTATTTGAGTTCTCTGGATCATCTCCAGCCCTGCAGAACATGTTGAAGTGCCGGATGGTTGGATCGGGAATATACGAGTTCGCTGTACCCCGCGACGGTCTGTAATTGGATGCTGCACCTCCCGAGTGTTATGGCTACGGCGAACCTATGAGTTGGGGCTTCATCGAGGCTTTCCGGCTGAAAAGAAGGGCAGGGCGGTAGCCAACCAGCAAAGGAGGCCGGTCCGATCCGCGTTTTGACATGCACGTGTAATAAGTAACATGCATCTATTGGTGCTATAAGATTGGTAACACAGTTGAGGGGATGGTGGTGATGAAATCGAAATATTGAAGAGACCTGATGGCCACTTGAGACTAGTTAATGATGCGAAGAGGAAGGGAAGCCACGACTGGTGGAGGCATTTCAGCATCATTCGTCGGTCTGGACTCTGGAGCAAACACTCCTGCCTGCAGTGCTGCCTCTCAAAACCAGGGAATGTCCCGTTTTCGAGACAGCACTAGGACTAAACGGATCAGGCGGCCCGAAATTAAAAAAGATCCGATAGGGTACCACCCCGGCGACGGCGTTTGGTGATATTATATCCGACCGACTCGTTCTGCTTTAAATTCGACGTCCCTCCCAGATTTTGTTAACCTCCAACATACGCTCGTTTCTAGCTGTTACAAACTCAGTATTACACTCCTTTAGCACCACAGTCACTCTTTATATTTGCTTGACACAATGGTTGTCCCACGCTCCCTCTTCACTCTTCTCGCCAGCGCATCGCTCGCCCTCGCAGGTGTAGCACCGCGTCAGGATGATGCTTCACCCACTTCAACAGACCCCGAATGCGCGATCGAGAAATTTGAGGCCCTTGCTTCGTCCATTGCTCCCGAAATCACGCCCCCCGCCAAACTCGGAGAATATATGGAGACAGCCGCCGAGATTGTCAGCGCAATTCGCACCATCCGCCCCTCCGACCTTGGCTTGGACTCGGATGAAGAAGCAGACATGCTTTGCGGCCTGGAATATGGTCCGTACGCCAGTATCAGGCCCACCGATTCCGCGATGCTGAAGGTCATGACGAGTTGGGAGGCGCAACGCTCGAGCGCGCGCGACAAGTGGTCTAGCACTGTGCACAGTCTTGCGACGCATTGCGGAACCATCAACGGACATGCGGCTGGCTATTTGATGAGCATGGTTGCATCCAACTATGAGGAGTGCAGGACCGCTAGGAGCATTTGGCAGGAGCTGACTACTGTCAATCAGAATGCCGCTGCTGCTACTGGCGCGACCAAGACTCCTGGGAATTCCGGCGGCCAGGACGAGACACCAACACAGACGGGAGATGTTACTGCGAACACATCAACATCTACATCTACTGCTGGGGCTTGGAAGGGAATGGAGACTGCTGGTCCGATGGTGGCCGTTGCCGGTATCATCGCCGCGGTCGTTGGACTCTGAGACCTCGAGCGGTCATCTTTTTGCGACTTGCTACTTTGGTCAACACACGATGATAGTCTGTCTTGCGATCTACGGTATACATAGTATAATACGAAGTCATGTCGCGAATATGTTCTCCGTGATTCGATGAACTGACTCCCGATTTCTCACCAGGCATTCCCTTCTTGCATCTAATCTCGACGACTACCTAGTACAACATCTTCAAGCCATCGGCATCCAGAACTCTGGCTTCATCCAGACCGCCATGTACAACCACCGCCACTGCCGCCCCTGCATCCATCAGCCCTACAGCCAAGCTCGGCAACGGCGGCTACCTGATCTCCGCCATTGATAACTACTCCACCTGCCTCGTCATCTTCATCACCAACAAGGACATTCGCGGCAGGAGCAAGGCCAACAGTGGTGCTTGGGCTGGCATCAACAACCTGCTTTACTGGGTCGATTAGAAGTTCTCGATTCAACTTCACTCTTTGACATCTCTTGTTTACGAGCATGCCAAGATTAAAGTCAAAAGAAGCCTTGTGATCCTAATGATGGCCCCTGATGCATCATGCAAGGTTAGGTTCAGATCTGCGCCAAGCATTACCCCTGAACACACAAGTCCCAACACAAGACCGCAGGGTGTCATTGGTGATCAAAGCAGCCCTCTAGGCATGATTTCACCTCGGAACCCGGCACCGACATTCGGCTTCAAAAGCGCCAACTTTTCCCTCCGAGATTCCAATTCTTTTGGGCCTCCATTTTCATCACCCACAGTCGTTACCATTGCAAAATCCACTCACCCAAGATGATACCCCAAACGATCCTTACCATCGCCGCCCTCGCCGGCACCACCCTCGCCCAAACCGTCACTCCACCTCCCCACCCAACCGCCACCTCTTCCCCGGCCCAAGCCTCCGAAGATTCGCTCTACTCCCTCTGCACCTCCCAACTAAACGCCTACCAGCGCCTGCGCCCTTCGCCCGCCCGGCAGGTAGAAGCCTTCTTCGACAATGCCCCCGAGCTCCAGGATCCTCGAAATAGGTACTGGGATCACGACCGCATCGACTCCCAATGCAAACGCGTCTGGGACGCGCGGAACACCATGGGCGCCACCGCTGCTCCGTCGCTCGCCTCTCAGTTCTCCGCTTTTACCTCGAGCTGGAACAGCTGGGTAGCTAACATCAAGGAGGAAGCGTTGGAGTGGGCAACGAAGTGTAATGAGTTTGGGGACAGTCCTTCAGGGTTTGATGGGGAGCCTAACAAGAGATGGGGCGCGAACTTTTATGCGTTAATTGTTACCGACGAGGCGGGGTGCAAGACGGCGATGAGTGACTGGTTGGGTGTTGCTGCTCGGACAAGGGCGACGGATCCTACGGCGAGTGAGACGAGTTTGGCGACGACAAAGGGTGAAGAGGCGGAGGAGCCGACAACTGCGGGGAATACACCTGCAAGCATCGATCAGGTGAGCACAACGACTTCGTCGGCGGGGGTGGCGCAGATGACGGGTTTGGGAGGGGTTATGATGGGGATTGTTGCTGTTGGTGGAGCGGTTGCGGGAGGGTTGCTCTAAGCTGTGTAGCTCTGGGTATGAGTTCAAAGAACTCTGCATACTATACAAAACGGATAATGTCTAAATATTTGGGTGTGGTGTTGCCAGACGGGAATGCAACGGCCCGCTGGTGCAGCCAACACCACCCTGGTAATCAGGGGTATGGCAGGGAAATTGCGCCATGGAGCCCGTCCTGTTTTGGTGACCCACACAATGGAAGTCGCCCATCGTCGTCACCTTGGTCCTTCCTCTTGATGTGAATGGCTCTTGAGACTGCCTGCGATTGGATCGAGTCAACCTTGCATCCAACAACACACGTACCGCGCGTGTAATTGCTAAACACCTTCAGCGGCAACTTCTTGCAATTCAGACATCCAACCGAGAAAATGGGCCTCTTCACACTCCTCTTCCTCCTGTCCTTTTCTCTCAGCGTGCTTGCCACTCATGATCCGGTGCTCCTCCCACCGCAGCACTTTCTGATCCCAGTGCAGACCTCAGACACGGTAACAATCCCCACCGAAACCAACGTCGAAGCATTAGCGTGCGCCTCGACCTTTTCCTCCCTCTCCGGCAGTTTCCCCACGGAGCCGCCCCGCGTCGAGGCGTTTTACATGTCAGCCCTACTCGACGAAGGATTCCTATCCGTCCACCCACGCATCACCGAGTTGATCTCCTCGGCTGAGATGTACATGCGAGTGATAAGCTCGACAACGATTACGGACCCCAACAAGTTCTCCAAGCCCTGCTCCGTTGTGATGGAACTCCAGACAGTGATCCGCGATGCGGTACCAACGGGTGTCACCAGCGACGAGCTGGTTGCTTATGATAAGGAGTTGACGTCTTGGATTAAGGAACACAACAGCGTGGTCACCGAGTTTGCTGGGCAATGCGGTGGCGTCGATGAAAGTCAAGCAGCACATGCCCTTGCGTTTGCGATTACGGGAATGGAAGAGTGCAAGACTGCCTTTGCGGTGGCGTATGGGGTGATTATTCCGGCTACGATGACGGACTGGACATCCACGGCCGGTGGGGCGAGAGCCTGGGAGACGGGGCTGGTGAAGGAGGTTGCTGCTGTTGTTGGGGGTGTTGCCGTAATGGGATGGTTCATGTGAATGCACAGCGAGGAGATCAACCTTGAGATAAGCAGCTTCGAAGTTAGTGAGGAACATTAATATACCATCATGACCCAGCACGTCGTGGACAAAATAACTGGTACTGCACCTGAAGTCGGTGAAATGTGTAATCATTATCAACCTACGCATCTTTGAAAAAAGGTCGGGCGTATTAACTATCTTTTGAAGCCTACTAATTATATCTTAAGGCCTCCTGACTATCTTTCAAGGCCTCTTAACGATCATTTAAGGCCCGTTAACGATCTTTTAAGCCCTATGCACTATCATTTAAGGCCTCTTGTCTAATTTTTTAAAGGCCTATTACATATCTTTCAAGGCTTATTAGTGATTTTTCGAAGCCTGCTTCAGTGCTTTGCAGTGCCAACTATTTTGTCCACAACGTGCCCAGCCATGTGACAAGGCTCATGAAGCAGTTGAACAGCCCTTTGACATTTGTTCAATGAGCATGCAAGTTTCTGGTCTCAATTGGGCATGCAACTCGGCGGGTCCCAATTTGGCTGCCTATACTTCTCGGAGCCTGCCCAGGTTCGGATCAACCACTGAGCCATCAACTCCTTGTCCGTCAACCAGGCCTTGGGTAACCAGTCGCACCAGGGGCCTCTGTCCGTGAAATCGTTGCTGTTTCGTCGAGGGAACCGCCAGTTCCTCCAGATTGGGGAGCGTGGTTTGCCCGAATCACCGGGTTCATGATGGGGATGGGACACAATGTTGGCAAAGGGGAATAGGGCAACCCGTGTGAAGTCCATGATGGCGATCTTGCCGTCTTTGCGGATGATGATGTGACTTGGGTCGCGGCGTTCGAAGGAAAGCATGCACTGCCACCACAGATAGGTTACCGCATCTTTGACTTGCTGTAGCACGGATGTGCGCACTTCTTCGTCTGGCAGTGTTCCCCGGGTGATCATATCCCGCACCAGTTCCCGTCTACCAACTCCAACAAAATCACACGCACACAGCGTGCGCCATGTGGCGTTTCAAGCGAGAACGTCCAAGATCCATGGTAATCCGGGGCAACACGAGAATATCCCTCCCTCATGCGTGTGCGCCCACGAAAAGGGGCAGGAACGAGCCCCCAGCGCATAGCCCAGACCCGCACGTGGCACGCAGTCCATCTCTACGTTTGTACAGTCGAATGCCTTCAACAAAGGATAGTCGATGTTATCGTAAATTTTGGCCATGAAGCGTTGCGAGGGGTCGTCGTCAAAATAGCATGGCACAACGGTAGGGCCTCCGCCCTCTCTCTGATGGACATCGCTGTCGATAATGATGGTTCATTCTTCTCGATCGCCTTCGGGAATATCCTCCCAAGCCATAATTTCGGCCGGTGGGTTGTTGAGCGCAAATCTGATGTTGTCCCTCTGTGCAAAAAATGGTTCTGGGCGTTGGGAAAAGTAAGAGCGGCCGAATGGTTCTGGAGGATTGTGAATTCGGATGTGAAGTTTGGTGCCTCGCGAGCATCGTTCGCTAGAAGGTTGCGACGACATGTTGATAACGTTTGACGTCAACGACTGTTGTGTGATTGTTTTGGGGAAGAAATTAGAATCAGCAAGATTTTTTAAGGGTGGGTTTGATATTGGTGGCAGGTCTGGAGGTTGCTGAGAAAAAGATTAAATAGGATGGTGGGCAGTGATTTGTCGGGATTGGTAACACTGAGGGCATGGGTTCAGAGGTTGTGAGACGGAAGTCGAGCCAAACCTTGTCAGGTGTTGGGGGCATACTTTGCTCGACGGCGTAAAATCTGGCTCACACTGGTACAATGGACAACTGCTGGTGTGTTACGTAGCAGACCAAACAAATTTCGAACAAAGGCAACGGTACTTGCTGATAGTTAATCTTGTGGATGTACTGGAAATACACTGTGAGTGGCCACCGGTTTGGCATCAACGGACCTTGGCGGAGGCGATGTGAAAGAAAGATATTGACTTGCAACTTGGCGGTCGAACATTGCCCTTTAAATTGTGATTTGAAATCCCTTGAGAATTAAACTTGTGGCCTTCTGTATTGCAGACGGTGAGTGAGACTTCTACCTACATCAGACATCATATGGCCAAGTCTGACATTGCACAAGATATCCAGTACAAAATCAGGCTAGGGTTTGTGACATGACTGCAGTGAAGACTGCCAGCAAGGTCGTGGCAAGGCTACAGTCTTATGTTTCCATCTGTACTTAGGTGCTTATGCTAACCTTCGAATTCCATAGCATCATTCATAACTATACAAAGTTCCACCCACGTATTCATATTTAGAGCAGGAAGGACTTTCACTAAGAACATGAGCCGCTGAAGGACCTTCCACAGCTCCGGTAACCCCCACTCACCGCCGTCCCATCCGGCATCCCCCCCTGAAAAACGCTTGTGTTCCAGCCAAGAACAACCGCCGAAAACACTCCCCAATACCAAGCAAAAGCCAAGCAAATTTATAATGTCCCTTCCCGTGGGTCCCAACCACTTCCAGTCGAGAACGAAGACGTTGTCTGCCGGGTTCCGTTGGAGAGACAACAGGCTTTTGCCACTCCGAAAACATCCACCGATGGCTAGGCAACTGGATCGAGATCCAGGTTCCACTCCCAGAACCCCAACCGACGCAGTGGCGGTGAGACGACAGCATGCATTCCAGCATGCTACGTCGGTCACTCCAGCACTGTTTGCTCAAGCATGTCAAGTAGAAGACATCCGTCGTGACCATGAGCGTCCCAACCGCGTAAACAGAGGCACTTTCGTGGGGCTCGCCTTGGTCATTTTGAGGTCGTCAATACTCGTCAACGAAAAGCTCCGTTTTTTGTCCTTCTCTCCTGCCCGCACCTCTCTCACTGTTGGCGACTGCCGTTTCCCCATGGACGACCACTGCTTGGCGGCTGTTTGAGCTGAGAGCACGGGGAGCTGCCGCGTGTCCGCCTTGCGCTGGGATGAAGTTTGTTCTTCGCTCTGTGTGCTCTCCTTGGTCTGGGCCTTGTCCAAGGAGTACACCTCGCTGAGGGGACGAACCTGGGTGCTATCGGATTCCCGCCGACTGACGGGGCTGGTGGCAGTGGAGTCGTCAACTGGGAGCATAAAGGAGAACGGGAATTCCACCGCGTTTCCGACTGGATAGAGCGGTTAGTTGTGTCAGGAGCGGTGTAGAGTAAATAGGGGTAACATAGGACATACCGTAGGTGGACCAGATGTGGGTGTCAACAGTGTACTTGAAGAATTCACTGCTGACGGGGTTAAGGTTGTTCTGGTGAAGCCATCCAACCACCCATTGCTCCGATAGCTTGACGACATCTGACTTCTTTCCCGGCATCAGCAGCGAAGTGTCTTTACTTGCTGCATAGTTAAGGATGAACTGGCGTCGAGAGTGTTCGGCGGCAGTCAGGGCTTTCATGATGTTGCGTCGCTCCAAGTCCGCTGGGGCCGACTGACGTCTCCGCTCTCTGACAGCAATGTTCGCCGCGTCTGATGTCATGATGTCTGTTACTTGAAGTGTAAATGGCGCCGGATGCTGGGATGAAAGGTAGTGTTATGGAGGTTTTTCGTGGAGGAACTTGGGTTGTCGTGGGTACATTGAGGGTCAGGTCATGTATCTATGGTCTGCCGGTCTGATCCAACGTCTGATGCTTGTCGAGCAGTTCTTATGGCTGTTAGGGGAAGGGGAGATCGGGATGGGATGGTAGAATTTGGATGGTTCGAAGAAACACAAGGTTGACTTTGGTCTGTTATCAGTTTGGCGTGGACCAAGTGGGGGCTGGCTTCTTTAAGTGGTCGTGGATCGGTGCCCTTTTGGTGCCATCGGAGGAACGAAGTTTGGGCTGAGTCTGGACGGGCTGGTATCACCCGTGGCCGGGACGATCCCAGAGGCCCAACCGCACGGTACGGGGTGTAGGGGTGTCCTACAGGTTGTCAGCCCTCCGCAGGCCCCCTTCGCTTTTCCGCTGCAATGTCGTACCGAGTTGTCTTTGGACCAAGAAGTCGGGTTCTGGCTAAGAAAAACCGCCAAGGAACCGCCAAGGGCGTGGTGTTACTTGGCATACGGCAGTCAGAGGGAGCGAGTGATGCCGGGGGTTTGGATGCGAAGATGTTTGCGGGGAAAGAAGCTGGGGAAGCTTCCGTCCATTTTCTGGACTGTGGCAGCCTGCGCTACCAGCCGACGGGGCGCCAGCCAGCCCACGGCGGACTGTTTCTCAACCGACAATCAGTCCGATTGTTCTGTCTGTGTAGTGAAGAGCAATGGTGCCATCAGCATTCTTCTTTTATGCGAAAGGGCATTTACAAAGGTGGTCAGCGAGCAACTCGGACTGGTCAGGTATGGCCCCGACACTTGGGCCCAGCAAACTGCCATGCCATGTTTCGTGTCTCTCCGGCTCGGTGGTTTGCATTCCAACAGCATCTTGGCGTTGTCGATCCTTTTCCTCCTGAAAGGAGAGCTGACTTGTAAGATGGCCATGTGCTAGTTGTTGCCAGGTTTGGTGCCCTTTCAAGGCACGTCACTGCTGTCATTGACACTGTCCGGAAACGGCCGCCTTTCCCAGTCGACATCATCTTCAACCAGTCGGAAGCCAGAATGTGCTTTGCCAAGACATGCCCCTGTCATATGTTCGATGTGGTTTGGAACGACAACTGTTCTAGGCCCAGACCTTATCTTGGATACATCACCCTACATGAGGATGTTGAGCCTCAACGGAATTGAGTGGTTGACATGCCGGTGGTGTAAGTGTTCAGTACAGACAATGGCACTCAACACCCTCAATTTCGGAACGGATACCCAGCCCCCTGATGGCGGCAGCAACATGCAGCCGATCTTTCCCGTCATCGCCAATCATTTGGAAAATGTCGGAATCTCTCGATGTGATGGGTCAAAAATGCCGTGTTCGGAGCACAAGAGATGAGTTTATGCTGATCGTAGGACAACATTTGATGGTCATGACAAGCTCATATAGGCTGGCATTAATTGCTTCAATCAGATAGTCCAGTCAGCAACAATAGTATGGTTTTTTTGGTGATACCTAGTTGGATCTGAGCTCATGAACCCAGTCAAATAGGTACCTAGCACATGACCGATTGAGACACATTCCTTGCATCAGCCGGCAAGCCTTAACCAATTGGTATCCCGGGTGTCAGATTTGTCATTTGGGTAACCTTTGTCATCCCGACAGAGTTAGTTGGATTGTGTATTTGCCGCATGTGAAGTTCCGGTCTCCAGTGATGAGAATGATGTTAGTGTCACAACATAAGGTGAAGCATACAACTCATACACAAATCTTTGTGTGGGCTTGGGTATTGTTTACGCATGATATTTATCTGGTGTGGCACATTGCTTCACACACACATTAAAAGTGGGTAAAAAATATCGATCATGTTTCTCTTGAAAAATCTTACCAAATTAAAATAGTACCTAGGCTAGGTGAGGCAAAGGGCTGGGTGAATGACGTTGACGGCTGTTTATATTTATTGCAGCTGCTATCAAACAGAGTACCATACGTGATTGTGTAGTTCAAGTGTGAGTCCGCTGTCCAGCTCTTCTCACAAGGCTGTGTGAGAGGACTTTGGCCTCTTTCCAGATTAGCACACTCTAGTTGCTCGCTCTTCTTGAAATCTGTATTTTTCATTAATAGTCTCAAATTTCGTCTTGTTTCTCCTTCATATCTGAGATAATCAAGGTACCAAGAGCGGAAAAGACCTGACCAAGCCAAACCATCCACGGGGAGCAACTCAAGGCGTGTGAGTCTGGAGGTGGGTATACTCAGCAAGAATTCTGCCTATTGTAAGGGTTGACTCATGGAGCCACCCAAGTATGTCATCCGAAGTCTGTCATCCCAAGTCAAGCAATCAGCTCCCAGTCAACCAGCGGACTTCTCTGCACAGATATAATTTCCCCATTTCCCGCCACTTCCAGCCTCCAGCAGATATCCTCGTGTATTTATTCTTCGTTCAGAGAATCAGAGGACCTTTTCTTACTCTTTTCGAACCATCTTACTTCTCTCCAATTATATCACTTCTCTCCAACAGCCAACATGGGAATGAAACAACTTTCCGATCGCGAGTCCAGGGCGGCCCCTGCTAGTGTGAAGACCTGGTAGGTAGGCAGAGATGGGAAGCTACCTACCGTAGAGAATGATCATTGATCTAGCCCTTAGAATTGCTCTTTGAATTGTGAACACTGGTGGTACACGAGCGCTCAAAGCTCCCTGTGTTGGAGACCTGTTTGGCGTGGTCATAATGTTCTGACAAAATTACCTTGTGCCTAGTTCTTGAAAGTTGCGTTCCTTTGCTTCCATCCTGTCGTCATGCCAGCTGCTTCCGGACTTCCAGGCATCTTTCCTTTTCAAGTCTACATATTGAGAGTAATGCAGATTACCATTGTTATTTGCCCTGAGTGGTGTGTATAACGGGATATTTGGCTCTAAAGATACCGAATTACCTAGGTAAGATGGTCTCTGTATATGAACAATGTGTTCTAACGGGTCCGCCAGTTGGTGGTATCTTGACATTCATCTTACCTCTGCAGGACCTAAGTTCTGCAAGAAAGAAAGGTCTCCTCTTTTATCCAAGACAACCTGGAAGGCAACAGTCCATTCATGTCTTCCATAAAGAGATTGAAATGGGATACAAATGGAACCTAAGATGACAAATGTATTGTGAGATGTGATGTTTACAGTAGTGAGAATATGTTGGTAACCTGGAAGTGCAGCTGCACTTTATCTTGCTATCTAGAGATGATGCTTTCTTACCTAGGTATACAAAAGTCTTCTTTTACCTGGATTATATTGGAGAATGAAACCCATTGCGAGGAATATTGATAATCGCCGCGAGATGGCAGTTGCTCCATTGCTACCGAGCCATCTGTTCCAAAGTCATAAATTTAGCTTGCGGAGAGTGAAACGTTTTGCCATTTAAATCCCGGCAGAAAAGCATCCTTGGTAGCGCTGCCTACAGCACAATCGACCTACACAACAACTAAAAGGCCGTTTTAGAAATTTGGCAAAAGCTCCAACGACCGAAGCAGGAACCAACCATCAATATGTCTACATCAAAACCTTCGCGAATCTTTTCGCCTTCTGTGTCCTCCTTGGTGTCCTCTTCGTCTGATGATAGGCAGTCATCCGAGGAAAACCTCCTCGCGATCGCACGCCGCAATCTACTCCAGATTCATCCCAATATTAGTTCCATCCGCGTCCCCGGGCCATCGGTAACGCCGGGGCGAACCCAGCCAATCACGCAAACGCCATTGCCTTCTGCGCGCCCTCCACCATCGTTGCGTCCCCAGCCGCCCTCTGCTCGTGCCCCAGCGCGCTCCAAGTCCACCTCTGAGCAAACATCTCTGTCAACTTCGCCAGTCCAGCCGACCCCTGGCAAGCCCCCTGCTCTGCCAAAGTTGGGCTACTTTCGCTCTCCACGCAGCACCCTACCTGCCTCTCAACCAAACACAACCCAGAAGCAACAGCAGCAACAACATCACTCGGCCCCCGAACCCGAGGACCCTCTCATTGCACCCCCATTCCCCTGCCTACCCGGCACCTTGGCCCCACCCTCCGTAATCGCCATCTTCAACAACACCCCCTCCGGACCCTCCCTCACAAACCCCATCTTCCCCATCCCCCCCTCCTCCCTCACACCAGCAGTCTTCACCTCATCCCTCAGCCCCTCCCAAACCCTCCTCTTCACCAACCCCGACGGCCCCCCCGGCTATCCCCGTTTTCTCCCACCAGACAGCGTCACCCCGGAAACCGACCCGAGCACCTTCCGTGCCTGTGACTGCGTCCTCACCCTACTATGGTTATACAGCCCCCAACTAGCACTCGACTTTTTCGGCCCCGACAGCCCCAAACACGACGTCAATTTAGAGGTATTCGACGGCCGGGTGCAAGAGCACTGGGTGAAAAAGGAGACACCGGGAGGGGGGTTGCGCCAGGTGCCGCAGTTTGGTGTTTGCAGGGTTGGTGATGAAGTTACGGTTTGTTTATCCCCCTCCAACCCCCCCCCCCCCCCCAAAAAAAAAAAATTTATACAGTTGTTGACTCTACAGGAAATAGATCGGCTTCCGGACTCAGTCCAGCAAGAGAATGTGTCGCTACAGGGCCAAAATCTCGCGTGATACGGGGTTATGGACTAGCATTGACGCCAAGGACGAGGTTGTTTGTGCTGAGCGGGAGGAGAAGGAAAAAGTAGAAAGATTTGGGGCTATTGTTGGAAGAGAGTTGCTCTTGACTAGGTTTTGGTACCGGCAGCCGTATTATGAGGTTAGGATTGAGGTTGATGGGATGATGATTGCTTATACATGGAGTGCACGCTCAAGCATATCACTTCACGGCGACGAACAAACACGTGGTGAACGAATAAAAATTCGACTTCGAGGTATCATATCATGTACATAAAAATGGCATCGAGCCGGCCTTTTCTCTCCCCCTTTCGGCACCGCCCGGGTGGTGGTTATCTGCTTTCACCCTTCTTACTCCTCCTCCTTCTCCCCATCATTTCGACTTAGAGACGGTAGAATCTCTGCCCGTTTCTCATCGACCTCTTTCCAATGCGGCCTCTGCCATTGTCAGAGTCGCTGTCAGAGTCCTCGCCATCAGTGTCAGAGTCGATGCCGTCAGTGTCGGAGTCGGTGTCGTTTCCATTGTTCTTTCCCTTTCCCTTTCCCTTGCCCTTACCCTTGCCCTCGGGTGCCTGACGCGCAAGAACAACAGCGGCATTACCCTTGCCCTTGCCCTTGCCCTTGCCAACTTGAAGCTGTTGGGCACCGGCACCAACGAGTCTGAGAAGGTCATTGATAGCACCATTAGCATTGCCCTTGCCCTTGCCCTGAGCCTGACCAACAAGTAAGCCCAAAAGCTGGTTGAGCTGGCCTCTGTTGACGTTTTGGCCCTGGCCCTGGAGCTGACCAGTGACAAGCTGGAGGAGCTGGTTGAGCTGAGCGTTACCGTTGCCGTTGCCGTTGCCTCTGAGGACCTGGCCGAGGAGCAGCTCCAGGATGTCATCGACGTCATCGATATCAAGCTCGTCGTCGGAGTCATCGACCCGCACGACACGGTTGACTCTGCCGCCGCCAATCAAGTTGAGAAGTCCGCCAAGGTTCAGGTTGTTGTTGCCGGCGCCGAGGTTGAGGCCATTCCCTCCGATTCCGATGAGCCTCAAGAGATCGTTGATGTTGGCATTGCCTCCTCCAATAAGCTGGAGCAGATCCTGAAGACGGATGTTGCTGTTATTCTTGCCCTTGCCTCTGTTGTTGTTATTGTTGTTGTTCTTCTTTCCCCTCGCAGGCTCGGTGCCGTTGACGATAACAACAGGCGTGGCTGTAGCGGTTGCCTCGGTGATGGTGGAGATGATCTCCTCGATCTCCTCGGTTGCGGTAGGAGTCTCGGTTACTACCACCTCTGTTTCCTCAACAGCTGTGGTCTCGGCGACGGTCTCGGCGGCGGTCGTCTCGGCCACCGCGGTCTCGGTGACCACCACAGCCTCGGATGTGACAGTTACAACAACAGCACCATCCTGAGGAGCAGGGACAGCCTGAACTGCTTGACCGAACAAAAGAGTGGATGCCAGAACGGCGTGTCTCCAGGACAATGTGATGGCCATTTCGTCTGATTTTGTGGCTTTGTCGTTAGGAAACAAAAAAAGGAACGTTGTCGTAAGTAATGATGCAGAATCAAAAGGATTGTCGTTAAAAGAAAGAAAAAAAGGGATCAACCCTGGTGACGTTGAAAGAAAGGAGGGAAAGGGCGAAGAAAGGAAGAAACAGCAAAGTCGAGTATCGAACTGACGACCAAAAGGAGAAAAGGGCTCTGGAAAAAAGGTGGGATGAACCTCCCCTTTTAAAGAGGCACAATTGGGACGAAGCGTCTGTTCTCCTACGAGACACCATCGCGTTGGATTTGACACATCCTGGCTCGATGTTACCTTGCACTTCGAACCTTCATGCTTAGTCCCATCTCCTGTTTGGAAAAATCTCCTAGGCTCGAGCCAGGGTGCCAAAACATCGTCAACAGCGGCAGCTGGCGCGCTTCAACGAACCCGGAAGTTGGTAGGTTCCCAAAAGTGCACTGGCAGTCTGAAACCCCACGTCGATCAGTCGTCTCGAACCCTGGGATGTGCCGTCCTCGCGCTAGCTTCATCAGAAGTGTGGTGCGGCTCTTCAGTCGCTCGAGGTTGCATTGAGCGGCAGCCATTGGGTCTTCGGTTGCCCCTGTGGGGATCGTAGCGTGCCCTTGGGGTTTGGTGCCAAGATCTTGGGAACCTGGAGAAAGTGTTTCAGCTCTCCGTCTCAGACGAAGTAACCTGTCACTGCGATTTGGTGGACAAAAGGAGAAAGTCGCCTACACTACCTCAACGAAGCCATTGCCGATGGTAATACAGCAAGGTTCTTCAAGCAAGAAAAACCAATGTCGAGTTTTGAGTTTGTTGTTTCCTGCTGGCTCCATCCCCTGCGTGTTTGAAGCTTTCTTTAGACCAAGGGCCAGGCGCACCAATCAGAGACGAGGAGTTGACCAGAAATATGTCAACACAACCATTCCATCAACCGTCGTCTGGCCTGACTTCAAGGAGGTGGGAGATAATAATAGAACCTCAGACCAGACGAAATCATGCATAGATGATCTTCTAAGCGGCCGATCAGATGGATAAGCCCTTGGGGTTGTCGGTTACTGTGTCGATGCAGACTGGCCTAACCTTGAAATCAGAGACGGCGTATTGATCTTGATCCTTGATGTTTGTCGACCATCCGCGCTGTTTACCATGGTTGCCGACCCTCCACCTTACTGCAACCCAGCTTCCGTGCCTTGGTCACATTGGCCCGGTCCAAGCAAGTGTACATGGATCTCGCCGAGTTTGTTTTCGGGCTTGGCATGGACGCAATGCATCCTGCGACAAAGAGAGTCCGATGCTCAATCAAGGGAGCGTAAACTTATAAAGTTGCGTGCCCTGCCCTTTCTTCAACCTTCCATCTTGAAAGGCGGGGCAGTGGTCGAAATACTCCCCATGCATTAGACCGTGGACATATGCCTCACCAACCAGCAAATACTCACCACTCCCATCATCTCGTGGACGTACAAGAAATGGCATACCCGCGCCGCTGATAATCACCAGCATATCCCCTGGCATGGTGTGAGCGGGCCCATATCCCATCCATCCTCCCGGCGTGACAAACGCACAGCGTGAGTGAAAAACAATGTGAGATATCTGAGCAGAAAACAGCTACATCCATTACAAAACGACTGAGCTTGTCCACGTCGCCCTCCCAATTTCCAAGAAGCCCATGGGTTTTTATTCTGGTTTTCTTTGCCCTCCAGTAGTGCAGTAATAGCGATGCCTCATCGGGATACAGAGTTTGTAGGTAGTAAACCAGTTCATCTCTCGCAAACTCATGTGCTGGACTAGTGCAGCTTCGGGATTCATGAGGTACAACGTCTCCTATCCTTGTCCTCCAAAGAGCCTCATTGGAAGGGCAAGGTGAATTGATAGTCCCAGGTGCCTGCCAGAAAGCTGATTAGCTCTGTCGTCCCATGCGTTCCTAGAGTGCTGCCATCTCGCGATGAGTAACAAATCCCCATGTCGGCACATGGTAGCCTGAGAAGCGGTTCCCTAGGCATTTTTGGGCTGTAATTGGGGTTTGAACAAGTGGCAATAGTTGAAGACTCCGTTTTGTGTTCGAAATTCGGTTTGATCGTCTGTTTTCCTGTCTTTTTCCTGACTCTCATCAACACGTGTTGTTTGTGGCTGACAGCCAAAGCAGGTCCCACATGATTGAGCAACGCGAGAGAACACATTCGCGAACGCTTCAGAATCGGGTTGTCGGTTTCGGCCTGCTGGCTGTGTGCGGAAAGCATTGTCGGTTAGCTCCACTTCATCTACCGGAAAGGCCCATACACCCAGTCGTTGACCTTGGGCGAGTTGGAATTCATTTGAGAGACATCCAGAGGCACGGTATATTGCTGCCCGTCGGTAGGTTATGCCTACCAGCGGGAGCGGAGCTGATGGAGCACGAACGAGCCGCTGATCCAAACGTGGCAACCAACTTGGCCACGGTTGCTCATCATCCCATTCCCGCAAACCGGCACACCATGACAAAATATTGAGACTGCCGGATTGACCGAATGAATACTGAACAAAGGTGGCGAAGACTGACTGAACATCTGCGCTGTAGTCTACCGGAATATGAAATGTCGCTTCGCGGGGTTCAAGTCCTAGTAAGCCGTAGATCTTGTCTCTTGGATTTGACACGAGCTGTGGATTCGTTATCAGGATAAGTTCTTTCAAATCCAGGTGTCCTTTTGTTGCCTGCACTATATTCCGTAGCTGCAGGGCCGCTCTAGCCAAAAGTTATCCATCGTCGTGTGAAAAAAGTCCAGTTTAAACCGTTGTTGGAACGCTGGATAATCGGTTTCAAAATAGCTAGGCGTAAGGTGAACCCGGAGCTGGTCGAATCCAAGCAGAAGCAGTCCCAACACATGCTCGAGTTGCCTATCATCATCAACGGGGGCTTACTAGGCAGGGTAAACTCCTGAAGGATCCACGTTCTCCGGAACCAGGGGCAAAAAGGATGTTGGATATGCCCATTATTGCATCAAGGATTGAACATGAGGCCAAATGAATCTTATCTGCTGTAATGAATCCGACGTGTCTTTGTAATGTTGGGCAGCCGGGATAGTTGCATCTCGAACGGCCAACTCCTGTCTCAAATCCATGACTTGGTCGGTAGATTGGTTCCCTGTCCCAAGCCAGACTAGGACAGTTGCATGAGAGTAGATTGTGCACATGAGTGGCATCTGTGTATTCTTTTCGGTGATATTCGCCTGGTCGATGCAAATAGCGTCTACCCACAGCATGAGGGGCAATCCATTGCAGAATTTGGGACGAATTATCCGCAGTGCAGCGTGGAGGATTGCTGAGACATTGACAACATGCCTGTTGAGTCTGAGTGACGGTAACCCTCCTCCTGTTTGATCCGTGCTCGAGGTATTCACTTCTTGGTGCCAGGCGTACGACAACGCGCTGAATTCCGGAGGACGGTCGAGACTTTGTGCAAACAACTCTCCCAGATATACGCTCGTCGTCCGCTCCCGGGTGAAGCTTTAGCAATCTGATCTCTCGTGCTTGCGCGTCAAGTGGTACTGAGGAGTATAGTAGAGTGTTCGCAGTCTATCGGGCGGCTTGCTGCTCAGGGGTCGTGGTGCAGGACATCATCAGTAGCGAGGTTTTTTTCAGTGCCGAGGATCTCACTACAAGACTGAAACATACTGCGATACGCCGGTTTAGCTTGTGCGCTTTTGGTGTTATTCTGACAGATTAAGGAAAGGCACAACTACCATGTCAAAAATCTGTATTAAAAGTTTCTACTGTATCCTATCCAATACCAGCTCAGACAGACGCCATCCCATCAACCCCCTACTTGAACTGTAGAGTACCGTTGGCGTTTCCTATCCGCTCATCCAGATTGAGGGAGCTGCTGACCCAGCAGCCATCACCTCTGCGAAGCTCAGCAACCAGTCTCTTGCCGCAGTCCTCAAGGCGCACATTTCTCGCCGAAGAACCAAAGTTGCCGCCAGCCTGGCCGCCCTGGCTACCACCTCCAGGAAGCTTGATCACTTGACCGGGGTGGATCAAATCGGGGTTCTGGAGGCAGTTGATCTTGGCCAGCTCTTGCCAGTTGGTACCGTGACGCTGGGCAATGTCGCGGAGGGTGTCGCCGGGCTGAACAGTCACGCTGCTGGGCTTGTTGCCGCAGCTGTTGATGTTGGCGCCGCCAGAAGTCCAGCGGAAGTTGCCGTTGCTGTTCTCGATGATCTTGTTCAGGCTGATGCTGGTGGGCTGGTAGGAGCCATCAAGACGGCGGCACTCGCAGTGCAGCATGAACTCGCCGTGGGCGTCCAAGCGGATATCCTTGGCGGAACCGCTGAAGTTGCCGCCATGGCTAACACCGTTATCGCGAGGCTGGTTGCTGTGATGGTGTTGCTGCTGTTGCTGTGGCTGAGAAGCGCGTCTCCGGTCCTCCTCCTCTCTTCTGCGTCTGTCCTCCTCGTCCCTGCGCTTGCGGTCCTCGTCATCTCTCCTCCTTCTGTCGTCATCCTCCTTCCGTCTCTTCTCGTCCTCCTCTCTCTTCCTCTTCTCCTCCTCCTCGCGGCGGATCCTGTCCTCTTCCTCCTTCTTCTTCTTCTCCTTCTCTTCGTCCTTCTTGTCCTTCCAGTCCTCAACACCGTCCTGCAGCTTGTGACCGGCAACTGCACCGGCAACAGCGCCGAGGACGGTGCTCAGCTTGCTGTGGCCGGTCTTGCCGCCAATCTTGTTACCACCGAAACCACCGGCTATACCACCACCAACGGCGCCGAGGAAGCCACGCTCCTGTTGATCGCCATGTTGTGGGTTGCTGCCTTGGTAGTGCTGTTGGGTCTGTTGGGCAGCGGCGGCGTAGTAAGAGGCAGCTTCGCCCTGGACATTGCTGCCCTGGTTGTTGTTGTTGTTGTTGTGGTAGCTCATGGTGAAGGTTTCTGGTGAGTCTGATGGGGCGGTCTGTGTGTAGTTGATATCTTCAGAGGGGGAAATAGGGCAAAGGCCGCAAGGTGGTGAGGTTTTGTGTGGATGTTTGTGTGAGGATATCGAGGCAAGGTCGGTCCAAGACTACAGCTTATATAGACCAACAGTTCGCAATGGGGTCATCTTGAGCGGTCGTCGGACTTTGAGGACCCTTGTGGTCCAGACCTCACCGCACCGCCGCAAGCACTGGCCACTTGCCGCCGCTCGAGTCGGACGAAACAGTCGCGGTCCCACTCCGGGGCCCACTTGGGTTCAGCTTCGCCTGGCTTTCGTCGATTCAAGTCGCCAGACCGCCGAGATCGTGGACACGCGCCACGCGTATCAAAGGCTTAGCCAAACCTTGGCTGCCGTGTTAGCCGTTCCGCCCGACGGTTACCTCCGTCCGAGTGGCGATCGGGGCCCAGGATCGTCCCCGGACGATGCGGAGCGGCGGGGTCCAACTGTGGAGTTGGGCTGCCGTCGTACGATCCCTTTCAGCTTGGTGTCTCAACACCAAGCATTTGGGTCCTGCGTGAGCATTGCTGTCGTGTTTCCGTGACAGGCCTTCGGTTTCTCCGAGTGGCTCTGGATGAACCTAAGGCTTAAGTTGTTGACAGATTATAGAACACGTGTAATTTCTTGTCTTGGTGCTTTACTGATAGGAATGAAGATGGGAGAGATCACCTGTAAGGGCGACAACCCTCTCCAGCTACAAGAAATCAGGGGATGGAGATGTTCAAGGTGACCGTTTTCTGTCGAGCAAGGTCACTGTGAGCCCAAATAAGCAGATGAAAAAAAGGCGGTAATAGGTAATCTACAGAAAATAGCAAAATTTATAGAGTACCTATGCGCGAAAGCAGAAACTACCTAAGCAAACCAAGCCCTATGACCAATACATGCTTGGGCTTGGGTTACTAACCTAAGGTGGGCGGCAATTGCTCACCACGTTTTCTCCCACCTTGTTGAAGCGGACCTGATGTTTGCAGTATCCACATGGGAAGCATCTGGTCATACACAGCTGCCTCATTGTCAAGGTCGTCATGAAGAAATTCGCTATATTCCTTCAAAAGCTCACCCTTGACTTTCTTCGCACTGTTCAGCTGCTTTGCTGCATCATCAGGCCGCGACAAAGCAGTCAACACCTTTGAGTACCAATACTGAGCTCGAGCCACACCTTCAGTTGTCCAGTTGCTTCGATAGTGCCTATTGAGACAGCACTCAAACTCTTGCCTGTTCTTGGGGTCAGTATAAGGCAACATACGGTAGACCAAGGCAACCTGAGGTGTGTATCATTCACTTGCTCAACTTCAGCATTGCGACCTTCTAGATGCAGAAGTATTCCCATTGCCTCATGGCTCTTAAGTGTAAATTGGGCATTCTTCCCACACACTTCAATCCTTGCCTCGAGCACCTTTTGATGTTCATCAAGGGCTTCCTGCACCCTCCCAGCATTGAACAACAAACATGCCAGGCCATAACGGGAAATTAAGACTGTTGAGTCTTCCCCGCCAGCTTGGGCCCCTCCAATTCCATTCCCTTGCGAGAAAACGCGATAGCTTAGTCTTGATGGCCTTCTGCCATCAAGACGTGGCCAAGATGGTGGTAGTACTTTGAGTACTCGAAAGGGTATTCGTCTTCGGGGCCCCATTTTTTGTAGTAGATCAATAGCTCCTCCATGATTTCGCGTGTTTCTCAAACTGGCCGCGTTGCAGGTAGGCACAAGCAAGGTCCCCTTTTGGGTTTCCCCACCGGATCTGATCCTCGACTGTTACCTCTTTGGGAGGGATGCTGGCCAGTTTCTTCTTCCCGCAGCGTGAGCAGTACTTGACGATACTCCAAACTTACCCCACATCGACTGACACCGATGCAGTCGGCCAATCTTCCAGTAACAAGATAAATGTCACTAATGAGAGCCTTACACTCTGCACTCTCTCCAACCGAGGTTGGCTGTTTCTTGATAATCTCATCGGCTGTCTTCATAGCCAAGTCACACTCTCTGATCTGCCCCATATGCCAAAGGAAGCATCCAATGTTGGACAGCATTTTGGCAAACTCAATGTCGAAATCCATGGGAGGCTCAGGGCAAAGTGAGTTTCGCCGCAATGCGAGTACCTGGGGTACGTATCGGGTGAACTCGGGCCATATCTTCTTTTCGTTCTGGGCCAGGCGTGATGCTTGTGGCGGTACTGCGTTCAGCATGGCAATGACTTCCATGCATACTGTGGCACGGAGTGAAGCGTCCTCGTTTTTGGCTAGGCCGTCCAGCAAGTTCATCTGCAGAGAACGGTGAATTTCGAGTTGATGCCCACCGTCCCCTTCCTGTCTTTTGACGAGCTGTCGGAGACCTAGGTCTCGTCGTATTGAAAGATACTTCTCCTCGTCATTCATGAACTGAAGAGATGATAAGCCATGTCCTGCCGAGTATCTGAGAAGTGTTTCCGGTATACCATGAGGACTGAGGAATGCCAAGATATGTAGGAAGTGACGAGACTGTTTGCTGATCTTGGACAAGGCAAGGTCGAAGACGATTGACAATGTCCTGTCATAATTGCGTAGAGTTTCTGTGCCAGAGCTTGCCCAAATCTGTCATGTCTTCTGAAGACTTTTGAAAATCTCGACCATCGAGGACGATGAGCACTTCTGGTACCCTGCGACCGTGACAATAGCCAGTGGTAAGCCTCCGACCCAGGTACAAATCTCATGAGCTATACCATCCTCTTCCTCGTCCTTGGCACTGTCCTCCCAGGCCGTGAATTACAATGCATGCAGGATTCTCACTTTGGGACGATCTTCGAGTCATGAAATAATCATGAATCTCTTGCATTGTGTCTTCGCGACCCACAAAAGAAGGATTCGGGGACCAGGTGATGTTGGTCACTAGGGAGGGCACATCATGGCTGCTTGAAGAAGTTGTTGGCCGACCCTCTTGCGCGCCCAGCTGCAGCCAAAGGGTGGGGGCATTTATCCCATCTGCTGAAACTTTGGACAACACATCTCCCTGAGGACGTATCCTACTTGTCTGCCTCCGTAACACCACATGCCACTTGTACCGTTCCAAAGCCCAATTCGCTTACGCGAGCCCAATCTGATGTCGGCCAAATGCCCATTGTCCGATATTTCTATTCCTTTGAGGAGTTGAGTTTCTTTCCATATAATTCTCGTCCTGCGGGATGCCAACTCCACCTTCGTGCTAACGGATTCTTTCGAGATAACAACCTCCTCCACCATTCCTCACACGAACCTAGCGCCGATGGCTCTTTTCTGCCATCTCCCCGACACACTACGTCAATTCCCCCGTCTCTTCCGACGTACCCCGAAGATCCCAGCCGCCCGCAAACATACGATGAAAGCAGTAACCGAGTGCTCCCGTCTGCAAGAGTTGACTCCCTCCATCCTTGTGATCCTACATGTATCCGGTGCTGCTGGAGCTTCCGTTGGCGTTCTCGACGGTCAAACAAACCAACTGCATGTCGCTGGCTACGGGTATCGCGATGTAGAGGAAATGAGCGTACGGTTTATCACCTTGCCTCTCTCTCGAAAAGCTTCACGGCAGCCGCTATTGCTCTGTTAGTAGCCGATGGAAAATTGGCATTCGGAGACCGCATGTGTGATATCCTTCCAGGCTTCCACCATGCAAACGACGCAATCAATTCTCAAAGCACGTTGCTTGATTTCCTCTCCCGTCGAACCGGTCTTGCAAGCAAGAACGCACTGTGGCAGCAAGACGGACCTGAGATTTTACTCGGTGAGAACGACACGCTACCAATGGTCTCCTATATGGAGGCGGCTCAACCATTGGGGGAGCAATGGACTTATAATAACTTCGGCTACGACATTCTAACAAACATCATTGCCTACGCGTCAGGATAGTCCTGGGGCGAGTTCGTTACTTCTCGAATACTTCAAACGTTGAGCTTGCAAGACACAACGACGGCCGCTCACCCCCCAGAGGAAAATTGGGCTCGTGGATACATGCCTGGCCCGGATGGGACGCTCACGGGTGTTGGAAGACCCCAAATTTCTGAAGGGACCGTCCAACAAGCAGCCAATGGGGTGAAGAGTAGTGTCAATGATCTCTTGGTGTATTATAAGGCTGTGTTGGATGCCTGGCGTTTGGAAACAGGCAGTGGAATAAGCCAAGACCAGAACTTGCCACCGCTCAAGAGTGTCAAAGAACTTCTGACATCACATATACCCCTGGATCCCGACGCTGATGGACAATGGTATAGCGCAGGGTGGGCAACGTCGGGGCCGGACGACTGTAGCGAGAAGAACGACTACGTTTCCCTGGCCAAGCAGAGCGCCGCCGCCTATGATGACATGTGGACTCGATGGCCAGACCTTGATGTGCCAACCTATGTCTTTCATTTTGGCACAGATGAGAAGGGTCATATCGAGACTCTCCAGTGGGAGCATGACCCTGATGTGCCGGGCGGTGAAACATTTGTGAAGAAATCCAATGAGACCCTTGATCATAGGGTGCCCACGGAGCTCTCAGGAACGGTGAAGAGGTAATGGTGTAAAACTGGGGTGGGATTGAAAAGAGACATGGTGGATTCAGTATGTATACGTGCCTGTTCCGATGACAGTAACTCTCAAACTGGCTGGAACGGTTTGTAGAAGAAGCAGTTATTATGTGTCCTCGAGGCGTACTAATTTTGTATTCTTCAATGTATTGACCACTTGGCGGCTAAGATGACCTGATCTTCATTTGACCGCACAAACAACATAGGGACCCATAAATGATATAACAATTGAAACATGGTGAGGTAATGCCGAAAGGCTACCAATTCCGCACTTTCGATATGACATCATAGACATCATCCATCTGCTCGAACCACATAAAGCTCACCGCGCAGTAACACGGTATTTGCCTTTTGTGTGACTTCTAAAGACCAACCACAACAACCAAACACTTCTAGATACCATCAAGCTGTTTCCTCTCTCACTTTTTTTCCACGCATAACACCCACGGACAGAAACCTTACCTACCTACACAATGGCTCCCTCTCACAGCGAAGTATCCAACCGTCCCAAGAACGAGAACGACCACCTAGAAACAGGTCAGCAAATTGCCCACGGCTCCGCCGGCGACCAGAATGTTGGTCTTCCTTCCCCGCCTTCTTGATTGTGCCCAAAGAGTAAGCTCGCTGACAAGTCCAAAAAAAAATAGCTCTCCCCGAAGGTCGCCCGTGCAGATAAGCAGGCTCCTGCGCCTGAACACGAGCATGGGGCCGGAATTCCGGGTATGAATGCCAGTGGAGGCTCCAGTCAGGGGTTGTCGACGGGGCCGAATGCTGGTCAAGGGAAGGGACCGCTGAAGCCTTGAAGTGATTGGGCGCGCGGCTTCATTGGTGGTGCTTCTAGGTCGTTAATAAAAGCCTTCATATTGACTTACTGGCTTGATTCATCACATCACTTTAATGTGCAATGCGGCCTGACTGCAAGGGGGTTGTAAGATTGCGCAGTTGAGGGTTAATACAGACTTGGGACTTGGGACTTAGGATTTGGGGAATTTCCAACAAAGAGGTGTAAACTAGCTTAGCTCGCGGCCCGCGAGTAGGTTTTGCAGATAGTTTGAAGCAGTCGGGTTGAGCCAAGTATCGCGGTCTTCCACAGGCATATGTTGGTAGAACGCGGAAGTGGTAATCATGTTGTCTTCTTCGCAACCTTCTAGCAGTAGCTTCCGTCTATCTCAAGGCCAAGAACTCAACAGCTATATTCTAGAGACTCCAGGCGCCTGAAATTACATGATTTACAACTTCCTTTGTCTACCAAAGGTGTTAGGCCCTGGGGGCTTATTGTCCAACACGCCCTCAATCTCCTCCAACACATCAGGCGTCAGCTTCTCCAGCAGCTTCAACGCACCGATGTTGTCCTCCAACTGCTCAATCTTGGTAGCACCCAAGATAACCGTGCTAACATTGGGGTTCGAGGCAGCCCAAGCAAGCGCCAGCTGTGACACACTGCCTCCAAGACGCTCCGCAATCTTGGTCAACTTGCGCACCTTTTCAATCTTGGCCTGCCCAGCCTTGCTCTTGAGCTCCTTGACAGTATTCTCAAAGAAGGCCTTGTTGGTGGCAAAACGCGAGTCCTCGGGGATTCCATCATTGTACTTGCCGGTGAGGATGCCGCTGGCAAGAGGGGACCAGATGGTGGTGCCGTAGCCGTGATGCTTGTACAGATCCGCGTACTCGACCTCGAAGCGCTCGCGGTGGAAGGCGTTGTATTGTGGCTGCTCGACAACGGGGGCGATGAGGTTGTGCTTCTCGGCCAATCTGATGGCATCGGTGATCTGAGCGGCGGACCACTCAGAGGTGCCCCAGTAATAGGCCAAGTTGAGGTTGCGGATCACCTGGGTGAAGGCCTCGACGATCTCGAGCATGGGAACGGTGGGATCGGGGCGGTGGGCAAAGACGACATCGACGTAGGGCTGCTGGAGGCGGGCAAGTGACGACTTGAGACCCTCGACGATGTGCTTGCGGGAGAGACCGCGGGTGTTCGGCTCCTTGCGACCAGTACCGAAGAAGACCTTGGTGGTGAGGACGTACTCATCGCGGGGCCAAGCGAGCTCCTTGAGAGCTTGTCCCATCTCGACTTCAGACTCGCCATTGGCATATGTCTCGGCCGTGTCGAAGGTTTGCTGACAAAATCTGTTAGCCACCCCCTAACTAAACCCGTTTGCGAACTGTGAACTTACAATACCGTGATCCCAAGCAGTCTGGAGAATCTTCTTTACAATCTCTCCCTTCTGGGTGCCGCCGTATGTGAGCCACCCGCCGAGCGAGAAAAGAGAAACCTGCAATCCGGTGTTCCCAAGGTACCGGAACTTCATTTCCTTGGGATCATAGGCGCTTTGTACAACAGGCATGATGGGCAGATGTTTGATCAAGATTGGAGGAATGGTTTGACAATAAACGGGACAGGACTTGGGATGGAATAGGGATCAATTGGAAGCCAGATCAAGGGCCCAGGAAGTATTTATGAACGGGTTAAGACTGAGATGAAGGCGGACTTTGGGGAGTTTATGACGAAAAGCCGCGGGGGTGTTCTCTTCTTTGCTGTTCCCGCTCAAGAGGAGAGCTCTCCCGCCCCAATTGTGGAGAGACCCCCAATGATCGCAACAGCTATTGGCATTGTGACGACATCCATTGTTTTTTATCCGCCATCGGGCTTTCCACTTTGCGCTTGGTCAGCTTGGAGCTAGGCCTAGGCAGTGGGGGTGCTCAACAGCCGCCAAAGTTCCTGAGCGAGGTGGAGGGTGGTGGTGTGTGTCAAGCGCCTACTGCTTGGGCGTCGCGGGAGGGACCATTACCAATGGGAACTTTCTAGTATTTTATTTCTAGCTGCCGAGGCAGGCGGGCTGCTTTCTACCTCTGGTGACCGGCATCCTCGAGGTTGGGAAGAAACATTGTCCCTGAACGACCCCGCGGCAGTGGAGAACCCCGCAGTTTGCCGATGGGGTGCATTCAATCGATGGTGGGGCATCTTAAATCCAGCCATCTTGTCGACATTGGTTGAGAACCCAAGTTGTGTCATGGGCATTATATTGCTTTCACCGGCCCGTGCTGTAACACAGGATAAATATGTAACGCGATCGGGCTGACTATCTCCACATACAAAGGTGAAACGAGTGCGCTGAGCGCCGTCTTGCTGTCAAACGCCTTTCAACGAAAACAGGTGGATGTCATACACCAGTGGCAGTCAACATTGTTTTCAACGGCGATAGGAAGCTGTGGCATCATGAGATCTACGCTCCCCTCATCGTTGCAAGACAGCTGCTATAGAGAGCATAATTGCCGCTATTCCACAGATTTCAAGCGACAAGACAGACAGAGGCTGCTGTAAACTGTGGAGTGCTGACCGACCTAATGCCTACTTCACTTGCGAGGTTAGCATGAAAGAGAGCTGTGACGGCAAGGCTGCCTGCCTGCCAGCAGTAGCCTTGGCTCTTTGCATGACAATAAACATTAAGCATTACGGAAAGAGCCTAGAAAACGGCAAGAAACTTCACTGAAGAAATGTGTTAGTTGTATACGTAACGGCGTAATGAACCGGTGGCCAAGGCTCCGTCGCCGGTTTGGCAACGGAAAGGGGGCCGAGGAAACCACACAGAACATCGTACGCTGCCCAACACCGGTCGCGTTTGCACCAGGGCCAACAAGGCTGTAGAAGATGATTAAAGTCAATAAAGATGCATAAGTACATGTGGAGCATATGTACAGAGGGTATCGGTAAGTCCAACCACCAAACCTCCAACGCCAAAAACACCATTTCCTCAGCTCTCGCAGAATCTTCGTCCTCTTGGCTTTGGCCGAAGGGCATCTGACGATGGCTTTTGTATGCGAGTAAGCGACCCTGCCGGGCCCTTACGCTTCCGCTGAACCGGACTGCAGTCCCTCTTCCACCTTGTGCCCATACACTGAGCTGCACTTCTTGGATCGCGATGAAGTAAATCATCGACTTCATGATCGGCAAGAGGATGAGATCGTAATGGAGAGAGACTGCGGTGCCGTCGATGAGATAGGGTTGTTGCTGTTGTCTTCCTATCAAAGAAGACCTGCCCTTCTGCTTTTGGTGTGGCCATATCGGCATTATCGATATCCACCACGAAGGGTTGTACTGCCTTCCGGACGCGGTCAGTGAACGAGGTCGCTTCGGCCTCAACGCCACCCCTCTCAGCTGCTGAGGTGCCGGCGACGGTGGAAGCCGCTGGCGACTCCATGTCAGCAGACTCGGACCGTGGGCTGGGCTCATCATGATGTGTGTGAGAAATCGATCCGGCAAGATCGCAGCAATCGGGTTCGGACTCGGAGTATGAGAGGGTTCGTGATGGTGTCTCGTAGTCGCGATGATGATCGATCGGCGAATCGACGGATGAATCTGAACACATCGTCATAGAACGAGGCGAGGGAGGAAGTATCGAATCGTCGAGGTCGGTCGAGAACTCAAAGGGCTCGTCGGTCATGGGCACAAGACCGCCATCATCGTCATCAAAGAGAGAGCCTTGGGAGGGCGCAAGCGAGTCAACGCTGCTGTCCGCCTCGGAAGAGGAGGACGAACCCTTGTACCACGGGTGGTCGGGGGGAAGATAGCACGCAAAGTATCGGACAAGAGAGTCAAAACTCTTGGTTCGAAAGAGCTGAACTGCGTGCTGCCACTGGTCTTCACCGATTAGAGAAGGGTTGGCGATGATCTCGAATGCCGCTGACTCGAAGCAATCATTCAGTTCTCGCATGCGCTGTTGCTTGCGTTGGCGGAGTAGACTGTGGAACTCGTCGGCCGAACTTGCTTCGTTGGAGATTTCGGCCACATCGTGGTGAAAAGCCACAGGGTCGAGGAGGGGCAGGGGCACCGTGTTGTATTGATCGTGGAGCTTGGTGAAGAGGTCATCTCTCCTCAACCCAAACTTCCAATGGGGCCAGCTCCAACATGTGTCGGCGGGATCGTCCATCCTCGGGTGGCAGGAATAGTGGCAGCAGTCGGTGGAGGCGGGTCTGGAAGAGGAAGTGCTGTGGGTATGAGGTCGGAGTCGGGGGAGGGGGTCGAACGGAAGAGTGAACCAATACTGAGAACCGGGGACTGGGAGAGCTTGCTGGAATCGAAAGTGAGTCTTGCGTCGGCGCTGGAAGCCATCTAAGCACGGAGAATAGTAGAGTACATCGTGAGAGTTTAGTGTGGTAATTGTAGTGGTTTGAGCGCTGGACGACCGTGTCTCCAGGTGATGATGGCGTGAGGGTGATGGTGAGGATGAGGGAGAAGACGGAGCAGGGAGACACCGGGCGCTGGGGGGAGGTCGTCACAGAAAGGGTCTCGACGGCTTAGGTGCGACCGGGATGGGGGACCGTCAGGTGTTTGGAAAGAACGGCCGCAAGGGCTGATGTGTTGGATGCCCCAACTCGGAACAGTGAGAAAACTCATTGGCAGGTTGTGCTGCCTTCCGAGCCAATGAAGTGCATCGTCTAAACAAAGGAGTGGGGCCCTGCCTGCACTTTGCTACCACACCGCCGCCTGCGACCAGCTTTGCCTGCATCTCGCTTGTTGCATCGCCCCCCGACAAGCCAATCAGTGCACTTCCAACTCATGCGGTCCTGCCGTTCAGCCAATTGCCAGCACAGTGTCCCGCCCGCCACACGTTCCACAGGCAGTTTTCGTAATCAGCCTGCTGCTGGTGCCCGACCAAAGGATGGGGGTGAGTGCATCAATTTCCGTCATCATTCTCACTCATTTCTTGTCCATTTCCTCCTCCCACACTTCCTTGGTTTTCCATCACAAAAAACCGTGATGAGCGCCTTCCAAAACATCCAAGAGCCTCGAGCCTCGAGCCTTCTCAAACTTACAGCGGCTCACTCCCTCAACCTTTGGGACCGGCCGACATCATCTTGTCTGATTGAGAGCATGACTCCTTCCTTCCCTCTTGGTAATCCGCTCGCTCCTTTTATGAGATCATGTCATCCCGGCTGGCATCGCCTCGCCTCCTCCCAAAGTTCTTCATGAACCCATCCATGATTCTCGTGATGCAGCTTGCCCTCACTCAACCTGGGCAGATGACACTTTTCAGAAGGATGCGAGGGAGGTGGGGTGTGACGCTGACGTCTGAATCCCACGGGGGTGAAGATAGTACATAATTCTCTCCCCCGAGACATTTTCTCGTTCTTGCATGAAGGAGGGGCAATATCCTGCACGACTGGTGCTCTGCGAATCACGATGCACACGGTCCCATACTTTTCTTGAGGCCAGCGTGGGCAAACAGTCCCATCATGTGCCACCACCACTCAGACACAGGCCTCCTGAAGAAGATCACTGAGTGCTACCTGAGGCCCAAATCGGAGAGGATGCTCTGAATGGAACTGCCAGGCGCTGACGGCCGTCAACATACCATAACACCGAACTTTCCAGCCGCCAGACTTCTCTCGGGCCCGACAGACGCAATCCGTCAACGGATGGCTGAAAGCTTGGACAAGCCATCAGAGCCTCACTGTTAACTCAGGCCGTGAAGCCCTACCAAAAGGGACAGTATGGGCTGAAGCGACCCAGGGCGCTGGAACTGGCAAGTCGGCGTGCAGCCAGTTGCAGTCGGGGTCATGGGCGAGGTATGGCTCTTGGAAGATGATGGCGGCATTTGACTGGCAAAGCTGACCGGGAATGACGGCGATTTAAACAAATCGATATCATCTGCCAGCCCTCTTCCAAGTCGAAAGAAGCATTCGGTCAACTACTGCACTAACACGGCAGTGCGCGCGAACAGGCGGACCGGTGCTAGGCACCCGCCGGACCGCTGCTTTTCTGAGAGCTTCGATGACTCCCTCCAATCACCTCGCGCCTGGTGAGGCTGATGCCCCAGCCAAATCCATCAGCAGGGCGCAAACCTCCAGCGCTCTTCCACCTTTACTGGTTCATCTGACTTTCACTGCACCGGTCATTCAGCAAAGATGGCTCCCCAGCCTTGAAACAATAACGTATACGCGGCCGAGAGGAATTGCTTCCTCTTATGCCGGCCTGTTGTTCGTCTTGATTTCGCAGTTTTCCTCTCGCTCGCTTTCACCCCACGATTTTATCTTGTCTGCAGCGCTGGAGAGCTTGCCGGCTCCCTCCTCTACCCTCTTTGCTTTCGTTCCATCTGCGCACATTTTACGGTTACTCCAACCCCTTACTTTACAAGTGAACAGTTCTGTTAAACTCCGTGGGCCCGTTTCTTGCTTCCTTCCAACTATCAGACCCCAATTCATTGACTTGCGCCATGATTACCCCCAAGGCGGTCGCGGCGGCAGCGGCGGCCGATTCAAGGGGATTCTCGCAGGCTTCCGAGCAAAAGACCCAACCATTTTCACAATCCGAAATCCAAGCCCGTCTGGCTCGTTCCAGGATGGAGGAAGACCGCTCCATGTCTAGCACAGTTCCGCTGGACAATTTGGTGGTTCCCCAGGACAGAGATATCCGCATTCTAATGAGGCCCTTGGCGCGGGGTCGGTCCGTCAGTCCAGGCAACCACGAGAACTGCGAATGGCTCGCGCTGCACGCAGAGGTGACGGATGGCGGCGATGACACGAACCACAGCGTTTTGGCTGTCACGCAAACCCACAGGGACATCAAGTTTTCTGTCCGCGTTCCTGGCCAACGGCGCAACGACGAGCTCTGGTGCGAGCTGTACTTTGTTCCACACAGCAACGAACTAGTACTCCTCAACCGCTCCGAGGTGCCGTTCAAGCTATACCGTGTGTCACAGCAAGTGCCGGGCAGCCCCCGGGAGCACTTTGAACTCAAGCCTAATTTCACCAGGGCCCTCGCGCCGGGCACCTGGCGGATCAAAATCGACGACGCCGACATCCTGGACTTTCGTGTCCTGGAGAAGCGTGCGGCGAAGGCGCGCCTGCTCTCAAGCTCTTCAGCCTCGGATCTCTCAACCATCGACGGCCAGCTGGTACCCGTGACTAGGAAGCGGTCTTTTGACGACGATGAAGATGACGAGCCTGCCACCCCTGAAAAGAACGAGAAGAGAATGCGTCCATCGGAGCCCGAGGATAAGAATGAGGACGGGGTCATAATGTTTCTTCCGGCCACAACCAACCCACTGGTCTTTCCGCTACCCGGGACTGGCAAAGAGATTTCTACATCCGACGGCCACCCCCTCTTGGACCTAGAGTCTGACGACGTCGTTGAGATTCCTGGCGTCAAGCTCCCAAGGGGCGGCGAGATTGACGAATACACCATCGCCAAGAGGGATCAGATCGCTACATCCAGTCTCTCTACTGTATTCACTGCTGACCACTCTGATGTCCCAGATGGGGTCATTGTTGTCAAAGTCTTGAAGACACGGACCAACGCATTGCCCAATAATGAAGCCGCCATTGCCAAGAACGTGATCCGACAGGCCGACATCTGGCTTCGAGAGCTTCAGTACCAGGAAAATCTCGAGCACAAGAGCATTGTGCGGTTGTATGGCGGTGATGCCCGGTTTCTGTCCCTCTATATGGAGCATGTTGATGCGCGCGACCTCACCGCTAAGGGCACGTGGCGTGTTGCCAGTACAGACATGTTCAATGGCGATCGGTCAGACGCTTCCCGCATCCTGCGCGACATTGCAAGTGCTCTGCACTACATTCACAGCAAAGGCTTGGTGCATAACGACATCAAGCCAGGCAACATCTTGTACAGCAGGGACCGCGGAGCCGTACTGTGTGATCTGGGCTTGTCGACCAAAGCCCGCGACCCAGTTGCGGCTGGCACACCATGGTACGTCCCACCCGAGTTTATCGGTTTGAGGCAGCGCGGGCCCGCAAGTGATGTTTGGGCGCTGGGCGTGACAATGCTCTACGTCTTGGGCAAGATCACTTGGCCTGATGTTCGGGCCAACCAACGGCACCCGCGCCATTTGTACTGGATAATTGCGAAGCTCAACTCACGAGATCGCGGTCCTCAAAAGGAGGCCGTATCCAGGATGCGCGAGTGGCTCGGCGAGGTTACGAGTGCCCGCAACAGCCTGGACACACATGACAAGCTTGAAAGGCTTGTTCACGGCATGTTATCACCGAACCCCAAGGAAAGAGCCACCATCAAGGACATCGCTGGCCACTTTCTTGCTGAGCAAGTGACCGAAAGATAGAGGGCCACGGTGGTCCTGTTTACAACCATGCCACAGCACCAATTTCATGTTTCGCTGTTACACGCAGTTTGGGCGTCCACGTGAAGCAGACAAGCACTGCGAAGTAAGTAAAAATCATGAAGCATACCTCAAAGGACAGCCAGTATGCCTCGAAACATGGTCAGTGGGCGTCGAAAGATAGTCATCTTTTGAGGCATTTTGACCATTTTCAAGGCCTATTAACTATCTTTTGACTCCTGGTTTATTCAATTATGACATATTTTACTAACGCATGACACAGCAATCTAGGTTACCAGCCACACTACCCATAGCGATATCTATCATGCCACGCTCACTGCGTCCACTATTATACGCTCAAACCGAATACAAATAGACCAGTCAGCGCGGCCACAGAGGCCAATACGCCAACATTGACACCAACAACGGTCGACCCAGCAGTCTTTGTGCCCCCTATTTCAATAGCTGCCGCCGACACTCCTTCTGAAGTCTTGCAAGCATCACCACTCAGCACTGTCGCGTTTTGCCTGAACCGGATATCGGCACAGTTGTACAATGACTGGCCCTTTTCGCCCAGCGTCACAACCTGAATGCTTGCGAGCGACCCATCCTGAATTGGCAAGTTGGCCGGGAGAGTCACCTTGGGGATGCACAAAGTGCCATTGCCTGTCGAGTTGAGGAACGGGTCGGTCAGACTGTAGTTGAAGTTGGCCACGTTCTCACCGAGGCCGAGGTTGACAAAGATGTATGTCCACTCGTGGTGCAGATCGAGAACTAGGGAGCCGCCGTCAAGGGGCCAGTCGGTCACGTTGCCGAGGTCACCAGGGACACCGGCGCCTGTTTGGAAGCGGGGGATGGGTCAGCAATTTTTTTTGGGAGGAACATAGACTTTGGAAGGGAGATATAAGGGAAGGGAAAGGAAACAACGAACATGGATATTCCCACTGGGAGTAGTTGCTTGTGGAGGCGCTGCCTAGGGTGTTGTCTCTCCAAGTAGGGTACTCAATGCCGAAGTGGGCGGTGGCGACCTGAGCGGATGCCAACAAGGCGAGAGCGGTGGTGAGGGCCATTCTTTTTCTGGGAGGGATACAAATATTGATGGACGGTTTCAAGTGATGGAGGGAGGATATATGATTGGAATATTCGAGGGAGTGGAGTATTTGACTGGTGAAGGATGAGGATATGATGATGCTCCTGGAGAGATCACAATGGGCAAATTCGTATGCCACGGATGGGGTTATATATTTGGGAGTTTCGGACGATTTTTTTTCTGGAAGTGAATACAACAACTGATGGGTGGCATGGAACAAATGGCTGCAGAAGGATGGGAAGCACAAGCTTAGTTATACTTCTCCCTCTGTTCCTTCCACCAACACCGAGCTGATGATGGGGAAGATGTCGACAGGGAAGAGGGGGCCAGCCTCACCGTAGCTAGCTGTATTTTTACTAGCCAGTTCTCCCCCTTGGCCAATGACATATAGAGGATTACCCTGATATCTGAGCAAGTTTGATATCGCCATGTGCTTCTGATGTGTGTTCCCCTGCAAATGCATCCTGTTGTTGTCCTCGCTTCCATCCCTGTGGTTTGTTGATGCGGCCGAGCAGCAGGAACCCCACACTGCGGCGGCGAGTCCCTAGCTGCCAAGGCCTGGGACTTGCCTTTTTGGGAGAGAACTGGCAGTGAGGGGGGGTTGTGATTAGCTGGGAGAACTGTGGAGGGGAGGCGGGAAACTTGCTCAAACACACGCAGCATTGCAGTGATTATTGGCTTTGCCCTTGTGGGGATTTGTAACGACTTGTTTGAGTTGGGAAGTTGATAGGTGATGGATGAGAGTGGTGAGAATAAAGGTTGGTTTTGACGAGGTGGGATTGGGAACCCCAACCCATGGTATGGGGGTGTGCGGATATTGCGTGCTGATACCCAAGGAAGGGAAGGTTCGGGAAGGCAATATGCAGTTCTGGGCGTTGGAATTACACATCGGTCACCTCACTCGCCCCCTGGTTTAAAACACCGGCCTTCCCTCTGGGCGTTTTCTTTTGATGTTTCTGTAAAGGCAAATATCTGAGGCATCAACAAAATTCCCAAGCAAGGATACCGCCACGACGCAAAAGCTTCCAGGGCTGAACATGGACGCGACTCCTCTTAGAAAGCAGTTTTCCACCCATTGCGTTTGAGAAAAGTAACCGCGCATTCCGTTTGAGAAAATAAACAACCCGTGGTATTTGAGAAACTAACCCACACATTGCGTTTAAGAAAAGAAAGGCCCAAGCTCAACGTTTTCCCCCTCTTTTTGATCAACCTGTTCTCAACCATGCTCCTCCTCCACATACAGAACAAAAACACGGAGAAACCTCAACAAACACTGAAGCCAAACATTTCAAGCATGCATAGCTATCCAACTTCACAAATGGAAACGCTAAGAGAGATCCGAAACGACAAAAGACGGCACTGAACCCAACCAAACGACATCATCTCAAACAACATAACGCCCGTCGTCGTCCTCCTTCTCCTCAGTGAAATCATCCCCCCAGTCTTCAATCGCCTCCCAGTCCTCGGTCGTCCGCTTGAAAATCCCGTCGTCATCATCCCCCTCGATGAGCTGGCGGTTGGTGATCAGCACCCCGTCTTCTTGCTCGTCAAACTCCACGCCGGAGTCGGAGTCTGAGTCTTCGTCAAAGCTCAAGCTCGCAAAGTCATCGTGCTCGATGCCGCAGTGCTCGCAATATGTAGCCTGGAAGTCGGGGGTGGAGAGGACCTCCCATTCTTGTTCGGAGTCGGAGTCGATGGGTCGGTCGTTGCTGTACACGTTTGGTTCATTTGGGGGGGTCGTCGGCTTAGGGGGCTGAGGCTCGGACGTGGGAGAGGGGCTGGGCTCGAGCGTTGGAGGCATCGTGGACTCGGTCTTTTTCTGGTTGCCCATAGGCACCTCGCTACCCATGAATCGAGACCGACGATCAGGGTTGTACGCCGAGATGTGACCGGTCACCGCCGGAACAGCCTTGGGCATTAGCTTCAGCTCGGCCTGAGGCTCAAGTTTGACCTTCAGCGGCAGCTTCGCTTCGGCTGCACGATGAGCAACAATGACGGAAGTGTCAGGCTCAACTTGAATCTCATGCCGTAACTTTGAAGGACGAGGCGTTGACCTCTTGGTTGTCTCGCCGACAGACCAAGCGTCGTCCTCACGACCGACTCCGAACTGGCGCTCAAACCCGGTCGTAAGGGGGACTTTGGGCTGGAGGAGCGGTGTGGCGCGATTTGGTGAAAGTCTAACAATCGGTTTTGCCTTGGCCTCAATTTCACGCTGAGAATCGAGAACACTTTTTGTCTCGAGGTTGCTGTCGGGTAGATTTATATAGATGGGTGTTTCTCTGTGTCTGAGAGGAGGTAATTGCCGCAACGAGTCCCTCGGGGTCCCAGGGGTCGCGTCGACAGGGTTCCAGTTGTGGGTACGATCCTTGGTGGACTCGGCGGGTGTAGCCTTGTCGTCGGCAAGAGTCGGACTGCAGAAGGGGGGCAGTGGAAGGGACTTGGTCGTCATCGAGGAGAGCGTGCTCGTCTTCGTTGTCATCGTTGGCGTCAAGGTGATGGGTTGCTCTTCTCTGGCCAAGGACGGGACATACCTGCCCATTGCAATGCTCTCGGCCGTCTCGAAAGATTGAATGTGCTTGGGTTTTGGTGGTGGTGGTGGTGGTGGAAGAGGCCCTGCAGTTTTGGCAGTGTTCTTCATCTGGCTCTCAATGGCAGCACAAAGCTCGAAAAAGTCAGTGTCTGAAGGTGTGAGGGCGAGCCCTGAAGAGACTCGGCTTTTGGGCTTTGGCTTGTATCCGCCCTTAGCGAGGATCTGGTGAAGAACTTTGCGATCGAGACGAGGGGCGTCCCATTTTCGCTGCAAAATATCAGCCAGCTTTACTGGGGCTGTGCCGCTGAGTGATGGCTCATCGTTGTTTGAGCCTTTCTGTGCGGTGGTCATCTTCAGTGCATGTAGCTTGAATGCAATCCGGTTTCTCAGTCGGTAGAGTTTGTATACTTCCTCCTCTACTGGGGACAACACGTTGGATTTGACGTGTCCGCCCGAGGTCTGAGCAGCGTCGTTACCGGTCAAATACCAGTTCTGCAACTGAAAAAGGAGCTCTATGTATTGTCTGAGCTCGTGCATCTGCTCCTTTGGGGGCTTCTGGGCCGATCCCGATGGCGAAGATGGTTGCTGGGCCTTCGTTGAATCAGTGGTGCTATCCCTGTTCAGCACGCTTCGGACACTCTGGGTCGGAGGCCCATTGGATCTCCAGCTCTGTCCATTGACCACATGGGGTTTTTTAGCATGCGATTTGCTTCTCCACTTGATGGAATAGGACATTGTGATCTAGACGATGCCAGCTTCCAAACTGTCGCCAGGAGCGTTGGTTGTGGAAGAAAGAAATGTCGTTGGTTGCGGAAAAGGTGAAAGAGCGGAGAAATGCAGACCTGCGGTGAAATTGGATTTAAACATACGTGGCTCCGGAACGAGAGGGGGTGCCTTCGTGGGAGATGGCGCGCCTCGCCCAGCAAACCTCGCCGCTCGGGAACCCGGAAAGCATGATTTACTGCCAACGGTCCGCACTCATTGAAGATTAAACATGGAAAAGTATGGAGAACTATCATCGTGTCCCAATCACCCACAATATGTCTTGTTCCAATTCTCACTCAGTGGCAACCTTGGATAGTGGAGGCTTACCCTTGGACGATGAAAGTCAAATAAAAAGATACATAGAGAGCTGATGTAGACTGCACACAAGATCGCGGCAATTTATTACCAGAGGAGAGCGCAGGACTTTCAACCCAAATATTTCCCATCACATGACTCGTTTCGTAGTGGTGATGTGGCTAGAGTTGGTATGAGCCAGGCTGAGACTTTCAACGCCATCAAAAACCCAAGGGCCAATACGTGCTTTCAGCTGATCCACATCAAGTTTCTTTTGTGTCCATATCCTCCACTCCGTCTTCCCCATCCTTCTCTTCATTCTCCCCATCGTCCTGCCCTTTCCCGCCAAAAGAAAGCCCGTCCAGCACCTTGTTTAGCTTTTTCATCTCGGCCCTGTTTTTTCGGTGCCATCTTCGTATGGCCGCCTTTTTGTCGAGTTTTGTACCGTCTTTTCCAACGCCGAGCGCGTTTGTGCTAGCAGAATCCAGTTCGCTGCCGCTCTTGTTCGGGTTCACAGGTGCCATTTTCAGTGTGTTTTCTTTTTCTGCGCATCCACGTTAGTATTTTCTGTGCTTCTGTTTCTTTCTTCTTGCTCCTTTTTGGGACTAATCTAGAGATTTTAGTGCTTACTTGATGGTTTGATACCAAGAGGTTTTGCTAGCGGTGTGTGCAGTGGCTCGGTGCTGATCTTGGATAGCTAGACGGTAGGTGAAGATATTGTGGTGTTGGTGGGATGTGTCAGAGGTTGGCAACAACGGTGAGAGATTAATCCATATACTAAATGAAAATCAGGATGGCACAGTTCAATGCCCAGTGACAGGGAAAGTGGATTCTCTCAATACTGATAAGCTTTTTTCTTGCCATAGTGCGGCTCCCTTTAGGGTGCTCTTAACTCTTGATTGCCTTGTGACTTGAAAGCTGAGATGACTCCTGTATTCACTCATTGCACTCACTCTCAAGTCCACTAGTCCACCAGTCCACCTCACCTACGTGATCATCTTTCTCTTCCCCTGAATTACAATATTCACTCGTGACTTTTGAAATGCCAGTTCGTGGGCACATTCTCTCGAAATTTTGTTCAAATTTTGCGGCGCTTGAAACTCCACAGGACATGAGATGCAAGCCTCGAGTCTCCTGTAATTCGTCTGGGAATCCACCTCTTGACGAGAGTGACGATGGGTGGCCAGAGATGGGTGACACAGCTGAAGTATCCACCCAGGCTGGACCTTGCGGGTGCTTTGAAATTTGCTGCAGCACAGGAATTTGGCATACATGGATTTGACTTGTTATTTTTGCTGAAACATACCGACAACAGCTCAGCTTTATAAGGTCTGGTGCAGTCCTATACTGGGTATGCAGAGGAAGACAAAATCGTGCCTGAACATTTAAATCAACAGTTAGAAACCCCCTTGCGGATAGACCGATGTTCCAGATGTTAGTGTGAGACATAAGGCCTGTTATAGGTACGCGGAGTGGATTAGAAATCAAAACATATGCCTGATGCTCTTTTCGCGTCAGGTTCCGTTTCTGGTAGTTCAGTGCGGTATAAGTGAGTGGGTCCGGTCAGGAAATCTGACGTCATCACAGATCTGTACTCCCACCAGGTCCTCGTTTCAACCGACTGGTAGATGTGCGACTTCGGACTGCAGTGCCGTGAGGGCTTCTCCGGGGCTCCGGACTCTCAAGAGCATTGAACAAATCAGCTGGACATGGTCGGCTACGAGTCAACACAGTGATAGACCATTGTCCGCGTTGTTGCCGGTGCCAAGTACCCCACATGCATGTCAGTTCAAGGGCGAGCCCGTTGCTACCATACCCCACCGCCGTCTGGATCGCGTGTCAAACATATAAACCGCCCCCTCATCGCCATCAGAACCCCGCCAAGATCGAATATCTTTCCTCATATTCTTCCCCCGCATTGCGTAGTCAACTTTGATCCTCGACACAATGGCGAACCAACAACAAGTTATTCTCTTTGACCTTCCCAGCCAGCCCCCTTGCAAGGCTTGGTCATTGAACCCCTGGAAGAGTGAGTCTTGACCCTCAAGATGAAGTTTGACCTATCGTTGACATTATCATTCTAGCCCGTCTCCTCCTCAACTTCAAGAACATCCCCTACAAGACAGAATGGCTCGAGTATCCCGACATCGCTCCCCGTCTCTCCCCTCAGTGCGTCTTTTCCTCCGCTGCAACATTGTCCTTTTCCTTTACTAACACCGCCTTAGCCTGCCGCCTAACGAGGAAGGATCAGCCTACACCATCCCCACCGTCATCCTCCCCTCGGGCAAATACGTGACCGACAGCAAGGTCATTGCTGAGAAGCTCCAGGCCCTCTACCCCACCCCGCACATCGACCTCGCCTCTCCTTACCAAGCCAAAATGGAAGAACTCATGCCGCAGCTTATGAAGAGCTTCAGGCCAGTCTACCTGCCGCTCATTCCCAAAAGCTTGTTGAACGAGAAGAGCCGGCCGTATTGGTATGACACGCGAGGCAAGCTGTTGGGAATGGAGGTGGATGATTTTGGCAGGGAGAATGGCGGGGAGAAGACATGGGGGAAGGTTGAGCCAGTTGTGAAGGCGGTCACGGCGTTGATGAAAGAGAATCCAAATGGGCCGTTTTTTGAGGGGAAACAGGTGGTGTATGCGGATCTTGTGTGGGGGGCATTTCTGATTTTCTTGAAGAGGATGGATCAGGGGGTGTTTGACGAGATGCTGAAGAGGAGTGGTGATAAGGCGGTGCACGAGGCGCTCTTGAAGGGGTTGGAGAAGTGGACTGATAGGGATGACCAGTGAGGGCGAGGTTGAAGATGAAGATGTATTGAGAGCTAGTATCTGCTCAATATCAAAGTCTTCCTTCCAAAATAGCCCCTCTTTTCAAAGATGTTTTTCGCAACGATGCCTTAATGCAATATATAGTGAAGCAGGCCACAGATCGCTTGCCAAGAGAGACAGATCAACCTTCGACAATTTGGCTTCCCCAAAGGCTTTTCGTCATTGCTTTCTCGCCTTCCTCGGTCCATAGTGACTGAGCTTTATTTCTGTGGAAAGGTGGAGCTGGTCTGGGCCCTGCCGAGCTCATCAGAGCTCGATTACTCTCAGATATTAAATAGTCTCAGAGCCCTAAAAAAGACAGTTAAATTAACACCGGTTATACTCACGTAGGCTTTATTTTAACTATTTGGTAGTGGAAAAGATAATGTAGTGGTTATATGTAGCAAGAAAAGCTTGCACTTTCACAGCACCTTTTCCATTACCTAGTAGGCCTACCTGGATACACGTGACGAACCCCTATCCAGAACCTCTGAAAAGAATACTAGTCGAAGGCGCTTCTGAACAATCATGGTTCGGTACAGCTAAACAGTGTACAACAATGGCTTGTCTCAATCACAATAGTCAAGATACCAACGAATGTGACTTGTAATTGCATACTGCGGAACTGTCTATCTACACCGGCCAGTTCCTCCGTATATATATCCCAGTGGATCACCTGGATCACCATGCCAAGCGTGATCCTGGATCACTTCTCCCAGCGTAGGCTCACCATGGATCACCCCCGGCACCTTAGGATCACTTGGATCACCACGCTCCTGGCGCTCCCAGGCGCTCCACTTCCTATTGGTTCCCGTAGCAATTGGCTGGCACCTCCCGTGCTCCACATACTGTTCAACCTGCCTGTTGGCTTAACTGTGACACCAGCACAGAGTAGCACATCCCTACACACCCTTACACAGGCCAAAGCCGGTGCTGAACCGGCCCAGCACCGGTCCACTCACGAAGAAGGTAATTCTCAAAGTCGACATTCGGAACAGGAACTAGGATGAAACCCTTCAGAAGACTAACAAATGTCCAACTTCCGCTCACAAAAAAAACCCCCATGTCTGCCAATCATGCATTTCTTTCCTTGCACTTCTCACTCCTTCTATTCCAATCACGGTCACGAAACCACTCAGTCAAAGATATGTCCAAGTGCGGTCTCGCATCCAGGGTGTTCCGGGGATCCGGACCCACAGCAAGAGTACTTGGAATCTCCTTCCTCAATCTCCGGATCGCCGTGAGCAGAGCAGCGAACAAAGCGACTGGTTGCGAACATGCCTGTTGTTGAAAAGGCAAGTTAGTATTTCGTGGTTGAAGAAAGGTAGAAACAGATGTGTGTTTGTTGTGGAGGTCGCGAAGGTATGAGCTGTGAGCCAATGAAGCAAGCAAACGCCAGACCATCAGATGTGGCGCAATGAGTCTATATATGATATAGTATTCACTCTGGAGAACTGATGGAACTAGGAAGCCTTCTCATCTTCCATCAACCTTCTACCACGGCCTATCCCACTGTGTCGCCATAAATCTATCGTCCCCACATTATCTGACTCTCCAAACTCATCTCCACATACCAGAGTGCCACACACAGGTGTTCTCATCGACCGTTCTCTCCCCTTGGCTGTCAAAGGTCTTCATGCACCGTTGGCACTGGACCTGCTTCACTTCCAGGTTCATCTGGAAGTACTTGGTGGGGGTGTCAGGGACGGCGGCAGCGCGCTTCTGGGCCTCGAGTGTCGCGGCTCCATCATTCAGACTATGGGTGAGAAGGTCCTTCCTCTCCTTGAGTTCGATTCTCGCGCGCTTCAACCCACGTCTGTCGAGAAGCTCGAGCTTGCGCTTGGTTTGAGGGTTGATTGAAGCCAGAGGGGTAACCTTGGGCTGAGCGGTGATGGGGAAAAGAACGCCCGGTTTGGGAACAGGAGAGGAGGGTTCTGTGGTGGAAAAGAATTTACACATCAAGATCAGTTCAGAAGAAGAGGATTGGAGGAAACAAACTGCTGCTGGGGATCTTCGGGGAAGAGCCGGCACCTCTGGTCTTCTTCAGAGCCTTGGCACGACGTGATGAGGGGGTGATGGTATCAGCGATGAGGCTATCAACATCCATCCCGTCGAATGGAGGAGTGGCGTCTTGGTCGGAATTGATGTGGTCGTCAGCCTCATTGGCCTTGGTGTGGACAGCCTTGTTGGTGGTAGGCTCCACGGCAGCGACAGCCTCGTTGACCGTATCGATCTGAGGGATCACATCGTTCTCTTGGTCATGATTGCTTGAGGAGGAGGACGTCCAAAGAATGGTCTCCTTGTCGAGTGAGGGACGCGGGGTGTCACCGGGGGCGTACACCCAGTTGGGAGGGTAGTAGACGGGGGTGGGTTTGCTACGACCACCACAGCTGATTGGGCCTGTGGCATAGTAGTAGCGGTTGTACTTCTCCGCCTTTTCCTTCGCAGCGAGATTGGCGACGGGCTTCTTGTAAGTGAGGTCTTCCTCGTCACGGGGGTAGCGGGTCGAACCTCCGGATTCAATTTCGGCGAGGAGGTCGCTAACCCCCATCTTGAAACTTTGTCGACACAGTATTTACTTGTAATACGAAGGTAGAGACGGTAACACTAACAAGTATTGGATCAAACAAGTCACTCCTTGTGAAAGTATGAACAAAGGACCTCAGATGAAGACCTACGGGAAAAAGTCGCAGGAAAAATTGAGAGGACTAGAAAGGAAAGAAGGAAAATTCGTGGGTGGTGGGAATGAAGGAAATGTGGGGCTTCAAGGCAGCAGACGACGACATGGTCGTGTTTAGCAGGCCGAGAGGGCCATTCAGTGATTGTATAGTGGTTAGTGGGAGCAAGTAGGCCTGTAAGTCCCTGTAGAACTCAACTGCCAGGCTGTGACCGTGACTGTTTGAATCACTTGGGGCTGCCCAATCTCCTATAGAAACACAGGTGCAAGCCATCTCCCTGATAGAGGTTCAGTCAACTACATATTTTAAGCACAGATCATCTTTTCATGACGGCTTTTCTGAGTACATTTTCTTCATCACACTATGTGTACGTCACAACTTTACACAACCCATGGATATAAGATGTCCTTCAGTCGCAATGATAGAGGCCCGAATGATTACTGGATGAATTTCCCCAAAGATAGACAACTGTGATGTTTATTTACATACCAATGAGGTTATTGCCGCTCCAAGCCGAGAATTTACTGCAAGCTCCTCCTCACATCCCTCCACCAACTCTGCTCCTTGCTCCAATCACCACCAATACACCTGGCACCCGACCTCATGGGAGGATTGTCAGTCGGTCCCAAAATCGAATCCATATACTCTAACAACTCCTTCAAAGCATCCTTTTCCCTCTCCCCAAACTCATCCACCAACTCCTGCTCCGGTTCCTTCTGACTAACCACCCTCGACCTCCTCCACTCTTCCCTCCCATCCAAATCATGAGCCACGCACGTCTCCGAATAGATAACACTATTAAAGCTATCCATCCTCTCCGCCTTTTCCTCGTTCACTTCCACCAGCTGCCTCTCCCTCCCCTGTCCCCTCGTCCCATGACCACTCTTAGGATCCATCCTCGCATACATCTCTGCCATATTCACCTCCCCCGATTTCCTCGGCCCCGTCGGCAGAATCTTACTCCACGGCGGCAACGACACCGGCCTCTCTCCCCCAGCAGAAAACCCATTCCCCGCCACCCGAGGACTCATACCATCCTTCCCATTCAAGCTCCTCACCCCACCACAAACCGCACTCGACCGTTTCAACGCCTTCTCTTTCTGCACCCACTCCGAGTCCCTAGACCCCTTCTTCGGACTCTGACTAGGCAAAACAGCCCTTGCATCATCCTCCTCGCCATACCCAATAGGCGACTGCACCAGACGCTGCTGATTCGTCACAGGCGGGTATTTATACTGCGAGAGGAAACTCCCCATCGTCATGGCCGAGTCAGGCGGCGTCTTACCACCCTTGCTCATCACGGCAAGAAAATCGTCGTCTTCAAAAGAGGGGCCGTTCATGTTCCTCTCTAGCCTCAGCGCCAGAAAGGGGGTTTCTGGCTCGACGACGATAGGGGCATCATTCAAGAAGGGGGCGCCCGGGTTGAGCTTGTTGCCTGTTCCGTAGGGTGCAGAGGCCAGAAATGGGGTTTCGGGGATTGGTTCGGCTGGTTTGGTGGATTTGCGACGGTCCCGGCTTTTGCTCCTGCTTCGGGCTCGCTTGATGACCTGGGAGAGGCGGCGGGTGGTGGAGGAGGAGTTGGGGGGGTAGTTGCTGAGGGGGACAGGGGGGACGGGTGGGAGGTCCGGGATGGGGATGGGGACCGGTCTGATGACTGGGCATTGGGCGGAGGATACCCTTTGTGAAGAGGGATCTGTTGCTGGTTTGTGGTAGACTCGTTCGTGTTGGTAGTGTTGGTAGGGGGGTTGATGAGGTCTTTGGGGTTGTCGCTTTTGGATTGATTGGTCCGACGAGGTTTTCTTCAGCGTGATTGCCCCTGGGACGGAGATGACTTGGAGTTGAAGAAGCAAAGCTTGGTGTGAGGAGTTTCTTCGGGGTATGACCAGCGGGGGGAGATTGTCGTGGCGCATTTTTTCCTTTTTCTGCGTGGGCTTTGAAGTCGCATCGGAAAGGGATGACGATGAATCTCGCGGTCGAAGAGAAAAACGGGGTATGCTGAAGCGTTTAGATGGCATTTCGGTTTGATTTGGTCCTGGTGTTCGTGGAACCCGTAAGGAAAGCGGAACTTCAAATTGGGCCCAGTATTCCCCACTAAGCGGCAGGGTCTTTTTATGAGTGTTTATTGTGTCGGTTGTTGTTGCCATTGTGGTGATGTATTCAGGGGTATTTTGGTTCTGCACTGATGCGTCCAAGACTTGGTAGCAATGGGCCACCGGCAAAGCGGCAGAAGGAAGTAAAAAGGGGGGCGGTAGCGTTGATATAACCTTTCACCCGTCCTTTTCAAATCACTCACCAAACGGGGGCTTAGACAAATTCACCCGACAAACGTTGCCCCGACTTGATGTGAATATAGACGGCTTGGTTTTAGTAGGTGGAACGGCTGAGGTAGAAACCGATCAAGAGCCGACAGAGTGGGAAGCGCCACTTTTACATCCTCATCTTGTAATGAGTGTGCGGAGAATTGGTGTGGCTCAGTCCCTTACGATCCTCACTTGACAAAGAACGGAGCCGGGAATATCTTGCGCGCATTAGTCGTGGCGGGCTCTGAGAGGGCCGGGGCACAAGGCCAAAACTAACAAAAAGGCCCATGGGGCTAAGATCAGCCGCGCCCCCGACCGCAATGGCGAATACGCAATGGCAACTCAGGATCCGGGGCAGTGGACGATGACGAGGGAGCCAAATGCACGACGGGAGGTGGGAAATCCGGTTGCTCAGCCTCCTCCGCCGTGGAGCCAACATGTCAGCACTCAACAGCACTTTGACAGATCTTGACAACAATGATATTAAGCTTTGAGTATTTACAATGATTTCTACTTTGCCCTTTACAACTCATTTCTCTCACCTCGACCAGTATTTTCTGAGTTGCTCTGATGTTTATGGTTGGGCCCAACAGTCTGGTCGAGACTGTTGGACCCAAGTGCATCTTGGTTCTTTGTTGGTTTGCACAGCCCCCTTTTTGATCGCCAGGCCGCGCCAGCCAAACCTTGTTTCTACCGCCATCAACCCTGACCCTGAAATGTAATTTTTTTTCCAAATGTGAGATCCGAGTAGTACCTGGGTTGTCGGACCGAGAACTAATGACTTTCTTGCTGTTTCTTGAGTGTCTGTGGGAACTTTGAACAGCCAGTTCTGGGTTGGGCACAAGTCAACTTCACACCAGCAGGGAATCAAAAGCACGGTAAGAAGGCCACAAGCAGCCATGGAACAAGTTGTCTTGTTGGACTATATAAGCAAGGCCAGCCAGTTCTGTTTCATCCTGGCTTCCACCCAGCTTGTCCTCCCCCAAGCTCCATCTCTGAATTCATGACAAAAGAAAAGCCGGCAGTATGTGCCAAGTCGCAGGTCTGCTTCAAGCAGGCCAAGATGTAATAAGCAAGAAAAGGAAAAGTAGGGTATCGTATCCAAAAGCCCACCACGCCTTGCCATGATGTATGCCCGAGAACACCCCGATCCCGCCAAACCAGAATTGTTGTTGTTGTTGTTGTTGTTGTTGTTGTTGTTGTTGTTGAAAAATCACCAACGCCCGTCGCTAAACCAAAATCCATCAAACCCATTTTTCCACCATCTTGAAAGTCGTGCAAAAAGACAAAAACACTAGTCACCACCACACATCCCTTGCTCTTTTCTGCCCAGCGTGGCCAACACCAAGTCCGTTCACCTGTCCGTTATTGGGGCCGTGATTCATCCTGCTGTATCCTCCCTGTCCTCCGGGACCAGTCGGGCTGCCCCTCACGCTGCCTCTCGGGCTCGTCACGGTCGAGCTGGTCTTTCCTCCGCTAGCGGCATACCCGCCATACCCGGCACCCGCGTGAAACCCAGCATTCAACCCCTGAACTGGACCGCCCTGCTGCCACGGACCACCACTACCAGGTCTGGCTTGCTGCTGATGTTGCTGAAGATCCTCCAGGAGATTGATCAACTTCGCCTTGTTCCACAGCCTCCTCACATGCAGCTGCTTCACGTCGTCGTAAGGGTTGGGAGGTACCAACTCAAAGAGGAGCATGCTCTCAGCCCACTTGGTGGCCACTTGCTCGTCCGCGTCGATGAAGCTGAAGGTCACGGCATCCTCGTCGTCGGGTAACCGGCAGGTGATGAACCAGGTGATGAAGGAGGGGAGGAAGAATGTGACTTCCTTTGTGGTAGGGGAGAACTGAGGAGCGCGGTGGTAGCCGCTCAGAGGATTGCTGTGAAGTGTGCGGTATGGGTTGTGGTTGTTGAGCTGTGGGGAGTGGTGTGGGGAAAAGGAGGATGCTCGTTGTTGTTGCCGGGCGTCTTCCGCTTTGAGGTAGGAGGCGTAGGCGGCTGCCACGGTTTTGTGAGAGAAGACGAGGCTGACCCGGTCATCTGTGACCGAGACGTCGACTGATACTAGATTTGGCATGTCGTTGATTTTGATGTGAGTTGTGCCGTCGGTGTTGGTGATATTTGAAGTCGTCAAAATGTCGCAAGGGTGTGTGAGACTGGTGACGTCGGTGTCGTTGTCGTCGTCGATAGTTCGATCGAGGTGCAGCAGCAAAGTTGAATCTTTCTGTTGAAGAGCTCGGTCCAAGCAGTCTGGATCACGATATTAGTACCATCTCGCCTTTTTCCTCTCCCAAAGCTGAGCGGGTGACTCTTTGCCCAACTTGTGCTCTGTTGTGCGATCGTTGCCACACTGGCCAATCGCGTGGCTCCAGTTGTTCGACCAGACCTTCGCTTTAACCTCAAACACGTCTTCTTGCAGCGAGGGAAAAATGCCCACTTTGCTGGCATCTCGACCAGCCAGTAATTCTCCGTGAGAGCTGCCCGCCGAGCACGCTATGCTTCTTTTGTTGCTAGCTTCGAAGCCTGCTGGCAGTTCTGGCGCTCCATTGATGCCATGAGCCCACCCACCACAACGACAACAGCTCCATTGTCAGTCGTCAATTACCAGAGTTTCAATCAGGTATTAATGGAACGGCTGGCCCCCTCTTTCTTATTTTTCTTCTCGAAAGATTTGCTCCGAACCTGATGCACGGCACAAGATGAACCTCCGAGGGGGCTTTGGCGACGGCACGTATCTGGTTCTTGACGCTCATTGCTCGCTGGTGGTCAACGAGCTGATAAGGGGCCTCAACCCACGACCCAACACGTGGAGCAAACTTACTCTTTGTTCTCTTCTCAAAGCCCAAAGGTTTAAATTTCTAATCCATAGTGTCACAAATCCTCGAAGTCCATGGAAGAATGGTGAGTGTTGAGCTGGCCATTTGGTGAGCCTGAGTGGGGTAGGCGCCTGAACATGCAGCATCTGGAGCATTGAGACCCGAATATATGTTGCGCGTTGAAGGGACAGAACAACACAGCCAGTCCTCACGTTGGGAGTTGAGGAGACTCGAAGAGTAGGCAAAAAACGCCAGCAATGCTGGAGAACTCAACCAACTCTGGGAGTTTGGTTGTCCTGTGCAAGGAACACGCGGGGCGCCGGTGAGGTTAGGCTCCACCTGTTCATTAAGTTCATCGATAAACGTCAGGAAGCTTGCATTCTGGGCTGTCATCGTTCTTCGTGCCTGAGACAGTCAGATAGTCACATGAACCAAAGATAAGAAGTCAAAGGTCGGTGCTGAGCGGTGGGCTCCAGCGAAGACAAGTCTCACCGGAGCCGGCCGAGTCTCGGTGCCTGGGACTCGGAGTTTTCAGAAGATAGCGCCGATCTGCTCTGCTCCATGCACCGATCGTCACGGGGTATTTATTTTACACAGTATTGCTCTTCCCGGACACGTGGGGCGAAAAATTGCTTGTGCAATTTAATTTCGACCTTACTCAGTTACTACCCTTTAACTACCAAGTATTTTTTTTTGCTAAATCTAAAGGTATAGGTTTATTCTTAAGAAGCCTTTAAATACTTTGAAATTTTTCCAGATTTTTAAACTTATGATTGGTGGCTATTTTGTCGTTAAGTGTAAAATTATTATTGAGATGTCACAAGCGATCTTTCGCTCCACGTGCCGGACATCCCGGATGTCGATTCCGAAAATACCTCATCACCGGAGAAGGCTCCGACGGTGAAGCGGCGAACTACTCGGTGAACGTCAAGCTGAGTCAGCTGTTCCTTGGGCACTCTTCATGACAATCCAACCCAATGAGATTGTACTTAAAAATCCTCTGTCATGAATGGTCCAAATACTTTGCTCACGGAGGTGAATCGGGTTCTCTGTGCCAAGGTTTCTTGAGACGTCGTCGGTCACCAAAAGTCATCGTCCTACACATGCTGGCACAGAAATACGGTACGTAGTGGTGTGGCCCAAGTGTAGAAGAGATGATGCCGAGTCGGCCCAAGATATTTATTCGGACCCATCTGCCCCGGACGATCAAGAACGTACATGATTGTCCTCCTGACCCTCCATCTCAGCCTATGATCCTGTTCCGCTGTCGCATGAGGAGGGTGGTAAGACGACGCTTCAGCTGCGCGATCTCGGGGTTTCCTGCAGGCAATAAATGCAGCGTTGACAGACAGACAAGGCGGCATTTTGACATTTCCGACTGTTTGATGGATGGGTCATGCGACAAGGGAATTCCATCTGATGAAGAAGGAGGGGCAATCTCTTCTCCAAATCGGAGCAATGCGATGAGGGATGTGACGTTAGATGCTACCATGTCGTTGTTAATGTTGTTTTATCTTTCCAAGGTGATATTTTGCTTTATCTTTGGCATTCTTATTTTCTTATCAGTTAGGATCCGAGTTGGGCAAGAGCGACGTTGGAAGAAGAGGTTGGGGCTTCGCTCTTGGCTTTCCGTTTTCTTCTTCGTTGACGCAAGAATTCAGCTAGGGCGGCAGGCCGCTTGGCGGTCTGTGCTGAGGCGTGGGATGCTTCCTGCCCTATCTTTGCTAGCGCCATCGGAACTGTGGGCCATCAAGGTTCTCACTGCGCGGGGCATTGTTTGATTGACATGACAGATGCAAGTCACTGCTTGACAGCAATTTCTAGATAGAAGGGATCCCAGGTTCTCAGGTCTGGAGTGAGATTTGTGAAAGCTTCTGGAAGGGGCATCGAACAACATGAGAGTCGAGTGCATTTTGTGGTATTCGTTAGCAGGCGGCGACTTGATGATGGTGGAGCCGCCGAATCAAGATCTCAGGTTCTTGACGTTGTATCAATGCTCGTGAAAAATAGACTGGAGGCCAAGGGCAGCCCCCTTTATCAGATCTTACAAAATTCTCTGTCATGTCGGGTCAGAGTCTGATATCATGTAGTTCCACAGCTTCTAGACAGGTTTTCTACCAGAGGCATCCAATTGTGCAGGTTCACACCTCAGTGAAAAGAACGAAAGACATTTCGCAAGAAGTGATGTTGAACCATTATATTGTAATATTATTTAAGTATTTGAACTATCTGTCTTTCCTGCTAGATAGGAAGCTTGTTCAGCCAATCCTGACAGCCCAGCATCACTGGCGAGATGTCCTCTGCATCAAACTTTGTTAAGGATTACAAGAGATAAATGATACATGTCAAAATACAGTCGGTGACTATTTGCTGGTATTTACCCCCCCTAAACTTAGAGAACCATGGCAACGATGGCAGCAACACCGGCGGCAAGGCTGAGGCCAGTGATCTGGGCAGCGCCAGCAGTCGAGGTGGAGGAGGTGGTGGCGGCCTCGGAGTCGGCGCCGGTGTTTGTAGTAGTGACGACGATAAGAGTGGACGAAGCAGTACGATGACCATCGCAGTGCCAGTGATCTCCATGAGCCTCACATCCATATGATTCGGTAGGGCTGGGCTTGATGCTACCAGTGCCGGGAGCATCAGTGTGGTCATCCTCATCGTCGGTGTGGTCATGATCATGGTCATGGTCATCACCATCACTGTCGTGATCATGGTGAGCTGCACCCGTGGTGACTACAGGAGCCACGCCAGTGGCCGTCCCGGTAGTCACGACAGCATCGGTGACCCTGGGTCCCTCACAGTCCCTGAAGTAGTGAGGTTAGTATGCCTTCAGGCTTACAGCACTAATTAAAACCAAAGCTTACCAGTGGTCATTGTGAGGCACACAGCCGATGGACTCGGTGGGAGATGGTCCAGGATCGGCCGTGGTCTGCCCCAAAGCGGTGGACAGAGCACCCAACAGCAAAGCGGCATACGTGACGGCCTTCATCTTGGCTTGCGGTGAGTCTTGGGGTTTGGGTGGACGGACAGGTGAGACTGAAGGTGTACGGGCGAGATGGGATGGACCGGATGCCTCTCTGCGTTATAAGACGGTCTTTAAAGCGAGGTAATACAGCCAGCCACAGCCAACCATCCCATGTCACCATGCCACCCTCAATGTTCATGCGCTGCCCCAGTGCCGCCCATCACCTCACCGAAACTCCCATGTACCCAGTCAAAAATAGGGACTGCTGCCGTCATTCGAGACAGCATGGCAAGTGGGACGGCTGGCATCAGATGAATTTCAAACGAACCATTGGCCGCGAAGTGGTGCCGTTCGCTGCCAAGACACTCCAAGACATTGGTTAACCGATGGGTTTAGCCTGACAGGTCCGCTTTGAGCAAGACAATGTTGTAGCGAAATGCAGGCTTTGGACAGACGATCAGTGGTCCTCGTTTGTTTGTGCAACAAAGTCGAGGTGTTGGAATGGGGCGTTGGCTTGTCTTGTCTTTCCAAAACTGATGGGCTTTGACCAGCGTGGAAGGGTGGACCGGAGGACAGAGTGGGTCTCGTAGCCTTGGCTTTTTGTTAGCGATGGCCATCAAGGTTCTCAGCCCGCCGCGCATTTGCCGGGCACCTTGATGGGCAGCTCAAGATTGCTTGCAGTTCTGGGCATCGTTTCAGCCAATCAACACAAAGAGATTTTTTTTTTCTTGCTCAATCCCGCCCTTGACGATGTGGATTTCGTCGCATGTCGCCCAACTCGGCCACTCACCCGCAGCAGCCAGTCTGGGATTCGCGTGGTGGAGTTGGTCTTGGAGTCACCATGGAGCCCATGGAGCCCATGGAGCAAACGGGATTCGAGCACGCAACGACTCCATCCAAGGCCCCTCCACGAGCCCCTCTATGCGCTGAATTTTCCCATCTCAGCGATCCCCAAGTCCTTTTTTGTTTTCTGTCTCTCCTTCCCTCGTGGCTATCCCGTGTTCCCAGTCTTCTATCGTCTCTTTCCCTTCCCCGGAATTCGAACCTACGCCAGGTACCAGACGGCCCACGACCACGCGAGTAACTTGTGCTTCGCGCACAAGACTACGGCTACCTACAGGACGCCCACGCCACGACCGCAACGTGCTGTGCACCTTGACGGTCAGTCACAACCTTGACGGCTCGATTTGTGGACACAGCTGCTGCAAGACCTGGAACTTGGCAGCCACTCCCACCGTCACTGTTCTGTGTAGCCCCCCACGAGCCAGGACATGAGCTGAGGAGAAGCAACCAAAGATACCCCCTCAATTGCCTCGCTTTAAAATCCCCTGTGCTATCCCGCGCCTTGTACGCCCATATCTATATCAAGCGCTCCGACAGGTTCACAGCAGCAGCATCACCCTTGGTCTTCGGTTACATACCTTCTATCACATCATGTTTCAAAGCCTGCCTGCCATACGGGCGTCGCTCCTCTATGGACTGTTAGCCGCTCCATCTCTTAGCCTCGTCTCAGCAAGCCCTTCACCAATCGACGCCCGTCATGTCGTGACAGATCCTGCCAGAGTAGTTGCACAAGCAACCGTCACTGCTGTGTCAGAGTGCCACGCCCACGGTACTAATTATTATTGTCAAGCCGGAGTGACAGAGTTTCGCATTGTTGGCTCCGAGACTGCCGCCTCATACACGGATTGCCATCCACACGGCGCAAAGACGTAAGCACTCGCCCTCCATAGGTCTCACCATACACGGTTTGCTAAAAGGTCTACCCTATAGGTACTGTGTAGGACCAAAGTCTGATGAGGTAGAAATTGTCCTTGCTGCCGCTACGGCACCTGCGGTAACAGCATCCCCAACGGCGACTGGCAGTTCGAGCTTGACTGCCGTTAGCGCTTGCCATCTCCACGGGTCTGAGCTGTAAGTACAACCTCCAACCACTCCATTATTGACCCACCGCTGACACGGCCTTGAAGCCTTTGTATGCACGGGGCAACCGAGTATAAGGTCCACACAACTGTCACTGCTACTGCTACACAAGATCTCCCAGCACAGTTTACCGGTTGCCATGCCCATGGTGCTGAGACATACTGCAATGGCCCAACCGGAGAGGAAGTTGAGATCACCCTGGCCACCGCTGAGGAGGACCACGACGACCACGGTCATGAAGACTCGGAGGAACTTGATTGCCACTTCCACGCTGGCGTCGAGCATTGCGTCGGCAAAGGGGGCGAGAAGGTTGCCAACACCTGCGAAAGAACGCAGCGTGACTACAACATCAAGCTTCGTGTTGGCTTGTTGTTCGTCATGTTGGCTACCAGCTCCATCGGTGTCTTCACTCCCATTCTCATCTCATCCTTTGTGTCGCCCAACCACATCGTATTTACCATTCTCAGACAGTTCGGCACTGGCGTCATCATCTCAACCGCTTTTGTCCACCTCTACACTCATGCTGTACTAATGTTCCAGAACGAATGCCTCGGCAAGCTGCAGTACGAAGCCACAGCCTCTGCCATCCTCATGGCAGGCATCTTCCTTTCCTTCCTCATCGAGTATCTTGGCGTTCGTTTCGTCCAATGGCACCAAGCCAAGCAACAGGCCCACAAGGCTGTTTCCAGCGACGGTGAGCAGCAAGGCCCGGCCCCAGGCAAAACCGACATGGTCAACATCACCGTTCTTGAAGCCGGCGTCATCTTCCACTCCCTTCTTATCGGCCTCACTGTAGTCGTCGCCGGTGATTCCTTCTTTGGCACCCTGTTTGCCGTCATTGTTTTCCACCAAATGTTCGAAGGCATCGCTCTTGGCACCCGCATCGCCGCCCTCGGTCACCCCAGCGCTGCCACCGCCCACAGCGGCGTTCACGGCCACGGTCACGGTCCGGGTCATGCGCACTACCACCCCGAGCCAAAGCCCGCCGCTGAGATCGCCCCCGCCGGAGAGATCGTTGCCCATGCTCCCAAGGAAGGCCACAACCACGAACACGGCCACGACCACCTCGCCCTCCCTGATGCGCACAAGACGGCCAAGAGCGGAAGCGTTTCGTCCTCCGAGAACAGCACCACTGCGGGCGAACTCGCCCCTCACGTCCCCATGTTCAAGAAGCTCATGCTTGCCTTGGCTTTCGCCTTGGTCACACCCATCGGCATGGGCATCGGTATCGGCGTTCTTCACACATTCAACGGCAACGACCCTTCGACTATCATCGCTATTGGCACCCTCGACGCCTTCTCAGCCGGTATCCTCGTGTGGGTTGGTGTGGTGGAGATGTGGGCTCACGACTGGATGTTGGGAGGGGAGATGACCAATTCTGGGCCGCTGAAGACCGCTCTGGGGTTGATTTCCATGGTGGTTGGCTTGGCGGTCATGAGCTTGTTGGGCAAATGGGCGTAAATAGGTTTTTGGATATGTGGGTTTTGTTTATACTGGGCTTTCCGGATATGATGTGGTTTTTTTTTTTGGACAGAAAAGGGATATGATACCATCATGACATATTGTTATCTTGGAGGATTTGGAATTTTGGGAGGAAAGGATCTCACTTTTAGCGTTGGGCGTTGCGGCGTCATGCAATTTACATACCTCCAAGGTTGTTGTTCACCTGCGGGTGCAACAGGGAAACGATGAAAGGGGAATTTCGGAAATGATAGTAGTTTGGAGGAATGTGTGTTGATAAATGGTCATGTATATTTGATGTATCTACTTGGGGATGAATCTACGAAGCATGAGGTGACAAACCCGTTGTTTCTTTGTCTGTTCTACTCGGTATTGTGAACACCGAATTCAGCAACCGTGATCCACACAAAACTTGCATGATGTGAAGGAGACCAAAACTAAAGCTTTGTTTATGTCCAGATATGCTGGGTTGATAGATAATCAGGAGTATAATCAAGATTATATCGCTACACCATGCTCAGTACAACTTGTACGACTTTTCATCGACAGTTATGCAATTCAATCTAATTATTACAAGTCGCCTATCTGTCTATAATTTCCGTCTAATCTAACTATCCATCCGGGTATCTATCAATCAACAAGGTAGTACCACCTTACATACTTTTTCCAGTTGCAACACAAAATAAGCCACCATCAATGTCCACACATCATGCACAATGCTCTGCGCCCAACCCCATTTCCATGCGTCTTCTTCTTTCCATCTGCTACGTGAGCACCTCAAATGCCAGGCCCCCACGTACTGCTCGTCCTCCCGCCCGTCGTCTCCAGTTCATATCTCCCCAGACTCTCCTGCCAGTTTTGCCAGTCAAAGCCCTCGTCTACGTTCATATCTACATCATCCAAACTACCCATGTTCGGCATCCGCAGGAAATCAGGCGATCCTGTGTTGATGGGCCACATCCAAGGGGGCACCTGCTCCAGTTGCTGCGGGGACTGCTGCATGCCGCGTTGCTGTTGTTGCTGTTGTTGCTGTTGCTGCTGCTGTTGGAGATGTTGCTGCTGTGCCTGCTGACGTTGTTGTGGCTGTAGCTGTACCGGTGTTCCTAACGACGAAGTAGAGTTGTTGTAGTTCGGTGTGGGGGCCGCATTGAAGTCCAGTCCGGATGGAGGATATCCAAAGGCCTGGGTATGGTGAACATAATCGGCCATGTCCCCGTAGAATAAGGGAGCGAAGTCTGTTGAGACAAAGGGGGTAGAGTTGCTCATGGCCGAGTCAATGTAGTCGATGACCTCGGGCTTAGTCGCCATCCTCACGTGGGTAATGTCATTCAGTTGTGAGAGTATTGGTTGGGCTTGGCCGGCTAGTTGCTGGTGCTGCCCTCGAGAAGCCGATGTCCCTGATTGTGTCGGTTCATGGACCTCTTCTGCTTGTTCGTCCAGCAACTCCTGTGGCAGAGGTGGTGCATTGACCAATTTGCGCCACTGTTCGAGAGCCATCACACGTTTCATCGATCCCGGGATTTCGCGAATACTGGTAGGAGTTGTGTTGCAGCGGTCCCTCAACTCCAGCTCCCGTGCAGCGTCGGGGTCGTTTTGAAGTCGCGCAATCTCAGCTGCACGGTGTTTAGCTGCCTTGTCGTACAACTTCCTCAAGGGCACCCACACCGCATGATGGCCCGCAAGTTTCTCTAGTTCGGCAGAATTGGGAGCTGCGAACCTTAGATTCAACGCTGTCCAAGCACGCTCAGCTTTTGGACCCCATGGCCTATGAGACACCTCGATCAGGGTGTAAGCGACTGCATGCCACTGGCTATAGGTCTGGAAGAGCCATCGCCATTGCTTGCACCTTTCGTCCGTGTTCAAAATATGAGCGTACTCAAATACCTCGAGAGAGGCATTGAACAGACGACCTCGCACTTCGTCTGTAAGATACTCATTGCCCGGACCCGGAAACAAAACTGGCTGGTAGATGACAAGCATCATCTTGGCACAGATGACCCGCGTGATGTTGGCGGCTGCCCAGTACATGGGCTCTGAACTGTCCTTGAGATATTGTTCCTCCACGCGTCGTTGAGTGTCTACCAGCATTTTTTCCCGCTCTTCAAGCGAAACGCCCGCCTCACGGGGGTTCACTGTTGCCATGGCCGAAGACATGGTGTGCAAGCTTCTGGCCAAGGAGCACATCTCGTATCGGATCAACGAAAAGGTCATGTCGGTAGTTCCAACCCGCGGTTCGGGGAGACATTTGCTCTCTGGGGAGATGTCGGTGTCGTTGAGGTTCATGGGGTATTGCGTATCGAATGTCTGGTCCACAACAGTAAGATCCGTCCCTTGATCCTCGGCTGATCTAAGATCCAGCACGCAGACAGCCCAAAAAAGCCTTCTTCGCATCTCAATCTCAAAAGGCGTGATGTTGTCGAAATGGGTCCCGTCGCGGTGGAGTCCCAATGCTTGGCTGATCCTGATCAGAAGCCCTGTCAAAGTCCAGGCAAACCTTGTATCATCGTGTCGACGAACAAGGACCAAGAACAGAAGGAATGCTTGTGCCACCACCAGATCCGGCGTCGTTAAGAGGTTAGCTTTGCCAAGCGCTTGTTCCAATGCGAAGCGATATTTTTGAAGTAGAACATCCTTCTCGGCATCGAAATTACGTCGCACCTGAAAGGAGTGTGAGCATAGTGGTGGCGGATAGGAGTAACAGTGCGTGACCATACCTCTTCTTCATCCAAAGATGTTATGGATGCGTAATAGATGGAAAACATCAAGGCCTCGGTGGAGGGCGTGAGAGTGTCTAGGTTGCGTCGGAGATCTCGAATGAGCTTGTTCATGGTGGGAACATGGAGCACCTTGAGGATCGGATCAACATTTTCCTGGAATACCTGCCAGATAAACGGGATCTGAGATGGTAATGGGTGCAGAGGCCTGAGATCAACTTCGGACGAGCTATAGCCCATAATCCAAGATTGATGAGATAGGACCGAAGGTTTTACATGCTCAGAGGACTCGGGGGTAGCTTCGTCGTCCGAGTCTTCCGACTCATCGTGAAAGTGTTCGGATTCCCTTCTGATCTCGTCCAGCTTTGAGAGTGTTAGCCTGGCATGGACATAACACCAGTTGCGGCATCTTAATAATTACATACCTCATCCGTAATACTGGACCAAAGCCCGCTGGACACATAACGTGTGCCTCCTCGCTCGTTCAACATCAAGCGTCCGAATTGCTTGTGCACATCCGGTGAAAGCTTGCCAAGCCGGTCCGGCTCGGAAATAGCCGTCCCGGAAATAGTTCTTGTTGGCGCCTTCGGGATGTCGGGCGTGGTGACGTTGGCGGTGACAGCAGCATGGCTGGTGGAATAAGCAGGAGCAGTTGGTCTCCCCCCAGGTGTATAATGGTCTTGTCCGCTGTTGTACGCCGTCGTCCCCTCGGGAGAGTTTCCGGCGCTGCGCGCTGCTTCCACTTCAATCTGACCGCTGAGCTCCTCCACAATTCCCTCAAGTTTCCGCAAGCGCCTCATCAACTCCAACTCTCGCTCACTCGACGGTTGCTTGGCCGGGGCATTGGGGTCTTTGGGGCGCGGACGACGAGGAGCGCGGCCGGGGGCCGGGAAGATACATGGTATCTGGGCTCGGCAGCAGTTCGAACATGGCATGTGCTTATCGCAGCGAACCTTCCTCCTCCTGCATGTCACACAGCTGCGCGGATTGAGGGCGTTTGATGGGATTGCCGAGGGTGAATAGACGGAGGCGCCGGGAGGAGGATGGCGCGCAAGCGCCAATATTTGCTGCGGATCGTAGCCGTCCTGGGCGCTCGTGATGGAGCCAACATCGGTGTTGGGGCTGTCGGCCGATACCAGGCTCCGGCCAGCGATACTTGCACCGTCGGGCATCGTGACTTAGAGTTGGGGTGGGATGGAGTGGCGCGCGAGATGCGGTAAGACAGAGAGGACGAAGGCGGCGGCGGGGTTCCACAGATGAGTAAAGGGCGTCGGGTTTTGTGGATGGCGGTGGCGGTCACCTCGAATCGACAAATTCGTATCTGCTCTCGCGTATGAGTGCTCTCAACATGCCATGCGATGCGTGCGAGCGAATGGGCACCGGATGCCCGACCGTATTCATTGATGGTGGCACGGATATTTTGTGATGCTGTTGTCGACTTGGAGAAGACAAAGGCCTTGCTCCCAAGTCACTAGACTAATTCCTGGTGGGGGCTGACAACGCCTCGAGCCAAGACTGGAGAGGATTCTCATGGCCCGTGCTCACCTTTCCCACTTTGTTTGGAGTTTCATCAAAGCTTTCAAGTTTCAAAAACACCATCCGACGACCCGGATCCAGACCATGAATTAGCCTTGGGTTCCTCAAGTTCACCTTTTATCCCCATTGACCTTGCCTACCAAGTTTCCGAATCATCTCCGGGGCCAGCAAACTCAATTAATGGGCCGGTATTTGTGGCAGCAGTGTCATTTCGAGATGCACATTTTGGCAAAGCCCTATCTAAAAATGTCTCCAGGATAACACGCTACTGACCAAAAGGTTGCAGAATTCAAGACAGAACAACTAGCCCAGCCTCTCCTCCGCCTTCGGCCCGGTCCTCATAGACACAACATTACTCGGCGTTCGGCGACCACTCGGGCTCCAGGGCCTTTTATCTTGCTATCGCATCTCGCCAGTATTCGATGGTCTAGAATTTTGATAGCCGCACGCGCTTCATCTGTAGCCTTGAGATTCTGGATCTGTCCAATCGTCCTTCACCAAACATGCTTCAAACCCAATCCCCCAAGAATAGCTGGTGTCCGATCGATCGCATCACCAACCATCACGCCATCCAAACTTGATTCTTCTTCATTGGAACTTTCCTCCAATTCCACGTGTCCCCCTTGTTCTCCTTGTATTGTCGACCGGCCTCCACTACATCAGGCTCTCGATATTAGGATGATCCCTGAGCAAATTCAATATGGGCAGAAAAAACTTTTGCTCCCCTTGTTGACCGCTCCCACTTCCACCGGTATCCCCACCTATCAGCGCCTTGACGTCAGACCAACTCTTCCAGAACCACCCTGCGCATTTCTCAGGCTCCAGTACCTGTGGTAAGATTTATTAGCCTCATGTATTTGTTTCTGGCTGTGCAAAGAAAAGACCAGCATCACTTACAGCCGGTTCCTGGTCATCGGTTCTCTCGCAGAGTATGAACAAAGTGATGTAATGCTTCTTCTCCTCGTCAAACACATCGTTGGTTGTGGCCAGCAACTTCTTGGCCCTGACTAGCAATCCAGTCTCCTCGAGCGTTTCTCTTTCAGCGCAAGCGAACCACGACTCGCCTACCTCCAGGTGACCGCCCGGGAATTGTATCGTTCCTTGAAAATTGCATGAGTAGGATGCCTCAATACTCGAAAGATAATTTGTTAGGAAGCATACCATTTCCGTGAGAGGCCTTTCTTGTCCCAAAGATCAACTTGTTGGTCTTGGGGTCGTGAATCACAGCTGCGACACCCACACGAACAACTGGAGTAGCCATGTTGAGTTGACTTGAGAGAACTTTTTGGGCAGTCAGACACAGCAGACACAGCGCATATCAAAGCTAGAAGATCTCTGAGATTCCGCAGCAATATGCCTGTTGTCCTCTCTACTCAGCCCCTGGCTTTCTTACAGGCACACAGAGAGGTTCTTCGGAAAGGGTGCATTCATAGCCCTTGATGAGACTTTTGCTTACAACGCCAGCTGCCCGTCAGTTGGCCATACGGTAGGATAGAGAAAACGCCAAGTGCCAAGACTCTGCTGTCATCCGGTGCCAAGTACTTGGCTTTTCCTTTGACAAAGACGGCATCATCTCATTTAACTGGACCACTTGGACTTCTACCATTGTCAACACCTAACTCCAAGTGTTACATACCTAACCCTCTTCCCGCAGTCTCAGCGGTGTCTGTTGACAAAGTATCATCTTTTCGAGGTGCATGACTCACCTGTGAGGAATTGAAACCATGAAGGAATCATGGGACTCAAGATTATCGTGTTATCTGCTAACCGTTGAGGTTGTGGAAGGCTCATACGCAAGGCTTTTTATAAAGGAATAGCTTAACTTCCTCCGGCTCCCTTTCATATCCGGCGGATATGTTGATGCTGCACAAGGCAGCATCCAGCCTACTATCAGATAGTTCTAGGGGACCTTGATTCCAAAACTATCTCAGCCAAATCCGCCAGAGCTGAGAAGGAAAATGAGCGTATTGCCGTTCATGGGGGTATAAAAGCCTTCAAAAATATCAATCATCATATAGACACCCAAAATGCGAGGTAAGTCCAGAAACCCATGGCACCTCCTCATGATCTCGATTCTCGATATGGCTCAGAGTCTGTGTTCCTCACGCCTCCGACCTGATGTATCTGCAAGGTCACCTCCACTAGTCTCGTCAACGCACATAAAGGAGGGCCAAGTCCCTTGCGCAATACGAGCTGACTAGACCGAGCCGCGGAACGGTCCGGACCCCAGGCCGGAGGGTCTTGCCTAGTACAGAAGGCAGAGCTAAAAGGCTCGCGTGGGCTTGCAGTTCGGAGATGGACGGGAGGGATGCTTTTACCGACCCAATCGGCACGCTTTATCTCTACACACTGTGCTATCGGTACGCTATCGGGACATGTCACAATGCTCGAATTCGCACAGAAACTTTTAACGCCAAAAGCGTCACCCAGTGACGAGTAACATACTGTAGTATCGCATCCTCACACTAGGCTGTTAGTGGGCAAGATCATCTTGTAAGTGCCAGATACACAGTATGCTGAGGAAAATCGAAACAGATCACAGATTTCTACCACGCTTATCTATTGGTCGAAACCCGACTGACATCTTCTACAGCGGGCGCTAGAAACCAACAAGCTTTCGCTGGTGACTCGACGGCCCTAAGACGGGGATTGTTTGCCATGACATTAAAGCGGTCAGTCGCAGGGCTCGTGTTTGCAATTGCAAGACCATGGCCGAGATATTCTTAAAATAAAAGTTGACTTAACATAATATTCTTCTCCGTAGGCATTCATCTTGGAGCCGTACTTGATTTCGTCCCAACGCCTGATATCTTTGGAATCATATTATCCCACCATGTCGACACCCGCCCAACCATCTGCTGCAGATAGCCCTGAGACGGAAAAGCAGAAGTCTGACAAGGGCGAAATTGGCCCCGTCAATGCCACTTCGCCAGACGATTTGGACAAAGAGCAACCACAAGTCACAGACGATGGCGAACCAGTCAACCCCAATCACATCAATGGCCGCTCTCAAGGCAAGATCGCCCTGATTATGCTGGCTTTGTGCCTGGCTGTCTTCCTCGGCGCTCTAGACGTAACCATCGTCACTACGGCCCTTCCTACAATCAGTGACCACTTCCAGTCAAGTACAGGCTTCACATGGATTGGTTCTGCGTTTCTGCTCGCCAATGCCGCATCAATCCCGTCATGGGGCAAGATCTCAGACATATTCGGCCGCAAGCCCATGCTCCTGCTTGCCAACGCCATCTTCATGATTGGATCTCTTATCTGCGCTGTCTCCAACAACATTGGTATGCTCATCGCTGGCCGCGCTGTTCAGGGTCTTGGTGGGGGTGGTTTGACCATTCTTGTAAAGATTGTTATCGGCGACATCTTCCCTCTGAACATTCGGAGTGTTTTCTATGGTGTCATCGGCGGTGTTTGGGCAGTCGCTGCGGCAACAGGTCCGGCCATTGGTGGTGCGTTTACTGAGAAGGTGTCATGGCGATGGTATGTTCAAGCTCACTCAGGCCAGTTAACCTTTGCTAATAGATCTAGGTGCTTTTACATCAACCTCCCTCTTGACGGTTTTGCCTTCCTCATTATCCTCTTTTTTCTCGATCTCCACACACCACGGACACCGCTCATTGAAGGCCTCAAAGCTATCGACTGGGTGGGCTCTTTTTTGGTAGTTGCCGGCACGCTCATGTTCCTCTTCGGTCTTGAATACGGCGGTGTTTCAGCACCTTGGAACTCGGTTGAAGTTATCTGCCTTCTCGTCTTTGGCCTGCTCACCTGGGCGCTTTTCATCTTCTGGGAGGCGCGTTACGCCACACTTCCTGTCATGCCAATGTCCTTGTTCAGAAACGTGAGCAACGCCGCGACCCTCTTCTGCGTCTTCATTCAAGGAGTCGTCTTTATCTCGGCATCCTTCTTCCTCCCGCTCTACTTTCAGGCCGTGCGTGGAAACACCCCTATCGAGTCAGGTCTTTACGTTCTCCCTACCGCTCTCTCGCTCTCCTTTGGGAGTCTCGCGACCGGATGGCTGGTTGCGAGAACCGGTTGGTACAGACCGCCCATCATTTTCGGGTTGTTCATGATGACCCTCGGTTTTGGCTTGTTCATCGACCTGGACGCCTACAGTGGCTGGGCAAAACTTGTTCTCTACCAGCTTGTGGCAGGTGTGGGTGTTGGCCCCCTCTTTCAAGCGCCTATCATCGCCCTCCACGCACATACTGAACCTCGTGATGTCGCAACCGCCACATCAACCCTCGGCTTCATCCGTCAGATTGCCCAGGCCATCTCTGTTGTTATCGGCCAGGTGGTCTATCAAAACGAAAAACTCAAACAGTACCCCGTCCTGGTCGCCGCTGGCATCTCCCCTGCTCTGTCAAGGGTCCTTTCTTCCGGAGAGGCTGGTGGCGCTGACATCGACATCATCGCGAACCTTCCGTTAGACCAACGCGACGCTGTCCGTGTTGCTCTGGCAGACTCTCTCGAGCCCATGTGGATCATGTACACTTGTATCACGGCCGCTGGCTTACTCGCTTCCTTCCTGATCCGGAAGAAGGTGTTGACCGATGTGCATGTAGAAACCAAGACTGGGTTGGAAGCTGAACGTGAGAATGCGGAGGCTCGACGTCGTGAGCGTGAAATGAGGAAGGAGAAGAAGGGGGCATCACCGGCTTGATATGTTGGTAGTTTACAGGATAGAGGATGGGGCACCGCTGCGTTGCGTGCACCACCAATTCTCTGTGTAAACAGAGCAGCTGTTCCAAGTGTTCTATACGGAGTACATGGGGTAGCTTTGCAGATACCTCACCATAGAGCACCCCCTGAACCTCTGACTCCCCCCTTCCCCCCAGCCGGCCGGCAACCAACTGCCGAACCCACCAAGCATAACCCTTGCCACCATTCCACCCATCAAGCAAAACCCGACCAAACCTTGTTTCCGCATGCACACAAGAGTCAGGAATCACACCCGCATGAAAACCCTTTCTTCCATCCCGGAACACCAACAACAACAACAGACAAAACCAGCCCGGCTAGCGCAATGGTAGCGCGTAAGACTTCTACTTTCTCTCTTCTGATCTCATATGAGTTGGATTCAAAGTGATCTTAAGGCTGTGGGTTCGAGTCCCACGTCGGGCTTTCTTTTTGCTTTTTTGTGACTCGACACACATGAAAAAGCAACTACCTTACTTTGTTCATTGTGATGTTTCTTTTTCTCAAAGGACCTGGTCCTTATCCTCACTATTGCCGAGGTTGCCATATCCTAAAGATCCATCCCCCGCTTGCCTCCCAACCTTCACACTGCTCACTCACAAAAGCCATCATGCATCAACATCTCATTATCATTCTAACATTATCTGCCTCCCCTCGTCCCCAACATACAAAAAAGAAAAAAGGGTATCAAGCAGACCTTTTGTTACCCGCTTTCTTTTCTTTCCTCAGGTGTTTTCCCATCATCACTTATCCTCACCCAAAATATCTACTCAATGCCCAATATCTTCCCCTTCAATCCACAACCCCAACCCAACGAAGGATGACCCTGTTCACTATCCTGCTAGATAATTCCCTCAAACCAAATAATAAACCACGCCAGAAATGTACTCCCATTTACACAAGTTCAATATGCAAGAGCCCCCACCGTTTCTTTTCCATTTTTTTTCACTAAACCGCCCCTCAAAAAAAGGAAAAAGTTTCATCCCTCATAAACATATCCTCATCACATAAAATACCACAGTCATGTACAACCTCACCTCAACCCACCAGGCCCCTTCTCCACAACAAACCTCACCGGCCTCCTCAAACTCTTATTCACCACCCCCCGTGGCGGAATAACAGGCCTCATAACCGGCCCAGGACCCAAAGGCTTGACCCCCGGCAATGGTGGCGGTCCCATATTCGTCCTTATATTCCCCCCTCTAGACACCCTCCCACCCCCACCGACACTCCCATATCCGACTCCTCCAGGCCCCATCTTTCCCCCAGGTGTATTCCGCACGCTACTAATCCCATTCTGCGATCCAATGACCCAAGCCTCCCCATTTTTTCCCCTCTGCTCACTAACGCCATTCCGCTCATCATACCCCCACCTCCCCACGCCGCCCCCAATCAACCAGCTCCCCAGGTTCTTGCACTGGCTCACGTCAAGCCACTCCAGCGCCGGGCAGTTCTCCAGCACGTTTTCCACCCCGTTACCCGTCACTCGCACACAACCCCTGACACTCAACCCCCGGAGTTCGTTGAGGTGGAGGGAGATGCACCCCAGACTGGCGTCACTGACAGCACTACCGCAAAACGCGAGACGGAGTTCCTTCAGATTGGGCAGACCAATCGAAACAACTTCAGTTGCCGTGTCGGAGAGCGCGCAGCAAAAACTCAAGTCGAGGTGTGTAAGCCCCTTGGCGGCGTTGACAAGGGCAATGATGCTGTTGTCAGAGAGGTAGGTACAGTCAGCCAGGCACAAGTGGGTGAGCTCGGTGAACCGATAGGCTCCCCACTGCTGGAACCCGGCGTCGGTGATAGAGGTGCATCGGGTGAGGGAAAGAGACTCGAGGCGATTGGACGCATGAGCAGCCAAGTGCGCCATGGAGCGGTCCGTAATGTGCTTGCAATACGAGAGGTTAAGGCGGCGGAGACGGGGACAGCCGATGACCGTGCCTGGAGGTGGAGGTTGAGGCGCTCCTGGTTGTCCGGCCTGTTGCTGTCCTCGTTGTTGGTACTGCGAGGATCTCCTGCCCTTCGCAGCAGAGCTAGAGATTACCACATTCTTGTGGTTCTCGCGTGGTGGCGGTGGTTCAGGCACCACCCAGCCCACTACCCTAGCAAGGAGGTTGTCGCCGACTTTGCGGCAGTTGCTCCAATCCACCTCCTCAAGCCCCTTGGCATTCTCGCTCATATCCAAAATGAGACCGGCAGACACGTCCCACACGCTGCGCATTTTCCACACCTTGATATTGCTGCCGCACGATCGGTACAATGCCTGGAAGCCCTCGTCGGTGATGTGGAAGCAGTTGCTGATATCTATTTTGCTTGGCCGCTGCCCAATAAAGGGCGCTAGGATATTGACCAAAGCCCAGTCATTGACTTTCCGATTGAACGGAGCGAGATCAATCTCGGTGCATAGGTTCGGACTCGTAGTCAACAGCTGACGCCACTTTCTACTGACGGCTCTCAATCGTATGAGCTCAAGCAGATCAAGGTGCTGAAAAACATGTACCCAAAGGTCATCTGATATGGCCGTTATCCTATCGCCTGGTTTCGTCGCGGAGCTCCGTGAAAGGGTCCTTGCGCGCTTAGCTGGTAGAGGACAGCCATCCGGAGAAACCGGGGATAGCGGCACCGTGATAGAAGTGACCGGCTGCACCTTCACGGGGCTGACGATGGCCGAGTTGTCTGTTTGAGGAACCGGTGGGGCCAGCGAGTTGCGACGCCGGTTACGAAGATTCTCCATGTCCACACTTAAAAAAGGATCCGGGTCAGACGGCTGTCTGGTGACATCTGAATCTTCACTTGCTGGGGAGCCGGGCTTGGATGGCGTCGTGAAGGTGACAGTCGGCAACGCCACCTCTATCTCATTCGATGTGGGCTTCTCTTCATCCGACGATAGCGCATGGCTTTCGGGGTCAGTCATATCCACGTCTTCGTCCGAAGAATGGTAGCGTTGCTTTGCTGTTTCTTCCACCTGTGACCTGACCTCCGGAGGACATCTCCTCCACAACTCTTCAAGCGCATCCCCACCAATCATCAGGCATTCTACGGCTGTGATGGATCGGACAGTAGCTGTTCTACCCTCTGCAAGCCCCAAGCTTGCCACCTCACCAAAATACTGGCCTTGTTTTAACCTTGGCCGCAAAAATGCTGACCTCGTGTCTCGCTTGAAGGCTGGTGGGCTCAGAGGTTCGTGAATGACTTCAGCTTCTCCCCGGACGATGAAGAAGATCTCATTTCCAGGGCTCCCTTGACGGACAATGTCGGTGAACGGTGAGTATGACTTTGGTTGTGCACTGAGGCCAAGGAAGTGCAAGATATCCGGAGGCAGGTTCGAGAAAAGAGGTAGCTCTTTGAGTGTTTTTCGGACGTTGACATAGCCGCCGCCGAGTGCGCTTCCACCAACTGTTGGATCCTCAATGACGCCTGGACTTGGAGACTTTCGCTTTTTGGTGTTGACAACGGCTCCCTCTTTGATGATACCAACTTCTCCTGTGCTAACCTCCCCAGGCACAGCTTCACGGGCTAATTGTGCGCCATTCGTGTCGGGAAGTCTGCTGCTCAGTCCGCTTTCTTGACGCTTCTTCTTGAGGATGGACAGTCTCTCCTGTGCTTCTTGACGGATAGCTGTACCCATTTCTGGATATTTGGGCAGCTCAGCTTGAAGATCCTCCTTCTTCAACACGGCCAGCATGCACTTCGTCCGCGCAACGATGGTAGCAGTTCTCGGCATGTCCATCAAAACCCCGATTTCTCCAAAGAAGGCACCGGGCTTCAGCTCTGCATAAACGGCCTCACCGTCACGAGATGTGACAGCAACAACGCCCCGGACTAGCCAATACATTGCTTTCGCTTCGTCTCCCTCGGTAAGGATGTGGTCATGGGCGGAATGGAGTTGGAGTTTGAGATGGGAGATGATGGCGGCAAGGAAATCGTCGGGGGCAGACATGAAGAGTGGAAAGGAACGTATGCGATCCACCAAGTCGAGGGGCATGTCGGGAATGGTGGAAGCAGTCAGTGGCGAGGGACGCACTGGTCGACTTGGGTTGGTTTCGACGTTGAACGATCTGATCACTGAAGATACCGAATCACGAGCCTGCTGTGCCGCCTGAGATGCCGCTCCATGCTGTGCATGATGGTGCGCCAGGGCCCGGTAGGGCGAGGTTGGCGGTGTCGGAGTTCGATTCCGTCGCATGTTGTCTTGGGTAGACCGGAAGGAAGCCCTCCCAGAAGCCGATGGAGTACGGTACCTGATGAGATTACCTAGAATGACCCCGAGTGTGACAGTGTATCGCGGGTAGCAATGGCTTCTCTCGCCCCGTGATGTCGTACAATGTAGAGGGCCCGGCTAGATCGAAATTAGGCGGTAACTGTTCATGCTATATCCAGCCAGCAACTACGACTTCCCTCACAAAAGGAAGACCAGGCACAGAGAAGTTGGGGAAACCAAGTTATGCACTCGCTTGTCCCTCGCTTGTTGAGGCTCGTCTTGGCCCGTGTGGGGAAAGAGTTGATATGGCAATGTATAGGCGGAGGCGCTGGTTTCTCAAACACACTACAAGGACGTTGGCGAATTGGATTGCGTGGGCCGATAGTTGTATGTGGAAGATCTGTTGATCGCGCAAAAACGGCTTGCGCATCCAAAGGCGCACTCGGTCTCGAACACAGTCAAGCGATTCGAAGGCCAATATCAGGCCTTCAGCAGAAGAAAGGGGCAAGGCAGCTCCTCTCGATCTTTAGTGACGGCCACGCGTAGGTTCGGAAAAGATGAGACTATAGCACCAAACTTGGTCAGTATCAATGCTTCTCCAGTGGTCCTGGCATGCCTTGCGCACCGCTTACTTGTGGTAAAAGAGCTGAAACACCCAAAAGCTGGATGGCAAGATTGTTCGGCGATATCACAGGTCAAAGTGTGGGGTGCACCCCCAAAGACGGAAAGAACACGGGATAGAGATCAGCCAGCGAGTCGGGATGCCTATGGGTGAATCTTTGATCGATGCTGCTGTTATGCTGAACAGAGACGAGACAGAGAAGGTGGAGGGAAGCAAGGGGTAGCTCGTTGGAGACGCTGGAGTCGTTTGGGTAGAAGATGTCTCGTCTGAAAGAGTCTGAAGGACTGTTGCTCTCGCGGTTCGGAGGAAAGGCAGTGGCATTCAGCCTCGATGCTGAAGAGCCACACGCTGTGCTTTTGGCAAACAAAGATTATGGACTATAGAGGTTGTTGTTGACATGGTGAGAGGTCATGGGGACCACGACAGGTAGCCGAACGGCGTGGTAATGGATGCCGGTGCCAAGCACGGCCTTGACAACTGGAAACAACTGGGATACAATCCGGCACTTTGGCCTCCTATGTACAGCAGCAAAGGAAGCAGAAGATGGGCGTTGCGATGGCCGGCGGCGGTGGAGCTGGAGGAGACAAAATGCTCGTGCTTTGGCCGATTCGGGGGAGGTGCAGACAGTTGAAGCAGAAAGGAGCTCCGTTCTTGTCGCGTCAGAGCTCGAGATTTGCGATTTGGGTAGGCTGCGGGCAGGGGCATTGAATGCGGGGCACGGCGCGCCAGGAGGCACGCTGCCAGCAAGCAAGATGCACCAGATGCAGACGATGCAGGGGTGGGGCATGACCTGCCTTCCTCTTTGTTATCTCTGCCTCCATCAGCGATGGGAGTTGTCTCTCCTTCCTGCGACATGTGCCGCGGAACGAGGTGCTCTACCTTAATGTGGTAGCCTAACATGACCAAGCTATAAGATCCCGAGACGGGATAGACGTTGGCGGTGCTCCCATCGCCTTGTCACTCGGGGTTCTGCCGCAAATCCAACAAAACTCCCCGTCACCTCACTACCTAGGATGATTGCACCCCACCATGCGCCATATGGGCCATTCCTACGGGAGTGGAGGTGCTACGAGTGCTCTGTAACCGCCCATTGCGACAGATACCAGATAGGAGTAGGAGACTGATATCGCTCAGTTATGGAATCGACACAATTGACTGAGTACAGGAAGCCCAGGCTGTGGGGCGTAAACGGGCAAATGGTGGTCTCCCATCATTCTTCAGCGGCGCAAGGAGCCGTGCAGCTGAGGGCGCCATGCTGCACGATGACGAGCTCGCTCTCCCAGCTCCGCGTGGTTCCAGCTTGCCAACGGCCCGCCAGGCAGTTGCTGAAGCTCTGTTCTCCATGCCTGAACTCAGTTAACTACTCATGGATGACGGTGATTCTGGCTTCGCGTTTCAGCCTGGGTTTGGTATTGGATACCGCCCAGGAACACTCAGGGTCCAGCGAATGCTGTGGTCACAGTGACCCCATACGCATCCGGGATGACCGGCATCTCTTCTGCCGCCTCAACCATGGATGGCCCGTGCTTTTTGTTCGAGAAGGATTCTAGCGTTGGACTGTGCGTCGGGCATGGGCCAATCTCTCCGTCTCGTCCCTGGGCTTGCCGTTGCGGACTTCTGCATATTTGACCCTGTCACCCTCTGCCCAGCCAACCAGACCGCCAAGAGACGAACGCCTGCATCAAGACGGTGTGTTTGACAGCGTGGTTATTCTGGGAAGTCGACCAAACACCTCTCTGATGAGCACCGTGGCACAGCATGAGGCGCGGGCTGAAAGGCTGAGTGAGAGCACGTCAAGAGGAGACATTGCGGGATTTCTAATGATATTTCTATTCTCCTAGTAGTACGGAGTAGACCTTCCATATGTAGCATCGCTTGTTAAGTAGACGACACACAAACGAAAGGACGAGCTTATATGTGGCTTGTTCGTTGAGACGAGAGAGGAAGGTGAGCTCTCCGATAAAGATGTCATGTCTTAGTTTTTTCTCATCGTCCCCGGGCTATTCAGCTCGGATCTCACGGTCTGAAAGAGTGCAAGTGGTTCAAGAGGTAGCGTTCATATCAGACTCCACCAACACCACATGGGAATTTTAGCTGAAGAATATTATCAAGTCCGCAAAGTCCATATCTCCATGGAAAAACTACCTATCTCCGAGCTGTGACTGGAAGCCGGCCCAAAACTTTGTCGTCATGAGGCCAAGATGTGTCATAGGGTTGGGGTTATTGCAGGCTGAACCCGGGTAGACGCGGGGTTGCTCGAAGCTTCCGGAAAGCTTGGGCCACCTTTTGGTGTTAGCTAAGCAAAAGCCCACCTCGAAACGTCATCTTCATTTTGCCTTTCGCCCTGGTGATGCACCACCGTTAAAAGTCCCTAGATCACACAACTCCTATTGGCGCCGTCATCATCGAGACAGCATCGACCACAACCAGAATAATGCCGTTCACACTTACGCTCCGCGCGGGGCTCGCCCCTCGTCTGGCGATGCAGTTTGCGAAGCCCCCGTCAGCAATGCGCGCCTTCCATCAATCAGCCAAGCAGAATACCTTCTTTACCTCGAGGACAGCACTCAGGTCCAAGAACAGCTCCAGCAACATTCTCGCCAGACTTCGAGGCTCCTCCCGTAGTTACCAGCAGCAGAGCGGCTATGCATACTACGATCCTGCAGCCCGCCGCAAGGAGACGGTGCGGAAGCTCATCATCGGCGGCGCCATCTTCGGCGGCACCCTCGTCGCTGTCAATGTCATGTTCAACGGGGAGTCGAGAGAGGGTGGCATGCCCAAGTTTGAGCGCCAGTATCTCAACCAGACCTTCCTCCACACTGGTCTTGGTGTCGGTATTATCGGCATGACAGCCTATCAGATGCTCCAAAGCGGATTTGTCTACAGACTCATGCAGACCAACCCTTGGGTTGTCGGCATCGGTGGTTTGGCTCTCAGCATTGGTTCTATGATTGCTACCCGCTCCGTGGACCCTGACAAGTATGTTACTGCCAATCGTCAATCGTGTAGTTGGCAATTGCTAACCGTCCGTCTTCCAGTTATGTTCCCAAGTATGCCTTCTGGGCCGTCTTCAATGCCACCCAGGCCGCTTTCGTTGCTCCCTTGATGGTCATGGCTCCCCCTGCTCTTCTTGCCCGCGCCGGTCTCTATACAGCTGCCATGATGGGCTCCATCTCGATCGTCGGCGCTACCGCCAAGCAGGACAAGTACCTTTACATCGGCGGTCCTCTTCTCGCCGGTGCTGCCATTGTGGCCGTCTCTGGCTTCGCCCCTCTTGTTCTTCCCGCCACCGCCGTTCGCACACTCGCCGTCACCGAGAACCTCTGGCTCTGGGGTGGTCTGGCCGTCTTCGGTGGTTTCACTCTCTATGACGTGCAGAAGGTCTTGCACCACGCCCGCCTGGCTGAGCGTGGCCTCATCAAGCGCGATCCCGTCAACGAGAGCATCAGCCTTGAGCTTGACTTCCTCAACATCTTTGTGCGCATGGTCCAGATTTTGATGATGCAGCAGAGGAGGAAGTAAACCTGTGGAGGATAGGTCGGGAAATCGATGATAAGAAGCGGCAACAGCTGGGGGTGTTCACTATCGGTAGATCAGGACCGTTGCGATCATGGAATGGGCGGCGCTTTAAGGAAATAGCGACTCTCTCTGCTCTCCTTGTGCGTTATTAGGACTTGGAAATTTGGTATAGTTTCCTTTCTGTTGGAATTGGGGTAACATCAAAGGTACCATGCAGCCGTTGATGGCTCTCCAAATGTGTACACAAAAATAGTATTATACCAGCCTTGCTACCAAGGCCAGAAAAACATTCTAAACATTGCCAAAGCAACGTCCACTGCCAACTCCGTCGCTTGCATTTCGTGATATATCCGTTGAGGTGATGTCCATCACATGTTAAAAGCTGCCGTGCTGTGTTCCCATGTCTTCCCGCCCTGTCCCATTTGTTTACCAGTACGCCGAACCCCCATTTTCGTTCACCAAAAAAAAAAGATATCCCAACCCAGCTCAAAAAATCACAGTCTTGTAGCCATCTTCCGGGGCTGCTATTGCAAATCGGGAAAAGTTCTCAAAAAGTGACTCGGGCATTCGTACCCGTACGGGTTCTTGGTGAGATACTCTTGGTGGTAATCCTCAGCGTCCCACCACTTTTGCGCGGGGAGGATCTCGGTGACGATCTTGTTGTTCCACCACTGCTCGTTTGCTTTTTTTGTCATCTCCCTCGCGGTTTTCTCCTGCTCGGCGTCGTGGTAGAAGATCCCCGAGCGGTACTGGGACCCCCTGTCGGGGCCCTGCTGGTTGGACGTGGTGGGGTCGTGCATCCGGTAGAAGAAGGTGAGGAGGTCGGTGTAGGAGATTTTGGTGGGGTCGTAGACTAGGAGGGTGGCTTCGGCGTCTGTTGGGAATCGGGGGGAGGTTAGATTGTGGGGATTTTGAGGGAAAGAGAGATGGGGAGGGGAAACATACGGCCTGTGTTGCCGCTGCAGACGGCGCGGTAGGAAGGGTCTTGGGTGTTACCGCCGATGTAGCCTACTCGGGCGTCGTAGAGGCCTTTGGAGCCGAAATGCTTGCGGTACATGTGCTCGACGCCCCAGAAGCAGCCGGCCGCGACGGTTGCGCGGGCGGCGCCCTCGGGGTATTCCTTTTGGGTGGCGGCGGAGGCGGAGGCGGAGGTGCCCATTTTCTTGAGGAGGGAGTGGGTGTTTGGGGATTTGGCGATGGCGGCTCGTGAGAAGGGGGTGAAGAGCTTGGTGAGGATGAAGGGGCAGGTTGACATGGACAGAGTTACGGCAAGCAGCGAAGCTATGAGGGGAGGGGATGTGATTGATTTATTATAATGATGTAGCTCTCGCGATGCGATTGTTGCAATGGGAGCTAGGATGTGGTGGATCGTGGGCCCTGGAAAGGGTGGAGTTCCCGCGATTGCGACAGAATGGATGTGGGATTGCGAAATGCGAATGAGGGTCTGGAGCAGCTACCGAGAGAGATTTATTGACGATGTTTTCCGGGATGTCAAATGAGGAAGGGGAGGAAGGATGGGATGAGTCAACTCTTCGAGAATCTGGAGCGGGGGAAAAGTGAGGATAAAGAATTGGCCGGTGGGAACTGTCAGCATTCATATGCTTTTGGTGACAAAAACTGTCATCGAAGCAGTGATTCCAAAGCTCTGCTGAAGCTCTTTGCGATCGTGACGTCGCGCTGCCGGGATTCGCAGATTCGGCGCGGGGCAAAACCACAAGGGGCGACATGGGATTCCAAATCAATGAAGGGTATTTGACAATGCAGGGTTAGGGTTCATATCGATATGATGGAAAAGGAGTGACCCCTGAATCCAAGTCAAACGTGTTTCTCACTCGTTAGGAGGATTCCCGTGGCTCCGAGAGGCCCAAGTTACAAATTTCGACAAGAATAAGAGTTTAAAAAGATAGCCAATATGCCTTTTGAGATAATCAATACGTCGTTGAAAGTAAGATACCGACGTCACCTTTTCGCTCGAAGAATCAAGGTCACCGATGTACCTTATTCGCTAAGACATTGGTTTCCAACCTCTAGCTCTTTGAGTAGATGAGCATCAAAGGCCCTCTTGACACCAACTATTCCAGGACCGTGGTCAGTATGTATCGATGGATGGAGTGGGTATTCTTCACTCACAAATATTGTAGTAGAACAACTTCCCCAGAATGGTCGCCCATACCATGGAGGCAACAACCTGTCCATAGCTCCATTGATTCCATGCGGATATGCCCAATTCCTCAGCGATATTGCGGAGTGTCCAGACATGAATGGCCAAGTTCACCATCACCAAGAACTCAACAAAACCCCAGAGGAGCCGCACTATTCTTCCAGTGCGCCGTAAACGACGTGCGTTTACAAAACTACTAACCCATCGAGGGATCCTGCTTTTCTCAACATGCAGTAGGTTTTGATTAAGAACTAGAATCATGACTACTGGATAGATATGCGCTCTTCTGGCACTCCGAAAAGAAGGCGGGATCAACTCGGGAATTGAGGCCAAACAGAACGCCTGCAATGAAGGATTGTTGCCACACTGTTGGACTTTTTCTGTAGCACGGAGATGGCACCCGACTGTCTCCATTGTTGGGGAAAGGCTTTCCAGATTATCGATGACCACCGCAAGAATGCAGTTGCCGAGGGTGAGGGCCAATGTATACCACCTGAAAAATGCCTGGTCAGCTGACAGAATCTCTTGTAAATGTCGAAACAAAGTCTTACCATCCCATCCCCACTCGCTGAAGAAGAGATTGCATCAGAAGTACAGGCAACACGCTATTGACTGCTAGAACCTGCACCAGTTGCGAGTTCATGATGGATTCGCTGATCGATGATAATGTGTCGAGAGTTGAGCAGGATGAGCCGCAAGTTGTTTTGAAGGTTACGAGAGTGGCAATTTGAATCGCTGCTGTGAAGAAGGATTGTGCCTCTTGGAACTCTATGGCTGCTGATAGTATAGAAGTATTGGCTGCAGACTGTCGAAGTGTTTGTTGATGTTGAAGGGCGCTTTCAAAAGTGCCATGGCCCGATGTACTAATAACCATTAGCACTGGATATGTCCAGGAATTCAAGATGTTCATCAACCCGTATGCTACCAAGACCATTAGGGTTTGAGCAATATGAGAGAACAAAACCTATACCTCATTGACACTCATATTAGTTGGCTTGTTCAAGAGAACCAGGAGTCGTCGACTTACGCCAGGTCCAGCAACATCAGCGTTGACAGTCACATCTGTGCCATCACAGTAACTTGTCAATGCGGATTGTAGCCCAAGAAGAGAGTACGAGCTGTCAAAACCGACTCGCTGCAAATTCAAAAGGTCCGGGGAACAGTTGCCGAGTAGCCCGTCGTGTGCCTGGCAAGACGCTACAGCGCACTGCAGTACTGAACCCAGGACGGAAGATCCATTCCAATCTCGAATGTTGTTCACTCCATATGCTCTGAGCTCTGCCATGTCATCCGAGTCCAGCGGCCAGGCTAGACTGCCGCTCCGGATGAGAACTTCCGCAGAGGCAAGAGTAACGCAGTTGGCGAGAGTACTGGTGGACGCAGACCTGCTATCAGGATCCATACAGGTAGAGGTGCAATTTGGCTCTTGGTTGAACCCAATCCGGCATCCGGATTTCAATAGCTTCAGAGCAGGTTTTCCATCCGCATATTGATATTGGCGCCGATTTTGGGCGTTATGATCGGAGGAGTTTGAAGTGAATTCAATGAAGCGGAAAAGACGCTTGATGCCTGAAACCACTAAAGAAAGTGGAATCAGATCGGTCTCATCATGGCCTTGCATATTTTCACGATTGATGGTAAAAAGAAGCCGCTCAGGGTTTGCTGACAGGTCAGTTCCTGAGTCCCAGCTCTTTGCCATGGTTGACGGGCGGAATTCACTGACAGTAGACGAGCAGGAGAAGGGATGGCAGCCTGGTAGAATGGAATAACTCTTTATTCATGGGCTTTATTGGGCCGGTATTTGTATCTGGTGTTGTTTGCTGAGGATAAGTGAAACTGCCTCACTTATCCGGGCCTCACTCATCAAGGTGCAGGATCAGGGCGAGGACCCCAAATTCCCCGAATGTAACCCACTTGTAATATAGGTTATCGTGGAATGATTTCAGCCCCCAACTATCACTGCATGCCCTGTAACCTTCTCTTTCGACCTCTACTGACCGAAATGGCATCTTCGTTGCTCACAGTGTTTCGAGGCTAGCTTGTCAAACCAGACAAATACCTTAGGTAGTGTTGTCCGCCTTCGGAGGTAAACTGATCGTTGTACCTCACCTAACCTTGGCCCTTTTTGTGCTGCTATCATTCTCAGAGTCTTCCAGGCTTGGGGATATTCACCTTCATGTCCTGCCCGACACCCATAGCCTCCAGACCACCTTTTTCACCATCGACATTTTCCTCTGCGTTGCCCTCATCCTTGGCTTCCATTCGACAAAAGTGCGGCTCTCATCGATCCGCTTCTCATAAGCCTGAGCCAATTCGTCCAGGGCTTGCTCTTTAGCGGCCTTTCTCTCCTCTTCCAACTCCGTCTTCGTCTTCAGTTTCACGCGCCTGTCTATAGACCACCTCCATTCATGGGTCTTGATGAAAATCTCCTTTCTGAGCTCCTCGTTGGCGGGATCTATGAAATCAGTCCTACTGTATGACTTTCGGTTCTCGTAGAAGAAATTGCTGAGGCATGTAGGGCAGCTGAACACATGCATGGTGTGCCCGTGATCATTTTCGGCCTCATCTGTAGTTTGGGCCCAGAACCAAGATTCATCAGTCTCCCATTCCGTGTTGTAAAAGCCGCTGTCGCCGTCCTCGTCGCCGTCATCGTAGTTGCCAATCCACCTTCAGATCGAATCTCTACGACGGCCCGCGGATACAAGTGGGGGACCTCGTAAAGAATAGGTCCTTCGCTGCAAGTAATCTGTTAACAACTCTCATTTTTCCGCTGGGGATTAACAAATATACTCACCGCCTGGCAAACTTTACCGGCCTCTGCGCATGGAACGCAAGTGTACTGGACCTCTGCGGTGTCGAGATCATTCGGGCACTCTAGAACAGTCCCTGTCTGGGCCAGGCGATAGACACATTCTAGACAAGGGGCTCTTGTCATTTGACCATCAATTTGATGATGAGGTCGAGTCATTCCTTTGGTGAGAGTAACGCTTTCAGAAAGGCTCACAATGACATCGCCATCTTCCTCGACATCGTCGCTGGGTCTGCCGGAGTCCTTGCCTTCTTTCTGCATTTGTCAAGAGACATTTAGCATAAACAAAGTTTAACACACCTTTCTTTTGTAATTTGATCTGGGAAAAACAGGCGGAGAGTCCCTGCGGGCTCACTTTCCAAGCAGCGACTCCGACTGCAACTCCGCTTTCACCAGGTCACGATTCCTCTGTTTCTGCTTGGTCTGCACTGTGCGAGCCATTGGAGACTGTGGTCTTGTTGCTGAAGGATGTAAGGAGAAACTAGCCAGGTGGTGGCAGAAGTCGATTTGGCAAATTCTACGGAAAACAGCCAAGAGAGGTTGAGGAATTTGGTGAAAAATAGTTTGAAAAGTCAATGATCAAACGTGGGGTGGTCCCAGAAGCTGCCTGGCTAACAAACAGCTTCACAAAAGGAAAGAGCGCCCTGTGATTCACGTCATGGACAAATAAAGTAACTACGACACCAGCACGGCCTTGGAGGTAACGGCACACACCACGTTGCTTGAGCGTCTGCTAGAATAAACTAAAAGATGGAAATCTCCTCTTCCTGTTCATTGTGTGTAATCCAATCTCCCGGGAGAGACCCAACTCCCACTCTCTCGTATATTCTTCTCCCACCACTGTCCGTCCATCCACCAATTCCAACCACCACGAGGACATGGTGCTCAAGGGCCCTGGCAGGCTTATTGCTCTTCGACTTTCGCCTCCCAACAGCCACAACTCTCAATTCCTTGGCGTCATCTATCCCGGTAGGTCGCTGCCCAGCATCCCATTTGATCTTCTTCTCAACAACTTTCAACCCTACCACCAGTCTTCGACCCTTCCCGCTGAGGTTGTTGTCTTGATCTGTGCGCCCGGTATGCCACATGGAACTAGCAGTACTATTCCCTGACCCGCTGGTATCAAGACTCATTTCCCAAACCGCAGCTCCCCACGGCGACCGAACGTCATCCTCCAGCCAATGAACTCCCTCGAACGGCAAATCCATGAAACCAATCGCACCCGTGTAAGCCATCCACGACCAGCTAGGTGGCACCCTATACCGTCCCAGCCCTTCCTTGGGGAACTCGATCCTCCGCATACCCCCTGGTTCCTCGCAGGTCCAAAGCAAACTCCTCCCAAAAAAAGGGACTCTGTCAAAGATCCCATACCCCCCTCTCGTGTCGAAAGCGGCCACGAGCCTCTGCTCCAAGCCAGCGATGGCAATAGGGCGGTCGTATGCTCTCGTGAATTGCAGTCGGGAATAGGTCTTGTAAAGGGATTCGTACAGGCGGATCTTGCCCCCTTTGCTCGAGGTCAGGGCTACTTGCGGGAAGTTGGGGTCGCCGAGAAAAGAGGATTGGTTACTTTTAAACAAGAAAGGTTAGTTAGTGTAACAAAGGAAACAATCAAGAGATCCAAGGACGTGCTTTGTCATCTTTGTAAGTGTTTCACAGCGCACCCCAGCACCGCACTCAAAATATGTCTGTCGTTCGGTGAAATAGATCGTTCGGCGCGCAAGAGCTCTTTCTTGTAGCACCCAACCACGTTGGTTGAGAGGACCATCGATGACATCTGTCTGGAAGTTGTCAATTGCCTCGCAGACATAGACCATGGCGTTGTTGTCTTCGCTGTCTCCAACGTCGCCCTTGCCACTGTTAGCAGACAGATTGAGGGCAACAGACTTTCTTTGTGGGCGTGAAGACAAGAATCCGCTCGAAGTGCCACTGGCACTGCTGGCCGCAATCACACAATAGGCCAAACTGAACACTGTCTCCATCTTCTGAGCTTCAGTCTCAAAGTCACCCTGTGGGCCTTGAACGATACAGAGAGAGTCAATCCACAGGTACCGGATCCCAAGAGCTCTGGTCACGGAAACTGCGTCCTTGAACGTCTTAGGAAGGCTACTAATAGCTATCCCGGATGTAAGCCTGGGGCTGACGTTGGTGGCGGTGGTGGAGAAATGGTTGTTATGGCGAGAGTCTCCCCACGGGTGTGATAGTGCGATGTACCGTGTGTCTTCTCCTTTGAGACCTAGCGAAGTTGAGGAACACAGTAAAATTGATTGCTGGCTTGCAGAGCTCCCGACATCGAGAAGTTTGGTAGGGAGAGCCAAACCCTTGTTCGACGGGATTGCTTTGAGGTAGCAGTCTGGGTGGTTGAGATCGCAATCGTTCAGCCAGTTGGCAAGAAGGGTGAAGTATGCGTCACTGTATGTTGACATCAGGGCTGGCAGTCCGATTTGAATCTCGTCAGCTGCGTGCCTGAAACTGGGCGGCGCTCGCAACGGGTACTTTGCTATCAGCCTGTTAGTCAGTGAACTGAAGGAGTATTGCATCTAGCTAGCATTATTCTTGACTTACTCGGAACAAGACAAAGTGACAGAAAAGGATCAGGCATACGATCCAAAAAAAGATGAGAGCCGATTCTTTGTAATTTTACCAAGTCAGTGTCACCTTTGGGCGTTGTTCCTGACTTGGTGATACAAGCATCGAAAACAAGCATGTGTAGCTCGCAATTACGGGACGTCGATTTGATAGTCGCAAAGCTATCTTGGCAAGGCTCCGGGGAAAGCAGATCTCGACTCGTGCACATTGGGCAAAGTCTCTGGATTGAGTTTGCAGGAAGTGGGTTTGATGCCAATGACCGGATACAGCGTTGGCGCAAGGCGAATTCATTGTCGACTGGATAGCTCCAAGTCGTAACTAACTGTGATTTGTTAAGCCATGTGCTGAGCCGTGAAGGGAGCAACTCAGGAGGTTGATCTTACAGGCTACATGAAGCTATCAGCGCTCATCTCCTCCGGCAGAGGCAGTAGCTGGATAAGCCAAAAAAAAAAGGAAAAAGAAAAAAAAAACTTACGATCTGGCACAGTTGACAGGCCGATGGGTCAATTTAAAGCAGAAATCGCTAGCTTTCTTACAGAATCACTCACATGCTACAAATAAGTTCACAGTCAGATACCCGAGACGATTTAGAAATTAGTGTCCAAGGAACATACCGTCTACCCGTTCGAGCCGTGATCCTCGAGGTCAGTGAAATCCATGAATCTGCAGATACAAAGGCGACTCACATACTGATGGTCGTCAGCTCTCGACTCTTCTCAACAGTCTTGGTTCTTTTGTATCATGAACCTACTGTCTAAATGTGTTCAGCGGAGTGAATGATGTGTCAGTTGGTCATCTTCCCAGAGTCATATCGATACTGATACGGTTCACGTACCTCCTAAAGTCCCATCAGCGGAGTTCTTCATTACAGGACAACCGGGATATCATACAAGATTCGGCTGTGTTTTGGGAAGCTCATCCCCTAGTCGGCTTTTTGCTGCTGTTCTCTTGGGCTTCATTACTTGGAGGGGTGCTGGTGGTGCAATGTTTGCTCGGTCTTTCCTAAAGCAAAGGTAATCGCCTCCCTGAGACTCATCATGTATGGCCTTTCCCCAAATAGCTTCCAACTTTTCCTTCAGCTCGCCAGCATCAGCTCGGCATCTGCTAATCTGGCTAGGCACCATGTTTTCACTGGGTAACTCAACAACAAGAAGTCTGTCCCTAACAAGTCGAACGATATCTGCGAGTGCCGAACCACCGGCCCGGTTGCATTCTGGATCATTCAAAATCTCAGCGATCCAATGACTCGCAATGTCACTCACTCGGGCAACATTTCGGTCCACTGTGAAGTAAAGGGTGTCTGTGTGCGGGTTCTCGCGGATTTTATGTTGGTCATAGAAGCTCGCCAACCCATCGTTCCCGTACAAAATGATGATGACGAATTCGAGAATAACGCAACCGATAGACCAGATATCGAAGCGGCGTGACCTTGGGAGATGTAGATTGGCGACAGCTTCGGGAGCCTCGTAATGAGATGTCGTGAATTTCTGGTTTGTCATGTCCTTTCTTCGAGCGGTGGCAAAGACGTGCTGCTTGGCCAGGCCAAGGTCGGCAATTTTCAACGTTCCCAGCCAACGGGAATCGTTGGTCTGTGACTGGTTGAACTGTAAAATATTCTCTGGCTTCAGATCGCCATGTCGCCAATGTTCATCGCTGCTTGCATCGCTCTCCTCGCTCACATAAGATCGGTTAGGGTCTTCGCTTCTAAAAGAAACTTCGTCGTCTGATGGTTCAACGAATCGAACGTGAATCTCGGGTACATTTCTCGGGGACTTGGATGTATCGGGGGTTGTGATGGGGCTGTAATCTTTTGTTTCCCCCTCTCGCGGTTTGACCGAATGCGGAACAGGTACGGTCAATCTTTCACCAGCTGCCATACCTGCCAGATCTGCTGCCCGTCGGACCACGTTGCCAGTCTTGGTCCTGTTGTTTGTGCCGTGGAGGGTTGAAAGGGCACTGACTATGCCGAGAACCTCTTCAATGACTGACATGATTCGATCAGGGTCAAGGTCTTTCGGCTCTGGGCCTTGGTTTTCCCAGAGCTCTCGAAGACTGCCTCCGTCTGCCCACTCAAACATGATGTAGTGCTCCGGACCACATCGCAAGGCGGCTAATGGGCGGATGAGATGTTTATGATGCAGCTTGTTTATCTCTTCCAAGGCAGAGGTCTCGTGGTTCCAAGCCGTTTCCACATTGTATCCAGGTTCCGAAGTTAGTGGTTTCAGCTGTTTCAATGCAACCTTGAGCGACTTTCCGAAGTATCTGTCGTCTTGGTGATGGGCATGGTGAATTTCTGCCTCGTAGACCGTACTGAAATGGCCAATATGAGGCTTCTGGGCTTTCCAGGTGATTGGGAGCACACATCCTTCCTTCAGCTCGTATGTGAACTTGTCTTTCAGAATAACAGGTGCTGTGAACATTGCTTGGTCCTGAAAGAATCGAAACGATATGTGCGCCCAGAGTTTGTCATGAAATACGTCCCATGCCTGGTGGTGGGCAACGCGTTGATGGCATGGTAACTTTCCCCCGACGCAGGGTATACGGTCCACCGGGAGGTGTTCGTCTGTCATGCTGTGTTTCCGGCAACTCTCCATGATAGCCAACAGGTCATTTGGAGAAGCCTCATTGCCAACCACTAGAATAAGAAACAGTGTCTTTCCGTGACCGCAAACAAAATCAATCACATCAGTCGAAGCCTTTTCTGGAAGCACCAGCCGAATGGTTGCATAGTTGACCAATTTATCGATTTCTGTGACTGGGAGGAATTCCTTGCCGCTAGGAAGGGCGCTGGTGACAAAAGACTGTACTAGCCTTCTCCGGAGACTCCTAAGTTCTTCCTCTGGATTGGGCCTCACCACAGCGGGTTCCTGGTAAGTTTCAGGGGGAGGTTTTCGACGACGACCAAAGAAGCGCCGCATGGTACCCATGTTACAATAACAGAAGGACAGACGGTGTTTTTGTCGTAAAGACATCTCAACATCCAGAAAGTTTTGCTGCGAGTTGTCGTTGAAATATAGAGTCCCTCGAGGTGCGGGGTATAACCTTCTTGGCCATCTTATCTGCTCCTAGGTCAGCAATCGTGACTTGCATATGGCTTGCTTTCTGTGGTTCTAGGGCTGATGAGTGGTTGGGTCTCGGTGATGAGGGGTTCAGCTTTTCCCCTCTCGTTGGCGCAAGTCCGTATCTGTCCCTGCATCGTGGGCATGCTGTTCGTCAATAATCAGTCAAGCGGGATGAGGAGTCAAAAGTGCAGTTCTCATGCAGCATAGGTGACCAGCGAGGACGAGGGGAAATGTGATGGATTGCAACAACGCGCATTCGATATGGCGCGGTGCAGTTGGTTGATGACACCCCGATCTGCCAGCCAGCTGCAATCAGGTGAAAACCTGGGGGAGGGGTCAGCCTTTTGGGTTCCCTCCCGTCCTGATTCCATCATTCCAACCAAAAAGGATTCCTTATCTCTGAATTCTTGATCGGCCAGAAAGGACGTACCTTATCCCGGGTTTTCATCGCATTCATCCCGTCACGGGGACAAAAAGAGTGTTGCCTAGCTAGACTAAGTCTCCGATTGCGCTTGGATGCCTTTAGACTTACCGGATCCTGAAGAAATGTCCCGATTCCTGTCCATGGCTCATTCAGGCTATGCCCAATGCCGACATGCGACTTGCACTGCGTGTTGGTCCCGGGCCCGATTCCTGGTGACCAATAGAGGGCCTCTCACACACCACCTCTTCTCTTCACACACCCTTAGCACTTGTTTTACGACTTCGGCACCCCCCAGGCGTCCCTCAGGCATCTCCAAGGCATCCTCCACACCCTTTGAGCGAATATCGAGTCATCCAATATGGTCCGCATGGTCCGCCATCATGAAGGGTATGTAGCCTCGTCTTGAGTCTTAAACTGGAAAAGTCCCAGATAAAACTTGCATCAATCAATTCCCTTCGCTTCTGCACTTTCGTTTACATGCGCTGAATTGCTGCCCCTGGTGCTTTAGCTTGAAGACCCGCCTGTCCGCATTTGCCAAGATCGTCCCAGGGCACCATGTCAGGGCCTCTTTATAAGTCGCTGAAAGGCAGCCTTATCACGTCAAGCCTTGGCGAACTCCAGTTTCTACCGCGGAGCGTTGTGGAAGCAAAGGTTACCATTGAGAAAATCACCCCACATCTCAGTTTTGGATCACGACTTTACACTCTGGTCTCCGAAGATAGCCTGGCCCGTCAGATTCATCAACAGGCAAGGAGAGTGTTTGCTATTCTTGTCCTTATCGGCAAGCCATCAGCAATCCAGACCTTATTCACGAAGGACGGCCTTATCGATAATCATCTCCCTCTTGAGGTTGTCAAAAATGGAGAGCATGATACCATCGTCTCTTCAACCACTCAGAAAACGTTTCCGGCGTTCGACAACTGGGGAGATCCGGCTGCCGTCGACAGCTTTCTCGAGAAGCAATACCTTGTTCTGGCACCAGTGTTTCACACAGCTGGCCAGGCCCTGAAGTTGAACCGCAGTCATCCCCTACCCTTCGAGGAATGCACATGGAAGGCGAGCGGGAGTGACGGCGTATCGGTCTATCATGGCAGACTTCATCCTTCCCACCAGTTGCCTCCTTTCACGGTAAGAAGTTCGTTTTGCGGCCCTGTCGCTCTCCTGTACTAATTGCAAATATTTAATGTAGGCCACCTCGTACGACAGGATCGCTATCAAAGAAATCCCAGACAAGAAAGCCTTCGACCGGGAAAAGGAGAACCTCGACAGAATCCAATCCTTACACCACAAGCATCTGATACGTCTTCTCGGAAGCTGCGAGAAAGGTTCCGTAAATTACTTCTTCTTCCCTTGGGCAGCTGGTGGTAATCTGAGGGACCTTTGGCACCTCCAAGGGGATGGCTCACGCACGAGCTTGTGGACACCGCAGACCATTGCATGGGCTCTCGATCAAATGCTTGGTCTCGTGGATGCCATCAGAATCCTCCACGACAATGGAATCCGCCATGGGGACATCAAACCCCAGAATATCCTTCACTTTCCTGAAGCCACCCAAGGATCCGGTAAAATTGGAGGTAGACTTGTCCTTGCGGATGTCGGAGTGTCCAAGTTTCACCACGAGGCGACGGCACTCAGAAACGAGGCCACAAACACTCGAGATGCGACCATATCTTACGAAGCCCCTGAGGCCACCTCCGAGTTCAGAAACGGAAAACCAAGGCCTCGTCGCTATGACATGTGGTCACTGGGCTGCATGTTTTTGGAGTTTGTGGTCTGGCTTCAATACGAATTCGAGGCCGTCGAGATGTTTCGCAAACAGCGGATGCCGCGACGAGGAGACCCCAGGACAGCTCCTGGAAACTTCTTCACACAGTCCACCACCGACGATGGCCCGGCGACTATTCATTCCAAAGTGACTGATGCAATCGGGCTTCTGCGAGATGACCCTCGCTGCTGCAGTGACGGGGACAGCACTACCGCTGTGGAGGATCTCATTACCTTGATTGAGCGAGATCTTTTGCAGATAGATCCTGAAAAGCGCGCCAAAGCACCTGCACTACACAAGAACCTCAACCGGATTGTGCAACGGGCGCACCGGGACCCTCAGTACCTCTGCCGACTTGTCAACCCTTCCCCCGAGATTCCCAGGTTCTTCCAAAGGAGTAAGCGGAGAGATAGCAAAGGAAGTACTAGAAAGCTCTCTTTGTCATCCTCCTCGTCTGTCAGCAGTTATTCGGGCTCTTCATTTACGCCAACCGACACAGGGAGAAGTCGACGGTCATCGGTTTCATCGGTCTCCAATGTTGGACGAATGTCAAAAATGTCTTTAGGTGACGAGGCCGCGGTGATTGAGGAGGAATCATGATGGAAAAGAAAGGCCAATATGACAAAAACTGTCTTTTGGTACTCTGCTGTCTTTCTTCACATTTCTGGGATGGAAACGGCGCTCGGGTTGGTCACAGGTTATGAAAAGGGTCTTGGCTATCTTCTTTATGTTTATTACCAACAAAGCTATTTGTAGGCGACTCACCTACCTAGCTGCCTATTTCTCGGGATAGATCTACCAATACGTTAAAGCTTCAATTCAGGATGTTGTTCATTTCCTCAATCTTCAGGCTGTGGAGTTTCATCACCTAGCCAACGCCTAACCATTGTTTAGTTTACCCCCTACTCACCCAAATTTGTCCCACCGTGCAAGTTATTTTGTCCACAGTTTGACCGGCTACCTGCATCTGCAGCACTAGCACGCACCTGTCACGTGTTAATCCCAAGCCCCAAAATTTCTCCTCTAGCGATATCGCTTGTCCAGGGCGCTTCGCCAATCACCACTCACCTTGCCACAAGAAAACCCTAGGTACCTCAGTGACTGTTTTTGCTAAACTACCGATACGGTAACCATGCGGACCAATCTAGAAATCGTCCAAGAATGCGACAAGTTAGTTGACATCCCCCCAATTTTTGGTTTCAGCACAACCAATCACTGACATCATACCCCCTTACCTAGCTTCCCCTACCCCAACCTAACCAACAACACCGCCTACACCAAAGCCATTGAACCACTATGGCTCTTCTTTCTCCCAGACGACCTAGAACCCCACGGCTTACTCATCCAATCAGTAGTCGACCGCATGCCATGGACCCCCTCCTTCCGCCTCATCCCTGAAAGCAAACAAGTCCACCTTCTCAAATACCCCGGAAGAAAAGATTGGCAAACCGCCTGCAACGAAGCAATCGATGAACTCCTCGATCTTACCCGTGCCAAAAAGGTTTTTCCCCGCCTAGGCAAGAAAAGAGATGAGAAGTTCCCTATCGTCGGCGCCAAATTCGATATTGGGATCGAAAGGTCAGCGATGAGCTTGTTCGGGATTATTGGACAGGGTGCTCACATGACGGTTTACACTCGTACGTCATTGGGGGAGATGAAGTTCTGGATTCCGAGGCGGAATGCCAACAAGTCGACTTATCCCAATATGCTGGATCAGGCTGTTGCTGGTGGGGTGGCGCAGGGGGAGACGCCGTTTGAGTGCATCGTTCGTGAGGCGGGGGAGGAGGCCGCGTTGGATGAGGAGGTGGTGAGGAGGGATGTTGTTGCGGCGGGGACGGTGACGTGGTTCAATGTTTCTGATGAGAAGGCGGGTGGGGAGGTGGGTTTGATGAATCCGGGGGTATTGTATGTTTATGATCTGGAGGTTGGGCGAGAGGTGGTTTTCAAGCCGGTGGATGATGATATTCAGGCTTTTCATTTGATGAGTGTGGATGAGGTGAGAGATGCGATGAGGAATGGGGAGTTTAAGCCGAGTTGTGCGGCGGTCATGATGGATTTCTTTGTGAGGCATGGGTTTATCACGGCGGAGAATGAAGTGGATTATGTTGAGATTGTGTCGAGGCTGCATCGTAAGCTGCCGTTTAGAATCAGCCCTGGTTTTTGATTGGGATACTACGAAATCGACAGTCTTCAGGAGCTTGGGGCACGGATTATGTCTACCAGTCATTTAGTGCCGTTGGTGGTGATTGCTGCTCAATCAGGGCCGCAGCCACCAATCTTCAAGCTCACAGTAGACAGGCTGTAGAACGTATTTGCACTGCGGACCCCGAGATCATCCCTTCTTTTTCGACCATCTCGCAAATGACGAAGAAAATAGGGCTGATCCGACCAGTCGGTGCCCAACCCGATTGGCCGAGGACGATCTTGAAACCTTGTCTTCAAGATCTCAAGCGCTGCAACGGTGCAACTTGGTGTTAGTCATTTTCCAATTAGCGCACATGCATGGCGTCGGGGTTGAGACCTCGGTGGATTTGAGGCTGAAAGAGCCGAACCCGGGAAGCGACGACAGTCAGTCTCAGCTCCTTCACAACAACCCATGATTCCCAGTTGACATCTCAACGCCACTGGGTACCGATTGGCTCGAGTGAGCAAACTATCGATCTCTCTGCCGCAAGCGCCAAAATTAAAGCTGTCAAATTTAGGGGACTTCCATGCTTCAGGCCCAGAGTGCCGAACCGGCAGATGGAAAACATGAGATGCGTGCCCCTTAGCAACATCTGTAGTATGTAGTTATGTCGCTTCTTCCCCCTCTTCTCTTTGCGATTCCCCTGAGGTTGCTACGAGCCATTCACTCTTTCAATCATCGGCTCCTTTGATCCCTAATAACGCAAAGCTATGGCTTTCACTCATTCAAGCCTACGGCTCTTGCCTCTAATCTCTCTGTTTCTTTCACTCGGTTCTGCCCTTCCCAGCAAGCACTTGAACCGACAGGCTGCGCCTTCCTACAGTTCTCTCGGTTGCTTCAAGGACAACGAGGGTGGCCAAAGAGCGCTTACTGGCGGAAGCTACGCAGCTGATGACATGACTGTTGCCAGCTGCGCATCATTCTGCTCCAAGTTCGAGTTGTTTGGTGTCTCTTACGGCCGTGAGTGTTACTGCGGTCAATCAGTCACAAACGGCAACACCGAGGTGGATGCTGCCGACTGCTCTTTCCCATGTGGAGGAGATCCAAGCGAGAAATGCGGCGCTGGCAACAGGGTCAACCTGTACTCCAACGACAACCCATCGATTCGAAGCCCTGCAACTCTACCCGGCATTACTTCACTCGGCTGTTTCGTCGACACCGCTGCTCGCATCCTACCACACAACATCATCGGCACCGATGACATGACGGCTGCGAAATGCGCGGAGAATTGTGCTGATTACGACTTCTTTGGCACGCAATGGTCCCGCGAGTGCTTTTGTGGCTCGATCTTGCCAACAGAACAGGCAACAGCATCGGATTGCTCCATGCCTTGCTCAGGCGATGACAATGAGCTATGCGGTGCCGGCATGCGGTTGAATGTCTATAGCTTCGATAAGGAAACAACGACAACCTCCTCCTCGGAGCCCACGTCTTCACCGACATCTGAACCAGCTACACCCGTGGCCATCATCGATGGGTTCGAATACCTAGGTTGCTACAACGATAATGTCCCACAACGCGTCTTGGGAGGAAAGGTTGTGGTGGATACTGCCATGACACTGGAAAGATGTGCTTCGGAGTGCAAGGACGGCGGGTATGCACTTTTTGGTGTTCAGTACAGCTCCGAGTGCTTCTGTGGCACCTCTCTCGATGTCGATAGTGTTCAGGTCCCCGAGGCAGAATGTGCCATGGCATGCAGTGGTAACTCATTGCAGAAGTGTGGTGCTGGCAACCGGTTGAGTCTTTATGCTGATCCTGGCATTGAGCAAACCGAAACGACTAACCCGGAATCCATTGGCCAGTTTACTTACCGATCTTGCTGGACGGATGATGTTGGCAACCGGTCTCTTGCGGATTTGGAGCACCGGACAGACGACATGACGGTAGCCAAATGCGCAGATATCTGCCAAGAATATACATACTTTGGTGTCGAGTATGGGAGGGAGTGCTACTGCGGTGACAAGCTTGTTGGTCAGGCTGCTTTGGAAAAAGAGTGCAGGGTTCTGTGCGTGGGTGGAGGTTATAACTGGTGTGGTGGACCTCTCCGGCTGAACCTGTATGCGAAAGAAGCTATCACTACAATTGCGTCCACCACTGTTTTCGAGACTTTCACGACCTCCGAGGTTGAATCAACTACAGTGCCAGAGCCAACTACCACTGCCTCTGACATTATTACCACGGCAGATGAGCCATCAAGCACTCCTTCGGAAACCTTGACCACAACAGTCCAGGAAATCTCGATCTCGACCGAAGAACCAGGCACCACGACTGAGGAATTCACCACAACAACCGAGGAGTCAACCATCTTAACCGAGGAGCCAACCGCATTGACCGAGGAATCAACCACGTCCACAGAGGAGCCGACCTCTCCAACCACCGAGGAGCCTACTACGACATTCACTGTTGAAGCGAGCACCACCGTTAAACCGTCAACAACTTCGGACATGGTCTTGTCAACAACGACTCTGGTAAGCTCCCCTTCATTGGCCCCGACAACAACCGCAACTTCGACCACCACGACACAAGGCCCCAGCTCAGTCACGATCACCAGATGTCCTCCAACCCCAACGTGGGTAGGAAGACCTGAGATGTGCTACGACAGTTCTCTCCCCGGTCAATGCGAACTGCTTGCATCGACATTGTACCAACCTCAGGCGATGTCCATGTACTTGTCCAACTGTCACTACATTCTCACCCGCTATGGCCTGCAGCCAAACCCGGTCACATGCTTCCCTACCTCAACAGCAACCAGTCCAGATGCCGCTGCTGCCACCTCGACTATCAGAAGTGTTCACTCATGCTTACGATCCTCCTATGTCTGCAGTAAAGCCATGACCTGCGAAACAAGCACCCATCCTGTCGGCCAGGTTCCCGTGCCAACTCAAAGCGTTGGCGTCGAGACTCTCAGCGATGGTGGCTTCGAGAGCGGGCAATTTGGTAGCTGGAACTTGACTGGAGACACCAGGCTCTTGACTGGCCAAATCTCGGCTTTTCAGGCCAGGACAGGAAATCATAGCTACTATGTCTACAACCCCAACTACTACCATGCCGGCCTCGTGCTCACGAGACGAGTCGTCGGTGTGGAACCGGGAAAATACTATCGTTTCAAGGCCAATGTTTGGATTTCGAATAATCAGGTCAACAACTATATCCAGCTGAGTGTATCTCCGCCGGGGCTTGGTCAGCAGTTTATGCAGCGCTACAGTACGGCGGGCGTGTGGAGGGAGATTGCAGTACATTTTACGACGACGTCTTCTTGGCTTGAGTTGCAGCTTACTGTCGTTGCACAGCCGATGTATATCAACAACCCGCAGCAGTGGGAGGGGCCGAATAGTATCTTTATTGATGATATTAGTTTGGTGCGTTTGGGGTACTAGTTGGAGTTGGTTGAGGACGGTTTTGGGTATAGAGACGAGAGACTTGCAATTTTCAGACCATAAGCACGTGGTGTGGTCTTTTATTTCTTGCTACTGAGTAATCCCTTGTACTCTTTGGGCAAGTGTACATGTGCACTGCATATCTGAGCAAAGAATGTATTTAGAACATCAAATTTAGAACAAAGCCTGCGATTTCAGGTCCCCTTCCCGATAATTACATCCTCTTTCTATGCTTGCCAATCCATCTCCTGTGCAGTGTTGCTATACAACTGCTCCGTCTTCCAGCGTTATATACGCCTTCCAAATCTTTGAGGGCAGCCTGCACTGTGATATCTCCTGCTGAAGCCAGCCACCATTTGACAGTCGCGCTTGAAGAAGGGTACCAAGGGTGAAGGTTCCGTCAAAGGTCGAGAGAGAATAGTAAGCCGAGAAGAGGTTATGTGCCAAGACAAAAGAGCCTGACAACTGCTGATAACTTGGGAAGAAAGCTGGAAAAGGTGCGGAAAGGGTCGGCGTCCCCTAGAAAACAGTTAATGCATCAAGTTAAAAGATCCAGCCTCGCTGGTAGCGCCTATAGTGGGTTAGTACCATTGTTGTGCAGGGCAATGCATATGAAACTTACTCTCGGTCTGTAGCAGGCTCAAGATCTTGTCGAGATTTGTGTTGATGGCTGCCTCTGTCTTGTCGATAGCCTTGACCATGGCTTCGGAGGACCTCACCATAGTCCTGGCTTGCACCATGTTCGGCAGTGGAGGCCTGAATGTCGACAAAGTTCTCCTCCTGCCTCTCCAACTCGCTTTTCCGGTGCTCCAAGTCCATCTTTTCTTTGGCCAAGGCCATCTCGGCATCCTTGACAGCTTTCTCCCGGTCCACGATGGCGGCGAGTGTGTTTTTGTTGTCAGCAGCTTGCTGCAAGAGCTTCCACAACCTCTCCTCCTCGGCCTTGGGGCCAGATCTGACAGCCTCGTTGATGCTGCTCGAGGTCGCTCACGATTGGCTCCCTCTTGTTTTCGTCGGCAACGCACTTTTGCAGAATGGTGATATGCGAGCTGGTGATGACCTGTCTGAGCTCGAGCAAACACGTGAGCTTATCTGGATCGCTCCCGAACGCGGCTTTCTCCTTCCTCGAATTCAAGCAAACATCCTCAGCATGTTGGTGGGTATACGGAGAACATGGAGGTACACATTTTCATGTCACTGTGTAAGGTAGCTAGCTGTATCATAACCAAAACCAAGAGATGAAAGGTGGTTATGACATTTCCTCAGGGAAATATGGGTAGGTAACCAGTGATATCAAATACTTCCACACTCCATGCGTCAGACATTGGCCATTACAGGCATTTGGGGTCATGATCGCTTTGGTACCTCTCGTGGTCTATTCATTCTAGAATCCAAGTTGATTATTTAGGGGCTAGATATAAAGCATCCAGTATGTGGGTACTTCAGTGTTGAGGGAGCCCTTAGGTTCGGGAATACCAATCAGCTTGGATCAGCAACAGAGGGGACCACGTTGAGTGGACATGAAGATGGGCCTTATGCAGAGAGTCTATACAGCTAGGTACATACATGGTCAGCAGAGCTGAGACCGTGGCGTGCTTGATGCTGAAGAAAATGCGGAGAACTCGCACCTGAGCTGTTGGAAGTTTCTCGCCCTGATTCTTGAGCCCGTAATTATATATCATTGACCCACAGACCGGCTTTCTTTCGTTGCCTTCCTACTCACCCTCTCGCGACTTGAAAAGAGCCCTCTCTCCCCAACTAGGACACCTCTTTCGACTCTTCATCACCTCGCGGACACCTCTTTCGACTCTTCATCACCTCGCGGCATTTCTCAAGCGGTAGACCCATTCTCTCTCAGGCCGCAGCTAGGTACTAGATATTCCAGTGTCAAGGCGTTTCTTTTGGGATTTTCAGCATGTCGACTAACTCATCAATAGCCACTCCACTCCCCTCTTGGCCCCTCGATTCACTCTTCCACCGCGCCATTTATCAACAATGTCCAACCAGATCAACCAAGGTCTCCAGGACTACTTCCGCCTTGTTTCGGAGACTTTGAAACGCATCGACCAAGAGACAGAGCGTGATGATGGTTCTCGCTTGATCGAGCTGAATGAACTCCGTAGTGTCATCTTGTGCGGCCAAGGCACAACCATTCTCAACAACATTCTTGATGCCCAAGCCAAAGTGGACGCCGCGACCCGCAATCTTGAAGCCCGAAACAAAGAGCTGTTTGAGCTGGGACGCTCCATTGAAGAGAATCGTTCTGCTTTGAAGCAGAAGGAGGATGACTTGGTGCGCGACCTTGACGCACAGCGTCGTGTTCTGGAGCAAGAGAAGATGGATCTTCAGATCCAAAAGCAAGCCTTCCTTGACGCCCAGGCTATTTCCACTGAGACTCGAGACACAATCTCGAAGACGGAGACTGCCCTCGCCGGTGTTATGGCAGCCCAGAGCAAGTTTGAGTCAGACCTTGGCACACTGCTGAAGGCCAGTAATGGTACGTAATCCCAAATTCCTTACCTATCGACGCAACAGACCACTAACACCTGTGACAGTCGGTAAGGAGATGGCGCCTCCGCGAAAGAGAGCCAGGACTCAAGACGGCATCGAAGTTGACAGGGTTCAACTTCCCCCCAAGGTGGTCGCGTTCAAAGAGAAGCGGCTAGAACATCTGACATGGCTTGCTGGTGCCGCAGTTATCATTGAGGGCAGTCTGTGGTATCGCAAAAGCAACATTGAGACCGGCATTTGCATCATGAACCTCATATCCTCTAATGGCAAGTGGATTGAGAGCTTCCACGCTTTCTGCAGGAGTGAGAATGGCCTCGAGCATCCGGTGGCTTATTGCTTCTATGCGATTCTCGAAAGCGATCGGAATACCCCTTGGATTCTCGGGGGCGGATGTCACTGTCCACAGCATCGTTTTCCTTGGTCAAGTGAAGGAGGGAACTGCATTGATATTATCAAGATGGATGCTGCGGAGAGTTATGGGACGATCATGCTCGTTTTCGATGGTGTCAAGATCGTTTTTGATGATGTTAAGAGCCACTGAGACGGTTGCTTTTTATCTGGACACAATCAAGATATAGAGACTATGTCCTTTTTCTCTGCTCGTTTGTCTAGGAAGAAAGGTGACGCGTGAAACCAATAGCTGAGGCATTTCACATACCTGCTTAAGGTGGGTATGTTGTCCGAAGGCTCTCAGGATAGCTAGGTAGTTTAGTCTGAAAACCCTCATGGCTTTCAGCAACAGGAGATTGGGGTCCGGCGAAGCACTGTTTGTATACTGCCATTAAGTTGAATATCAGCATCAAGCACTCCTTCGAGGATGGTCGCCAATGCCCCGATGGCATCTGGCCTTGAAGGAATAAAATTTAGGGGAACTGTGTTCAGAGTCCCAAAGTTATATGGGGAGATCAAACTTACTTAACAGCGCCAAGGATATCTAAAAGTTGCCCTGAGTGGTTTTAGCAGCAACGGCATAGATAGCCAGCGATGTAGTTAGACTATAGGTATGTGTACAGTGGGAAAGTCTGCTTCATTATGTGAGTTCTGCTCAATTTGCTGGATCTCAAATGGAATTCCAAGATGCGATGATTGCCATTGTCCATTGTGCACAATATGAATAGGGGGGCAGGCCGCAAAGACGTCATTGGAGCAGACATGGCCGAGTGGTCTAAGGCGATGGTTTTAAGTTACATTTAACTTTATCACCATTATCGAGAGATGCGTGGGTTCGAACCCCACTGTCTGCAAATATTTTCAATGATTTTTGGCTCTGAAAAATATGTTTTTGACAATGATGTGTTTCTTTTTGATTGAGTTCACGACGGCATTATGTAAGTCTTATAAAGGGGTTTGAATATACTGGGCTTTTTCGTAGAACGGAGAAGGAATGCTGTAACAGAAAACTCATCGGTTTGCTCCGAACCATTCAGAACAGAAGAAGCCTTCTACTACTCATAGCAACTCATCCGAGCATTTATATTTTGGCGCGTTACCGAGCGGTTGAGCAACTATCTAGTCTCCTCAACCAAGTCAGATAACGAGTGCAGTAAACAACCAACAATAAAAGAGGCAATACGGTGTTTAAGGATCATCGCCTGAAGCCTAAGCCTTACCCGAAGCCCAACGCAACGGCAACCAACAACTTCTCAACAACCGGCACAAGTTACATAAGTACTTGACGGGCACCAAGTGTTATATTTGTGGCCATGCCCCTAAAGAAGCCACAAATATTGAGCTCGTGATCTTCGTACTGGAAAATGCCTTTCGCAGTAGAGGGGACAGAATGGGTCGATTCTAACCCAGTTGTAGGCATGAGTCCTCTATACTCCGCCGTGCTTGAGAACGGCTACTTGTGCCTGAGAGTGAGACTTTGAGTTTAGATAACTCGTCCCAGCAATTCTTTGAAATATAATATGGTTCCATTAGCTCCGTTCGAGAAGAATCAGCTGTTGCTTTTCTTTTTATTCAATCACCGAGCTAAATCGCCACAGGTAGAAAGTGCAAGTTATATTATTTGCATATCTCAAGATTGATGGATGAGAACGCTGAACCGGGAATTTGGTGTGAGTGGGTGCCTATTTAATGATGGCGCAGTAAGCTGGCTTGATTCTCCATTTGGTCAGGGGTAAAGGGGTTTGTTTACTATAGACAAACCATCGACTTTGATGTGTTTGGCTTTTAGTACCTTTGCATGCAGCTAGCTTTTAGCCTTTCCATTAAGCCAAGACCGCGTTGAATGTGTGATTTGTGAGATTATATGGCTTATCCCCTTACTGTTATGTTTCGTGAACCTTGAAGTGCGGTCTCGGACAACATGCTGTGATAGAAGTGTTTTTACAGCCCAGGTATTGGCACCAGTTGTAGTGTTTCTGGCTGCTCATGTGTGTGTTTTCACTTGTAAGATGCATCATATATGTAGCCTACGAATTGGATGGTCCAGGGCTTTCTTTGGACAGTTCAACATGTCTGACCTTTCCTTGTCCCGAAATGCTCGGCGAGCACTGCTCGCCGAACAACCAAACAAACCCTTGCCCTATGTTTCCCGGTACACCACGGAACACCCTGGAGTTTGCTCACAGCAAGCTATACGCCGGGTGATGTCGTCCTGCGCCCATAGCTCCATAATGGTCCAAGCAGCTTCCATTGTTTTCAAATGTTCTTTCTGCAATTCAACAGTGATTTGTTTTGCCCACGCTTCAAAATAAGTTTTCAGTAAATTCTCAAATTCTCCCCCTCTCTCAACAGCCAACAACAGCCCCAAGTAATCTTTCGATAGCAACAATGTCTGACACTGAAATCTCTGACACTGAAATCTCCGACACTAATATGTCCGACTCTGGCACCGACAACCTTGAGAGTCTCCTGAGAGACATCCGAGAAGAGGATGCAGTGTTGAACGAGAACAGAGTCCTGTTCAAAAAGGACAAAGCCGAGTTTGAGAAGGAGAAGGCTAAATTCGAACAGGAGAAGGCCAAATTGGCGGAGGAGAAGGCCAAGTTGGAGGAGGAGAAGGCCAAGTTGGAGCAGGATAAGGCTGGTATGTAAATTGACGAAGTATATGACCAGATGATCACGTAACTGACTTTGAGACAGGATCCTCGTCTGAGGCCCAACGCGACAATACCCGTCTCGAGGTGCTTGAACACTTGACGGGTGCCAAGTGCTATGTATGTGGCCAAGCCCCTGACGAAGCGACGAACATCGAACTCGCGATCTTCGTGCTAGAAAACGCCCTTCGTAGTGGAGGCGACAGGATGGGCCGCTTTCATCATTTTAGGCTCAATGCCGAAGAGGACGAGCCGTTATGCTTGTATGGGGTTATGGAGCTTGGGCACGAACACCCGCAAGTCGCCCGCCAACTTTGCTGCTGTCCACGGGATATATACCCATACAGCCTCAAGCGTACTGTTTGCGGTTTTCAAGTCACGCCGTTGACACATGGAGAGTTTGCGTTTATTTTCGACGCGGCAGTTTATCCTGGCATTGGAGTCTATCGGAGGAATTGCTACTGAGAATTTGGCACATGGGAAGGGGGTTAGAATACTTGGCTTGAGAGTCCGCGACAACACTTCGATTGGATCCATTGGGGGTAGCAGGTTTCTATAGTTCCAAGTTCCAAAGGAAAACAAGGGTCTGGCAGCTTAGGTAGACGTAGCAGCTGATACCAAACACCTTTATCAAGTCAAAATCATAAGCGAAGAAAGTCAGGTCCCCTCCAGTCTTTGCTACCTGCCTCAAACTCGGGCCACTATGGAGGGATGGAGACTGTGATTCAAAGTACATGCTTGAAAAGACGTGGAATACAAGGTAATAAAGGATCTGTACTTATGTTGAATTCAACAGGTAAGATACATGCTGCTAATAATCCTGGAAATTGTCTCAGATATTCCCCAAAACTGCCCGCAATTCTCTGTACACGACCTGGTACCTTCACCTCCCCTCTTCCAGAATCCAAAATCTCGTTTTACGCACCTTGACGGAGTTCTTCTCTTGGCAACTTTATACAACTCTCCCAGAGTTCCAACCGTGCCAAGTGTCAGCTGACGGTGGCGTAAGTTAGAAAAATAGACGTGAATATCGGAAAGAAAATATATGTATTTCCAAATCTGTGGGCGATGATCTCAGTCGATTGGCGAAAATGTGATGTCGGATTTAGAGGACCCTACTGGCCCCGACCACTGAGTGATGTGAGATCTCAAATCCCGTTGCTTACCGATCTAGGGCCGCCATGTGACAGCAATACGCCCTAAGCTTTTAGTTGAAAGAAGATTTCTTTGGGCACCTGTTGAAGCATACCTAAGTATAAAAGAAGCTACCCTCCCGGAGAGAGAACTCAACACAGACAAGCACCTACAGCTTCTTTGCCAAGATACAACTCCCGTCAACTCGCACCAAAGTCTTTGTTCATCTAGTCAGCATGGTTCACTTCAAGACACTTCTCACCCTGCCTGCATTTGGAGGCTTCTCATCCAATGCTGCTCCTGCAACCGACATCTCCACCTCTGGGTTGGGCGATATTGGCACACGTCAAGAACAGTCGACCGATATTTATGCCTGTGAACACAGCAGGTGGCTAGGTCATTGCCAGAACTTCAGGTCTGTTTCTAGGGTTTGCTATAAGTAATAACAATATCACAGGACATAGCTTGACCTCACTGATGCATGAAACGCAGTGAACATCCCCACCAACATAAACGACCGAATCAGTCCTATTCGGAACAACGATTCCAGACTCTTTCACTGCGTGTCGTACCAGTATGAAACATTTTGTTACCCGATTCGAGTTATAGTTTTAATTCTAATGGTGTAAAATTGGGCATTCTAACTGCGAGGGCGTATGCTATACTAATTAGTATAATGCCAACCTTGCTGATGGCTACGGCTTCTTCAACGACCGCATCAGCTCTTGGCGCTGCACCTTTGGCTTCTATTACGTCCCTTTGGCCATCGAGAAATAGACTAGCAGGATGCAAATACCATCCAACAAGGATTCCTGGGGAATTGACTTTCTTGTAACTGGTCGGGCAGTTTGGTCTTTACGAAAGTGAAAGCCGTATTATGAGGTAGCTTAGTAGTAGATCAATCGATTATTTTTACAACAGTCTTGTCCAAGATTCCCTAATCCCTTCCTTTATTGCCATTCGTTCGTACCAAAGCCGATTCAACCTACCATCTTTGAGACTCACCAACAGCTTTTGTATTTTAAGAGCATCTAAAATCTATAGCATGCGGCAAAGCGCAAACTTACCATGTATTGAAGACTTTTATTTGGCAGGATCAACAGTCTTGGTAGAAATGGAGCGTTTATGCATGTAACAGTGCAACTCTTCTCATTATCTGGTCTATTCCCAATACCAAGTTCCCTTCAAAAGCACTAGCCCACGCAGAGGTCAACTGCTCACGACGCCATCCTTTCATAACCTGAGGTCATAATCAGAGATCATCAAATAGGGATGATGCAGCACATCGAATTGATACGATCACCAAAAAAACCATTGCCGTCATGAAGATTGGGGTCATTTTGGTTGGTGTATGTACGACCAGCACAGTTTCCATGTCTGCAATAGAAGTTCACAGGTTAGATCTTGATGACAACTCTCTCAGAGCTGGGCATGATAAACCATATTCTTATGGGGTAGGTTATTCCACATACTCGTACCACTCGCAGTAGAATCGATCCGTGTCGAGGTTACGGATCGAACTGATCACATCATTCCACTCGGTGAGGACGTTGACTATATGAACAATGAGACTATGTCAGTGCGCTGGAGGCGGATTTGACAAGAACTAGGCAGTGGGCCCGTCAATATCCTAAAGTTTGGGATGATCCTCGCAGCCTTCGTTGTTGTACATCAGAAAGGTTCCGCAAGGAGTGCCCCAGTTGATGTAATGACATGCAAAAACATGGGCAGTCCATTGTCGTGCCTCGAGGGTGTTCTCTTTGGTGACTTGCGGTGCAGCAGTTGCGGAGAGGACGCCCAGGGCGAGCAAGGTGGTGAAAGATTTGAGATTGAACATAGCTTCTGCGCAGAAATGTCGTGAATGCTGCTTTGAGGATGCTCAAGATAGGTCAGGAGCTTACTCGTGGTGAGACGAACCGCCTGCTCTTATACTTCTTACTTGGCTTATCTTCATGTGTTGATGCACCCAAAAGGCTCAGCAATGGTCGAGATAGGTAAGGTAGGTAGATACCTACCTACCTAGACATGTCCGAACAATTATCTGGCCCTCTCATGTTGAGTTCAGTTCATCATGAGATGCCTCGCGACAAGGGATGTTGGATCAAGTGAGGAGGGTACAGCATTGGCATCCGCTATGATGCTGCATCAATAGTGCTGACGCCGCCTCTTGTCTTTGCGGCAACAAAGCCAGGGGTTAAACCTGAAGAACGCTCCCGCTGACGCACAGGCAAGGCTATCTCGGCGTAGAAGCATTATACTGGTTTGATTGGATTGCTACGATTGGATTTTGTTGGCGTTGGAGGTTGATGAAGTTTCTCGGACATGCACCCACCGGCCCGCTCCCTGAGACCCAGCACTGATCAAACAACTGACCAAAATACTGGTGTCTTTGCTTCCAACATGCGTATATTTTCGCCTTGGCAGATTTCTCCACCTTTAACAACATTGGCCTTCTTGATAGGTAGGTATCACCGACTGATGCTGTTCTCATGACCCTTGCACGTAGAGGTTAGCACAAGACACTCTTATACCAGATATCTTTTGAGTCGGGTTCTATCAAGTCTGATCGATCAAGATGACGTGAATGAGTGCCATGCAGTAGAGATTTATCATTCCATATTTATTCCTTATTCACACCGTTCAGATGACGAACGAAGACCTTTCAAGGGCTGTTCATTCCATTTCAATCTCTCCCATGCTCTACGCCTCAGCGCTCTCAATAACAGCGCCAAGAGCTGATGCGGTCATTGAAGAAGCCGTCGCCATCAGCGAGATTGGCATCTTCTTGGTTGGTATAAAACCGACCTTCGCAGTTGCCATGTCTATGGGCTCGTGAAATATTAGCTGGACTGAGCCTAAAAGAAAGACTGGAGGAATTGGCACTTACTCATACCAAGTGCAAGACCAAGCAGCCTGGTTGCAAATCGAGCTGATCACGTCATTTCAGTCGGATGGGACATTGACTAGATGATTGTTAATACTTGCTGCTGATTGGGTTGTCCAAATGTCGGATAGCGGCGGGTTCCTCACAGCATTGGCTAGCTTCAGACTAAAAGGGTTGGCAAGGGGCGCCCCAGTACGTGTGGTGGCAGGCGTAAACAGCTCTTCCGGTCTGACGAGGGGCAAGCTTACCCTCTTCAGCATCCGCGGCGGGAGCGGGGGCGGCAGTGGTCAGAACGCTCATTGTCAGCAGGGCGGTGAAACACTTGAGATTTACCATTTTGATGAGGTGTTAGGGGGCGATGGGGATCAGAGACTGTTGGATTAATGGTAGCTCTGGTGAATTGAAAAGTTCGTCTGCTCTGGGTGCCCGGTCGAGCTTTCTTTATAGTTTCCCTTCGACTGATCAATAAGGTACCTCATCATGTCCGCAGACTGGATGTCCAAGATGATACTACTCGGTCCTTGACAGAGCCAGTGACTCCGGCACATCGGTTATTTCCAAGCCTTCACGCTGTGAAGTATGTTGGATCACATGACTGTTGGCTCAAGAACTCGTTGGTTGAGGTTCATGTCAGGTCAACGCTTATACGTTGTCGATGGTAGCTGGTAGTTTGGTTCATGCTCGATACCTTACCCTACAGGCAACTGCATTGCCAATAACACACCATAATTCTGGTTAGGCAAGTACTATTGTTTGCTGAATCTACCACTCCATGCCTGACCAATTAAGAATAGGTAGGCATCTTCATTTTACATTCTGGTCTGAGCTGGATCCTTTGCAGGAATCTAGTTCCACTCATTTTGTATCTGTTTAAAGAAAGTCTTTTTGCCCTGGTAGGCCGGAAAACCTAGCTATGCTTCCAAGAACTCTTTGCTTCGAAAGATGATTTAAAAAGTCACAGGTATATCGCCCGGAAGTCTTCTCAATTTCCAAGAAACGTGTCATAGACTCCCAGTCTCCTTCAAGATACGTAGTCCATGCTGCATTCAACCAAATCTGTTCATGATAGCTCCGCGCGATTCCTATCTTGTCTTCCCTTCCCGCTTTTACTTCCATATCAAGGCCCAACCTTAATGATTACGCACACGTGAGCTCTTTGCAGGCCAGGTATCAACTAAGCTTAACCAAACTGTATCTTGAACCCCTGTTGCGAGCTCCTATTGGTCTGTCTGTAGTGGGAAACATGTAAGTGCCAGGGGATGGTCACCAACCACATAAATATTGGCACCATCGTCTCTCAACAGAGGCCTGCGTAGAGTGACCTTGTTCCCGAAAGAATTCGGAATGCAACCCGTCCGATCCCCAGCTGCAAGCGTTGGTACCGTGTTTTTGCCGCTCAGCTACTGAACGTCAACAAATGAGAGTGCCAAGATGGCTAGGTGATATGTTATCCTAACCAAAGAGTTAGATCCTGATTTCCAATACCAGAGCCAACACTCTAAACCAGATAGAATTGACTATCACATGCGAATCATGTAGTATCGAAAGAACGGTCAAAAAGGTCGCATGATCAAGAATGTTGGCCAACCTGAACCAATGTCTAGTCTAACGAGACATTGTTTCCGTGTTTCGGGTGTTTCGATTCTGAGATAACCAACAGATATAAGATGGGTTGTGCGCAGGCTTGTCTGAGGATCTGCTGTCCCACACTCTCTAACAAGTTCTCAGACTGAACATGCCTGAGTTAGGAGTGCTCTCCTACACACTAGGCACGCTGTTACCGTCGAACCGGCAGCTGGGAGCCCATGACGCTCACTTCCCTCGATGATTGCTGTCATGCACATGCTAAACGTCGACAAGTTGAGATCATCACCGACCTTGTCAGACTGGCGTATAGCTCGGTGAAGCTTCAGACAGAAGCAGTCATATGGTAAGTAAACAGTCCCAAGTCTTCAGCCCCTATCCTTGTCGCCCTGCTTGGAAGCTCCACTGGTCGGTGGGTAGCGTCCCGATCCGCCTCCAGGTACCGGCAGGTTGGGACGCTGCGGGGTAATTAGCGGCATCAGCGGGGCCGGGAATGACGGCATCATCGACAGTCCGGCCATCGGAGCTTCGTTTGTTTTTGAGATACAAGTGGATTGGTAATCCGGGAAACGGAATCCTGGATAACCCTTGATCGTGCTGAATGATAAAAACAATTTCGGCAACTTTTGTGTAGGCTTTGTACTTGTTCGCCAACATCAGTCCAATACCAAGCCTCACCATGGCATCAGGTCCCATCAAGATCGCAGTCCTCGACGACTACCAGGGTATCTCTGAACCCAAGTACCAGAGACTTGACCCCTCAAAGTATGAGGTGTCTTTCTTCAAAGACACTCTGCCCCCGTTCAATCATTCCGATACCACCCAAGATGTCAAGGACAAACTTGTCGCCAGACTCGAGCCTTTCACGGTGATCTGTATGGAAGACGTTGCTTTCATGTGTTGAGATAATCAGATGGCTAACAATTGCTAGCCACCATGAGGGAGCGTACTCCTTTCCCAAAGGATTTGATTGCCCGCCTCCCCAACCTGAAGCTCCTCTTGACTACCGGAAACCGCAACTTGGGGCTGGACCTGGAAGCCTTCAAAGAGCGGGGCATCCCTGTTGCTGGTGCTGTCGACAGAGCTCATGCAGGGTCGGTAGGTTCTATCAGCACAACGGAGCACTGTGTCGCCATGATCCTTGCTGCGGCTCGCAACATTGCGCAAGACGATTTCTCGGTCAAAGCTGGTGGCTGGCAAACAGTTCCTGCCGTCTGTCTTCGCGGCAAGATCTTTGGCACCGTCGGTCTCGGGCGGTTGGGCATTGCCGTTGCAAAGATCATGTACCTGGCCTTCGGGATGCGCATCATCGCCTGGAGCTCCAACCTGACACAAGATGCTGCCGATGAGAAGGCTCGGGCTGCCGGATTTCCCGTCGAAAATGAACACGGAGAGAAGACCTTCAAGGTTGTCAGCAAGGAAGAGCTTTTCAAGACGGCAGATGTGGTCAGCATTCACCTTGTTCTCTCGGATCGGTCCAGGGGCAGCATCGCTGCTGCTGACCTCGCTCTGATGAAGCCCTCTGCCATCTTTGTGAACACGTCGCGGGGACCTCTTGTTGTGGAGAAGGATCTTCAGGATGCGCTAGAGCAAGGCAAGATCCGCGCAGCAGCTCTCGATGTATTTGAAAGAGAGCCTCTGCCGCTGGACAGCAGGTGGAGGACAACAAAGTGGGGACAAGATGGAAGGAGTCGCGTGTTGCTCACGCCTCATATGGGCTATGTGGAAGAAGCGACACTCGATGCCTGGTATGAGGAGCAGGTAGCAAATCTGCTGAGGTGGGAGAAGAATGAAGGTCTTACAACCCCATTGTATTAGCTGCCATGCATTGCTTCTTGATCAATGATAATAAGCTATGCGCTTTGTTCAGCCGTCTTTGGTCACATCATAAGTGTTTTACACAGGGTGAATCATGGCCATTGAAGCAATAACGGTCACCTCTCTCGCGGCGTTCTTTCTCTCGGTGCCTGGCACTCCTGCCGTCTTTTACCTATGTTCAGGTTTCCGCTCATTTTACTTAGGGTGCCTTTGCGTCATCTCATTCGTGCCTTCCCTTCTCTTCAGCACTTGCTGATTCCTGAAAGGCCCGTGCTATCGGCGGCGTCGTCTGTTTACTTACCTCCTACTGCAAAGCTTCCAGGTTTCTGCTGGCTTATCCTCTCTTCTCTTGGATCCCAAAACCACAGCTTCGTGGAGTTTCTCTGCCAGCAACAAACACGAACTTGGACAACCGCTCCGAAGAGGAAACCCACACGCCTATCCAATCATCATCTAAACCCGCTTCTGTGTTCTCGAGCAACCTGTCCGACGTCACCCTTTTCTACAAACATCCTTGGCATCTTTGCGACGGTCCTCTCATCAAAGCTGTCAAGTAAGACGAACCATGGCATCGCAGCGGGAGCCCCACAACAGTACGGAAGCACAAATTTCCATCATCAGCAGTGACATCAAGCTAAGGTTTATGTGCAGGCATGACGCTACCACTTCGCACCCGTGAGGCTCCCCAAGGTCCCCGAAAGCAGGTCCAGCTCCAACGGGCCACAGCTAGTGGTATGTTGAATTGCAGAATTTGAAAAGCGATTGATCTAATTATTTTGACATAGATATAATGCCTCCCCTCGGTCCCTCCCGCCCCGGGTATGGAAGCCCCTCGTTCGGAATCCCTCCCGCCCCGGTCATCGACCGTCCTCTTCATCTCTGGGGTCAAACGACCCCAGTTCAAGTCCCCCAGGGCCATCCGGGGGCTCATTACGGACCAATCCCTATTCAGGGTACCCCTCAAGATCGCTTCAGGCGCGAGGTTCTTGGTCGACGTGGAGAAGCCATGGGTTCGGGGCCTAGATGGACACCTGCTCCTCCCCTTGCCCAACAGTCTTTGAGGAGTAGCGGTGCCCTTCAGCCTTACACCCCCCGAGCCTCATCGACGCCCCCTCAGACCGCTGAAGCGCTGGCGAACGCCCCCCAAAAGCTTTCATTCGCGTGCCAACGGCGTCGCTTCAACCCAGTGTTCGAAGCCTTCGAAACCTCCGACGGCAGACACGGGTGCCATGTCAAAATAGACGGCGCACTGTTGAGAAGTGACCGTCTTTTTGAAACAGCCCGGCAAGCCAAGGAGGATGCAGCCATGAAAGGGTTGGATTACCTTCGGCAGAACAGCCGGGCAAGTCGGTCTACGGTCCCCTCAGCGAGCTCAGGGGGCGAGCCAAGAACCCAGGTCAGTGGGTCTGCTCAGCGTTTAAAAAACAGAGAGGCTGCTACAGTTCGTCACGGTTCTCCTGCTTCTCGTTCTAACGCACCTAACACTCGTCTCTAGGCACGCCTCCTCCCATCTCAAGCGTCATCTTCCATGCGTTCTGAAGCATCCATCGCTTACCTTGCGACCTCAGTTGCTCGTCTTGAGGCGACGATCGCCCATCTCCAGGCACCCGCTTCCAGTGCACGGGATAACTTCACCCGAGTGCCTATCAAGCAAGACCAAGATGTCGAAATGACGGGCGTCCCAGCTTCCGGTGGCACTCTGGTGTCCGTCATCAGCGCGGCCCAGCAGGCAGAATTGCTAAACCAAATACAACGGATCACTGGGATGGACGTGATAAATCCATCCAGGGAGAGTGCCGAGGTGACCTGTGCCTATCTCGAAGGTTTGGCCGTGGGATCACGGCTGGCCACGGTAGCACGCGGCCGTTCCCGCTCCCCTACCCGTTCTCCGCAGACTTCCCGAGGGCGTCGGCACCGTGAGCGTTCACCCGCCGACGCCCGGGTTCGGCTGACCCCGCCCCCAGTGTACCAGCGATGGAGTGGCCGCCCTGCGACAGATCGGTACCGTCCTGGTGAAGACCGGTATTGTCCTGATGAAGTCGGGCGTCTCCGTGACGACACCCGCTCTCGCAACAGGGGCAGTGGTTCAGTGGAATCTGGGGTGACTTCTGGCCATGGCAGTGGCAGGAGCTCCGAGAATGAGAGTGGAAACACTCATGAGAAGCGCTCCTTATCTTGATCTTGACGACGGCGTCTTCTGATACTGGGGCACATTACCGGCTCACAGGAGCTGAGCCGGTATTGTTTGTCAATGGGGGTCGTGTCCTGTCCCCATCGGTGTTTTCGTGTTTTATGTGGAGTTTTGCGTTTTGATATTGGTCTTGTCTTTCATTGCTTTTTCGGGATTGCTGTCTGCCGTTTTCTCATTCCTATTTAACATTGAAGTTCGGCAGAATTGGGGAAATGTGATATTCGGTCATCCTTTGCAGGACTTGCCGTGCCCTTTTGCATGTTTCATTGGGCTATCACTTGCTGAACAATCTGGGATCCGGCGGGATATGGGCCGAAGAATTCATGAGGTTCATACAAAGTACTGACACTGGTTGCTTACACGGCTGTCACGGTTGATGTGGGGAGCTGGCATGTGGAGTAAAAGGCCGCCCGAGATGTATAGTAGTTTCTGTAATCACGAATGTAACAATTGTAACACAGGGAAATATGAGAAGCTGCTTCTTACAGCTTACTTGGCATGCGGGTTGCGCCATCCAACCGGATAACAACTCCATTCAGCATGACGTTCTCGATTGTTTGCTTCACCAAGGAAGCGAACTCCTCTGGCTGACCCGCCCTCGCCGGGAATTCCATGGCCTTTTGAAGGCCCTCTCTCACCTTGTCCGACATCATGGCCGTCATGGCCGAGTCGAACATGCTAGGCGCAATGGTCACAACTCTAATGCCAAATCTTGCGAGATCCCGAGCCATGGGCAGAGTCATGGAGGCAACAGCGCCTTTGCTCGCCGCGTAGGCCACCTGGCCCATCTGTCCCTCAAAGGCGGCGGAGCTGGCCACCATGACAACCACACCCCTTTCCTTGTCCGGGCCATAGGGCTCAGATTTGGCCAGGAGAGGCAGAAACTGACGAGTAACATCAAGAGTACCCCGGAGGTTAATGTTGAGGACAAAGTCGATGCTATCCAGGGAGACGGGGTTGAGGCGCTTGTCGAGGATCAGACCTGGGGCGCCGACACCAGCCGCTGGGATGATACCCGCGAGGGGCTTGCCAATTTCCTTGATCCATGAGGTCACGGCGGAGACGGCAGAGGAGACTGAGTCGGTGGAAGAGACATCGCAGGGGAAGAATTTGGCTGATGGGGCGCCGCCGAGGGAGGTTACGGCTTTGGCGCCGGTTTCTTCGTTGAGATCCAGGATGGCAACGGAGGCGCCGGAGGAGATGAGGGTGCGGGCTGTGGCGAGGCCTAGGCCGGAGGCGCTGGGAGAGATGATCAGTATGGTGATAAGAAGCTGAGATGAAGCCGGGTCAGCTTACCCGCCTGAGATGACAAAGCTGCGGCCGTCGATTTTCATTTTGGATCACTGGAGGAGGATGTGGATGGGATGGGATGAGAGGAACAAGGTGGGGTAGTGGTAGAATGTCAGGTTGAGATGGAAGAGGTCTAAAATTATATGTAAATGGTAAAATACCTGCCGGGCCGGTCGTGTCCCTGGTGTAAGTGACGACGATGGTCTTGGTGTTGTTAAATAAAGTGGGTCATCCGAGTGCCGAGCTCTGTGGGGGAGGTTGCATTGATCGGGAATGCCTCGGTTCCATGTTAAGCAGTCCCCAATAGATGCATGAGCACATGGAGCGGGTCTCGAGCTGTCTGAGCTCAAGCCTCAAAAATTGTGAAGCATCTGCAGGGTCTCCGCCGCATCATTGGTGTGGCTTTGTCACCGTTACGAAACGTTACGAGCCCAACTTCCACACCAGCCACATTTTCCCCCACACGCACATGTCACACTGCAGCCATCGTCCCTCGTGCTCGCTTTCCCTGCCGTCTGGTTCCCCCCTTGTCTGATCTCGTTTCTTTGCTTGCAGATAAGGCCGGCGTCGTGGAACCGAACCTTTACACCAGCTCTTTCAACAAACTGGCTTTCCTTTTTTGATTGCAGTCTGAATAAAGTTGATCGCATCACGAAGGAAAAGGAGAAAACGAAAAGAACGGGAGCCCACTTTTTTCCCATGCAGGTGTTGTACTGTGTACTACACCGCTCCTCTCTTTAATCTTGCTTGTCTTTGGTGTCGCAAAGTTCAACCTTTTCGATCGACGAAAACGCACAATTTCCGGTTGGCGCTAACGCAGGTTTCATGTGTGGCTGGTCTTTTTAGTTATTATTTTTGTTATACAGAAGGATACACGAATTACCAGCTTCTTTGCGCCATAGAGCAACACACAGAGAGTAACAGGTTTCCACACTCGAGTAACAAAGACCACCGAGGGTCGTCAAACACTTTGAGCGAGAGAGATCCACGACGCTACGAACGAACGAACCCCGCCCGAGACATTCTTGGAGTTGCGCGCGCATAGCATACACAGACAAACGCTACCACTACCCAACACCACACCAGAACCCTTTTCATAAACCATATTTGAGGCGAAACACCCAGATAAAAACGATCGCATGAGCAGCTACGTCGAGCTCTCCGGCTTCGGCCGGCCCCGCCGGGGATCCTCCGCCGCGAGCGACACGAGCAGCGCCGGCACAGTCACCCGCGGACAGGACAGAGAACAAGAGCTAGGGAGCATGTACGACTACTTGGCCAAAATCATACTGCTAGGTCCAAGCGGGACTGGAAAGTCTGTTTCCCCCCATGCCACCAACCCCCAACTTTGAACTCTTGCTGACTTGCCTGTATGCATTGTAAAGGTCCTGTCTCCTCCATCGTTTCGTCAAGTCCGAGTGGCGCGTGCTATCCTCCCAGACTATCGGCGTCGAGTTTGCCTCCAAGATCATCAAAGTCGGTACCGGCGCAAGGAGGAAGCGAATCAAACTCCAGCTTTGGGATACCGCGGGCACGGAAAGGTTCAGGTCGGTGTCGAGGTCGTACTATCGGGGCGCGGCGGGCGCGATACTGGTGTATGATGTCACCAGCCATGCGAGCTTCAACAGTCTGCAGCCTTTTCTGAACGATGCGAGGGCGCTGGCGAGTCCGAATTTGAGTCTGTTGTTGGTGGGGAATAAAGTCGACTTGGCGGCTAGCCAGACGGGAGCGTACTCGGATTATGAGGATAATGATGACTGGGGGAGGGACAATAGGCTAGGAGTAGGGGGTGGGAGGGGTGGGGGGTTGCCGACGCCGAGCAGTATCGCCAGTAGCAGTGTTACTTCTTTTCAGACTACGACGACGACGATGACGGATCGGACTGAGCAAGGGGGGAGGGGTCAGCAGACGCCGATGGTGCCGAGTTCGTATTCTAGTATGTCGACTATTCACCCGGGGCTGGGGTCACAACTGAAGGCGACGATTGCGCCGGATGGGAGGGAGGTCGGCGCGGTTGAGGCGTCGAGGTGGGCGAACACGGTGAACATTCCTGTGACGATGGAGGTTTCGGCGCTGAGTGGGGAGGGTGTGGATGAGGTCTTTGGGAGGTTGGCGAGGATGATTTTGACCAAGATTGAGTTGGGAGAGATTGATCCTGACAATCCGATGAGTGGGATTCAGTATGGTGATGCTGGCGCGCTGTGGAATGCTGGCGCAAGTGATGGCGGGAGCATCAAGAGCACTTTGACGGCTGATGACGTTGGCGTCGGGGGAAGAAGGAGAAGAGGAAAGCCAAAACGGATGGGACAGGGTGGGCTGAGAGAATGGGAGGAAGTTTTCACGCTGACGGGAAGGAGAAGAAACAGGGGGTGTTGTTGATGATGGGAGTCGAAAGACGAGGACCTAATGATACCATGCGGCGACTAATACCTGCTGGTAATGGACTGACGATGTGTATGGACTTTTTATGGCATATTTATTCTGCACGACGCTTATCATGTGGCATGGAGTTGGTAGAGGAGCGGGCGGGTCTGTCTCTCTAGACACTCTTTGTTTTTCTTTTTGTTTTTTTTTTGTTTTTTTTTGTTTTTTTTTTGGTACTGCATAGCCTACATGAGTTATTTCTTCTATATTTTTTGATCTTCGTCTGTCTTGATGCAACGGCGGGATGATTTCAGGATCTGGCACCTGAGCATAGTTCGGCGGGTGCCTTGGGGGTTATCATGCTGTTGCCGATGCATGTGATATAGATGGCAGAAACGAAGGGTCCGATATGCACAAGGCTGGACCGACGCAGTCCGTCGCTGCAGATTGTCACGGCGAAACAAAAACTTCCATATGCGCTCCTATCTGGTGAGCTGACTGGCTATACTTCGGCCATCATGAGCTGCTAGCTGGTGAGGTGAGGTTGGAGTTTAGCCTAAAACGGACGCGGACAGCGTCCTTCCGGGCGCCCAAGGAACTTCCGCACTATCATCAGCAGGAGCTTTGATCCTCTGACTCGGCAATGTTTTCTGACACAAAGAGAGCAGAAGTGGACAAAATTCGTTTCTGAAGCATTCAAGAGAGAGCTCATGACCCCGTTATAGTTACAGGCTCATGACTGGCATCAATCATGATGGGCTGGTGCCACAAGCAACCACCAAGCAAATGCCCCAATTTTGCACTTAGATACTCCAACAACAGCATCACAATTGGAGAAAGCAAGCTCCATCTGCAGACTCCAACACGGGATGGACGGCCAGGATGGATGGCCTGCAGCCCCTGGGCGTGTGGGGGGAGGCCAGGGGAGCTCCTTCTTCATTCGCAACGCCATTTGTTCCCTCGGGGTGCCTTCCCCCGCGGTCTTCAACACGGTGAGCGGCAGCTCGAATTCCAGGCCATGAGAGGAAACATTGAAGAGCTATAAGACGGCTCTTGCTCTGGACATGTTCAAGAAATACACAACTCTCTTGTCGGCAGCAGCAGCAGCAACCACAGTTTGTGTCTCTCTGTGAGAGTCATCACCAGGCTGTCCCTCCTTCCACCACCTGTACCCCACTGTCGTTCCCCTCACTGCCCCTCACCACCAACAACCCCACCATACGATAGGGTTTTATGTACCATGGCTCCCGCCGCCGTTATCGTGGTCCCCGTCGACAAGAACTGGGAGTTCAAGCAGCTCGACAAGGAAGACGCCGAGTTCCTCCCCGTTTCCCAGTTCCCGACCAACGTCCACCTCGACCTCATCCACCACAAGATCATCCCCGACCCCTTCATTGGCAAGAACGAGCTCGATGTGCAGTGGGTGGGCGAGGCGCAATGGGTCTACAAGACTACGTTCAAGGGACAGCCCGTCCCAGAGGGGGCCAAGGCTGTGTTGGCCTTCGACGGGTTGGACACCTTTGCGACTGTAAAGGTGAACGGGACCACGATCTTGGAGACAGATAATATGTTCAACCCTGAGAGGGTGGAGGTGACAGGGCTGTTGAAGGAGGAGAACGAGCTTGTTATCAGCTTTGACAGTGCCTATCTCAGGGGCTGGAAGCTGGTTGAGAAGTATCCTGAGCACAAGTGGGGTGTGTGGAATGGTGATAATTCGAGATTGGCTGTGAGGAAGGCGCAGTATCACTGGGTATGATCTCTCTTGTGCAGGCTGTCAAGGAGTATCTTGCTAACAATGAGAAATAGGGATGGGACTGGGGCCCGGCGCTCCTGACTTGCGGACCATGGCGGCCAATCAACCTCGAAATCTACGAAACGAGACTTGCAGACCTCAGCTTTGACAGCACCATCTCCGAGAATCTTAAGTCAGCCGGCATCAAGGCCACAGCTGAAGTTGAGGGGCCAGGTGGAAAGGTCAAATTTGAGCTCTCGCTCGATGGTGAACAAGTGGCGGCCCAAACCGCAGACGCCAATGGCTCCGGCAGCGTCACAGTTTCCTTCCATCTCGACAATCCTTCGCTTTGGTATCCCTTCCGCTATGGAGAGCAGCCCCTTTACACACTCACGGCCACTATCCTGAGTGGCGATGATGAGATTTCCAGCATCAGCAAACGGATCGGTCTTCGCCGGGCCGAGCTCGTTCAGCAACCACTCCTTGACCAGCCCGGAACCTCCTTCTTCTTCCGCGTCAACAACATTCCCATCTACTGCGGTGGCTCGGACTGGATCCCCGCCGACAACTTTATCCCCCGTATCACAGCCCAAAAATACTACGAATGGATTTCTCTTATCCGTGATGGCAACCAGTTCATGGTCCGTGTTTGGGGCGGCGGCATCTACGAGGAACAGGCCTTCTATGATGCATGCGACGAGCTCGGCGTTCTCGTGTGGCAAGACTTCATGTTCGGCTGTGGCAACTACCCTGCCTGGCCTGAGCTGAGGAAGTCTATTGACCGGGAGGCCCGTGAGAACGTCAAGCTCCTCAGACACCACCCTTCTATCGTCATCTGGGCCGGCAACAATGAGGACTACCAGTACCAGGAGTCTGCTGGGTTGACCTACGATTTTGAGAACAAGGACGCCGAATCTTGGCTTCAGACCGACTTCCCAGCGAGATACATCTATGAGAAGATTCTTAGTGATGCCTGCGCGGAACTCATTCCAAGCACTTTCTACCATCCTGGCAGTCCGTGGGGTGCGGGAAGGGATACACACGATGCCACGGTGGGCGATATCCACCAGTGGAACGTCTGGCATGGTACCCAGGAGAAGTGGCAGGATTTTGACAAGCTCTCTGGAAGATTCGTCAGCGAGTTTGGCATGCAGGCTTTCCCGGACGTCAAGACCATCGACGCGTATCTGCCTCTCGGCAAAGACGACCCGGACCGATACCCCCAATCTTCCACTGTCGACTTCCACAACAAGGCCGACGGTCACGAGAGGAGAATCGCTCTGTATCTGGTGGAGAACATGAGATATGCCCCTGACCCCTTGGAACAGTTTGTCTACTCTACCCAGTTGATGCAGGCAGAGTGTCTTGCCAGCGCGTACAGACTCTGGAAGAGGCAGTGGAAGGGTCCAGGGAGGGAGTACAACGCGGGTGCTTTGGTGTGGCAGATCAATGACTGCTGGCCGGTGACGAGTTGGTCGATTGTGGACTTTTATCTCCGGCCAAAACACGCTTTTTACACGGTCAAGCGGGAGATGGCGCCCGTTTCGGCGGGGATCACGCGCAAGATTCACAAGCACCCCAGGGATAAGTACACGCGGGTGTATATCGACACTGAGACGAAGATTGAAGTCTGGGGGAGCAACCTTACCCTTGAGGATTTGACTGTTGATGTGGTGCTCAAGGCTTGGGATGTTACTACTGGGGAGTTGACGCTTGAAAAGAAGATTGCCGAGGGGTTGGTCCTGCCAGAGAATAGATCGACGGAAGTGGGCGCGTTGGATGTTCCGGTGAGGGAGAAGGGCAAGGGAGAGGAGAACAAGATTGTCGTGACGGCGTATATTGTTCAGAATGGCAAGCAAATCGCGCGGTATGTCAACTGGCCGGAGCCGCTCAAGTATGTGCACCTCCAGAAGCCGAAGGAGCTCAAGGTGGTGCTCAATGATGATGCCACGGCTGTGGACATCAGCGCTGAGGTCCCCGTCAAGGGTGTCGCGCTGGAGTGCGAGGATGATGCGGTCAAGTTTGATGATAATTTGGTGGATATTGTTCCTGGGGAGGTGGTTTCTATTGCTGTCAAGGGGGCGACGAAGGAGACCAAGATTTCGACGAGGTATTTGGGCATGATCTAGACTTTTTTGCTTTTCATTTGCTGGGATTTTTACAGGGCAAAGGGACAAAACGGACGATGTTATATTCTCAGACATACCTTAGATGATATGCAGTTGGTAGGCCTTGGAAGAAAGACAATAGGCCGGTTTAACATCCCCAAAAAGAACTTTCATGCAATGACTTGGCTCAAGTATTGAGATCATCCGGGCAGACCAAGACATCATCAAGCCATTAAAATATAGTCATACGGCCTCATATTATCACTGAAACCCTTTTCGACTACCTCTCACCACCCATTGACTACCTGTTTAGCCATACAGAATCTATTTTGGGGCCTATTAACCATCTTCAAAGGACTAGTGGCTTCCTTTCACTGTCTTAATTCAAGCAGCAATCTCGACTTTTCTCACATACTCGGTGTATTCACCATTCACCACTTCATGCTTCAGTTGTTCATCACATTCAACTCAACAGCGCGGACCTCACGGGCTTTCCTTGGGCGCTCTGAGAAAGGCACTCAGAGACCGCTGCCAATATACAGTTGAGTTCACTCAGGATATATAACACGTTGACAGGGGCAAACCGTGCCGCAAGTATAGGAGACACTACGTGGCTGATATGGGAAGAGGAGACATAGAAAGTGTAGAAGGGGAAGAGTTGATAGCCGTATGGCGTAGGTACGCAGGAATAAGACGTTGCATTCTCAAATACATTAGCGACCTGCCAAGAGTCGTTTGGACAAGCCAAGGTCCCTACAACTCTGCTGCTAAAGACGTCAAAATAAAATAAAATTTATGATATGTATGCTAAAAGACCAAGGTCACATGTCCCAATGCCGTCCGGTACGCCATAACACCCACTATGCAAGTTCTTTTTCCCTTCTCTCCGGTTGTTTTTAGTTTAACTTTGTTGATATTGCTTGCTTAGCAGCAGCCAGTGTTGCCCTTGGCCGCCTCAAGCTTGGCAGGGTCAACAGAGGTGTCAAGCTCGGTCTCCACCTTCTCGTTGGGGCCGGCAATGAGAATCTTGATGACCTCACCCTCCTTGACCTTCTTGAACGCCGACTCGGCATCCTTGAACGCAACGACGCCATTGACGAGCTTCTTGACGTCAACCTTGCCAGCGGCCACGAGCTCAATAGCAAGCTTGTAATCACCGCTGCCGTAGCGGAACGAGCCACGGGCCGTCACCTCCTTCAGGCAGAGAGCCATGATAGGGAAGTTGATGTCCGACTTGCCCATGCCGCCCTGGACGTAGGTGCCACCCATGCGGACAACGTGGAGGGAGGTCTGGATGCTAGGCTCGGCACCGGAGGCGTCAATGACAACGTCGGCGCCCTTACCGAGGTTGGCAGAGGCGATGAGGTTCTTGGCATTCTCCTCGGCGGAGACACGCTGGGAGAGGTAGGTGTGGGTGGCGGCGAAGGACTTGGCAAAGTCCAGTTTCGACTGGACAATGTCGACCTGGACGATCTTGGTGGCGCCGAAGGAGGCAGCGACGGCGGCACAGAGGAGGCCGACGGGGCCGGCGCCCATGACGACAACGCTGTTGCCAGGCTGGACGCGGGCCTGCTTGACGATGTGAACAGCCACGGCGAGAGGCTCGATGAGGGCGCCCTCTTGGAGAGACACGTTGTCGGGCAGCTTATAGCAGAAGTCGTGGGGAGCGGACCAGAAGCCTGTTAGCGTGCCGTCGTAGGGGGGAGTGGCGGCGAAGACCATCTCGTGGCAGAGGTTGTAGCTGCCGCCGAGGCAGTCGGGGCAGCGGCGGCAGGGGTAGCCGGGCTCGAGGGCAACACGGTCGCCCTTCTTGAGGTCTGTGACTCCGGAGCCGACCTCAACGACGGTACCGGCGGACTCGTGGCCGAGGACCATGGGGTCCTTCACGACGAAGTGGCCAATGGCGCCGTGGACCCAGTAGTGGACATCAGAGCCGCAGATGCCGGTGTAGTTGATGGCGACGAGAACATCGTGGGGGGACTTGAGCTTGGGGATTGGGCGCTCCTCGAAGGAGACGTCATTGGGCTTGTTGAGGACGAAAGAAAGGTTCTGTTTGGCATCGGTTAGCTTGCGCGGTAGGGGGGTAGTTGTTGAAGCTCTTGAAAGCTATGACGGAACTTACGGAAGACATTGTGACTATGGGAGGGCTGCGCAAGAACTGTACAAGAAAGAATAAGAGAGATTCAATGAGCTATCAGCGCTTGCTTGCGGAGCGGAACTGATTAGGGGATTGTCAAGAAAAAGTATGGACAAGAGAGAGAGAGAGAAGGAAGACACCAGGGCCTACGAATATATACGAAAGCCAAGTCGAGCCACCCCGACTCAGGAGCTAATGTTCAATCTCCCAGCAAGAAGAGTAAACCCGCTTCTCGGAGATATCCCAGATGGCCAGAACCTACCAGGAGGACCGCAACGATGGATGAACTGGATGGAGGGGGGGGCGAGTGCGGGGAGCTTCTCCTCCAAAGTGCCCCTCCATGCGCGTGTACCTGACCGGTGACCACCAGTGTGACAATCTCGGTGGCCTGGAAGGTTGGGCTCGATACCATGCTGTAGAGAAAACCCCCCACTGCAGGGCGGGCATTACGCCATGGATTCCATGGCTTTACACGGCGCCCATCTTGGTCTCTTTTCCTGGTGTTGGAGGTGAAGGATCGAGCTCTGGGAGAGCTTGAAGCAGAGGACCCCACCCCTCGAAATGCTCGACATTTATCCAGACATTTTACCCGCTCCAATCAAAATCGGAGCGCATTTCCGGTGGTATCCGCTCCTGCGAGGGGGATATCATCTTTTTCACTCCTTCTGGTGCCTGATGCAGCGCTGTCAAAACCTGGACACCTGGACCAGGTGTCAGCTGAGAGTCAGAGACTTCTCAGGATAAAAACAAAAAAAGGAGAATGGTTAATGTCGGCTGAAGTTGTTTTGTTGGATTGCCGCAGGGTTGGACTCGGGCGCCCGAGCGACTGGGTGGACTGGGATGAGAAAGCACCATGAGGGCATTGTGGGCTGATTGAGTTCTTCGGAGCCTGGTTCGTGGGAGGCAGAGGATTTGATATGCCGCTGCAACGGAACCTCAAATGCAAGTGCGGCTCGAGGGTGGTGTGCGGTCGCTTGCGCGTGATCGAGATGCATTCGCTACTGCACCAATGCCTTTGACATATCTATTATACCGCTGAGCGCGGCAGTTGGAGCTGCGATCTCGGAATGATATCAGTTTTACGATATGTAACCTATCCAAGGGGGATCACCAAGGGTAAAACAGCCCAAAGATGCAATCATCATTTTTGTACCAGTTGGCATTAGGTCAGTGGAAGATATACAATACAAAAAGAAAAACCGCAGCTACTATTTAGCCAATAAGTAAAAGAATGATGAGAGTGGGATTCGAACCCACGCCCCTTTCGAGACCAGGAAATACTTTGCAGTATGGTAATTCAGGTGGACCTGAACCTGGCGCCTTAGACCGCTCGGCCATCTCACCGGATTGTCATGTAAACTGGTGGCAAATTTTATTCCTAAGTTCGTACAAGACACTCGGCATCTGAATGTACCTTGAAAAGGGGCCCCCTTTTCCCTGTATCTCGGCGCAACCCAGACTCTCAATCCTTAAAACCACGACACTCAAACATCTTCACGCTAATTCTCAGAAGCCAACTAATCCGAACGTTGAGTAAGTGAATATGTGGCTCTTTTCATGGTACCAATTACGACTCTATGACTATCAATACGCAGCTTAACCGCGGTAGCCCGATCCCATCCAGGGTGGCAACGCCAACGTGCATCCTCCGTCCTCATTAACTTTCATTTCTGAGTCTTTCTCTTTCACAGTATCCCTAGAATCAAATCTGTGAATTCTCATCATACCTCGCAAAGATAAATCCGGCAGTTTGCCGATGGCAGCCTCGTTTGAGGAACCGTAATACCTATCCGGCCGCATTGTGACTGCCACGACTGTATTGAGATCAGCCAGAGTCGCATCACAGACCAGAGCACGGCGCCAAATCGGGCGGTTTGGCAGCAAAGCAAAGACTTCTGCCTGTATTGTTGTGTTTTGCGCTTCGCTCTTATTTTTCGGCCATCGTGCCACCATCTTTCCCAGATTTGCCTCTTCAACAAAATTCTGGTCGTTGCTAAAGAGGTAAACAGCGACAAGCCATTTACCCGTCAAATAAGTCTTTGAAGGGTCCTGCTGCGAGTACACCATTTGTCTGCCCCAGGTTCGGTAAGGTCTGCAGCAACAACCATAGGCTTTTCCTTCACACGGGCATCTAGCTTTGTAGCGGTGCAAAGGAGAGGTGATTTTGGCCGAGGGTGGCGCGACTGGATAGTTTCGCCAATTGACCAGTGATTCCAAGTCTGGGTTCTTTCCCACAGATAACAACAGCTCCACCAGAAGACATCACACGATGATTTCCCATGGCGCATCGCTTGGCTCATACCCAGGTGTTGTTTGGGATGAATGGATCAAATAGCGAAAGTTTCGGACCGGAGGTATGTTTGATTCCCGCGTGGCAGTGAAGTAGTCTTCTTGATTGCGGTAACGGCCGTAGATCGCCCACTCGATCATATCCCAGATTTTGCAAGATAGAGAGCTGAGCCGCAGCCATCGGCGCAGCGTGTTATTCTCGGCATCTTCCTCAAGTGGCTCGCGGATGAGCATGTTCTCGGGACGAACATGATGACTTCTCAACGAGTGTAATTCCATGTTAGCCGTTGGCGTCTCATACTTTGTCATCTTTGCCATTGTGGGCGTCTGCTCAAGTGGCACCGTCGTTGTTGGTGAGAGAGAACGTGACTGCCTTGAATCTCGAGGTCGGAGGTGTTGATTGTAAGAGATGCGAGAAGAAGAGAAAAGAAATGTGGGATCCAAGCGAAATTTAAATACCGCAGAGGAGGCGCCCGTCTCAAACTGAGTTGACGAGGCTTAATTTAGTCAAACCTTGCAATCGTTTACGAGATATCCGCCACACTGTGGGCAGAAACCAGGCCAATATAAGCTTGGAATAGGACTGTGAAATATGGACCGAGGCTGGTCTTATCTGATGCACCCTCAAAATAGTGTTTCTTATCGGTATACGGATTACGGGATGTCCTAAACCAAAACCTGTCAGTTGAATAACAGGCTATTTCGGGCAAGTCCAGTGGTCAAGACACACTTCAACTCTGCCCCTCTGACGTCTAATTGCTTGTAACCGATGTTTAAAGAGCATCAGCTTTCTCCAAAATTCCCAATGCTCCGCCAACAAGATGTAAACTGCCTGTGATGAGTGCTTGTACCTTGCTGCCGTCTTCTCCCTCAGAATTTGCCAACCCTCTCGCAGTGTTGATGGCTTCCTCAATGCTAGGTATCACTAGAATCTTGGCAGATGTGTCGAGTGATGCCCATTTCTCAGCAAATATACGTTGCTGGGTCATTTTCTCGATGTCAGCTGGGTTGTACTGGTGATTCACAAAGTCTGGTTGAGGTTAGCTATGAGCTTTGTCCAAAATTGTGGTGCAGGGGACTATACCCCTCTTATAGCCCGTCGTGGCATATGTGACATTCGTGCAGAAGATGACATGCTGGAACCCTTGACCTGTCGAACCGGCGTTCTTCACAGTGTTGCATAATCCGTCCAGGAAGTCGACGGCCTCGCTCCGCCCTTGTTGGTTGAATATTAAAACTTTTGGTCCCTTGCCCTCAGTCTTGGTTTCCTCAACGAACCACCTGGCCGCCATCTTCAAGCTATCCACGGTGTGCGCACCGTCCACGTGCCAAATAATATTGTCCTCTTCTTTGACCTCACACCGTCCCCTCCAAACGACTTGTTCTATCCCATCAACAAACTCACTTGGCAATGCCGCCGCATCCGGCTTAAAATCGGGATCCAGCTTTTTCAGCGCCGTCTCAGCCAATGCAATTGCGAGCGTAGCATTCTTCTTCTGGAAATTCGCATCGGGCCTAACTCTCACGCCTTGGAGCCTTTGATCGACCTCGAGGACCTTCAGATCGACACCCTTCTCCTCCGCTCTGTTCTTGAGCACCTCGGCAGCAGAACCGACCTGCTCGATGGTGAAACCAGGGCTGCCTTTCTTCAAGATTCCTGCCTTGTGCCACGCGATCTTGTCAACTGTGTCGCCCAACACATAGACATGGTCAATGCCCAATGTGCTGATGCCGCTCGCCACAGGCCGCTCCACCACATTCGTGGCATCGTACTCGCCCCCTATTCCCGTCTCATAAATGGCAACGTCGACGCCTTCCGACAGGTAGACATGGTAGCTCATGAGAGTCAGGTACCGCGCGTAGATTGGTTTCGTGCCAGGCTCGACGAGATCAGTCGCAACTGTGCTGTTGTCCTCTAGCCTGTCCCAGACCTCGAAGAAATACCTTGCAAACATCTCCTCTGAAATCGGCCGAGAATTGATTCGTATCCTTTCGCGGACTGCGATCAAATGTGGGCTGGTGAATAAGCCAACCTTTTTTGGAATCCCTTTCGTCTGGTGCCATTTTGACAAGATGGAATCGACAAAAGCACACGTGCTTCCCTTCCCCTTGGTGCCAGCAACGTGCACGATGTTGAGCTTCTCGAGATCAGATGATGTCGAGTAACCTATCCGGGCCAGATAGCCTCTCATTTCCTGGACGGAGTTCGCATCGGGGCGAATGCCTGCTTTCCGGCGGGCCTCAATGACAGCGAAGGGGGTCTGGAGGGTGTTGAGGGTGTCGATTGCGTCCTTTATTACTGGTTAGTGAATGATGATCGCAGGATGGAGATGGCAGTTTACATTATATGTTCTTGACGCCATCTCTGAAAAGTGTTGCCGCCGGTAGCTGACAAGAATTGAGATGAGGGTATTCCTTGTGGTGGTGGACTTGAAAGATGTCGTCGGTAAACCGCCGAAGATTGCTTTTCGCTTCAGCACATGATGCATTGAGGTCGAGTCTGAATATCGGTTGTGGATGTGGGTTTATCACCGACTTCTTATCTTGTATAATTTGATGATGGTTCACATATAATTCCCGAATTAAGCGCAAGATAAAATGTAGACGGATGTGGGATAGTGCGACAAGATGCTGGAAGCGGAATACTCCGGGTTGCTTCGACCCCCGAACATCGGCGTCGGTGCAGACGTCAGAGGCCCACTTATGTTGCAACTGCTGTCTATATCGGACGGAACAACAAGCTGCCGGACTTGGTGAGGGTGAGACCCGACGTTCCGGTCTTTATTATTTGCCTTCAACTTGTACTTGTATCAGACAAGCAAACGACAGGCCTGAGAATGGTATTCTAGTAGGATAGCTTTGAGAATTTATACTTAGGGACTTCCTGTCCAAACTTCGCATCTTCTCCGGTGTCACATCCTGAAAGCTCGTCCGCGTACGGGCATGATTTCGCTGTTGGATGAACCCCAATCTATGCACTGATTCTCTTCAAGACAGTCCCAACAAGATGGAAACTTCCCGTCGCCAGCACCCGGCACTCCTTTCCTTCCGCTCTTGCCTTTGCTGTCAAATATTTAACCCCTTCAATAGTCAACTGAACATTGTCGGACACTCTACTTTCCACCTCACCGTTGTACTCCTTCATGATCTCGAGTGCTTTCGTCTGCACACTCAGGTCTCTCTTCTCGCCTTCCTTTGGCGGTAGCTCTTCGTTTCTCGTGAAAAAAGCATGTGTAAACACCTCCTTTAACCCACTAGCTTCCTTCTCTGCGCCCTTGAGCAACGCAGTAAGCAGTATCTTTGGGTCCCGTTCCTGCTGGTTAAACACCAGAACCCTCAGCCCATCTCCTGCCCTTGAAGCAAACCACTCTCCCACACCCGCCAAACTATCCTCTGTATGCGCTCCATCCACAAGCCACTCGGTCCCATCCTTCCCATCCCTTACAACCTCACATCTCCCTCTCAAACTCGCCTCTCTAAGACCCTTCACAAACTTATCCGGTATATCATCCAGCCCCCACTCCTCATCAACCCCAAACCTCCCTTCAAACTTGTGGCCTGTTTTAACAAGATGCTCCCGAGCAGCATACACAGCCAAAGCCATATTCCCCTTCTGAAACGGTCCCTGCAACATCCCCCCTTCCACCCCCTTCCACCCCTTCACCTCTTCCTCACCAATCTCCACTAATTCCGCCCCCTTCTCCCTCGCCCTCTCCCTCAAAACCTCCCCCACCGTCTCCCGTGGATGCCTAATCGTAAAAGCCTTCACCCCCCGTTTGAAAATCCCCGCCTTATGCCACGCAATCTTTTCGACAGTATCCCCAAGCATACCAACATGATCAATCCCCAACTGCGTCACCACCGCAGCACTGACACTCTCCTCCGTGAGCACATTAGTAGAATCATACTCCCCCCCAATCCCGCACTCCACCACCGCATCCCTCACCCCCTCGTCCAGAAACGCCCTCAAGGCAACAATGGTCAGAAACCGAAAATAAAACGGCTTCGTCCCCGGCCCCTCCAACTCCTCTTCTTTTGCCTCGGCACCAAGCTGCTTCCTCGCCTCCGCAGTCATGGTATCCCACACCAGATTGACGTACTTGCCAAACTTCTCCTCATCAATCATCCCTTCTTTTTCCTGTGGCGATAAAAGGGAGATCCGCTCCCTTTGGTCAACAAGATGGGGAGAGGTGTACACTCCCACCTTTTGAGTGGGGGGGTTTGAGTATTGGGCGAGGATGCTCCCCACAAAAGCGCTGACGCTGCCCTTGCCTTTTGTCCCGGCGACGTGCACGCATTTCAGGCCTGAGGAGGCGATGCTCTCGGGGGAGAGCCCCGCGCGGGAGAGCCAGAAGAGCATTTCGGGGATGGCGGCCGCGTTGCGGTCTGTGCCGTCTGGCAAGGGGACTGTGAAGAGGGAGGTGATGGCGAGGTTGGATTGGAGGGCGGAGAGCCGGGAGAAGGCTTTTTGGTAAGAGACAGAGGAGGACATGTTGGGGGTTATGTGGATGGGTCGTCGGGGGTGAGATGAGATGTATGCCGGCAGCGAGAAAGAGGTTGGCACCCTGGATGGGATGAAAGATGGTTGCTGGAAGCGGGAATTTGTGATGGTGCTGATGACAGGTTGTCGTGAAAGTGAGCGATAGATAGCTCGCATTCTCAGTTGAGGTTCGGCGACATTCGGCTGTGAGTGAGAGCTCAGGTGAAATCTGACCGGGCTGATGTGTCACTGTAAGAATTGCTCAGTCGGTCCGGACCGGAGTAAGACTGTGAAACATATCAGGATAATGTTCTCGCCTCATTGATTTCAATCTCACTACTTACGACACAAAAATCAATCAATAGGCCAAAAGTATCAATCTTCGGCTTGATGTGATGAAAGATGAAAGAACATGATCAAGTCAAGATTGATCACCACATAAAAGCGGGTCACTCCGAAATGCGGCTCTAAAGAGAAGCACAATGCAGGGGCGCAACAAGAACTGCGAGCAATTAAAAAAACAGGGAAAAAATCAGGAATATGTAGGAAGAGTAAGCCATTCTGAAATTCTAGCTGGCAGAATTACGCCATGGTCATGCTCACTCAGCTGGCTGAAAGGTAAAAGAAACTATACCGCAACCACACAGCAACGGCACATCACATACATGGTATCAACACAAGCCACTCTATTGAATACTTAATACAATCCGGCCTAGCTATCCTTCCACGGTGTAGACGCGGTCTAAACAAGGCCAATGTACACAACAAAAGAAAAATTTTGACGTCCCGTTGGTCCCTTTTACTCCACCTTCAAACTTTGCAGTCTGGCCTCGGTTGTGATGACCTATCATATTCATTAGTAAATTGTGTTGCATAGCTTCAAAAGGAAGATAACTTACGTCCAAAGCCTGCTGCACCTCCAACACCTTGCGCACCTCGCTCAGCCAGTCCCTGCTCAGCGTCTTGGCCCACCCACCAAGGGTGTTCATCTCACGCGCCGCGTTGTCAAGGTCGCCCTCCTCCAAGAAGGTTTGAGTGCGGGTAAGAATGCTCTCAACATCGTCACCGGCCGCCAAGCCCTGCTTCTTGAACATCACCTTGCTCAAGAGGTAGCTAGAGGCGTGGCTAGCGACACCAGCATCCTCGGGAAGAAGAGACGCCTTGCGCACCTCGGCGGCAACGCGGCGGAATCTGTCAATCAGCTCGGCGGAAGTAGAAATACCGCGCTGGTAAGCAGAAGGGTGGATGGAGGCGATGGCCGCATCGACAACCGGGTCGTCAGCGGCGATCTCCTTGAGAGCGACAAGCTCCTTGATGAATGGCCGGGGGTGGTGGGCATCCTCCAAGCTGGCACGGACGGCCTCAACAGCGACGTGGAGTTGTTGGGTGCGCAGGTTGGTGTCAACGACCTCGTTCAAACCAGTAGTAAGCTTCTCGAGCTCAGAGACAGCCCTGGAGAGAGACTCGATACGGCCAAGACGTCCTTCACGCTCCTCCTCGACATGCTTCTTGATGTCCCGAGAAAACTGACGCTGCAGCTCGACAGCTTGCTCCAAAAGTTTGTTCTGGAGCTTCTGCTCAGAAAGTTTCTGCTCACGCTCCTGAATCAGCTTGATCTTGTCGTCGTAGTTGTGCTTCAATCTCTCAACCTCAGCCTCAAACTCCTGACGCCACTGCTGCTCCTGGGCCAGCATGATAGCCTCCAAACGAGACACAAGGTCGTTGGCATGCTTGTCGAATGAGTCGATGCGGGCCTTGACCTGCTTGGCAGCCTCTTCCTCCGCGGCAGACTTGATGCTGAGAATTCTCTCTCCGACTTTGCTGACCTCATCCTTGGCCTTCCAGATGGTCTGGGAGTACTTGTCGGCGGCACCGTCGTAGTTGATCACCGTGATGATGTCGTTGAGCATATGAACCAATTGTTGAACGATGGCGTCGTCGGCATGGGGAACAGACAGAGGATCGATTGGCGAAGCAGGGGGCCACACAGAAGGCTCGTTGACATCAGGGGCCCTGAACTCCTTGGGCTTGGAAGAAGTAGCGGCAGCCGGAATCACAGCAACCTCCTTCTTCTCCTCCACACCCTTGACCTTCTTCTCCAGAGCCGCATCCTTGGCTTCGACCTTGGGAAGAGCCGCAGTCTCCTTCTTGGCCTTGGTTACAGCAGCAGGCTCGGGCTTGACGATATCCTTGACAGTGTCCTTGACGGCGTCCTTCGCAGCAACAACCTTTTGGGCCACACCGCTCGACTGGCGGCCGGCATGGTCACCATCGGCCACCCTCCATGACGCACCGCTCTGGGCTGGGATGCTGACTTGCTCGCTGGCCGTATCGGCCCGTCTGCCTGTTACCCGGTTCGCAACGTTGGGGAAGCGTTTCCTAAAGTCGAGCTCCTCAAGGTACAGAACGGCCTCCTCGCCGTAGGGGACATATTGGGTGAAGAAGTCGTGGAAGTTGTCATTGATGCGGGAGTACCAAACGCCGCCACCAAACCCGAGGACACCGAGAAGTACTAGCTTCAGGAGGAAGTTGCGGAGTCTGCGGAAGAAGCCCTTCTTCTTGGGGACGATGGGAGCGACGGGAGGAGGAGGAGGGGGTACAACGGCGGGGCCAGGGGCCGGTGGTGTCAAGGGTGCTTGCTCGGGAGTAATCGTCGCGGCGGGGGTAGTCTGGGGAGGAGGTGGTGGGGGAGTTGTTGGGGCAGTAAGGGTCTCAGCGGCGGGAAGCTTTGCTTCGTCGACGACGGGCTTCTTGTCGTCGGCATAGAATCTCTAGATGCAAACAGAAGGGTTTAGTTAGCTTCCCGTTGCAACCGATTCTAATACTTGAAAATGAGGTCATACCTGACCCGAGACAACCGCACGTCGGGCTGCGGAAGCCTGCCATTGGCGCCCGGCAACGGCAGCCGCAGGCCTGCTGCCCAGCGCCCTCACTGATCGTATCGATGTACGCAACATGAGGGAGATGGAGTGGCCGGTTCGGCGCAATTGGGAGGGTTAGACGTGGTGTTTTGGGGGAAGAATGCTGAGCAAAAAAGAGCTCGGCAAAGTTCCGGGAAGAAGCTGCGGGCCACAGCGAGAATCCTGGCGACAGGGTCTTGGCACGCTATCAGCTGTGCGTTGCAAACGGGACTTCCACAATATACACTTTTTTTTGGCAGCCTCACACGCCTTCGATGCCCGTGCGCGAGATATTGTATTTTTACACTTTTAAGTATAACTTACCCGCAACGTTTAACGTATAAATATAATAAATATAGCTATGTAGTCCTACTTACAACGATTATTTTGTAAATATTAATTCTTATGCGCGGATAATGCGCGTGTTAAATCGACTAAGAACGAAATCTGATTATTTTTGGTTTTACTGGCCCGAGCGGCTATCAAGAAGTCTCACTGGCCAAAAAAAGTATGGTTTGGTGGAAGTCTGGTTTGCAACGCACAGAGGTCCCGTCACGAAATGACATCCGACATCAGCACACCTGCCTCACTTTGAATGATACAATATATGGGATGAATAGTTCGTTTTTTAAAGACCAAAACAGGTTGAAAGATACGCTTTGCATTATACTCACGCCTGTATACCCGTCCCCTCTAGTCCCTGCCGGCACCGCATCTGTCACTGAATTACCGCGGCCGTTGCAAGCTGCTGCTTCTATCTGTCTGCATACCATACTGTACAGCGAAATGCGCCAGTCCGGCTCTCCCACACCAGGTGGCCTACCTACGCTTTCTCCTCGACCATGGTGCCGAGAAAAACACACCCGTTAAAAAACAATCCCATAAGAAAGATGAGGTATTTAAAAAAAGCAACACTGGTACCCTCCTCCCAACAATACTCCGATCAAAGATGTGTGTGTGTGTGTGTGTGAATGTCGATGTCCCTGTCCCCGTTCAACAAAAGCCCAGATTAGCCCCAAACTGCTCTATATTCTTCCTCTGACATCCACTGCCGGTCATACGCCTGAGTCCTTGAATATGCTTCTAACCGTGTGGTTTCAAGAACCGTCTCTCATCAGCACGCGCAGGGCCCACCGGCTTGCGTGTTGGCTCCTTCGGGAGCAAGACTGACTCCGGGCCGCTGACCAGGCCGGGCATGTCTCGGCCCAACCTGATCAAGTGGAAGTTTCTTGGCAATAGCAGTAAACAACTCTTGAACGTTCTCGGCAGTCTTTGCGGATGTCTCAAAGAAGAGAAGGCCGGCTTCCTTTGCGTAGGCCTCGGCTTCGGCGGTAGGGATGGCGCGCTTGTCTGGTTGCTCCGTCACCAAATCCAACTTGTTTCCGGCAAGGGCGATGATGATGTTCTCGTTGGCTTGTCGTTGGAGTTCCTTCACCCACGACTTGGCCTTGTCGAGCGACGCCTACAGCAGTTCGATTAGTCAGGGATGCTTCCAAAGAAGGGAGGATCCTAAACGTACGGCTTGCGTGATATCATAGACAACAACGGCGCAGTTTGCATTCCGGTAGTACATGGGCGCGAGGGACTTGTAACGTTCCTGGCCAGCGGTATCCCAAATCTCAAACTTGACAGTCGTGTTCTCGTCGAGCGAAATGGTCTGTGTTAAGAAGGCGGCACCAATAGTGGATTCCCTGTAGGAGTCAAATTGATCCTATCATCTTTCAGTCAGTTGTGTCCGGAACCTGCAGAATCCGACAGCCCGGCTCACCTTGACGAAGCGCAATACTATCGAGCTCTTTCCCACAGCAGATTCACCTAGCAAGACCAACTTGAACTGCGCGAAGCGGTTGCTCATGCCGCGAGCGCCAGGGGGTCCTCGGGAAGCCATGGTGAATGTGGTGATATGGTGTACGTTGGCTGTGGTTTGGGTGATGCAAAAGTCAAAGACCAAACCGTCGTTGACCGTTGATGGGACCTGCTGACAAGGCGGCGTTCGCTGCCAAGGAAGGTTACGGCGGGCGCTGGCGAAATGACAATGCGCGGCGGGGACTCAAGTTTCGCGGGTCGGTGTTCGCGGGGTTCTCGATAAACGCTGGAGAGACTTGTCGAGACAAAGGGTGCTCGCCGAGTTGACTGGAGTTGGATGCTGAAATGTGGTTGCCTCGAGTGATACCACGGGACCAAGAATTGGGGAAATCAGTCAAGAGCTGGGGCTGGTTGGCAGAGGTCGTTGAGAAGCAATGAGAGCAACCAGCCTGGGTCCTGGCCAATGTCAGTGCTTTCAGCGCTCAGCGGCGGCGCATGCACACGTCAGGTCGCCCGATAGGCGCAGATGCCACCATGAGGTCTGTGCAGATTTCCACGTGATAGCAGCGGCAACTTTGGTTACGTCGCCATCCTTGCCAGCCGGTCGCGGCAGATGCCAGTGGGCCATAAATGCCACAGTGCGAATGCGACTCGTGTCACGCAGATTAGGGAGAGCTTGGGAGAGCTGGCACCAAAAGGGCAGAGCAGCAACGCCTCCTGTTGGTCGCCTCTGGCTGGGATGTCATCACTTTGGATGAGGCTCGAGATTTCCATAATTAGATGACATGTTTCAACACCGACTCTGAAGCTGCACAAAATTGACGATCTGCAGCAACCGTTCCCTTCGTTTAGACACCTCGATCGCTATCTGCACCTGCATGACGACCAAGAAATAAAAAGATAATAGCTTCGATTCCGTCGTTTGGCGGCGCAACCTCTTGTCCAACATGACGCTCCCTTTCCGCGATATCAACGTCCAGACGGCGTCTGATGCCTACATCTTCACTTCGCCCTCGAGCCCCAATGCACCAGCTCTCGCTATCGACCGCCCAACTGGCGATATCCGTCTTCTTGATGCTTCCTTACTTTCCGGGAAGCGCGTCTCGCGCATTACCAGCATTGCCGGTATCCTGGGCGTGATCCAGCTGCGGTTAGGTGAGCTTCTTTATGATGGTTGCGGAGGGTTTGGGTGCGAAGAGCTTGTTACTGACTATGGTTGTGAAGACAAGTACATCATCGTCATCACAAAAGCCCAACCCGTCGGTCGTCTGCGAGGGCATATGGTCTACAAGGTTGTCTCGACAGATATCCTGCCCCTCCGCGAAAGACAAGTCAGCGACCCCGATGAGGACCGCTTCCTCAACCTTCTCCGCGGCTTCATCAAGCCCGGGCCAATGTACTTCTCGTACTCTGTCGATATTACCAACAGCTTCCAGCGCCAAGCGCAACAGGACGCCGAGAGCCCGCTCTGGAAGCGTGCTGACGACCGCTTCTTTTGGAACCGCTTCATCCAGTCCGACCTGATCAACTTCCGCAACAGTGGCGGCCGCGGTCAGCCTGCTCCTCAGCCAAACATCGACCCTTATATCCTCCCGGTCATCTTTGGCATGCTCGAGATCCATCCAACAACGTTCAAGGGCACCCCTTTAACGATTGCGCTCATTTCCCGTCGCTCCCGCCACCGCGCTGGAACCCGTTATTTTACCCGTGGTCTCGATGACCAAGGCCACGCCGCCAACTACAACGAAACCGAACAGGTTGTCATTCTCAACGACCACACCACCGGTCTTGGCGGCTCGTCATGGCAGCAACAACAAAAGTCATCCTCTCTCGCCGACGGTGTAGGCAAGGAGATGCAAATCCTCTCCTACGTCCAAACCCGCGGCAGCGTCCCCGCCTACTGGGCTGAAATCAACACCCTAAAGTACACCCCCAAGATCCAGATCCGCGCCATCGAAGCCGCCTACCCAGCCGCCAAAGCCCACTTTGACGAACAGATCCGCATCTACGGCGACAACTACCTGGTAAACCTTGTCAACCAAAAGGGCCGCGAAGTCCCCGTCAAGGAGGCCTACGAGAAGGTAGTAGAGATGCTCGTCTCTCGGCCCAAAGAACACGTCCAGGGCGACCAGCGGACTGACGAGAAGTTCCACACCATCGAGACAGCCGAGAAGAAATCCCAGTTTGACAGGCTGCACTACATCTACTTTGACTTTCACGCCGAGACCAAGGGGTTGCAGATGCACCGCGCCCAGCTGCTTATCGACCGGATGCGCGAGGCGCTCGTGGCCCAGCAGTACTTCCGTGCTAGTGTTGACTCTACCCCCGGTAACAACAACAAGACCGACGGCGGGAGGTTGGACGTCCGGTCGCTGCAGACGAGTGTAGTGAGGACAAACTGCATGGATTGTCTGGACAGGACGAACGTGGTACAGTCTATGCTTGCTCGGTGGACGCTGGACAGGATGTTTATTGATCTTGGCTTGCTGGCTAGGGGGAGCAGGTTCGCGGATGAAGACGCGGCGTTTGAGCTGATGTTCCGAAATATGTGGGCTGATAATGCGGATGTGGTGTCGAATGCGTATTCCGGTACCGGGGCTATGAAGACTGATCTGACGAGAACGGGCAAGAGGACCAAGGCTGGTGCGCTGCAGGACGGAAACGTGGCTGTTACGAGATACTGCAAGAACAACTTTTTGGACGGGCCGAGGCAGGATGCGTTTGATTTGTTTTTGGGTGTGTATCAACCCAGCGTGGGGGGGGGTCTGGTGTTTGTGGACAGGAGGCCGGTGTTGATCCAGGCGGTGCCGTATATTGCGGCGTTTGGGCTTTTTTTTGTGCTGATGGGGATGTACTCGCCGAGACTGCCCGACGCGGCCGTGTGGCCGATGAGGTTGTTTATCTTGTTTTGGACGGGGGTGACGGGGTGGGCGCTGTGGTTTATTTTCAATAACGGGATGCTCTACGTAAGTTTTTTTTCTGTCTCTTTTTGGGACCTGTAACAGTTTGCTGACATACTACAACAGGTAAACTGGCCCAAACTCAACCCCAGACCTTGGGCAACGGAGGGCTACCACGAGACGATTAGCCGGGTGCGCAAGGACAAGATTCTCGGGCCGCTGGTGGCCAGGCACGAGAGGGGCTTGTCTGTCGCGAGGTACATCAATGCCGAGGAAGGCAAGAAGAGGATCGAGTAGACCACACAGCAAGTGTCACTCCTTCATGGCATCGAGGGGGGAACAACACTTGTTTTCTTGGCTTCATTCTTGTACGCCCACCCCCTCGAGCTGGTCTTGTTTCTTTTGTCAGCTTTTTTTTGTGAATGGACCGCTTTTGAAGGAATTGTTTTAGTACTGGTTAGACTTGTCTTCTTGTTTTGTCTTCGCTTCGCACACAACTACTACTTCGATTCGTATAATAGCCTGCTGCGGGAAGAGACAACGAGCAAGGGGTTAATCAAAGGTTATTTATTTGGTTGCATTTACCTTGAATACATTCTAAGTCTATCGGGTCATTTGATGGGTTGTATTTTCGAAATTCGCTTGATTTGTATTGCAAGTAGATTTTCAATAGCAAGAGTGTCAGAAGCATTGGACTCAACCATCTGCAAATAGAGTAGATGGAACGAGGAGAAAAAATGCAAAAGAATTGGGCCGAGCCAGGGCTTGAACCTGGGACCACTTGCAAGTTGAAACACTTGGAACGAATTCCCAAAGCAAGTATGCTACCACTACACCACACGGCCTGTGATTTGTTGTTGAATTGAAGTTAGTGGAAAGAGTTTATCAATGGGTCCCACGTTGGGCTGCGCCACAAGCCACGCCGCTTGACTCAACACTCGACGACAACTTTGGGCGATATCAACATTTCACTTCTCTCATCCTTCTTCCACTTCATTCGTTCATTCTTTCAATTCAATTACTCAAATCCACAGTTGCTATTTCTGACTGCTTGCTTCCTCTCTTCAACCGCATCTTTCCATCCTTGGGTATCGATCCCTCTTTGAACCCCAAGCAAAGAAACGGTGCTATAGAAACCCAAAAAAGAGGCTAGCAAACAACACCCTATCCAAGAAAAAAAACCATATTTCTCTCTCTCTCTCTCTCTTTCACACACACACACACACACGCGCGCGCCCACCTACTCCCCAATTATCCTATTACCCATTACCTTGTTCAACCCTCACCTTCAAAAATGATATGATTTACCTCACTCCAACCACAACAACCACCTAACCAACCTCCACCCTCCCCTCCCAAGCCCAATCACCACCCTCGAAATCATCACCATAAACCAAACCCACCACATAAACCCAACAAGCACCCACTCCACTCCCAACCACCCCGCCCTCCTAAGCCACCTAAACCGCCTCCTACGGCGCCGCAACATCTTCTCAATGTGGTCCACCACCCTCTTGACCTTCAGCCTCTGGCCCGCAACCATATCATGATTCGCCTCGTCCGCCTCGTCCGCAGCCCTATGCGCGAGGTCGGTCAGCTCCCCGGCGATCTTCCACCTTGTTGCCTCGACCTTCTTCTCCAAGTGGGGCGCCGTCTCCCTGGCGAACTTGTCGTGCGTGAATTGAAAGTGCGCGGCTGTGGCCTCCATTGCAGATGACAGAGTCCGTGCGGCGAGGGGATAGAGATCTATTTGAGCAACGGGGCGGGTGACCAATCTGTGTCTCGTTTCTGGGTCAGGACATAGGGATATAACGTCCTTCCAGGCAAAGTCCGGTTGGCCATCTGGGGAGTGGCTAGAGATATGGGAGGAGTGAGGGGACGTCAAAAGCTTGCGCTCTTTGGCACGGCGATCTACCTCCATTGCATGGATTCCAGAGCTGAGAATCAGCGCCTTCAAGCGGGCGATTTCCCGTTTGGAGATTGCTGGCCGCGTTGGAGTGCTACCGCCACGGTCGGCAATGGACCAGTGGCGGCTGGAAGATACGGTAGAGAATTGTCGGGGTTTGTGAAAGGGTAGTGGTGCCATGTCGGTACGATCGATCCCCCAGTCGGCGCTCTTCCGGGACTTGACGTCTGATTCAACCTGTTCCTTGCGCCTCTCCAACAAGGGAGGCGGCGATGCACTTGGTGATGCATCTTGAATATCGATCCTTGGCGGCTTGAGGAGGTCGAACCGCGATGATCGTCGGCTGAGTGGCTGTGCTGGTGGGTGTGGTAGCAACCCAGTTTGCTGTTCACTGTTCGGTGGCTTGGCGGTGTTTGCTACCGAGACGAACTGTGGTAAAGGCTCAACCTGATGCTTTCCGTTTTGCGTCGATGGCGTCCGACCATGACCCCGTCGAAAAACCCGAGGACCACGGGACCTACCCCTGGCCTCGGCCTCAGAATCTGACGAAGAGGTGGTAGAGTACTGATCATCACCAGCGTCCTTTCGCCAAACCATATCACTGATCTTGGACACGCCGCTTCGCAGGACAGTGTCGATACGAGGGCCACGGAACAGCGACCTGAAGCCGCCTCCAACATCTTCAGGTTTAAGCTTGACACTGCCGACACTCTTATGTGACCGGTGACTCGAGTCTGTGCCTTTGGTTACTATCCTGCCGATCGGACTCCTTGACGGTCTTCTTTCCGGGGATGACACGGCACTCCAATCCGGCTCGGGCGAGACAAAGAGCTTCTCGTTCAGCGGCGCTGGTGTCTCGGGCTCTTCTGCGCTTGCATAATTGTCCGTAATGCGCTCCTTACTACGCTCACGGAAAATGCTCTTAACCTTGCTCAGCGGGTTTCGTGATGGAGAGCTTGGTCTGCTGGACAAGGGTGATAAATCCATCCCGATTGCTGGGACTAGACCGACATCTCGATTTGGCCGCAAATCTGGGGAGTTGGGCTGTGACGTATCATAATCCACCGAGAATCTTCTACCTCTCGAAGGGACCTCGAGACTAGCACGGCCCGGAACAGGTGGAGAAGGACGGTGGTGTAAGCCTGTGAGCCTGCATTCGCTCTCGCTCAGGTCGGCGCGCGAATCCGTCCCACGAGACAAAGGCTTAGTCTGGGTCGCATCTGATGCGGCGTTGTTCAAAAGATCTCGCTCAGGGGTCGCCGGGTTGAGGCTAGCAAACTTCATACGTAGCGCCTCGTGGTCATAAAGGGCTGGTGAAGACTCCGACTCCCTCTGTTCCCTGGCTATCATCTCCTCCATCTGCTTCTCCAAAACAGATCTTACAGTAGTTGTGGCAGTGCCGGCTCTGGCCCGCCGCCGCCTGTCACTGTCTGTGTCTGATGATTCGGATACAGAGGCTCTTCGGATACGCAGAAAATCTCTGTTGTTAACAGAGCTATTCTGGCGGTGATGGGATCCTTTCAGAGCTCGTAGCTTCTGCTGTGCGCGATCCCTAGCTGTACTCAGGACATGCTCATGCTCATGTTTGGGTGGCGGGGCTTCTGGCTGTGGCTTCTCGCCAGAGTCTGAAGAATCTTTAGTTGAGCCCGGTGTTGTCAACCGTGGGGCCTCGTCGCGTAATGGCAATGGCCTGGCAGCGTCCGTTCCCTGGGGAAACACTCGCTTCCAATGGCGATCCTCTACCAGCCGTTTATTATCATCAAGCTCCAGCCAGTAGACATCTGCGATCATGTCTGCAGGATCAATCGCCCAGTCGACTCGCGGTCTCTTTGGTTTAGCAGCAGAGGTCGTTGACCGAGAAACGTTGGATGGCGGAGAGCTTTGAAATGATGCAGCTTGTGCGCCTGAAAAGGGGGGCAAGGCAGGATTGCCTGGTATTTGAGCTTGACCGGTGGCCACCCATTTGGCAACCTCGTCAATCCACTCAGATACTCTGGGGACATCGTTAAACCCCTGGCCTTCACCATCAATAGCTTTCCGCTCGCGGGCTCTGACTTTGCGATTGCGTATGTACTGAAGAGGATTGTACGGGCGTCCAATCCTAGTCTCAGACTCGTTGGTGGAAGTTCTAGACATCTGAATAGAGTCAGTTGATGTGCTAGGGGGACTGGCTATCAACCCTTTGGTCGTTCGAGGTACCTCCAATGGCGGCAACAGTTCCAGGACTCTTCTGTATTGGGCCATGAGGTCCAAATACTCTTTCGCCTTCTGCGCGCGTGCCAAAGTAGATTGAGAAAAATGGTAGCGGTAGCCCCCTTCGGGTTCAAATGCTGGCTGTAGAGGGCTGAGCACCCTCCCCGGACCTATCCTCGGTGACCGATCAGGCTTGGGAGAGATAGTTTGTGAAATTCTTCTTTGTTGCTGAAGGTGATGTCTCAAGCTGCCTCCTGTGGTACCATCAGGCAACGGTACCAATCTAGGTGGCGCTGGCTGCGTAATGCTTCTCCTAGACGCGAGGCGTCTGGATTCGCTCAGGTTTAGGGCCATATTAACAATCTGTGCCGATTCCAGATCCATTTGCGTAATGCTCGTTCGAGGCGACGATCCAACAGCTGTGTCCCCCGCAAGGGAGTCGCGCTCGCGCCTGGTGAGGGTAGAGGATGCCGATATTGGATCAGAGTGGCCACTCCCCGTTGGCTCATACTCCCCAGTGAGCATAGAAGGCCCTGAGCTGCCCGAGAGAGTTCTCGGGTAGGGTCTGGTCTGGTCATGCTGAGCATTTCGAAGCCTGTATTGATCGGTCGACTTTCGGTATTGCCTATCGGCTCGCGGGTTGATATGCGCGTCGCGCTCGCGAGTATGGGGGTTGAATAGAGGGTCGTTGAGAAGAAAAGCACCACTCGGTCGATGTTTATGGCCACGGGACGCATTAAGTGACCGCCGCTTCTCGATCGGGTTTCGGCTGTCCAGGCGCATCGACGACTTCGCTAGAGGGTCGAGCTCCTCGTGGAGCGGTGCCGGGTTAGAGTCGGGGGTTGATACGTTTATAAAGCTGTTCTGTAAGCTGGAGGACGGTCCTCGTTCGAACGCACTGGAGTGGCGTGCCGCCCGCTGTGGAGGCAGATGGGAGGGTGGGCTAACATCGTGGGCGGTGGTGTTGGTGGTGTGGTCAGTCATTTCGGAGCTCCCTTCGCCCTGGGGCGAATCTCTCGGGGTTCCAACTCAAAGATATTCGATATGGCGATACATTTTCTACGCCGTGTTGCAGGTGGTGTCTGGTGCGCTAGGCGATGCTGGCAGAGGAGCTGAGAGCCAGAATTTTCCATGTGAAGCTCCGACGTCAGGAGGGAGGTGGTGGGAATCCTCTTATTCGCCAGGGTCCAAGTTCAATGTCTGGTTGGTGTTCCCCAGAGAACCAAGCTTGGCTTCATCTTCAGTGAGTTTCAGGGAAACCCCTCGGGTCGGCAGGCAACTGGCCCACTGTTAGCCGCAAACAAGCATGGGGTTGAAGTCGCTGTCAGCGCTATCCATGCACAATGCATGGGACTTTAAACGGCCCTTGGCTTGTCACTGGCACATTGTACACAAATAACTGGCACTGCAAAACATTAAACGAGGTCTTAAAAGATAGTCAAAAGGTTTTAAAAGATAGTTAGTAGGCCTTTAAAGATATTTCAAAGGCCTATTAGTTTACTGTCGAGGCATGGTATACAACATCATATGGGCCAACTTACTCTTGCTGTGTCAATTATTTTGTGGGCAGGGTGCGCTCCACACTTCAACTCCATCTTATATTTGAAAATGCAACGTCTTGTTCCTGCGTATATCATGCGGCTACTAGTAACTTCTCTCCCTCTGATACCTCCTATGTCACCTCCTCAGAATACTTCCCACGTAGTGCTTCTTGCACTTGCGGCACGCTCTGCCTTTACAGGCAGGGCACTGTCGAGTACAACTCATCCACCCCGTCACCCTTCCACAAAGGAAGCACTCAGCTCGTCCAAACCTCACGGCCCAGCCTGTGAGAGCATGGCGGCAGTAAAACGGTGCCTCTTCTGTTGCCACACTTTGAACTTCACTTTCAGAATATGTTTGAGTGCTTTCGCTCTCTGAGTTCTGAGCACTTTGAACCGGCTCTTGGGTCGGAAATGCCTCCGTCCACAAATCGTCCTCTGCCCCCCTGAAGCTTTCCTGGTGTTGGTGAACCATCCTTTCGCTTTCTTCCACCCATCTTTGCCATCGTCTCCGCTCCCATTCTTCTTTTTGGCGGTTTCCTTCTCGTCTAGCCCGTTCGTATCTTTCGGCTCGCTCAGCTTGCAGAACTGCCTCGAGTTCCTCAATATGCCGAACTGCCCTAAGCCTCCGCTCCTCCCATTCCATGTCCCGTCGCTCTTGCTTTTGCCCTCTAAGCTTGTCTTTGGCCTCTTGTTCTTCTTGCTCTTTGGCCCTCCTTGAAGCTTCCTCGGCCTGTCTCTCTGCTTGGAGGCGGATCCATTCAGCCACAAACTCCCGTTGTCTCTTGGCTTCAAATCGATTCCACTCATTTCGAATCTTTTCGAGTCTTTCCGCTTCTCTTCGTGCTTTTCCCCGTGTGGTGATTTCCCTTTCAGAAGCCTCAATTTCTCGTCTTGCAGCATCCTCTTCTTCGGAAGCCAGCTTCCGGTAGCGGAGCCACTCCACTCTAATTCGAGGGTATTCTTCGTCGTAACGTGTGCGTTTGTCCTCATCGCGAAGGTAGTCATAAGCTTCTTGAACCTACCTCACTTGTCAGCGAGTGCCAGAAATTGACAACATGAGGAGGTAACAAACCCTGCGGAACACGGCCGTATCACCGTCGTTGCCTGGCCCCCTCTTGTCAGGGTGATGCTGCTTGATCAGCTTGAGCCAAGCGGCCTTGATATCCCTTCTCTCGATATAGGTGTGTTCGTCGTCAAAGGTTGGGAACTCGAGATCAAAGTAGTAATCTGGCTTTGCTGGCTCAACGTTGGTAGGGTATATGAGGTCCATGATTGCTTGACTGTCTCATTGGCATTGTTGAACGCGAGAGAGAGAGGGTATCGAGGAGATCTTGATGAGTAAGGAAGGCCAACGACCCAGTCGTTGCCAAAGGAAGCGTGAGGATTTGAACTGAAAACTTTTCACGAAAAATGAAGCCAGCCAGCTGGGGGCGTTGATATCGGATGGAGCCATATTATAAATTCATCTTATCGATGAGATATCTATTGTTGATTTCTTTGTCAATAGGAGCACTATCTGGATAACTGAGTGGGACTTGCACAATACAAAACCTCGAGATGGGACGAACATTGAGCCCATCTGAATGAATGGCACTATTCATTCCATTGTGCCAGCGCACTGAGCATGCTCTTTAGCCATGATATCTTGAGGCATTGTCCTGTTCAGGTGTGTTATAGGCAGGTAAGACCTTCAATGGAGGTTGATGAGGTTGGTGAGTGATGAATTTGGTCATGGTGAACTGAGCCTGGTTTGGTGAAATGTCGGTGAAAACTCAACTGTACTGCTTGATAAAAGCTGAGAAGAAAAGATCGGACGGGTGCCATGAAACGTGTAAATTTTTTCCCAGTAATTATAGCGCGCGAGCAAGATACCTAGTACATTGAAACAGGAACTGGGAAGGGGCGTTTATTGCCCACACTTCTCGGCGCCTGATCAAGCCTGCCCAAGCTCACGGTGTTATACGCATACTTCCCCCTCACGCACATTTCTTTCTCTTCATTATCTGTCTCGAATCTTTCAGCAGCTTCTCAATGCCATTATGCTCCCAAAACACCTTTCATAAATCCGCTTCGACGCTTCGAACTATAATCAACAGGCCTCAAAAGACAACTAACAGGCCTAAAACTAGTTGATAAGTCTCTAAGAAAACAAAAAGGTTGTTAAATATAGCTTATAAGGCTTTAAAAATAATCAACAAGCCATTATATTTTTAATAAGCCCTTGAAGATGGTCAATATGTATTTATGGTCTTCTTGCAGGTTTTTATTCTGTATCACAGTCTCCATGTTTCTGTCCACAACCTAGGTCTACAAAAAGATTTATTTAGCGCTGACCACCAATATATCGGCAGGTAAACAGCAAAGTGTTGGCATAAGTCTCCTGCAAACTGTGTAAACACACCGAGCCCAACTATCCGACAAAACCCAGGATATCTACCTCCTCAAAGCTGAACATCATTCGCTGCCCCAAACGCCTTTCCATGGTTCGAGCTCTTAGGGGGGAAGGAGAAAAAGACGCCATTAAAAGACGGTAACAGCACTCACAAACCCACTTCTCAACACCTCAAACACCAAGCCCGGGTACCCATACAGTGTTGTCGTAGAGTCCTCACCCCCATCAAACTTGTTACCCATACCGGCCCCGGGTTCTTCCCACCCGCCCAGCATCTCTATACTGCTGCCCGGCGAATCACCCCAGCCGCGGTTCAGGACCATACCCCTCTGCTTCTGCTGGGCTTCGCTCTCCGAGGCATACATCGACTTCCACTCCTCCTTCAACTTCTTCTCCAGATCTGGAAAGTATGTCTCCGAGTTTGGCACTTTGTCATCGTGATCTCCCTTGGCAAGATAGGCAATCTCCCACCTACACCGACGGTGCCGGTTGAACGGATAGGAACCCGGCACGTTGCCGTGCAAGATCAGCTTTGTTGCCACCTGTCGGTGAGGGTTTGTGGATCTGACAAGTGGTCCAGGTAGTGACTTGCCGCTTGACGAAGGGGGAGTCTCTGACGGCTCTGTGGGCGTTGAAACCAGGATATCAAACCCAAGGTAAAAGTAATTGTAGAAACACTCCCCTGCTACATTAACAGCTTCGTCCTCGACAACCTCCTCCTCCTCCTCGTTGGATTGATAGCCGTCAGAGTGGTTCAGAGATGACTGGTCCGTATCCGTCATGTCGTCCTTGAGATCCTTGCCGTTTGGTCTCCCGGCTGCGTTGCTTGCTGTCCTCAACTTATGGATGTACATGCGCTGGTCATTCTTGCGATATATAGCATCTGGGGGCCCCAGTTCGGCTACTAGTTCCTGAGGGGTAGTCTCACCGAAGAATATCCAGAACGAGTTGTTGGTCCATTTCCGAAAGAGCTGTACTTTACCACCACCGTGGAGTTTCACAAGCGACACCTCATCGGGGCAGACATCTTTACCCTTGTTTAGAGGGGCGAAAGTCTTGATGCTGGGGAGCACTTCTGTCCACATTGTCTTGCGAGCCTGTGCCCACGAGTCACCACTGAAGATGGCCATGGATTGGGGCACCGCCGTGGATGACAGCAAAGAGACAACATCCTTATTTGGCGAATACTGGGTCTTTTTCATGGGAAAGACGAAACCCACGCCCGGGTACGAGAGGATGTACAATCCAGCATTTCCAGGCTTCTTCACGAACTCTCCACCATAAGTAGGGCCCAAGAAGCGTTGGTAAATGTGTCGGAATGTTGGTTCGGGCGTGCTGTCGGCCGCGGGGAGATCGCTCGGTGGCCGGACAAGGTCTCGCTCTTTATCATTTGCTGGCTTGAAGAATATGTGGTTTTTCGTAAAGTCGATGACTTCGATTAATCGGAGTCGTTGTTCTGGCCCGTCAAATTGCAACCGGAGACCGTTGGCCGGCAAGCCAACGATGGTTTCCTTTGTAACTGGAATTTGTGAATCGTAGATCAAGTCGATCTTGGGGAAACGTTGTGGTTCGGCTTTGATTCGTGTCAATATGTCATGGAGTGAGGCCCCGAGGACAAGAAATCCAAGGGCCCGCCCGGGATACAACTGGGCAGAGAAGAGGGACGACGACATTGCGAATAGCTTTAGCAGCGGATTAACGCCAGAAGTATTGATGAATGATGCTGATGCAAAAAGCGGACGCCTAACCTCGTAGGGAAGACGAGGACTCGAGCGCCGTACTTGATGGAAAGAGTACTTCGTAACCAAGACAAGTTCCAAAAGATATGTCGATGCGACGCAAGAGACAATTTAAGATAACTGGATCACTCGTGACAAAGGCACTGGAGTATTGTAAAACTTTGCTTGCAGCCACTGAGCAGCTGGCGGGATCACGAGGCAGTCGCGCTGGAGCTCAGTGCTCACATGGGACGGACGGTGTAGGGGACCGCTCCAGCGGTACGTCATCCCGGCAGACAGATAAGGATAGCGAACGATAACGAGCGATAGAGGGGCAGGTGGGGTCCAATCCGCAGCTGTCACTCGGCGGAGAAGTAAGCCGAATTGGTTGCTGCAGCAATAGCTTCTTGGCCTGCAGAGTTGTTTACGATCGCGCCCTCCAACCCCGGTCCAGGTCCCCACTTCGGGACATGCCATTTTTGCAATGGCAGCAGCGACGTGGACGAGCCACAGACCACACCCTGTCCCGCAGCAAAGAGGCACCAAGGCTCATCACTGTTGAGACCCTGTCTTGGAGTTCTGGGTGGCTTTTAGTTTTTGTGGTTTTTTATGATATCCAGTCTTTCTTTTCCCGTCACACCAACACGCGACTAAACAAACACACGAGATCAAGCAGCACGATACCCGGCTCCTTCCCATGGAGCGCCGAAATACCTCGATGGCGCCTCCACCCTCGAGGGCCGGAGGCGCTGCCAGTCGATCGAGCATACGGCCACCAGCAACTCGAGGAGGAGCTAGACCAGGCGTAACGCGACACGCGTCTTCAGCGATGTCGCGACTTCAACGACCATCCTCACCAACCGAGTCGCTGATGTCGGTAGCAACGACAGCCACGGCAGGCGCTAAGCGCAAAGAACGCGATTTCGACCCCGACGATGGAGAGGCTACCAACATCAACGTTGTCGTGCGGTGCCGAGGGCGCAATGAGCGGGAGGTCAAGGAAAATAGCGCTGTGGTCGTTGGAACGGAAGCGACAAGAGGGAAAATTGTTGAACTGTCAATGGGTCCAAACGCGGTCAGCAACAAGACATACAATTTCGATCATGTTTTCTCGCAGGCGGCCGATCAGGTTATGGTGTTTGAGGATGTGGTGAAGCCGATTTTGGACGAGGTAAGGAGTGTCAGTAACGCGCCGGAGATATCCGCTGACCATGATACCACGATGCGCAGATGATGTCTGGCTATAACTGCACAATTTTTGCCTACGGGCAGACGGGCACCGGCAAGACGTACACGATGTCAGGCGACATGACGGAAACGATGGGCATGCTGTCTGATAATGCAGGCATCATTCCCCGAGTACTTCAAGCCCTGTTCGCTAAGCTCGAGCTGGAGGAGAAGGACCATTGTGTGCGCTGCTCCTTCATCGAGCTGTACAACGAAGAACTACGGGATCTGCTCGGTACCGATGAGAGCACCAAGCTCAAGATTTACGACGATAACTCGAAGAAGGGCCACTCGACCACGATGGTTCAGGGAATGGAGGAAAGGCATATCTTGAGTGCGACGGACGGTCTCAAATGGCTCCAGGAGGGTAGTTTGAAGCGCCAGGTGGCAGCCACAAAGTGCAACGATCTCAGCAGCAGAAGTCATACCGTGTTTACGATCACTCTATATGCCAAGCGTCAAACGGGCGAGAATGGAGACGATTACTTGATGGCAGGCAAGCTGAATCTGGTCGATCTGGCTGGTAGCGAGAATATTCAACGATCCGGAGCAGAGAACAAGCGCGCTGCTGAGGCGGGACTTATCAACAAGAGTTTGCTTACCCTTGGGCGAGTAATCAACGCCCTGGTCGATCGAAGCCCTCATATCCCATACAGAGAGTCAAAGCTCACTCGTCTACTGCAAGACTCGCTAGGTGGACGGACAAAGACATGCATTATTGCCACAATATCGCCAGCAAAGGTCAACCTTGAAGAAACGATATCAACACTGGATTATGCGTTCAGAGCAAAGAATATCCGAAACAAACCACAGCTCAATGCGTTGATCAACAAAAAGACACTGTTGCGAGACTTTACCACCGAGATTGAACGGTTGAAAGGCGAGCTCATCGCCACCCGTCAACGAAACGGTGTCTATCTATCGAACGATGCGTACGAAGAATTGACAGTGCAGAACGAGTCTCGCAGAATCTTAACGGAGGAGCAAGCTGCCAAGATAGAGACTTTGGAAAACAACCTGCGCAACAAGGTGCAGGAGCTGTTTTCCCTGACATCGAGCTTCGTGGGACTGAAGAAGGACCACGAGGGAACACTGGGTCAATTGGACGATACCAAGGGCGTCCTGGAGCAGACCGAGATAGTGTTGGCGGCTACCAGGAAGGGACTGGCGGAGGAGACGCATATTCGAAAAGCACACCAGGCAACCGAACAGCGGTTGACAGCTGTTAGCAACGAGCTCCTCAACTATCTTGGGAGGACGGTTAATGACGTCGATGGCTTGCATGCAAAGAACCAACGAAAGTCGGATCTTCATGATTTCAACCGGGAAACATGGGGCATAGCACAGGCTCATGTCACGGATATCACGGAGATGGTGGAAAGTCGCATCGCGCAGTTCCGAAAAGGGCAGGAGGATCACATTTCGAACATTTCCGGCCGTATGCAGGATTTTGTCCAGGAAGAGCTTGAAAAGCTGACAAGCACACAAAACTTTCTTGACGAAAACCTGGCTTTGTTCACCGAATCCAAGCAACATCTGTTGGAAAGGAAACAGCAATCCAAGGAGGAGATGGATTCAGTACTCGAGGAGATCAAGGTTGTGCGAGACAATGTGAAGCAAAGGGTTGGTGAAAGCCTCCAAGCCATTGCTGGTGCTGCGGAGAAGATTGCTGGAGATGTCCTTAGCGAGCTGAGCACCTTCCACAACCAACTCCACACGTCTTACAGCTCTCTTGGGAAGGAATTCAAGGGGATATTTGAAGAGCTTTTGGGGAATATCAGTGCTCAAAAGGCAGAGTCTGATAGGCTCAGACAAGAACTGGAGGCAGCAACGCAGACGATCGTTGAGTCTAACGAGTCCGTGTCGGACAGGATACAGGAGGTTTTGGAGGAGGAAAGGAAACAGGCGGCCATTGAAAGGCAACAGTTGTTGTCACAGATCACTAGCCTTATCAACTCGCAGGCTCAGCTGCAGGAGTCTCGGTTGGTTGATAAGGCGTCTACTATCCAGGACAGCATCAAGGACACAAATAAGACGTTCAAGAGCAACGTTGCGGGTTACAGAGAGGGTATGAACGCATGGAACGCCAAGGATAGCCAGCTTCTGGAGGAGATTGCGCAGTCGAGAGATGTGCTCAAGACCAGGCTTAAGGATGACTGGACGGTATGTTATTTTCTGCAAGTTAATCAGGGACTGGCACTGACGTTTTCCAGGCTGCGAACAAGCACAGTACATCGATCCAGGAGACGACCAAATCTGTACATGCAGAGACCGTTCGTGTTGTCCACGAGCAGCTGGAAGATCTCGACGTTCAAATGCAAGATCTCGACGACTTTGTCACCCGCGCCAAGTCCTACAATGCCCAGCAGAGCGAGCACCTTTCCGAAGCCGTATCAAATCTTAACAACACTGTTGAGCAGTCCTTTGATAACATTTCCGGACATTGTAAGGCGACGTTCGGCAGAGTTGAGGATCTTGGTCAGCAGATGGAAGTCGATGTCCAGCGATTCCACAACGCCCTCGCGCCCCTCGACGAAGAGGTTATTCAGCCACTGTCGGAGCTCAGAGAGGACATCAGAGCCACCGAGTTCAAAGAGTACGAGCCGACGGGGACAACTCCCCCGAAGGTCCAGTACCAGTACCCAACCGAACTTCCTCAGACAGCCGACCACGCCGCCTTGTTGGCTGATATGCGCGATGCTCCAACACCGAGCAGAGGCGCCCCCGTCAGCAGCGTTCTGCCCAACGTCAGCTTCACACCACCATCAGCTGTCAGAACGCCCTCCCGCCTGCCAGTTGGATTAGCTTCCCCGAGCCGTTTCTCGGAAAGCGCCAGCAAGATCCCTCCCGGTGGAAGTCTTCGAGAAGTCAACCCCAACGTGCCGTCCAGCGCTACGACCCCCAACAACACCAACGCTCAGGTTTTCGATTCGGCATCTAGTGTTTTGTCGCTTCCGACTGTTAAGGAGGACGGGGACGACGATGTGACGATTACCAAGCTCAAGGCACCCGCAGCTACTGGTCCGCCAAGGACGAGGTCGTCGAGGCTGGCGAGGAAGCCGATGGGCGGGGTGGGACAGGGACCGGAAAACATTCCGCCTCCTGCGGCTGCGATGAGGAGTTCGACTAGGAGGAAGAGTCCGCGGTTGAGGTGATTTGGGTTAACCATTCGTTCTTCGTTTTCTTTTGTGGTATTGGTTTTGATTGTATGGAGTTGGGAGGAATTGTGAGTTGGTGGGTGAATAGGTATATAGTGGCTATTACTGAGGGTCTTCGGTGGTGAAAAGGGGCAGGGTGGGAGGAAAAGTAGGACAAGTTGTTGTTAATGTTGTTGTTGTTGTTGTTGTTGTTGTTGTTGTTGTTGTTGTTGTTGTTGTTGTTGTTGTTGTTGTTGTTGTTGTTGGTTGTTGGCTACTACTCATTATGGGTTAGGATTGTATATGGTTTTTTTGCTGCTGTTTTTTTCCTTCACTCGAAGGCAAAGCAACTGATACCCCCTTTTTGTCGAGTTAAATATGGATTGTTACACGTCGGTGTGGATGGTCGGGTTCGTTCATATGAAAGTGAAAGAAGTTTTGTATATTTTCTATCAAACTCTCATCCTTGTGCAAATTTGGTCTGATCAGTTTTGCTCCTTTTCCAACGCGGCAAACTGTCTTTCCACCTCTTCGGCAAAATCTCCCAAGGTCTCAAACGTCCACTCGAAGGCTACCTTGCCCTTGCGGGACAGCTCCTCCAGGTTGCCGCCCGTGCCGTAGTTCTTGGGATCAGTCCCCCCTCTCGCGATAAACACGCTCCTCAACCCGACCTCCTTGGCAGGCACATGATCAGCCGTCAGACTCCTCGCCACATGGAGCAGTTCCCCTTTGGCCTTATCCACCCCCAGCTCCTCCCTGGCGTGTTTGAACAGGTACTCAAAGTTATGCAGGGAGGGTTTGTAACTCCCGATTTTTTGCGCGGTGTACACCGCATCAAATCTCACCTTGCCCTTCAGGGAATTGCTGATCGTTGATGCGATGTTGTCGTCGTTGACGTTGGAGAGGACGATGAGCTTGTAGTGCTTGGCGAGAATTTGCAGCGCTTGGATGGTGTCGGGGAAGGGAGACCAGCGGCCGGGTCCGGAGCCTGCGTTGAGGGCGTCGGACTCGTCAAAGGGGACGTTGACCTCGCGGGCTAGGAGGCGGAAGCATTCGGAGAGGGTGAGGTTGTAGGGGAGGGTGGGCTGGGTTTTCCAGAGGTGGACTTGGTGGTGGTCGAAGCGTTGGACTGCGGAGAGGGGGGTTGCGTTGAGGGGGTGGGAAGGGGGGAGTTGGGAGGTTATGGGGGTGAGGTCGGTGGTGAGGCCGGTTTCCCAGTCTATGAGGGTGCCGTAGCAGTCGAAGGAGAGGGCTTTGAAGGTTGTGAGGGGGGGTGGTGGTGACATTGTGGGTGAGTGAGGGGATAGTGAGAGTGAGACGCTGAGTTGGAGGGGTGATGACGGAGACTTTGAACTTTGAGGCAGAGGAAGCAGATAGAGGTTTATATGAAAATGCCAATGGGCATCATGTTGATGATATCATGTGTTACCTTATTGCCGGTCAAGAGGATCTCGCCTACAATGTACACCCGCACTATCACCGTCCATGTCCAGGCACTTGACCTGATTTGGGCCGGCGAGCAACAGTCTTGCAGTTTGCATCATTAGCTTTCCCTTTCACTGGCCGGCCGACTCACACCTGCCTTCCTGTTCCGGCTGCAACGCTCCCAATAATTGTGGGCTCGACCTCTCCTACATGTCTTCTGAACCCCTTCCTTCGATAACCATCACGGTGTTAAAACGGACATACAACGCCACACGGATATAAGCGCACGCCGTTTTCCAACAAGGCGCGCCCAGAACAATGCATTTCCACATATCTGTTCAACAACTTAGTTTCCTCGATGGCGAGCATCATGTAAGGCGCATGTTCTCCCGTGGAGGAAGTGCAAAAAATGGAAGGACCCCTCACTCGCTCCTTCCAATTATCATCAGTATTAAGTGCTATCACGACATCACAACTCCAACAAATCATACGGTGAGATGGCCGAGCGGTCTAAGGCGCCACGTTAAGGTCTTCCTTAATCAACATCTTCTAGCAAAGATTCCGTGGTCCGAAAGGGCGTGGGTTCGAATCCCACTCTCATCATACTCTTTTGCTACATTCTCCAGTGCCTCTTTTTTTGCATTCTCCACTTATGTGCTCTTGCAAACCTGATTCATGGCTGGGATGTGTGTGGTGATGGTGCATCTTTTTGTCTTGATTTAAGAGCTTGCCGGGGCTTGATATGACAAGTATGGATATATGAGAGATCAGACCAACTCGACGAGGCACCAAATCAATGAGAACATGCGAGACTTATACATTGTGTGTCGTTGCTTCTAAATGCTTTGAGGGGAATCATTTTGTAAACCTTTCTAACCCCGAGTTCAGCCCTGAACGCCGTATATGCTTTTTCATAGTTCATCAAACATGCTTGAGAGAAACGCCCCAGCGGCACCCAAGCCACCTACTGCGAGAGCAGGCTGATCCCATCGTTGTACCAAGGCTCCGAATCGGGGCAAGGTCTGCCAATACCAGACAGCGCCCATTGTGAGAGCTGTTATCCCAAGTCCTGCGAAGACAAGTCTGTCCCGACTAGGCCCCTGTTTGACGCCTTTGTATTCCAGCACTTGTTTCCTCCTCTTTTCAGCCCACCACCTTCTCCACACCTCTCCGATCCATGGCACTTCATACATAACTCCATGCCCAAGTCTCTGGTAAAGCTTGAGCCCTAAACCATGTGCCTCCGTCCCCTCGTCGACCCAAGGCAAACTCTCCCATCCTCTTGGCCCAGGACCAAAAGTCTCCCTCCCACAGTCTTCCACAAACTCAACCAGCCCCGTATACTTTTGCCTTGTCACCTCCGCCAACCACCTCCTCGGCACCCCCTCATCAACAATCATCAAACTAACCCACCCCAACACAGCACACCTCGCCCCCATCGTCAACTTGGCCCACTCAACCTCCCCAATAACATCCAGCACATCCTTGGCCAACCCCTCCAACTTAATTCTCCTCTTCTCCTCCGGCGTCATAACCTCCCCAACCGTACTCGGCCCCCTCGTCAAACTAGCCGGGATGGATATCCACCCCGCCCTCCTCGCAGCAGCAGCTTCTTGTTCTTCCTTTTCCGTCTCGACGTCCGTGTCAAGCGATGACATGCCTAGGTGTTCCGCCCGGGCAGACATTGTCTGTCGGAGCTGGGCTGGTTCTGTCCATGGCAGCGGCATAGGCAGGATCTTGCTGTAGGCTGGGCGGGTGCTCGCTGCCCAGTTGGCGGAGGAGACGTAGAGGTAGAGGGCTATGAGGGGGGTTGCGTTGGCGGATAGGAATGTAGTGTAGGCTTTGCTGTCGGCTTGGATGGTGGGTGTTGGGGGTGGGAAGGTGGCATCGTGGAAGGAGGGTGGGGGGTGGGTTTGGAGGTGGCGGAGGATGGAGGTGTAGCCTGATATCCAAGTTCGGGTGGATGGGTCGTGGAGGGCGGGGAGGTGGTCTGTTTGTTTGTGTGAGTTAGTTATAGCTTCTAGAAAAGAGGGAATGGCAGGGCCAAACATACGGGTTGGTACAGCTGAGGGGCTGGATTGTATGAGTTGGTAATCGGCTTTACTTGTGGTCTGAGCGAGATAAGCGATGGCGGCGATACACTCTGCATCGATGGACGGCAGCCCGAAGGCAGGGCCCCAGACGTAAAGCTGGAGGGCCATGATACTGATTTTTCAGAATAACGCACCCACCAGTCGTAAATAATTTACGTCGCGCACCTCAATGACCAACAGCTTGGAGCGTGTTGAGAGAATGCACGTCCTCACGTGGCGATAAGAGCTTACCCCTCCATTCAGGGTCCTGATAAACTGGACATTTTCCAGAAAACACCAGGGCTTTGGTTTCGGAAATCGTAAATTCAGAGTGTGGGGAAGATTTCGTTCCCGCTCCTGCCGCTGCGCCCAAACGACTCCACCAGCACCGCCCGGGAGAGATCATCGGCACCAGATGCATTGTCAGCAGCATGAACCCCAATTTCACTCGTTTCAGCATCCCACACTTCCTCTCCGATCTCGTTCCTGTCACTTCTTCTTCCTGTCAACTTGAAGCGATGCGCGTGATCAACCTCAAACCAGACTACCTAGAGCTCCGTAAAACAAATACCTCAAAGGCTCTGGTCGGCAGAAACCGAGTTTCATGTGCCCGAGATCGCATCAATCACAGCTGCCAAAAACCTGTCAATGACGTATCTCCCTTCTTGTCAACCACTTCAACCCCTGGGATCTAGCCTCTTTTTCCCTTCTTCTTGGCCACTTTTGTTGCGCCTCGGCAACCACCACCACCACCACTGAGCACTGATCACCGCCGAGCCCAAAAGTTCCGACAGACAAGAACGCAACCAAACTTCGCTCCTCCAAAGAAAGAAGCGCCCCTTTCCCAAAAGGGGCAAAAATGGGACAGTTCCATTTTCGACAATGTCGCTTTCCATTTTCGTTCAGCTTCAACCATGCCAAGACAAGACTCAATCTCGTGAGCACAAACCACCCCCAGGAAAATGGTCAGTCTTGGGGAGTCTTGGAGGGTCTTGGACCAGCACTTGGTATCATCGTCTGCTCGTAAAAGTCGCCAGTCTCAGTCAGGAGGACGACATATCAACCCCGAACTCCGTTCCCGTTCGCGGGCCATGTTTCCGCCCGAATCTATCCGCTACCCGAGATCAGCTGCTCCATTCACAAGTGCTTCCTCTTGAACCCTCAACCACTGATGATCCTACGGGGCATCAAATAGATGGTTGGGCTTGGCTCCTCCCCCTTCGGCTTCGGATGCGGGGGGTTGGTGGTTGGGCGGAGGATGCTACTGCACGAAATAATTTAACAAACATGCAGGTCATGGTCTTGAAGGCCTCAACATCGAGCCACTTTTGGGGGTGGAAGAGTCAAGTATAGTAGTACGATGTGTGGGATGATGTCGTCGTGGCCTCCCCTTGGGGATCACATTCAGAAGGTAGGAAATATACCTGATCAAGACAACCCGAGCCGACCTGGAAATTGCTGCAGAGGCACACACAGCCTCCCTCTTTGGTGGTGATGGTGGTTGGCTGAGTCGTCTCATCTTGAGAAGCAGCGAAAGCAACGCTGGTGACAGTGACAACAAATGCCGCCCGATCGACCGATATGCCCGCCGTCCGATGGCCGATCTCGTCTGCCTGATGAAAACCGTATCCACGTGGGTGAGCTGTTGTTGAAAGAGGAAAAGTGAGAAGAGCCCCTCTTTGACATGTGCTTGCGATGATGGGGTCCCCATTTCATGAATATGATATCGCGCACTGGCGATATCTCCTAGCCTCTCTCCCTTGGTCCAACCGTCTCACTAATACGATAACTAGTATCCGCCCTCAAGAAGAAAAGCTCCTCTTTGATATCATGTCATTCAAGCCCTTTCAATCCCGTGCAAAAGTCCCGGAGCTATTGGCAATGCCATTGAGGTCCAAAACACAGATCAAGGGCCGTTTAAACTTGATCACCCCTACTGTCCTGATGATACCCTACCCCTTCCACTTGTACGAAAACAGCCCGACCTTGCGAGATCGCGTTCGTCGTCCAAGCGCGAAGTACCGGCGGCTTTTGTGGGTTGGGTATCATGCTCTCTCTTTTCGTTTTCCGTACTTGCTTTTGCGCCCTTGGCTCGTAACATTTTGTCGCGAGCGAGTCGTGTGTGTTTGGGGGAAGGGATATGTACATGAACAATACCCCCTCGCGGTACCATACATACAGTTGAGTTAACTCCAGGCACGCGAACCTGAAGTTTTTTTTTGGCTAGGTAGGTAGGTTCCACCTTGACAAAAAACAGAAACATGTCCCAAAAAGAATAAAGTGTTGTTGCATGTGATCAATTTTTAATTATTATTTTTTTTTTGGGGGTGGGGGGGATGTGTTTGCCGCCAAATGCGCGCCATAATAAGTTGAGAATGATGCAAGCCGATGTTGCAGTGACAGAGGGGGAGGGGGGACCACAAGAATCATACATGACTCCACTGTGTATTGAGAGGCAGAGAGAGAGAGACTTCAATTCGACAAGTTCTCAAACTGGATAAACTCAGTGAAGTCGGAAGGGGAAGGGGAAGGGGGTCGGTGGTGGATTGAACGACGAACCAAGACGTAGCAATTACCACTCTTCAACTGAGACCCCCACGCAATGTTCAGGGCGCCAAGTTGCAGAGAACCAAGATGAGGTTTTGATTGAGAAATGCATTGAATGCCCCGTGGGCCGATGAATATCGGGGGTGGATCATGGTGTTGAAACTCTCTTCTTGCGGATTTCCGCTTTCTGTTCTTCTTGCATGTGTCTGTGGATGAGGTGGGTGGGCGGGTGGTGGTGGTGGTTTTCTTGCGCTTCGGTCCGTGTGATCTATGGAGTCTCAAAAGGTTAGCGCCAAATTGTCAAATAAAACCCGCGGCAGAATTACGATGAGATAATAAAAACAAGTTGTACCATGTTGGCGATTCATGAAGAACGGAGACACATTGGGCACAAATGCATGATATAGGATCTGTTGTTCAAAATATTGGGGGTTGGTAAATGGATAGTTTCTTGCATTGTTTGTGTCGCTCTCATTCATGAACATGAGAATAGCGAAACCAGAAAACTAAAGCTCCTCCCAAAAAAAAAACAGCTCGATGCAAATCCCATCATCGTAAATTCCTCTCTCCTTCTCATTCCCTTTCCTCCAATTCCATTGTGGGGTATCGGCGACCAATTGATAAAAACTCATGTGCGCCGTTTCCCAAAATGCTCCCTTGATTCATAGTGACGGTGGTGGTACAGTGGTGTGTAGAAAAATCCTTCTAATAATCCCCAAAGTTTGTTGTGCGATAAAAATTCATTCGTAACATTGGAAATCTTGCATGTCGTGTCGCGGTAGTGTGGCAGTAGGAAAAAAACGAAAACCCGTTGATTAAAGTCGATACTGTGGTGGTTGGTGGTATTACAATGTGATGATAAATTGTTGAAATCCGTCCCGGAGTGGTGGTCCGTCAGATGCCGAAAAGCCGAAGATAATTAGAATAAAGCGAAAGTGTGAAAGTTGGAAGAGGTGTGGATGTCTCCCAATGAGCCGGCTCTCGGGGGGAAGGATGGCAAGACAGTTCCTGTCGTGGTGTGCAACTGAACTGAAGGTGGTGGTGGTGGTGGTGGTGGTGGTGGTGCCAGAAAAAGGTCGGCAATGGTACACAGCATGCTGGAGTGTTGACGTAGCTGGGAGAAAAATGCTGGTAGGCCAATCAGGGCGAGAACCTTTGGGTTGAGACGGTTGAAATGGCTATGTCGAGAATGGCTGTGGTGCATCATGCACGAAGCATGATGGCGTGCAGCTCACAGGCGTGGAATTCGTTGTGGTCGGAAACCAATGCGGAGACAGGAAAGCTGGCTCCGTTTTTGCAGCCTCGCATGCCCTTGATATGATTGCGTTCGGCCTGTCGAAATCTTCAAAGCGGATGTCGACCAGGCCTATAGACCCATGGTGAAAGCGGTAACAATGTGCTGTAAACCGTTGATATTCGAGTGGTGGTTGGTAGTTGTAGTTGATAGACTATCAACCCTTTAGCCCCTCTTGGGGAGAGGAGGCAGAGGGCGACTCGGGGGAGGGCCGGGGCAGGGGGGAAGCTGAGATGGTCTCTGAGAATCCATGGTGTAGGTCTGTTCGTTGTGGGCGGCCATTGTTATGGTGTTGAGGGGTTGTTGAGTGGGTGAGTGAGGTGGTGGTTGCTGGTGGTGGGAGTGGCTGGTAGATATGTCGTTGACAAGAGAGCTTGTGATGCTTCAATATTCTGATAATGAACTGATCAGATTGTGTTGGCTGATGATGGTTCGAGATGGTGGGCTTGGTTGGGGGGTGGGAGGAGGGCAGAGGCTCCCTTATGTAGCAAGCCGCGAACTGATAATCTCAAGATTGCTCGCAAGCCAGGATGCGCAAGAACAGCTTCACGGACAGGGCTGTGGGCAGTGAGTCCCGGTCATCCCCTGGCATGCTGGGCAGATGAGTAACGAGTACCCTGTTCGGGTCCGGAGGTACCTGGGAGGCCCTCAAACGCCCACGTAATTTGGCTGTGTCGGGATTCATGAGTCAAGTCTCTCAGGCCACGAGGGAGGTACTGCGACCGGAAAAGCAGCACAAAGTTGCGGTGACGCAGCCACGGCTTGGCAGTAACTCAAGGTTGCCAGGTTCTCGATGACCACCACGAAATAATGAAACACAGCATCACGCCCAGGGACTCCCTGTCGTTATACAGCAACCCCTGCTCCGAGAAAAGCCACGGCTGCTGTACGTACCTTTCACTCCTTTTCGTTGCGCCATAACGTGAAATACCGAAATACGGGCTGCGTAATGCTGCGAAAATAACGCTGAAAGTCAGAGAAGCGGTCGATGGCAGCCGACCGACGCATGACGGCCGCTCCATGGATACCCACCCGGCCGCTCCTCCGGCGACTGTGTCGTCAATCCGGCATTCAACATCAGACTCCGAAGCTGTCAACCGGCGGTTGGGCATCGTTGCGCTGTTCTTGGGCTTGGTGTCCCCGCTCCATAGTCCGCCCCCTCACCACCACCTCTCCTACACGGCTGGTAGTATCGTACGTGCTATTACAATCATACATCCTCTGTGTGAGTCCCAGAAAATAGATGTTGACGCTGCATTCGGCAGGAAAGCCGAGCCGCAGGACACGTTTTTCAGCGCGCAAACGGAAGCGTCCGCAGCACAGCGCATATCGCAGCGCATTGCCCAGCTCGAGACGCATCTCTGCCATGTCCGAAAAGGGCGGCACACAGCGAGCTGAGAAAGGGCGAAAGATCTGAAATTGAGGAATTGCAAATTTGGCACAGTACAGCGCAGGCTGGACCAACTCCAGCAACTCCGGTCGAAGCCTCGTCTTGTCCCCCTTTGCTCGATGCTCCACAGCCAATTTCACCGTGATTACCAAGAATCCTCGAACGGCATTTGTTGGGAATTCTGCATTTGTGCGAGCAAAATTGCCCACGCCAGGGCTTCTTCTTCAGGGGGGGCGGGGCCCATGTCAGCGCATCTTTCAGGGGCCGTACGCCCTGAAGGAGATTCGACTTTGCCGTCACCGTCACCCTTCCACGTCACTGTCACTGTAGACCTGGCTCAGGGGCTGGGCACCGAAACTACAAACGCAGCAAATGGAAAAATGACGGTGTACGGAGCAAATTAGAAGACGCAAACGCAGCCTAGAGGCGGTGACAGCTATCAAAGCAATGCCCAGCCTTTACTCCAAAGTACTTTGTATGCCCGAGGAAATTGACTTTAGGCCTACAATGTTTGAGAGAACGGAATTCCATCGGCGCAAAGAGCAAGTTCTGTTTCAGAAACAACCGTCTCTTCGATCTTTTAGTTGTCCGTCATTCCGCCAGGGGAAAGTTGAAGCAGCCGATGCAGGTCCAGGTCAGCTGGCCACCACACTGCAACCCATCCTTTTCGAAGAATCTTCTCATCGCCCTCGCCATCACGGACCGATCCCTGCCGCTCTCGTATCCTCCAAATCGGTGTCGCAAGACTGATGACCACACCATCGCACGTTTCTGGGCGCCTTTGCGGGTGCCGTTCATTGCGCTCGTGGTATACCAAGCTTCCGAGAGATGACAAGTCATTACGGAACCACACAATTCGCCATGATCACGGCCGAATGATTACCTGAATCCGTTGTGCGTCGTGAGCCCTCATGGTGCGTCGTTTCGTTTTCTGATCAGTGATATGGAAGTCTGGGGAAAATCCACTCGACAACAGCCGACCAGCCGAAGCATACCGAAATTGTATGGATCTGATGACAGGCGGCACTTCAGCGCACAAGCCCTTGCTCCGATCTTCCACCCACCGGGCTGAGAGAGGTTGAAAGAGAAGTGGATTTTGGGGTTTTCTTTTCTTTTTCCTGC